GTACTGAAGTAGTTACTGTTACTTGTACTAAGGATGTTTGTCACCACGCTCAACCTACTGGAATCGTCGCTCCAGAAGGTACCACTTACACTACTGAATACGGTACTGTTGTAGTCACCGTTACATGTACCGAAGATGTTTGCCATCAAAGCATCCCAGCAACCACTGTTGCTTCAGTTGTTACATCTAGTGTTCCAGTTGTTTCTTCTGTGCCTACTATCTATTATACTCAAGGCCCTGGTAATGTTTCCAACGAAACTATTCCAGTCTACGAAGGTATGGCCCCTTCCTCTAAGATGGTTCCATTCTTAGCTGTTATTGCGGCCATCGCCTTTACATTGATTTGAGTAAGTTTATAACTTTACCGCATACCCTATATACACTAAGTTTATACGAGAATTTATGTTAAAATATATAAAGTACGCTTTGAAAATTAAGCCATATTTGTAAACACACCAACTTCCAAATCCAGAAGACAAATTTACGAATTCAGAAAACATCAACACTATCATTGGTCAAGCAAGGTACAGGATCCATGGCCATAGATGACTTGAAGAAGTTCGTTTGCAAGTCCGCTTGTAAGATGGTATGTGGTACGGCCTCCTATTCAACAAAATGCACATCTAATATCTGATTTTGAGTGTACTCGTTCCTAATTTGGAACTTCTACGCACTAAAGAATGCGTATGCAAAACATTAATGGAAATGGTTATGGTTAGAACGATGTACTTATACTAGAACAGCTCATAGACAAGAATACAAATAAATACTAGCCTTAAGTATGCGAATGGCGTGTGTGGGGTGTGAAATCCACATATGTAAACAACCTGATCTTTCCTTTTTCCACGGCTTTAGTCAACGTCTAAGGCTTCGATAGTACTTCCCCATTAGGGTGCAGCTAATATCCTATTAATACAAGTGAATCAAATGAGTAAAACATGGGGTCAGCCGAGCCAATAAAACTTTACTATGTTATTGCGACTTTACCCGAGCAGAGTAAATGGCATCTAACATCAACAAGATGTGAATACCATAAAGTCTTTCCGAAGTTCTGAGAGTCGTGAGAAAATTCCAAACACTAACAATAACAAGCCTCCATAAATGACAATATACGTAACAAACTAACACAGCAGTTAGTGCTCTAAACAGGTACGTATACTAAAACTTTTATTTATCCGGCAACTCCACCTTATCTCCTCAGTGACACAAAACCCCATAGAGTGCGGTCCAATTTAAACCGCTAATTAAATCACGTCAAAGCAAACACCAGCATCTTCATTAACATTAAAGGCAATCAACTGTTAAAATATGACTAAGCCAATGCCTCCCGTACCTATGTCTGCGAATGACCTACGCAGTAATCATACGAAGCTTCCCTATGGTGACGGTTCCAATAAAATATTTGGAATGGAGAACTTTGGCAATACATGCTACTGTAATTCCATTATCCAATGTTTATTCCATTCCGAACAGTTTAGAATTCAACTCTTGCAACATATGCAGACTAAACATGAACCGAAGCTTTTAATGAATGGGATAAGAACCCATCCTTTTATACAGAAATATGAACAGATGATAGCCAAACGACAAAAGGAACAGAAATCATCATCATCATCGTCAAAACTGGATCCTAGTAAGAATAACCATGAACCCGATGAAATACCAGATGAAGAGAAATCTAACACCAGGGGCAAAAGAGGAAGTATATTTGGATTAAAGTTTGGAACCTCGAACAATAATGTATCATCATCTATTGGTCATTCGAGTATTATCCATGAAAAGAAACATGGTTCCAATTATACTGTTGCAGCTAAAGATTGTAGTGAATTGGATCTTGATCAAAGAATAAGAATTCAAAATAGTCCAGATATTCAATCCCTACAATTGTTTGTAACCAAGCCTCAAATACTGCAACCATTACCTCCTATTCCTCAATCACAAACACAAGCTCCACCCCCTAGTAGTTCTTCAACACTTTCAACAAATATTTTCAAAAAGAGTTTTCTACTGAGTGTTCCCACCACCCTTAATGACGATGAGAATGAAAGTAGTAACACCACCAATAACAGTAGCAATAATACTAATGCTGCTACAACAGAGGAAGTGGAAGTTATGAACCCCTTGGCTCCATCAGTAGTGGTAGTGGGTATCCCATATCCAGAACCATTCTTAACTAACCCAATCAATCTGTATAGTCCACATCCTACATCGGAACACAGGAAAAGATCAGCATTAATTAATGGTCCATTAATCAACCTAGATACTTCGTTAAAAGCACCCGTATCTCAGACAGAAGACTTGGCCTTACTTTATGCATTGAAGGAAATCTTTGAATGTATGACGGAAAATAGATCTCAAATTGGTGTTGTTTCTCCACTGCATTTCATCACCAAATTGAAGGAAAAGAACTTTTTATTCCGTCAAACAAACATGCATCAAGATGCTCATGAATTTTTCAATTACTTGTTGAATGAAATAATTGAATGCTTAGATTCGGAATTGGGACCCAAGAATAATTGGTGTAATAAGATTTTCCAAGGGGTTATCACCAATGAAACCAAATGTCTTTCATGTGAAACAATTACATCAAGAGATGAAAAGTTTCTTGATTTATCAGTCGATGTTCCTCGAGGAAATAGTTCATATTCGTTGAATTATTGCTTGAATAACTTCTCTAAGATCGAGACATTAAGGTCCCAAAATAAGTTTTATTGTAACACTTGCTCGTCGTTACAAGAAGCCACTAAAACAATTAAATTGAAATCATTACCTGAAACTTTGGTGATTAATTTCAAGAGATTCAAATACAATGAAGAATTAGATAAAATGGTTAAGCTTTTCGATCCTATAAGTTATCCCTTCAAATTAAGAGTGTTCAATACTACCGATTGTGATTCGGATGAAGAAGACAACGTTGAAGATGAAGGGTTTGTATTATACGATTTATATGCGTTGGTGATTCATATTGGAGGAGGACCAATGCATGGACACTATGTTGCAATCTGTAAGATCAAAGCAGGTTTATGGTTACTTTATGATGATGAAACCGTGGAATTAGTAGAAGAATCATATGTGATGAGATTCTTTGGCAGTGGACCAGGATTGGCCAGTGCATATATTTTATTTTATTCAAAGACTTGTGAACAAGATCATCAAGCAGATTTATCTAATGATGGAGTACATTTAGGATTTGATATTGCTAATTTATATCATGGTGAAGATTATACTTTGAACGTTAACAATAAGAGACGTACCTCTGAAATGTCATCTACACCTTCTCATTCTACTACTGCTACTGCAAAGACTAAACATAGCATATTTGGTAGACATCAAGAAGATGAGAATAATAGTTCCTTTACTACAACAACAACAGCTACTACTACTACTACTACTTCCACTACCACCAATAAGAAGGATAATTTGTTATCACCTCCAGCCATTGCATCATCTCCAACATCTAAACCTGAGGAAGACTCTACATTTACTTTCTCATCTGATATTTCAAGCTTAGACACCGGAAGACATAGCAGTACCAGCAACAACAGTAACAATATTCTCCTCAACAATACTAACAATCCTTCTACTACTACTACTACTAATTATAATAACAACAATATCAACAATAACGATAAGACCCAATCAGATCTTATGCGTCGAACAAGTATGATATTCAAAAAGAGTTTCCGAGTTGATTCCATAAAGGAAGATACCGGAAAGGAATCTACGTTGAATAAAACCACATCTCGAGCATCATCAACAATTCTTCATACAATAAATTCCTCCAATACTCCAGCAAAGAAGAAGTGGCTTAGTCGTTCTTCCACTATTAAGTCAGAGCAAACCAGTGCCAGTAAGAATAGTAGCACAGTAGCAAGTGGCACAGGTTCGAACGCCACCACCCCAGTTAAATCGGAAAAGAGATCGATCTTTGGCTTTAAGAAAAAGCGGTAGATAGCAACATGTATTTATACATATATATGTTAACAAACAGTAGATGCCTTCTGAAGTTATGGTTAGCCGGAAAAACATTTACCCGGTTCACGTGAGATTCTGCTATGCGTGAAGCAAAATGTACCATGAAGCAACCATTTTATTTCAAACGATACCTTTGATTAATAATCAAGTTATTTATCTATTGTAACAGTCTAACTCCAGTAGTATGAGTCTAGTGAAGATATCCCCCACGTTAAAGACAACATCCACGTCCAAGCTAATCACCTTATCAGCGGGATGCTTTTGGGGAGTGGAGAAGTTTTTCACCAAGCAGCTTAGTGATAAAGGGTTAATTGACATTAAGGTTGGATATGCCAATGGACTTCGGAATGTTTCTGATGTAACCTACGAAAAGGTTTGTAGTGGAGCCACCAACTTTGTTGAAGCTGTTCAAATCTCATATGAGCCATCTACCCTTGGCCTTAATGATATCTTAAGTTTATTCTTTAGAATGCATGACCCTACAACTGTCAATGCTCAAGGTCCTGATACCGGAACTCAATATCGTTCTGCTATTTTATATAGTAATGAAGAAGATGGTCAGATTGCGAAACAGGTTAGAGATCAATTCCAGAAGGAATGGTATCCTAATCATAAGATAGTTACGATATTGGAGCCACTTGATGTTTGGTACGATGCAGAGGCGTATCATCAGAAATATTTACAGAAGAATCCTGGTGGGTATGATTGCCCTACACATTTTTTAAGAACGAAACCTAAGGTTTAATTAATGGTACTTGTCACATAATTGTATATATAATACTAATAAATAAATCTGAGATAAATGTGATAGGTCATAGTTAGTACTAGAACCTGTATATTTTTAAAGCGATAGATTCAAATTTACGCGTCAAAATTTCCTATACTTTTATTGACTGTTTCTTTATCCAATCAATTACAAATGTCTTTGTGGGTTGATAAGTATCGTCCCAAGACATTAGCGCAATTGTCATATCATGATCGGATTTCTCAGAATTTAAAGGCATTATCAGCTTCGGGAGATTTCCCCCATCTTCTAGTTTATGGACCAACTGGTGCGGGCAAAAAGACCAGAGTTTATGCTACATTACAGGAAATTTTTGGTTCAGCAGTGGAAAGACTTAAGATTGACGTTAAAACATTCACAACATCATCAAATCGGAAATTAGAGTTTAATGTCATTAGTTCGCCTTATCATTTAGAAATTACTCCATCTGATATGGGTAATAATGATAGAGTGGTTATTCAAGATTTATTGAAGGATGTTGCAAGTACTGAACAAGTTGATTTTACTTCTTCGAAAGTTAAACATAGATTTAAAGTGGTTGTGATTAATGAAGCTGATTGTCTTAGTAGAGATGCTCAAGCAGCTTTGAGAAGAACAATGGAAAAGTATTCTGCCAATACAAGATTGATTTTGGTTTGTAATTCAATTTCAAATATTATTCCTCCTATTAAATCTAGAACACTTTTGGTTAGAATACCCAAACCTACAATTGAAGAAATTGGGGATATCTTAAATATGGTAGCTAAAAAGGAACAAGTGAAATTTAATTCAAATGACCCTCAAGCTATTACCAGTTTCCTTAATAATTTAGCAGAGAAATCAGATAGAAATCTTAGACGATCATTATTAGCATTTGAAACTATTAGTATGCAAAACGAAACCATCCCAATAACAAATAATTCTGGACCTCAATTAACTCTAGATTGGGAAATTATCATTAGTGGTATAGCTGATGCTGTTTTGAAAAGTAGATCCGTTGCCACATTAGCCAAACTAAGGGATGCATACTATGAATTGTTGGCACATTGTATACCAGCTAAAATTATTCTCAAGACTTTATTATTCAATTTAATTGAAAAACTTGGAGATTCTAATGTGGTACCCAAATTAGTTGAATTGGCATCTGATTATGATGAAAGACTTAGTCTTGGTCAAAAGAGTATATTTCATTTGGAAGGATTTACTGCTAATGCCATGGTGGCATTAGAAAGTTAAACATGTCATTAGTACTATATTATAAACAGAATACTGAAAAAATAAAGAATGTTAAAAATTCTTCTATTAATTATTAAAACTGAACTTTATTATCCCGTTTGAGATCCGATTTGAATGGATTGTTATTGGCGATTTCATCATAACTTGGAGGTTCAGAATGGATGTTTTGACTGCTACCTTGATGAGTTGTTTCTTCTTGTACTTGTGCTTCTGGATTAGTATAATTTGGTTCTTCATTATGGGTTGATTCTGATTCCATTGGTCTACTCTCAGGATCTTCATTTTCATGGTCTTCAATTCTAATATAACCCTGAGAACAACAATAAAACCCATTCTTTCTAGGATACTCAACTACCACGTAGTATATTGAGAAAAGAACCCCTGGAACATGTCCCAAAATAGTTAACAAGATACTGAGTAACAACTCTCTACTATATAACGAATTCTCCTTTAACAAGAACACAGGTAATGGTGGGAACACAAAACACAAAATAATTAATATAAGCGTCTGAGCTCCATTTAATGGTCTAACATCTTCATGAGATCTTTCTTCAGGCATTATTGAATCTTTTTGGTTGTGAAAAATGTATAATAAAGTGAAAAGAGATTGAGTCCAGATTGCCTCTTTATATAAAACCACCTGCTTTTCCCCTTAATGAATGACAAGGCGCAGACATTGGAATGTACTTACGTAAGCAGGTGACAACATATTCCTCTTTCGACTGACACGGGGTTACCCGGTCTTTCTCACAAACAACTCTATTCATCAAACAAGATAAGCAAGAGCTCACTGAGTGTAACGGTATCATGACCTGTAAGCAAGTGCATTATAAAGAGAAGTAAACAAGGGTGCTTCTTATAAAGAACAACACCATATTAGAGGATCAGCTAAACTTCTATAGTAGTAGCATCATATAATGGATTACGTTAAGAAAGCAATATGGGGGCCGGATCCCAAGGATCAAGTATGTATTCGCTAAGATAATCTATTCTGAGATTTATATCTATCTATCTATCTATATATATATACTAACAGGTTCAGATGAGAAAGGTTAACCAGGTATTAAGGAAGAATAAAAGAGAGTTAGATAGATCACTTAATCTGTTGACTCCGTTGAAGAAGAAGACTGAAAGTTTAGTAAAGAAGGCTGCTAAACTGGGAGACATGAAATCTGCCAAAGTATATGCCAAAGAATTGGTTAACATCCAAAAACAATATAACAAGTTGTATACACTGCGTACACGAATTGACTCTATTAATATGGCAGTCAATGAACAATGGCAGATGAATAAATTAACCAAATCTTTAGCCACGTCAACTTCAGTGATGAAAGATGTTAATCTGTTGGTTCATATTGGGGTTATGACAAATGCAGTTCAAGAATTATCCAAGGAATTGATGAAAGCTGGAATTATAAATGAAATGATGGATGATATGGTTGATTTGGAGATGGATGAAGAATTAGAAGATGAAGCCAATATTGAAGTGGATAAGATAATTGAAGATTTAACGGCAGATAAGTTATCACTGATTCAAAACTCTGAAACCCTTACATCTTTGGAGCCAGAAGAACAAGAACAAGAACAAGCACAAGAACCCATACAAATGCATCATGAGAATGAAGAAGACCAAGCAGCTCTTTATGAGATGACTGAACGGTTGAAGGCATTGCAGGAATGAATAAGTATAATTATTCAATTGTAATAATATATAATAGCAGCAGTGGTAAGTATCATAATAGTAACAGCATAGAGACCAGGATAATGGTTCATCGATCCACCGCTTGTATAGTCATGATCTTCTTCTTCATAATCTTGTTCAAGATGACCCTTGTTTGTTATTGTGGCAGTGACGTTTGAAGATGTTGACTTAGTGGTGAAGAGATTTGAGGTGGTTTCCTTCGCATGAGAAAGCAAATACGTTGAGGATATTTGAACTTTATTAGTATCATTCTTAGAGTGTTGAACGTCAACACTAAAGGGCCAGAACCAAATCTTTTTAGATTTCTTGTTACTGTAACGTTTTAAATCATCTTCATCTTCATCCGAATCACTATCATTATCATTTTCACAACCATCATCAGAAAGAGGACGACGATTACTGTAGTACCCTGGAGGTGGAGGCCTGGGTGAAGTAGGAACCATAGGAAGTTGTTCATTCTCCTTTTCAAGGTCTCCCTTATCCTTATCCAAGGTCAAATCAAAGTAAAATCCAGATCCTATTCTTATTCCGTTATTCTTTTCAAAGTCTTCGATCTTCTCTTCACCATCAACTAGTTGATTCAATGCTGATACTCCCCCCATCATTTGAACACTTGAGTCATTAACTGAAAGCAGACCATTGTGACCAAAAATACCAAAGAACTTCTTCCCGTCGTCACAATCATCATCATCATCGTCATATTCGCTAAGGATCTTCTTAAGTTTCATCTTCAACTTCTTCTTTTTGGTTTCTTCCTCTGCATCAATAGTGACTCTCTTCTTGTCAAGATCAAAGAAGACTCCAGTCCCGACATGGAAGTCGATATCCTTTGATTTCTTATGGGTCTTTTCAGTCCCTCTGTAAAAAGCTTCTACTAAATTGGTTGTGTTGGACGCAGATGCCATGTCGGTTACTAACCTTGGCGGCTGGGTATCCTTCTCTTGCTGCTTTTCAATGAATCCAAGTACATTATTGAGAAAAGCAGTATCGGTGACTTCACCCAACAGCATCACATACTTGCTGAAGGAAGCTACCACTAGAATATTATAGAGTAGCATGGTTACCAGGCGAAGAAGAAGTAAAACACAGCTATATGATTTAGTCGGTATCGCTTACCGCTGAATTAAATGCTGCAAAAAATTGGAGTCTCTCTCCATACATCGATAAGAGTCGTGCGCAAGACAACAAATTGACATGTAAATATTAAACTATGGTTGTAAGAAACAAAGTGAAATGAAGTGAAGTGAATGTAAATATGAATGTAATATAGGTATAAATGTGATTGTAGTATCTGCATGTGATTCTTTCCTAGAATTTAACATAAAGTGGTTCCAGTAAATGAACTCTACATTCTTCTCGTATCACTGGATCTATGGCCTTGGCTTCCCTCTCTATAATATCTTGTTCTTCACCAGATGCAACGATAGGATATGTATCATCCACAAAGGCACCAGTTGAGTTCCCTGGTCCTCCAGATCCCGCAGATAATGGCTGCTGTTGCAGTTGTAGTTGCAGTTGCTGGTTTTGAGGTAAACTACTTGACGAATATGATAAATGGGGAGTATTGGGAGATGACATGTTGTTTGAAAGAAACGTCGACACATCGATCAAGTTTTCAGACAAATCGTTGACTATGGAATTCAATTCTTGCATCCGTTGTTGTTTCAATTCATTTTCTTGGAGTGACTCGGAGTATAATGCTGATTGGTTGTTTAATAGTGCTTGGTTTTCGTAATCATCTTCGTTATCGTTCCCACGAAGACACGAAAGACAAACTCCCATTATGATGACGCAAGTTTTGAGGATAACAATGATAATGCAACTATCAACTAATTGTATCCCGTTTAATGTTGGCTTTCATTCTTTTCAATCCAAAAACTGAGCAGCACCGGGTAGCGCCGATACAAAGGCTCCTGATTTTACTTACATAATCACAATCACATGTACATATTTAATTCCATTATATCCTATTTATCCTATGCTAAGTTTCATACTATGTTGGTAGTTCTTCTATTTAGTGACAGAACTATCATACCGACGTTTCAAATGCGGTGAGGATGACCCATCAAAACTGTACCCTTTTGAATCATAGTGATAGTATGCAACTGGTGAATCACAGTTCATGTCTTCATCACTATCACTATCATAATCTTCATCATTCTCATTCTCGTCAAGATCTTCGTCGTCGTCGTCGTCGTCGTCATCATCATCATCATCAACGTCATCGTCTCCTTCTTCCTGGGAAACTTTAAACACAATCTGATCATCTTCTTTGGTAGATATATTCTGTCCCATCAATTCAATGAGTTGCTTATAGTAAAGATCTAATACTTCTTTACAATACTTTATGCCACCTTTTCCCTCTTTGGCAGGTATACACTTCCAGTCCACACGTGTAAGAAAATCCAATTCAAGACAATTAAGTTCTGTCACTGCCACACCACCAACTCGAGCATAATGATCATTAGTATAAAAGAAATCCTCCATCAGTTTCTGTGAAAGCATCGTAGCTACCAAAAGAAACCGATGCACTGTATAAGAATTAAGAGTAAAAAATGGTTGATAATTATGGGAAAGCAAATCTATGTAATAGATTGTTGTGAGTAAAGTAGCTGCTGTGAAGTTATTAAACTTGGTAAGACGACTTAAATATGCTGATGTTAAAATTTGAGGAGGCACTCTGGAATGGTATCGAGTTAAAACTTGTCTATTAGTGGTGGTTGAAGTAGACCCAGAATTATCAACCACTGTAACTGTTTGTGGTGGTAAGGACTTATCATTAAGTCGAATAAGTGATTGGAGCATACGTGAAACCAATGTGATCAAATGGTCAACAGGACAATGCATAAAATCATGAGGTAAATGTCTTACAGTAGGAGGTTTGGGAATAGAAGGTCCACTAATATCTAAATTTCTTAACTGAGGAACCACAATTGGACCAGGATGAGGTGATTGAATTTGTTGACGTTTGACCACGGGTGAATGTCTGGTTCTGGGTATAGTAGTTGTTTGAGATTGAGATTGAGATTTTGAAGGAACTGTTGGATGAGGTTCAAACGTGACATGAATATCATTATTAGACTTTATTTCAGCCTCAGGTTTCTTTGGAAGGTCGCTTTCTGCTTGATGTACATCCGTATTGAGCGTTTTAGAAACATGCAACTGATTATCACCTTGTCGTTGTTGCAGTTGCTCATGCTCAAGCACTTTATTGGAGTAATAGTTGCGAAGAAAGTCATTCTTAGCTTTTGATTTGGGTGAAGACGTGGAAAGGTATTTCAGGTAAACTTCTAACAGTCGAAACCGTCGTTGTTTATCAAGAGTCAGGAAGTATGCTTTTCGAGCCAACTCCGAAGATGTGTTAGGCAGAACATCAGCCTTTATATATTGTGCTAAGATTGAAAGGGAATTATTAGTAGCATCAACTACTTCGGGCTCAGTACCCGAGTTAGTCATATTAACATCTGGTTGATCTCCCGTAGGTTTATTGGTTAGTGATGATTTAGTAGTAGTAGTTGTTGTTGGTGGTGGTGGTGGGGGTGATTTAGCTCTGGCGATAGTACCACCAATGGTGTTGGCTCTACCACTGGTCACAGGGGTTTCATCTAGTCGAGCCAAACGATATTTCTGGACTTCAATAGAACTTTTCAAAGGTCTTACCCAAAGACTCGGAGAAACCGGAGGTGGAATGGAGGCATCCGGAAGACCTACCAGGATTGATAGCCGTCTCAAGACGTTAGACGTAGGCAAAGGACGCGGTATAGCAGGTGACGAATGACCTGGAGCCACTGTGGGACTAGTAACCGCGGTTGAAGTTGAACCAGTCATATAGAATGAGATGATGATTGGGTCAGTCAGTCAGTCAAATAATACAATATACTATTATTGTTGTATTGAAAGGAATTGAATTGGCTAGTGCCTGCCTCGAATATGAATAAGGGATAGTCAACTATAGGGACATGCTAGTATGACTGCAAACGAGACAGAAATAAACGTGAAAGACAAACAGAAAGACTACCTAATGACCAGATCAATAGGTTCAACCAATACAAATGGCGATAGTATCTTTTAGATCAAGTTGAAACCCGTCTATAATAATATGTTTGTATGTATACGTGACTTGGATCAACGGATTGATACAAGGGAACTTTATAACTCAAGAATGATAATAACGATGATGGTGATGATACTTATGATGTGATGATGCTCACAGATGGTAGTGTCTAATTGTATTGAACGTGGTAAAAAAATCCCAATAATGGCTTGGCGGGTTTCTCTGTATATGGTAGCGAGCCCAAAGAAGAACAATACCTAAATGAAGGGGGAACCGGAGCCAGAGTGATCAAGTATGAGGGTTTAGTCTGCTATGAATGGATAACAGTTCACCAGTAAGGGGCCCCTGCTTAGTTGAAGGTATCAGTAATAGCAGGAATAATAGTATTAAGGTAACACTAACCTCAATAAATATAATAAACGAGCAAAGAATGGAAAAAGGTGGAGTTAATAGAGAAAGAGAAGAGTGTGTTTGACGTGTGGTGGCTGGGCTTATAATTTAATATAAGATTATTCCTATTGAAATTCATATCATTACTATTACATAACGGAAGTCTATGCAAGACTGCTGTCAATTTGGTAATGAAGCCATCTGTCAAGGTGAAACATGGTAGATTAAAATTCTCACTGTAACGAGTCGATAGCAAGGCCTTTTAGATGCGACGACTGGACCCCACGTGAGAACATTTATTATATTATTGTACCTGCTGCAGATAGAGATTGATTTCCAGAAAGATACGAAAGTGGAAGCGAAAATGAACCGCAATATACGTTGTAATTACTGCCACGTGGGGGAGGGGGAAGGTACGGGAAATATGTTGATGTCAAATGATGATGAGAGAAAGGCAAAGCTAATAAAGATAAAGAATAAAGATAAAGAAAAACAGATAAAAATAACAATCAAAGCCTTTACCAACAACAATGTGATTTATGCAAAAGTTTGATCAGTTAAGGCCTATTTATCAATCAAGTATAGTTATGATGGTACAGTATTTCCCTTTCTGATGGTACTGCACTTATTTGTAGGCGTAACCTTGCTACTGAATTGACAACGTGGCTCAATTCAATTACCCCGTGTGTTTGTTAACGAGAATCTGCTCTTGAACGAAGTTGACTCCACCAACTGTTTCACATTGGTGACATTCAACTAATCAGTTAGCATGAGTGATACTGTAAGAATGTAGAGGTCAAACCAATAAAGTTTGACTATTACGGTTGAACCTTATTTTTCGATGCCGTTCTCAGGAGCTGGTTTTCCGCACTAAAACTTACCATCCGAGAGTACAAGTGTTGGAAACTACCTGCTATGGTACAAAACCATGCAATTACTACTTGGATGAGATCCACATCGCCAGCTGTATAGAGCAAACCCCATACCAGCCTATGAGGCATATTTTCCAGCCTCAAAGCCGCACTTAGGGCTTCGTCATACAAGGTCTTCTTGGGGACCCAATTATTGCCGATTACCTTATATTCGTAAGGGAAACTACCTAGGACTTTATAATGCCATGCCCTCCGTACTCCGTATGTGTATCAAACATATACTATTTAATCTGAAAAATATGGCTTTAGTTAGACTTTATCCGATATAGTGTAACGGCTAGCACGGTTCTCTCTCACAGAGCAGTTCCGGGTTCGATTCCCGGTATCGGAGTTTATTTTTTTATGTTGCATACAATGATTGCTGCAAAATATTGCTTTTGTATTAATTATTATTAAAGTTTTGTCTATTTTTGATATATTATTATTACTTAAATGCTGGTAGCAGCTTGACCTCTCCAGCAATATCTATCGAAACATGCCTTACATTCTTCACTTTGGGGAGTACCATTCCTCTCCTGTGTTCTTCTAATGATTGCACACCCAACACACTTGCGGAACTCAGAGTCAACAAAGTTTGCCGCAATATCAAAACCATTATCAATCATGGCATCTCTTTGTTCCTCTGGATATTGCAATTGGTATGTGTCAGTATTTGAACTGTAACTGTATTTGCGATTAGGTGTGTACACAATAAGTGGAATGTCTGTGTCTTTAATATTCAAATCTTTATGAGCATCAACGATGTAATCCAACTCTGATGCATAACAACCAAAGAATACTTGCTTTTGGGTTAAGCCTTGAGCCAAAAAGTCTTCGTTACTGGGGACTGGAGGGAACATGATATTTCTTCCAACACTGGAAAATTGTCTAAGATAAGTGTTAACCATAGCAGATCCATCTGGCCAATGGTCCTTGGTGTCAGCACTATTATCGTATGCAAAGATTATATCGACCTGTCTTGCTGGATGGATCAAGGGACTGAATGGAATGTTTTGGCCGTCAACACCACCATCAACCAAGTTGAGGTCACGAGCTTGTCTAATAGCTGCGTTATTCCCATTGGTAACACCGCGGAATGGATTAGGAATGATCGCAACATCTTGTCGCAAAGAGAGGAATGTATAGACACCATTGATTAAGTTAACAATGAATTTGGGAATCAGAGTGTTTTTATTGATATCCAGAAGAAGAACCGCAAACACGGACGAACTAGTGCCTATCATAAATCCAGCGTTATCAAAGTTCTGGTAACAAGAAACTGGGGTTCCGCCTACCACTCTTGAACCGAGGTATGGGGTATCGATAAGACTATTAATAGCTGGGTCCCATGATGCGAAATCATAAGGCGAGAATTCATAGACCGTGGAGTTGGTGTTAATGACATAAGTACCAGGATCTCTACCCGCGGAGACCATGATTGGAAAGGGCATATCATGGCTAACAAACAGCGACAATAACGTCACATCTGACCATTTGAAACTTATCCCATATTTTTTATCGGTGAACATTTGCGTAGAAAGTAATCGACCCCATACGTCCACAAATGATGTTGCGAAACCAGCGAACAATTTGGATTTGATTGCTAAAATCATGTCGGCATACGTTATGGTGTTTCCCAATACATTTAACAACCCTCTAGGCGCGAGAAACGTCGTAGATACATCCCATAATTTGTAAGTACCATCTACGATCTTGTTAACCGGAATCCAATCGTTGCATGCTAAGGAGCCCACCAACCAACTGCCTCCAGATAAAGAAGTGACATAAGTACTTGCTTGCATTAACCCACCAAGACCATCCAACTTGGCTCTATCATATCTGTTGTCTGTTGCAAGCAAGTTACCTGCTCCAACAAACTGTGTTCTATAACTACCTCCACTAACAGCTAGAGCGATGGTGAGGTTTCTGGAGATGGATATATTTGAAACAAAAGCTGATGCATTGAATCCTTTCATATTGCACAGATCTAAGAATTCTACTAATGCCACGTTAGTCTTAGCTTGTCTTTGACTAACGTAGGACTTTTCAGCATCTCCTAGAGAACCAGCTTTTCTCGCCCAAGGTTTCCCAAGGGGACACAGTGTAGCTTTAGGTGCATAAGCAAATGGATTCTCTACTGTATTGATGTAAGCTGCCACTACTGACGATAATGAAACGGCTTCGCCCTCACTAGTACCACTAGTACCACTAGCACCAGGATTACTACCTTGACCAAAGAACTTGCCAAGGTCGAATAATGCTGCTCCTTCAGCTATAGGTAAGTATATACATATCCAAAGAGCCAAAAACCTTATGTCTAACATCTTCCACCAAGATACGGCTTCACATGTGCTAACCCAATTAGATCACACTGGCTGATCTATATATATATATATTTATACATGTCTACATACACCTATATACATCCATATACGTATATACATTTGCTCCTATTCATAAGTATATATTTGTATGTATGTATGCTTAACAACGCTCAACTCGTTCTATTCGGGACTTTCGTTGCCTAATTAGGCGATTCTCATACTGCTTTTGGAGTTATTGACGAGATGGTCCTTCATGGGACAAATCAGGCAACGGTAAACAGTAAGACATTCTGGGCGTGTTTCTAAATTTGGGAAGGTGGAGAACCCCAGTGAATAGGGCAAAAGGTTGAGCATGGGAAAACGATTAAACGAAACCTTGTTCAATGAGATATACCACCAATTAAGCAGGAAGTTACAGGAGGATCAGAATGTGTCAAATCGAAACTAAGCCTATAAAAAGCATCTATGGACTATAGATTCATACACTCACATTATCTTTAAACGTATCATTGTTGGTGATAATGCCATGCGCCGATAACAATCATCATTATAATTTTACACACATTCGTCTCCTATGAAATTATTAATTCTATGCTATGAAAGGTTTAGTATTTAGTTACTTATTTCATTCCTTCTTTTCCTCTTTGGGCTCTTCTGGATGTTCCTTACCATAAGCAGCACAGAACTCACGTGACTTTTGCACCATACATTCGATATTAGAATAAAGACTGAAGAAATCATTCTTAATAACAGAACCCTTTTCTTCTGCCATTTCTTCTAATGTAGGAGACTTTCTGAAGGCATTAATCCGGAAGAATTCTTTCATAATACCACGAAGGTTCATCAACTCAACTGTCTTATCAGAGTTGGAATATGCAAGCGTAAGAACATCATCAATTTCTCCCTCCACTGTCTTTGCATCCCAACGAGCAATACCATTGGGTAAAATGATATTGGGCCATGGTCCACACAAGTATTGAGGTTTGTCTGCCTTCCATGGTATCATGTCCAAGTTAAATGATGCAAATGCAGAAACATGAGAAATTTGATATTTATCTTCATCATAGGCCTTAGTTAAAAGCATAAGTTGTGGTCTGTACATGGCTTTACCACAACCACAATTACTCAACTTTGATCTTCCAATTCCAAGCCAGTATTCTTGGGGTAAGGAATTATATGGCAGAGGTAAATTCTTCACAATCTCATTAACACTGATCAATTGAGATCCACCTCTAAGTGATCCAATACCATTAGGTTCAGTGCCATCGTCGGGCCAATTCTTATACACAAATGAACAAGGAGCTTCATGCAGTGCACCCGAAGGAATCTCACATTTAAGAATATGAATTCTTTCCCATCTATAGACAAAGTAAAGATACTTGTCAATTCCATTATTTGCAACTCTATCATTTTCCAGTAGGAATGGAGTCCAGTTCTTTTCTTTGCCCTTACGAGGAAGTAATTTCCCATCCTTATCATAAAGTGTCATAGCTGTAGCACGGTTATACATTGATTTTCCAGTCCCATAGGAAACAGGGTCAATATGAGCCTTACCTACTTGGAATTCCCAAGGGTATCCCATATAGAGAACTCTTTGATATTTGAATTTAACCTTTTGTTCCTCGGCATCACCAGCACCTTCAGTTTCAACAATTTCTCTTTGGTATTGGTTAAAGATGACTAAAGGTTCATCATGTCCCAAATGATTCTTTCTGACAATAAGTCTTGGATCTTCTGGACCGTACCACTTAATACCACCAACATTGGGGTCATTATATGTGGGGAAATGAATAAAATCAGGATATCTAATCTTACGGAACCTCTTTGAAGAATCATCTGTGGCAGGAACAATAAGATCAATACCGTCTAATTCTTCCCATTTAGAGTTAAAAATTTGAGCATAAGACATAGAAAAGGCTGGTCTATCACGAACACCCAGGGGAGTGAAAAGAACTCTTGAAACCATAAAGTAAACACCGTATTCTTTCAAATAGGCACTAGTACCTGCAAATCTAAACCAATGTTCATTGATGAAGTCATCACTTTTAAGCATTTCCTCCATCTTACTTTTAAGGAAAGGTCTAAATTCTTCAAAGTAGGCCAATTGTTCTTGTGATAATGATTTATCTTTTGTTAAGTATTTCTTTACAACATCAACTAAAGCTTTATCCTTATTGATAGGGGTTGTGATTTGAATGTTAATATCCTCTCTGACAGCATCACAAACCTTCAAATCTTTATTATCTTCCAAATCCTTGAAAGCATTATAAATAACCAATTTTTGATCCAGATATTTGTAGTCAGTGTATGGACTATTGTCATCATCACCACGACCAAATTGAGTAAACTTACGTGCTGATGCAGGTTCAGCATCATTGACAAAAAATTCCTCAAAATGTGATCTGGGATTTTCAATGTATGAAGGATATAATGTAATGCGCTTATTCTTATTGTCTTCATTATTCTCATGTGGAACATCTTCAGGATTGTCTTCCTCCATATACTCGTCTTCTATCGAAGAAGAGTCTGCATGTTGATATAAACTTGTACCTACCTTGTGGAGTTCTCTTGCACCTTCTATTTGGGGTCTTCTGACCGATTGTTCTTGAACATAGTATTGACAATATTGCTTAGATTTACCCACTGCCAAAGAAATATCGGAACCTCTGAACTTCTTTTCCTTGAGTAAGATCAATGCTCTTACAACTTCCTTAAGAAACCCTTTCACAGTAAGTACATAAGTAGCTGAATCACTCATTGAAAAGGCAATTGACAAACGATCTTCAATGGAATTTTCAGTGATGACACTTTCCCATTTCAAGATACTCTTAGCATTGAACTTATTGTAACCAGAACATTTTTGTGCTTTGGCATTCAAGTTATTCCAACTGACAACATCCAAATTAAAGTCAAGAGCAGATGATAATTGGATCATTTTGAATTTACCATCAGAATTACGAATGACTGTAGTCATAGCTGGACGGGTTATTTGAGACCCACAACCGCAATTAGTCAATTCATAATTGGTGAACCCAACCCAAACATCTTGAGCAATGGGGTTATCGATAAGCTCCTGTGGGTCGACATCAAGTAAAAGCTCAGACATATGAATCAATTGAGATCCACCAACAAGTTTGTCTTTACCCAATTTGTGAGGTTTCTCATCTTGAGATACAGTACGACATGTACCCAGGTGTATCTCACATTTGATGGTGTGCATAGTGTTCAAGTCGGTGATGAACATGATGCTAGAATCATAAGGCTTCTCTTGGGTTCTAGCAGCGATATCAACGAAAGCACTCCAATTGGTGTACGAAACGTCCTTCTTATCGGCCACATTCAACTTAACTGAACGTAAAGCTTGGGGTTTCTTGTTGGACGAATAGAATGAAGACAAAGCCCTCTTTTCTTCATCAACTTCTTCATTTTCAGCTGGATGTAACATTGTAGCGTACATTTGAGAGGTCTTTTTATCGATCACAGTAGAATACATCAACAAGGGTTCATGTTCCAACTCAGCAGTCTTAGTCATAACCAACAGAATTTGTTGGGGACCATAAGTAAGTTTCAGATCGATGTGTTCAGGAAGAGCGAACTTGACAGGTAAGATTGCAGGGTACTTGTAACCACTTAATTTGTAGCCCACTTTCTCTGTCCAATCAGTAGAGAAGAGTTGACCATAGAGGAACAGGATCAGAGGAGACAATTTGCCATCCAACCAAGCAGTTTTAGCTTTTTCTTCCGCCTTTTTGGGGTCGGTATCAGCACCCAACTCCTTTAATTTCGCATCCGATACAAAGGAAATTCTGGTGACTACCAAATAAGCATTCTGAGTGGGGACATAAAGGGAGGCGGATTCTGAGGTAAACCAATGCCTGTTAATCCAACGAGAATCCTCAAGATGTTCCTCTACTTCAGACAATGCAATGAACGGAGTAAGTTTTGTTGATATGTATGAATCGGGATCGGTACTCTTGACCAATTTTCTCAATATTTTGGAGATAGAAACAGGTATTTTGGGGATAGATTCCAGAATTTGGACATTTTTAAAAGAAAGAGAATGACTGTTCTCTATAAAGACAGATTCCACAGGGAACTCAAAAGAACCAGCTTCTGATGTTTGACTTTGAAATACCTTGGGGATATAGTTTGCCGAAATAACCAAATCATTAATCAGTTGGTAAGTTAAAAGCATACCTGATACAAGAAAGACAAGACAAGCGAGTGCCAAGTATCTCCTGGGGGGCATTTGAATCTTAGCCTTTCCCTGAATACCCATTATGGAGGACCACCGTTGGGCCAACATCTTCAAGGGTATCATTGCTCAAATGACTGTCGGGTGATGATGGTGTTGATGATGTGAAAGAGAGAGAGAAAGAAAGAAAGAAAGAAGAAGGAAATAAATAAATTGTACCTTCTGATAGAAAAAGTTATTGTCAGATGGGTAACGGTACAAAAATGCATAAAGTGCTGTTTTTGTTACTGTTGGGAGATAAAAACCTAAGCTGAGAGTGTACAATAATATCGAAGCAACAATAAGGTGGTGAGAATTCTTTACCGGCCAGACAAAAACCGTAGTAATGTGTACACTTTAAACATTAATAAAGAAAAAATAACAAATGGTACTGATAAGAGCACTTACATACCGACATCTTTACGTTTTTCGTTACATTGGTTAATTATAGCATAGCAACCCATCTAAGAGACGTGTCAAAAAGGGGTAACACACAACTTACCAACGTTTAGCCTTTTGGTATATGCTGACACACAGCTGTACTATTTTGATATTCGATGGGGTTCGTATTGGCTTGACATTTACATAAACATATGCGAAGTTGGATCAATCATAGCCGTGTATAGCTTCGACCATGCACTTCAAGCAAGAAATCAATCTGGACATTATGTCTTGGTGGCTAACACGTGTGGCTGAATTTTTTTATTATCCATACAAATTACGGCATATAGACAAATATCACGTGCACGCGTTAGATTATACAGGACTGAATCAAACTAGTTTGAAGTTAACAGAGACCCAATGGACAGACACAAAGCTGAATCAGACAGAAATTGAAAGAAATATGATTTCTATGTTTGCCTTCAATTCTGTGTACTTTTGATTTGTTATTTCTTTTTCCTTGGACGCCATCCCGTTTTAAGCTTCTACCATATTCCTTAATTCAGAAGCTAATTAAGATAGTATGGTTGAAGTAAGTAGAAGGGGCTGAATTTACTAATTATCGCTTTCTCTCTCGATTTGCCGTTTAGGTCAGTTTTATCGGATGGCTTTACCTGCATACTGAAGACAAAAATAGTAAACCTGATAATATTATCTAAGTGATATATATGCTCAATTCACATCGAAAAAAGCACCAACTAACATATTCACCGTACACGTCTAGAAATTGAACCCAGTACTGTGAATTTATATACTCCACATCCCTCCACGTATTATGCAAAAGCTAATTGCACGACAGCCTTGAAGACATTGAATCTGGAAAGTGCTACGTATGCGTTAGTTTATGGCATCTTTAATAAGTGTGCGAACAAGCGCTAATTCCCGAAACTGAAAAAAAAGTTCTTTCCTTAGTTCTTTCCTTCTTTACGAGATTTTCACATAGGCTTGCAATCTCAAACGCGCCATTCGGAAGCACTGAATTTTTTTATGTGATCTAATGAATTGTATGTATAGTGTGAGATAAATAATAAAGCTAAAAAATAATCATCAAAGTCACGACAATGTTATGGTAGCGCTTCTTAATGCATTAATTTTGCATGCTTTTGTATAAAGTTACGTGTCTGTGGGTAAGGACGAAAACTTGATTATTGTATCTCAATTTAATATCCCTTATTAAGCCACGATTCTTGGTTTCTGTACTCCGATTTCCACAGTGTCGGCATATTCATAAAATTCTCCATCCCAAAACCTTTCTTGCGCTCCATTGTACTTGCCTTAATTAATTCTTGTCAAATTGAACCGTCTATCTAACTACCAACAACCGTATCTTGATTTGACTTTACTTTAGAGCTAGTGTGACTGTTTATCCTCCTCTACTTTTTAATATTGAATCACACCTACAACTACATATGTTTTTGTCTGCATGAAAGAAAAAACAAACATTGCATTTAGTAAAAATAACAATAGAACTCACCGACTGAAACAGTAACCCAAGCCTATTGTTCTATTAATGCCTCATAAAAAATGTCTGCATTAGGCGATGGGAAGAGGATCGATTAAAGCTGTTGCAACTTAAATAGTTGCAAGCTTTGCTAGTATATCCGTTAAAATGTTTCAGGCCAATTAGTCCGTGGTTCGCAAGTAGCACCTGTGACAAACATGACATCTGCTATTCGAGTATTAGGACTTTTAATAACCGGGGATTTGCATCGCGAGATCAGTATGCAGCGTTGTCGTTTCCAATGTCATCTACTCAGAAATATCAAAGAAGGTCTTGTAGAACAATAACATTGAACTAAACTCAATTGATTTTGGCAGACTTTGAAGGAGACATCAAACCCTCTGACTCAATTGAAAATTCTTCTGCCTCGTCATAATCATCTTCTTCATCATAATCATCTTCTTCGTCAAAGTCATCATCTTCTTCATCGTCGTCATCGTCAACGTCATCATCATCATCGTCATCATCAGTGTAATCCTCATCTTCCTCATCATCGTCATCATCAGTGTAATCGTCTTCGTCTTCGTCTTCGTCGTCGTATTCCTCATCCTTAAAGGCAGTTTGCGGTGTCGTCTCCCTGTCACCTTCACGCATAAACTTCCGTAAGGGACTGTCATTCAAATCAGCAGTAGACTTCAATATAGAAATTGGATTGCTAGGGGAAGGACTAACTATACTTCCAACGTTATTCATTATTTCACCCCTTTTATTACGATTCACTGAATTGCCAGATCTCTTTTCAGGTGTCAAAGTCACATATGGTGGTGAGCCACCAATAATGTTAGACTTAGATATGGCAGGTGGTGTTCTTGGACTCCACGGTCTACCACCATTAGCAACAGTGTTATCAGACATACTAACAGGTCCACCAATACTACTGGTACCAGGCCCACTGGCTGTTGAATTGCTTTTGGGCAGTTCAGTTTCAACGTCAGAATCTTTCTCGAGCTCACTCAAGTCCATCAAGGGCTCTCTCCAATAGTTCAAATCAGTATATCTCTCACTAACACGTCCAACAAAGGGCTCAGGATTATATGGACGAGGCAGTCTAGGTGATCTGGGAGACAGTTGTTCCCATTCATATAAGGAAGCTTCAGGTGAACTGGCTGTAAAATTATGCGGAGGAGACCGTTGTCCCACCCACAGGTACAGCAGAGGTGGAGGCGACCCAGGAATAGGAATAGAACCTCTTTCTGCTAAATATTGACTTCCATCATTCAAAGCCGAACTTTTTAACGTACTAGCATCACCTTCATCTTCGGCTTGAGCTTTACTTTCAAGATACCGATTGTATTGAGCATCGTTGAAGTAATCGTTAGCGATGTATTCTTGAATTGGAGGGAAGAAATGGTCCACCAAATCTCCCATTAATAAATACGAAGATTTCACACCACTCAACTCTAAAAGTTCCATATGAACTTCTCCATTGGGGTTAATGGTGAAAATACGGTGAGAAGGAATATGAACCGAACGATAACTAATAGCATCTGTGATCCGGTTACCAAAACCAGCATAAAACGGTGTTCTCTCATCATCATTAGTAGTAGACAATAAATTCGTGGAGTTTAAAGCATCACCAACATTTTCATCGTAATCATTGAGTTCAGTATTTTGAGTTGAACTTGAGTTGTTGAAGTAAAGATTGCGGATATCTGAAAGACAAGCCATTTTAAACACTTCAGGTTTCTTTAAAATCACTTCTCTTCTTAAAGCTGCCATCGTTCTATCAGGTGATAAAATCACTGGACCACGAGGTAACTTAATCCCATCCTCTTGTACAACACCTCGAAGATATTGTCTTGTAGAGTCACCTTGACCAATAGATCTTGCACTTAAAAACAAGATATTATAGCCATTTCTGTGGATTTCGGTAAACAATTGCGCAACACCTGGATGTGTCCAATCTTTACCAATTAAATTAAGAACATGGCCCAAGGCATCAGACTTGGTGATAGTTCCATCAATATCACTAATGACAATTGGTGTAGTTGACCTCCAAAGGAAAAGTGACAGTTCGATTTGGGCAGTGGAATGGGACAACTGGAATTTAAGGGTATTTTCACCATAACGAAGGTTTAAGAGTTGTAATTGTTCTGAAGTCAAACGAAGAGTCTTGAAATAAGTTCTTTCATCAGTATCACTAGTTTCACCAGAGCCAGAGCCAGAGCCAGAGCCAGAGCCAGAGCCAGAGCTTCCACTACCGCTGGTTCCACTAGATACTGTATTAGAACTTCCAGAACCGGTACCCGAATCGCTAGCAATCAGTTCAACTTCTAGTGGTGGAGCATTACTACCTTCCGTTTCATCTTCCTGAAATTCGTCTTGAACAAATGCATTTCTTGAGATTCTAAGTTGTCCATCAGCATCCTTAACAACATATTTACTCCACAGCGCTTCAGAATCAACTTTATCCGTTGGAAGCAAATTTCCTTGCTCTAATTCTTCTTCAAAAATCTTATTGAATAATTGATCAATGTCGTCAGCCTTCTTTCCCTTTGACTTGTAACCTTCTAAATCCATTAAAAAATCACCATTGACATCAACATTTGTGGGAATATTCAATTGAGCAGTAAGAGTTTTAGCTTTTTCTATAAACGAGGGAGTAGCTACTCTTGAGTTGCTTTCACTACCAGCAAGTTTGGAATTTATAGGTAAATGAGTACTCTGTGGAGATCGCAGACTCAATTTCACTGGATCATCAGCTTCAGCATTCAAATCCAAAGGTTCTGGATTCATCAGTAGTTCTTGAGATGACTCACTCTTGGGAGATCCTGGAGGTGACAGCTCGGGACTAACAACAGGACTAGTTATCACTGAATTGGATACACCCGCTCCATTCCGAGCTTCCATAACGAAAAAGGCTTCTCCTCCATCACTTAACTTCATAGGAATATCCGTCTTGATCCCGTTAACATAAAGATCAACCTTCTTGTGAGTAGGCTTGATTATCTGAAACTTCCCAAATCGTACATGCCATGGTGAACAATGTAAAGTACCATCAGGTTGTTCTATAACGATGATATCAATGGCTCCTGATAAGGTCGCTGGATTAAGCGAGTTCCATTGGTTGTAAACATAACCTCCAACTTTGCCAACGTATTGCATTGATATCCCAGCACTTGCTATTTAATAGTATTGATAGTCAATACTATTCAACGCTACGCTAGTAAAGAGAGTTGGCGTATTATCTTTGATAGGTTAACCTTATAATTCCCTTATGTGAATATACTACCTTGCCCTCTATACGATCACCCCTACACAGAGCGCTACCAAACCGTTTTTGGACCTTCTTGGTAGTTTATACTGAAAGTAGTAATTAGTGTCAAGTTGAATAAAGTAAAATATATTTATGGTAGCGCCAGGATTTTAAATAGAATATCCATTAGGTAGTGCGACACAGTAATGGGCCCAAACCACCTTCCTTAGTTAAGGATTAATCTTCTTACTAAATAAGAGAAGTACTTTGCCTCCCTTACGGCATATCCCATTAGTAAAGGCAAAGTTTGCAGCTTAAAACTACGTTGCATATCTTTCAAAGCCATTATTAGGAGGAAAGAGCGAATATGACGACACGCCACCATCTCTTATCTTTGATCATCGGAGAATAAAGTCCATTTCTCCAATTGCCTCATGGAGTATCTTTGTTGTGCAGATCCTTTGCGACCGAGTCTGCAAAAAAAGTGACTCTGGTTTGACTCGTTGACATTTTCCCACTGTTAGTTCGCACCGAGTTATTTTACCAACACAACCGTGACTCCGAAGTCACCGAGTCATGTGCCAGCCTGGTTTTGAGGCATCGACAACGTTAAAAATATAAATGGTAGTACATTTTAAGGGGTATTTTGGGTGCAAACGGGTGCTAACGGTGGAATAAGGAACACAATTGCCGTTCTAGACGACGGAGTGTATGTGTCAAAACAACCCGATGAATCTCTCGTAAAGAGAAATGGCATCAGGGATTCGCTTGTCAAGGTCATCACCCATGCAATATAAATAGTAACACTTTATCCATATACAAGGTAGTAAACTTAGTTATGGTAATAACTTTAGCATAAATTCCTTTGATATAATTCTCCAATCATGTCTCTTCAAGAAGTATCTAACTCCTCAAGAGCTCCTCACATCCAAACTTCTTTGGTAGAAGTCACAGACAAATTACCCTTTAAACCACCATGCCGTATCCTTTTTAAGAATGAATACGAACAACCAAGTGGTTCATTCAAACTTAGAGGCATAGGCAGATTAATCCAAGCATCTATTCAAAGAGCCATAAGGTCTAATGAAGACATTTCTAAATTGCATGTGTTTGCCTCGAGTGGAGGGAATGCTGGTCTTGCAGCTGCTTATCTGGCCCGGTTTTATGGTATTAGATGTACTGTTGCATTACCAACTGTATCGAAAGCTAATGTTAGAGCCAAACTTGAACTGTATGGAGCAAAGTTATTAATCTATGGCAATAATATTAATGAAGCTGATAAGTATCTCAAAACAATTATTGCTGCAGTTGACCATAACCAAACAATTCCTATCTATTGTCATCCGTTTGACAATCCAGATATTTGGGAAGGTCATTCTAGTGTGATTGATGAAGTTGCAACTCAGTTAGACAAGGGTTTAGTTTCGAAAGTTAGAGGCATAGTTTGCTCTGTTGGTGGTGGTGGGTTATACAATGGAATTTACAAAGGTATTCAACAGAATAACATGACTCTGGACGTTATTCTTGTGGAATGCAACGAAGCTCCAACATTTAGTGAAACCATAAAGGCTAACAAGATTGTTACCTTAAACTCAGTTAAATCAGTTGCCACCTCCCTTGCATGCTCACACTTAAACAACAAATCTTTGGAATACTACCATAACAACTCCATCATCAAGACTCATTACCATCCTATAACTGACAACGATGCCATTAGAGGGTCTGTTCAATTCTACGATACTTTTGGTACTGTAGTAGAGCCAGCATGTGGGGCAGCTGTTTGCACAGTTTTCAATCAAATGGAAGCACTCACTAATTCTCTTGAGCATTTATCGCCTGATGATATTGTAGTGATTGTTGTGTGTGGAGGCCTTTGCAGCTCGTTTGAAGATATAGTTGAATTCAAAAGATTGCTTAGATCTTCCAGATTATAAAGAACCTCTTTATATTTCAAAATTGCATATATGATAATTTATCTAGTTTAATTTGAACTCTTTATTGGTCATACTAGAAGTACACGTTTTAACCAAAACTTTTAGTAGGTGACTAATTTGTAACTTAATATAGCAGTAATGAGAAGTCATGATGAACAAATTACGTGAACCATGTTACATTACTTGAACCATGTGGACAACAAGGAAGAATGTCTTAACACAAGATGAGTTTCTGTCCGGAGGAGTATTGGCAATTGGAGTAAAGTTAACTTGAAGATCATTTTGAATGGGGTTCGGACTTATAATTCAAGAGATTTGCGCTTCTTTTCAAAAACTCCAACCCCACCTTTATTGGTGTTTTCCTTTAGTTCCACTTACCCGTGGGCTCATAGTACGTTCTACTCTCAGCCATTAGCGGCCGACCTACTAAGAAATGGAGCATTGGCCATCAGCCGTTCTCATGTGGTCTACCTAGAACGAAGCGGCGATTTAGGAAGTTAGCGGGTACAAAAGCCTTCACACAAAACATCACCACAAGAAGTCAGCCAAACAGACGTCACAACTAAAGATAGAGGATGAACATGATACGAAATAAGTAAAATTATCCATACCAAAAGAAAAAAAGTAAGCTGTTAGCTTATCTCGACCAGTTCCCTTAAGGATAATTTCTTATCTGATGTAAAGGATTTCTTTTAAGATACGACTTCCTAAACTGATATCACTAAGCGAGAGAACATATACCACAGTAAGCTCTTAACCTCTCAATTCCAGTCCTCGCTTAGCACATCCATTCTGAGACACACCTTCTCCTTCCGCTATGTAAAATTTCCACGGCAGTTTGGAAAATGCCACAAATCCTTTCTTGGCAACAGACGTCAAGTATCCGACCAAAGTAAACGACAGACAACTACTGAAGGCGTACATCCCCACAGTCTCGCTGTATGTTATGCTATGACATCTATATATTAACTGAGGGGTTAACACCTGCGGTGATTGCAATAGCCGTTCTACTTAATTTGGAAGGCCATATCGCTATTCTTCTCTTCATTCTGCAGCGGTGTTATCCCCAAATGCCCCGCTGCCGCATTGGAAGGTTGCATCACGTACCTGCAGTACATTCTTCAGCATTTGTTAACAAACGCCGTTGTATGCAAAGTTGCAAAAAGAAAGAATACACGATTTACGAAATGCCGATGGGATGGGCTCACACCAGAACTGAATCTCGCAGTGGCTTCAGTTCAAAGGGGCCAACGAGAAACGGAGAATCAGCTATCATAACGGGGGTGCGTGGTGTACGTAACGTGCGTAAATCTCGTAATGGGACAAAATGTCATGTACTTTGGACTTTAGATAAACTCCACCAACCCTTTTTGGTATGTTGCAATGTACAAGAAATCAAAAGATACCCCGACCGATGATAGCGGGTGTATTGCATAAAAAAAAGGAAGCGATTCAAGTATAAAAGCGTTTGACATTTACCCCATATTTTTTTTATTCTTTATCGCAGTTGTGATTTCGATTTATTCACTCTTATCAACTTGCTGCATTTCAGATTTTCATCATGAGCGATACAGATATTCACAAGAGGCATGCGACCAAGGAGTCGGCAAAAGACTTCTCTGTCCAAGTGGAGCATATCTACTTGGAACCTAAAGAGATGACGGGTTGGGAGAAGTTTGTCGATTCATTTAAACCCTTACCACAAAGCGAGAAAGGTGCTAAACCTCAAAAGGCTATGAGTAAGTTACACATGCGTATGATTGCTTTATGTACTGGGTTAGGTACTGGGTTATTGGTGGGCGCTGGTAGTAAATTACGTTCTGGTGGTCCCTTGTTCTTATTGGTGGCATATTTCATTGTTGGCTATGTCATGGTGGTTCCTACCGTTAATTCTTTAGGAGAGTTGACTGTTGCTTATCCTTCGTTGAACGGTGGGTTCCAAAACTATTACACTAAATTCATTGACGAATCCTTAGGGTTCTCATTAGGTTGGAATTATGCTTCTCAATGGTTGATTGTTATCTCTTTGGAATTGGTCACTGCATCCATGACTATTAAGTTTTGGACAGAATCTGTTAATGAAGATATTTGGGTTACAATATTTTTATTCATCATCATTACCATCAACTTGTTTGGTGCTAGTGGTTATGGCCGTGCAGAAACTGTCATGAATTCTCTTAAGGCTACTATGTTGACTGGGTTTGTTATCTTTGGTCTCTGTATCGACTTGGGTGCTGGTCCAAAGGGCTTTATTGGTGGGAGATACTGGAGAGATCCAGGTTATTTACCTGAAGAAGCTTTCAAGGGGTTGTGTGGTGTCTTTGTCACTTCTTCCTTCTCCATTGGTGGTTTCGAATTCGTTTCTGTTGCTGCAGCTGATACTGAAAACCCAAGACAAGCTTTACCTGCTGCATGTAAGTTGATCCTTTGGAGAGTCACTGTGTTATATTTGGGTTCGTTACTTTTCGTTGGGTTGTTGGTTCCTTATAACTCTGATATGTTGATGGGTGCTGCTGGTAGTGCCACTCACGCTTCTCCTTATGTCATTGCTGCTGAATCTAATGGTGTCCGAGTGTTACCTCATATTATCAATGCTGTTATCTTGGTTTCTGTGACTTCAGTTGCAACTGCTTCCATGTACTCTACACCAAGATTAATGGTTTCTCTTGCTGAACAAGGTTTCGCTCCTAAATGGATGGGTTACATTGACAAAACTGGTAGACCATTGTTTGGTTGGATTTTTACTATTTTCACTTCGTTCTTTGCTTATATTGCTGTTTACAAGCACCAAGAAACTGTTTTCAACTGGATGCTTTCTATTTCTGGTCTTTCATTCATTTTGATCTGGTTATTCATCTGTATCTGTCACTTGAGATTCCGTGCTGTTTTGGAACACAGAGGAATCCCATTGGACACATTGGGTTTTGTGTCTCCTTACGGCAAAGTTGGAAGTTACTTATCAATTACCATTAATTTGTTGATGTTGATTGCCCAATTTTATGTTTCGTTATTTCCCAAGGGCAGCAAGGGGAAGCCTAATGCCAATTCCTTCTTCCAAAATTACTTGGGTGTCCCAGTCTTTCTTTTTTTCTGGGCTGCTCACAAGTTGTGGACCAGAAACTGGAAGTTGTTCAAACGTGTGGATGAAATTGATCTTGATAAGGACAGACAAATTTACGATCCTGAGGTCATGGAGTTGGAGAATTTAGAAGCTGCGCAACGGTTCCAGAATGCCCCATTCTGGAAGAAAGCTTTGATTGTTTTATTTGATTGAGTCAAATAAAGTTTTATCTATAACGTATTTATTCTTTATTATTATTATTATTTATCAATAAACTATTGCGATTATCTAAGGGAATAAGTTGCCGGAGAATGACCATCAATGACCAGTGATTGTCAGTTTGTAGATTGTGTTACGTTTGTGTTAACATCCACTATTACACAGCCTCCACCCACAAACGGTGACACTTTAATACATGCAAGATATCAACCGCTTAGATTGCCTTGCACATGAACGGCAACGGCACACTGACATTGTCGTAATCGAAGATCTTTCAATGTAGCTGGCGGACGCAATTTAAATGAAGACGGATGTATTTATCTCTCAATTGAAGCTCTATATGTCAATGATGTTTAGAAGACAAAATTTCGCAGACAACAGTTCTGTATTTCTTAAATCTGCATTGGACTTTATTAACTAGTCATGCAAAAATGAGCCATAAACGACCAATGATATCATTTTACGAGGCTTTCTACATTAGGTACGGGGCTGTACAGGAAGGGGTTAGTAATATGCAGGAGTATTGTTTTTTACATGGTTTTAGAAAAATATGATGATGATTTGACAAAGATTACGGAGAAAGTATTTAAACAGTCGACCCGTAGTTATATTTGACAGAACCAACTTTTCTGAATATCAATTGATAAGAAAATCGAGCAAATTGTATATAAGAAATGGCTGATGTTTCATCGTTTGAACTGAACCCTAAAGTGATCAGAAAGCAACCCCAACGTGTGGAAGACCCTTCAGAAAATGCTATCTTACAAAGGTCATTTGCTAGGGCTTATGATAGACCACCGATGGAAAGCTACCAGCTGTTCATCAACTCTTTAGGAGCCTTTTTTGGTGGATTTGGTAAGTACACTTGTTTTTGCTCTAATCCATATAAACAAGTGAACCAGGGGGACGTTGGATTGGTCCAAACCTTTGGTGCACTTACAAGGGTTGTTGATCCCGGATGGGTTTACGTAAACACATGGTCAGAAAAGTTATATGTTGTCAGTGTTAAGATCAACATTAGGGAAATTCCTGCGCAAAGATGTTTCACTCGTGATAACGTTAGTGTGGTGGTAACTTCAGTGGTTTACTACAACATCACTGATCCACAAAGAGCCGTTTTCGGTATTGATAACATTCACAATGCCATAATGGAGCGGACTCAAACTACATTACGTGATGTCATTGGATCTCGAATGCTTCAAGAGGTTGTTGAAAAGCGTGAAGAAGTTGCAGAAGCCATTGAGTCAATCATTTATAAAACAGCACAAGATTGGGGTGTTCACATTGAAGCTATTTTAATCAAAGATTTGGAATTACCTCCCAATGTTCAGCAATCGTTGTCTATGGCCGCTGAAGCCAAACGGATTGGTGAATCCAAGATTATTAATGCCAAAGCAGAAGTTGAGTCTGCCAAATTGATGAGAAAAGCTGCCGACATTTTGGCTTCTAAACCCGCTATGCAAATCCGGTACTTGGAGGCCATGCAGGCCATGGCAAAGAGTTCCAATTCCAAGGTTATTTTCATGCCAAGTTCGGGTGAAGTTGAAAAAGTGGTACTGACCAATATTCAAGGATCAGGTTATGGAGCCATTGAATCTCAGGGTACCGGTCAAAATCACAATAACAATGCTGAATTAGAACCTGATTCGAATTGGTCACTGAGTTCCGATCCTCACAAAAGGATAATGGACACCATCGCCTTGCATGAAAGTATGGGTTGAGGTAAGACGAGAATTTTTTTATTTAATTATTTTTTATTTATTCACATAGTATTCCGTGTGGGATATTTTTATTGACAATGAATTAGTGCATTTTAAGTATAAATTCCCTTGCTTTGGAGTTTTATCTATATAATGACATAATGCCTTTTTTGCCTTACCTATCGTAAAGAAAATATTTGTTGAACAACTGAGCTGAATCTCATATGACATGGTTGGTATCAGTATATTTAGATGTACAGTTTATGGTTGTAATTGTAGCCGCACTAAGTGCATTAGAAAACTTTGTGGTATAAAAATGGGAACGTTTGTGTCTGATTTGTTTTTTTTTTTTTTCTTTGGGGTGGAGGTGAAGAACCACGTAACCAATTGTTTGCAACCATTAAGAGAATAATCAAACAATAAAGGTATTACTACATTCGTCCCAATGTCCCACTGATTCACCACTTAGATTCCTTCTACCACCCAGACAAAGGATACATACTACTACTCCCTGCAATTGATGGTTCATTTAATGAGGTAGTTTTTCCCTTCACAAAGCCCCGTGAGATCAATTAGCCTCTATGCCCTCATTCCAAAGAGACATAGTTTTCCCGCAATTTAGCTGCATCTATTCAACATACATGAAAGGCTAAACACATTTAGATCCCATTACCCTGCACCATTGCAATAGACAAATGGGTGGTGTTGAGTTGAACAATAAAAGTGGTGATATAATGTGGTAATCGCTTCTGTTGTCGTGCGTAGCCTTCTGCAGGTCCACCCTGGAACTTGCACGAGACCAAGCGGAAACATCGAATCCGTGCATTGAAAACTCATACCACATACTTAAAGCAGACTTTTTAGACTATCGTAAATCAATAGATTATAAATGGAAATTAGGGATCGAACCATGGAAGGAGGGAGTATAAATGCTCCCACGTTCCATAGTTTTTTTTTTGAAAAAATTAAATCCCTATTCTCCTTCTTCTACTTCTACTAAGCATCTCGTAACAATTATATATTGCTAAACATGTCGCTGATACAACGCAAAGTTACCGAACTATTGTCTGCTGGTAACAAATCAGAAAAACTGATCATCATCATAATGAAAGATGATTTCAACAATATGAACAATATCCCTTCTTCTCCTTGTTCATTGCCATCGTCCGTTCAAGTTTTTGCAACCAAAGACTATTCCGAAAACGAGAAAAATCTTCTCCTGAGATTCTTGATGAAGACTCCCCTCTACGAATTGGAACACGAGCTGAACATATTTCTTATAAGGCCTGCCTTATCGAATATGACTACACTTGTATTCAGCTGGAAATCCACTACCAATCTTGTTCAACATTACCGACGTATATTCCAAGCTATTCTGCAACAACTTTGTAAGGAGGTGGCCAAAAAGTGGATCAAGATTTTGGAACCTAACAAACAAGCAAAATACCCTTATAAAGGATTTAATGCTTCCAAACCTTTCTGGTGGCCAGAGAATATAGATCATACTGAACCAGACCATTTAGATAAATATGGAAGGATCAGTTTACTAGTTTCAATAATCAGAAACCGGTCTTTATCTTTAACAGAATTAAAAAATAAAGTACAATATCTTCACAGTACTCAAAAGTATCTTCGAAACTTATTGGACGAATTGTTTTATGTGGCAGCATATGATAGGATATTTTACAACCCAGAAAGAAACGATGACCCCCTCTTCCAATACTTGAGTTCAGAAGAACAAGGTGTGATATCTTGTGCCAAAACTTTCAAAATAGCAATAAGCGATCTTATCACGACCAAAGGTGGTACGGCAACTCGCTTGGGGATTGTAATGGTGAGCCAAATAGACGACTGCATGCTTAACAGAAAGGTGTTTAAAATAAATGAAGTTGAGAAGAAGAAACCTTGTAAGCCAACAAGAAAGAGAACAAGATCTGTTTTAGCATTGAAGATTAAAGAGGAAGAGGAAGAAGAAAATTATAAAGAAGCAGATGGTACTTATAAAAGTTGTAATCAGGAAGTGGTACTTAAAGATAAAAAGGAGCACCCGATAAAGGTCAGAAGAACCTCCTCGTTGACTACCTCCAAAATTCCCAAAAGTTTAGATAGTCAGTATACTAATTCACAAGAAGATGACTACCATAACCATTACAGTCCACAAACTAGTCCATCTTCAGCTGTTGATTCCATGTGTTGCAATAAACCAACCCTGCCTTCCCTAAAACATAACCATATTGGAATAAATGATTCAGGATATGGGCTTCAATTAATTCTCAGATCAAACACCCCAACTTCTCCATCACCAGGATTAAAACACATTCATATAACTACAACTGAATTTGATGATGCAAGCCAGGAAGAAACAGACCGAGGCTTATTCAAGTTTCAAAGCTATGATTCTGATTGTACTCTTCCAAATGTTGATTCGCCCAATTACATCGTGGCACAGGAAATCTTGACTCATAATCTGAGCTCACCACCCCCCTCTGTCTTACACTCATGGCACTATGACTGCGACTCATCATCTGAAGATGTATATCCAGAAATTCCCTATGAAGGAGGTGAAATGTCGGCTATACATTCATGAAAAAGGTGTACGGGTGCCGGGCTATGGGGGTATAAATTAAAATCATTTGGCTGCGAAATTAATAATAACGATACCTTAGTTTCTTTTGAGCGGCTACATCATCACTTCATCAAATCTCTAATTGCTAGTATTATTATGTCTGAACAACAAACCGCTACATTGCCAGAACCAAAGTCGGGGCCAAAGATTGTACCTAAAACTCCTCCCAGTTCAAGTTTGAAACTGCTTGCACATTTGAAACAGTACCCTTTGATCAGTCAAACCAGAGATATGGTGTTACAAATCCCCTTTACCAAAACCGCCTTAGAAACTATTTCTCCTTCCTTAAAGGCTGTAAGTGAGACACAACCCTTTAAGATTGTTTTGGATAAGAGTGATCTTGCTGCCGATTCAATGTTGTATACGTTAGATAAATCCTTCCCCCGATTGAAACATTTTGCAATGAATGACTTCATAGATCCAATCTCAAGACCCATAAACGGGACTGCTGAGCGTTTGAACTCCGAAGTCAAACATGCAAAGGAACAAATTGACCAAAACATCCTTACTCCTACCGCCAAAGCAGCTTTTACCGCTAAGGAAAGCTTTAGCGCATTGGTAATAGATAATCAAGGCAAGGGGATCATCAGTTCTCAAGCTGATCCTATCATTGGTCCTGTCAATGATAAGTTGGAGGAATTAGTTCAAGCTCATTTACCAGATACCAAAAAGGTTTCTAAAAGGCATTCCAGTGAATTATCAAGATCCATGAGACTTATAAAGAATGTTCTTACCAGAACTAAAGCTCAACCAGAGGCCACATCACCAGTAGCTGTCACTACTACAGAAGCTGGTACTGCTGCTGTCCCAAATTGAACAGTTGCCTTCAACTGTGCTACTAGAGTCATACCAACTGATATTCTGTGATATTTCGTAATATTCCAAACTAGTAGTAAATATGCAAATATATAATTATAATAAAAACAACGAAGTTAATTTAATCCTTTGACTTCTTCTTCTTCTTTTTGGGGGTTTCTTCTTCTTCAGACTTTCTCTTCTTATCTTTCTTTTCAGAAGACTTTTCCTTCTTTTCCTTCTTTTCCTTCTTTTCCTTCTTTTCCTTCTTTTCCTTCTTATCCTTCTTTTCCTTCTTCTCTTCAACAACATCAACATCCATCAAGTCGCTGGCCAGAGTGCCGACCAAAGCCAAGGCTTCCTTGATGGCATCGGAGTTCTTCATAGGAGCGGAACCGGTGTCGTAAAAGGCCAATCTGTCTTCAACTTGTTTCTTCAAGATTTGACCGAAAGCAGTGGTGGGTTCGTCAGAGTAGTTATCGATTCTGGAAGCCATGGAACACTTGTTGGCCAAGTATCTTGAGATTCTCCCCTTATTCTTAGCGGAAGCCTTACCAATAAAAGAGGAATGGTAAATCAAACCATATTTAGGAGTGTTACCCTTGGTCTTCAAGGCTCTGAACAAGGCCTTTTCAGCACCCAAGATTTGAACGGTGGAAGCAGCTTGTTTGGACAAGTTGGTCAAAGAACCAGCATGGGAAATTAATCTGGCTCCAACAACTTCACCAATCAAAGTTGACAAGTTGGGTGCAACAGTGTTCATCTTCTCTGTTAAGTAATCATATAATTTGGTTCTGTATTCACTGATGTTTACCACTCTTTCGGCAAAGGTGGACACGTTCTTCATGTCTTCTTCACTGATGTCTTGACCCATCGACATTTGGGCCGTAGCAATGATTCTTTCAGCCACTGCAGAGTCGTCTTCAAAGATGGCAGCCAAGTCGTGCAAGTTGTCTTCGGTCAAACTGGCCTTATCTTTAATGTACAAGGCAGTCTTAGCAAATTTATAGTTATCAGGAACAATCTTGGCCAATTCTGGGAAATGCCATCCATACCACTCCTTGACCCGCATAGAAAACGTGTTGATGTCCTTATCTAATTGGTCCAACAATGCGATGGCTTGGATGATATGGTTATCGTTCTTTTGCACTGAAAACTTCACTTTAGCACGAGAGAAGGCGTGACCCAAACCTAATTGAGCTCTTTCAATGTCTCCATCTTGTAAATCTTTCAACAACTTGACACCATGGACTCTGATGGCTCTTAAAAAGTCTTGAACAATCTCATTGGACAAACAGTCAACATATGGGAAACTTTCCTTAATGGATGGACCCAAACTCTTATCTGAAATACCCAAAGTGATTTTATTCTTCAGAGATCCCTTGGGCAAGTTTAATTCCAAAACAGACTTCAAATAGTCTGAGACTAAACCTTCAGAAATATCATTGGCGTTTTCTAAAGCTTGAGCAGCTCCTTTGAATGGTGCAAATGAAACTAACTCAATCATCTTGGAAAACTTACCTAAATCGTTGGCAGCTTCTTGTACTTCCTTCGACTTGGCTTGAACCTCATCTTGTTGGATTAACACTTTGAAAATAGCATACCCTGTGGACTCTTCAAAGAGCACGTAGTCAAGACCTCCCATCTTCAATTCTTAAGGCTCTTAATAGGAAATAGTAACTAAGGTATTTGTTAATAGAAGACTTTTTTTTTTCAGTCTCTGCTCAAAATTTTCCTCATCGCAGGTTTATACATTTGGTAAACGCACGTATATTCCAAAGGCGGTAGCGCGGAACGAGATGAGCTGGTGCGAGGTTTGTGTAATTCCAAGTAGTAGTATCAGTGGTGTAGTAGAGTAAAAGTCTATTATACTTATTGATACTGTTAATATATATATATCCAATGATAGCTTAGTGGTACTACTAGGTTTTGAAAAAATAGGGGATTTCTGTTTTTAAAAGCTGATTTATTTCACTTTTAACCGTATATGGTAGCGCCACAATTATTATTATGGAGTATTAATTTACTCTATAGTTGAAGAGGAATGGTTTTGGTCCCCTTGAATTGGCTTTTGATTACCCTACTTTTAGATTAACAACATTAGAATATGCTTGTATGTTTCCAACAAAGAGGAAACAGAAGGTTTTATCATGTCAGAAATAAAGGTATACAACTGGAGACACCGTAGCAGTTTCAACAGGGATATATCTAAGTAAAACTCTGTGATTACCATTTTGTGAGTCCAATAAGAGTTGGTTTAGCATTGGATGAAACTGTCTGTATGAAGGTTCACCATATAACACAACAATTGGGCCCAGGTTACCTATGACTCTATCAAAGTAGACGTCAGGCCCATAGTAATCAACGTATTCGTTTTGAAGTTTAGTTTCCAATGCAGTTAGGTCTTCAAGGGATGAATAGGATTGATCGTTGTGTCATCCTCCATTATGATTCTTAATGGTCAGCTATTAGTATGATCTTCATACGTCAAATGGAAATCAATGACAGACTTTGCTACATGTGAAAGGTTACTGTGTTGAGTGAAGAATCTGTGGTACACATTTGAATCCTCTAATAAATTATCATCATCATCACCATCATCTTCTAGATTGTTAATATTATCACCAACAGCAAATATAGACATTAGAGCAGACTCATAGAGATTCGTATTATAAGTGCTTACACTCTCAGAGTTTGATGGCAAATGGTATATGGTACTTGCACAGAGCCTCTACAGTTATTTCCGGCAGTGTGAAAGCACAACTGAACAAGGCAAACTGAGCAATAACCACAAAGAAAGCAATCATTATGTTTGTTAATAATAGAGAGTAAGGTGTGTACTGTAGTCGAGCGTTGCCTGATAACGACGTTTCCCATACTATTACCCATATTATTTATTTGGTAGCGCGCGAAACTGTGGTCGTATAGACTACCAATGCTGCAATCCCTCGGGGTTTAATCCCTCGAAGGAAACTTTAAATGATTCACTTCACCAATGCAGTTTGATTCCCCTTAATCCTTGGCACGTTTAGGTCTTGACTGATTAATTCTAAATTTTGTAGTATTCTTTGATGTTTTTGGGTTTCCTTTGATGTAGTCAGGAACTAAAAAAAGCGCGGAATTCCTCATTGGACCTCACTAATTCGTGATCATCGATCGAGATAGAAATCGTATCTGGAATCACCTTTTCATTGATTTCATCAAGTGCTTCTATCAATTTCGGATTTTTTATCCCGATCTTATATAAAGCAGTAGCATATTTTATTGCACACTTTGCTTCATTTACCCCTTTCGCTTCTCTGTAACGATATGTCAAGTTGGCGTTATGTTTGACGAATAAAAACATCCTCTCATGTGTAATAGACGTCAATTTCAAATGCTCTGAAATAAGATAACGGTCGATTTCTTCCTGCGGCTTTAACTTTCCGTTATTGAAGCTGGTTCTTTCGAAAACTTCCAATACCTCAGTCATGATTTCATTCAAGTTTGGTGTGAGAAGCATATCATTTAAGAGAACCTTGAAGTTCGCTGATTCTCGGTTGGGTACCCTAAATTTCACAACCAATAATTCCCTAAAATGATCTACTAATAAGATGTAATAATACATCTTTATAGGGTATGAGAGCCTGTTAATCTTAGTATTGCTTATTTTATTATAATCAAATTTCATCTCGTCAGATCTTAATAGTAAGGAGAACCCATTATTTGTAGCTTCAAAATCTTCAAAGTATTTAGTGTACCTTTTCTTAATACTATAAACTGACAGATAAAGTGGGAATGATTCAAACAAAATTAGAGATTGATCAATAATTGGTCTAGCCAATAATAATGCCTCCTTCTTCTCATTATAATTCAATTGATCGAAGATTTCTTGACCAGAGAGTTTACCAATAGGATCAATCGCCCCTTTGGTATTGCCTTCTGCGAAACCTGTTGCACTATCACTAGTCATAACTTCCTCGACTACTGGAATTGGCGATTTTTCGCTCGTGAACTTGTGCTTTGATCCAGAGCCTTGTTTCATATCACATAATTGCAGTAGAATTTGACGTAATATAATAGCTTGATCAGCAAGTATATTGCGCTGTTCTTGCATTGCCATTTGCATTTGACGTAGCAACATGATCATGTTGTCTTCATGTTCGTATTTTCGCAACCTTTGCAACCACATTTATCAATCTCTGAAGTAACTTTGGAAATGATTTCTCACGACCTCACCTGTATATGACGTTTAATCAACAGTCGCAAGAAATCATTCCCAAAGTTGGTTCAGAAATTGACGAAGGTTGCGAAAATATGATATATCCGAAGGAGTAGAGATGGAGTAAGGATGACTAAGGAATCTGATGGCAAAAGAAGGGGGATGTGTTAAACCAGATAAGACCAAGTGGTGCTAATTAAGGAGGTTGAAAGCAAGGAGAGTGAAACATAGGGGATAAACTGCGAAGAAGAATGAGTGAAGTTGGAATATAAATTGAGATATACCTCATCCATATTTAGAAATGTATAGTCTTAGAATCCAACGAGATCTTAAGTATATAAGGATACATAATCTAAATATACAAGTCCATAATAAACCAAGTCATAATTAGGAAAGTACCCCGGTAATTCATTCTAACTAAAACAACTACCACCCGAGCCAGTCATACTCAAGGTCCATTCAAACTACCACCCAAATATCGAATATTACACGACCTAAGTACACCCATTAACCAACAGCGACCTCACCTGTATATGACGTTTGATCAACAAAGTCCTAGCACCTAATGCCTTGTTTACTATGCCCTATAAATAAATATAATACAAACTTTAAGCAAAATTGATATCCCATTTCAACTCTTTCAAAATGGCAAACCAATCAACAACATTATCACCGTTAGGATTAGTTTCCCATACTCTTTCAATGACATCTTTAACTCTTCTAATATTCCACTCTCCATATAGCTTCATAAATGCCTCCATTCTATTGGCCATTAGCTTCCTATCGTGTTGTGTGACACAATGGATACCAGCAATAAATACCGGGAACACCAACGATGCCATTACTGGAGTTCCAAGTAAAATATCAATACATTTAACCAAATGATTGTTTAGGATTTGCAGTTCCAAAGCCGAAGGATTGCATTTCATGATCAGCTGTCTAAGGAATAGTTTGGTACTTATTTGAAACGATTCAAACAATGTAAGTTGTAACTCAAGTTCTTCATCAGTCAAGGCAATAAGATCTTTGGAATCAGGTTTGGCAACATCGATTTCCTTTTCAAGTTCTTTGGCACGATTAAGCACTCCAGTAAGTAAACTATTGATCCGAGTATGTTCACTTGCATCCGATTGGCTATCAAGTTCATCACCTTCTAGAGACACTGGATAATCAACACCACAATCATCTGATAGTTTCGTCCCCCCAGCTATGGCTGAATAAGACTCAGAAGCATCAACATCATTAGGTATATCTCGATTGTAATAGGCTTGAAGATGTTGAGACGATTCATAAGCCAAAGTGCTAATGTTACCAATAATTCGGTATAAATTCTTGGAAATACCCAATAATGGATTAAGATTACCTTTGGAATGGCCCTCACGATCTTCAAATACCAATTCATAGGTTTCCAGAGGGAAATATGTCCCTCTAACGGTACTGGAACTTGCTAGAACATCATGATAAGCAAAATTTGAGATTAACCAGTGTTCCTCTTTAGTTCTGTTGAAATTAAGTATACCACCTTGAGCTCGAAGTAACTTAGAAGTCCATTTCAAATATTCAGACCAATTTCTAATGTCTCCTCTACATATCTCGGCTCCACAAAGAATTAAAAGCGTAGCAAACTGATGAACCACCGAATTTCGATCCAATTTTCTAAATTGTTCTTCATTATAATTTATGGAGTTCCCTGAATCCACCATGTGTCTTAAAGCCAATTCAATGAACTTGTTACCCTCTTGGATCCAATCACCTCCTAAATGGAACGAAGACCACGCCAAAATTGCATAAAATACAGACTTATCTGCATGGGCAAGCGGAAGAAATACCTTCTGATAAGAATTGGATTCATTCTGGGATGTTGGAGCAATGGAAACTCGTTTGGAAAGAACTTCAACATAATAATTGTACAAGTAGTTGGAATTCCTGGGCATATTATCAAATAATGGAACACTTTGGTAATGGAGTGGAGTGAAGATGTTACTGAATGAATCCGCAAAGTGTTGGTTCTTCATTAAGATATCAAAAATACTTAACTCATCAACGTCTTTATCTCTCGATACAACTGAAACAATCTCATCACCTTGATTATTATTATTGCTTTGTTTAAAGTGTAAGTTCAGATGCTCTTCAAACATCTTGAGCTCTTGAAGGTGTTGGTTGTGATCAAACTCTCCAGACAATGGAGCTGGTTCGGAGTCTAAATCATGAGTATCTTTATCCTCACCTCTAGTAAGAGGATTACCTTCATCATCAACAAAATGGATCTTATTGGAGTGCTGTTTCTGCGTGGAGAGGTCCTTTAGTAAAGACCAGAACGCACTAGGAGTCGTAGGCACAGACTTGTCACCAAAGTATCGATAGAGGTCCATATTATTATTATTATTATAACCATGTTGATTTTGAACACTTGGTTGGGAATATTGTAAAGATTGTGAAGTTGGACTTACTTCCATGAATGGTGCTGTGTTTGGAGAGTCCATAGTAGGTGGTGTTGGGGCGTTTAAGGACGTTAGTTTGCTCAAGTTTTGTTGCAGTATATCGTAGTCAGTTCGCTTGGGAAGAGTATGTCGTGTAGCAGAAGCAGCGGCTGGTGGTGGTGCTGTACCCTGTCGAAGATCTTCTTCTTTCTGTAATGGTCTACTTCTCTGGGAGAACGTCCTGTGGTCATCAAGAGACAACGGAGTAGGCTCTCTTGCGGAGGTGGTGCTTCGGGACGAAGACTCAGCAAACACTCCATAGGTGTTAAGCATATGGGGAGAACCACCTAAAGGATATATGAGATCGCTAGGGAACCGAGGAGACGATACAGAACCAGAGCCAGGAGGTGAAGTAGTTATCTTGGTGCTAGGAATATGGGAACCAATAGAACTCTCTGAAGCAGACAAATAAGAAGCCCCTTTAATTATATCCGGAGAAGCTCCATAAGTTCTTCTTTGTTGTTCGTCGAAGAGGTCAGACTTTATTCGTTTGGAAGACTCTTGATGCTTGTGATTATGAAACTGACTGGTCGAATAAGGTTGAGACGGCGTCTGAGTCTGAGTCTGAGTCTGAGTCTGGGTCTGAATTGAATCTGAAGCCGGTTTCCTCTTCCGTAGCTTGATGGTGTTTGATAGTTTCTCCTTAATAGCACGTACTTCTTCAGCAGACATGTTACTGTGTTCCCAAATACATTCTATTTTCAATCTGGCACAGTCACCACAAACAGGTTTGCTCTCATCACACTTCTTCTTACGAGACTTACAAGTTATACACCCTGACCGCAGTTTCCCCTGGTACTTGAACTTGGTGACATCCTTATGAGTTTCTATTTTGATCAACGGATCATGAGCCGCTGCCGACATTAGTGCAACATTACTGGTGGTGGAGGCGCCCAACGTGGTGTCTTCAGAAGTCTTCGCCTCCATCGGATAGGCATTGGTGGTGGAGTTGATGATGTTTGTTTCTATCTGATGGAAGGGCTCGCTTTTATCGGACTTTGGATCGGACGATAACGGCTTAGTCCCGTTTTCAGACGCAACATAATTCACAAACATCACCCGCAGGACCGTTAAAAGACCGACCTTCAGGGACAAGTTGTATGAAGAGTAGAAAAGAGTTGTAGCCAAAGACTGTGAAAAATATGTCACACAAATTAAGTCACAGCTTGACCACCAGTTCCATTATGAACTGGTTAAAGCGTACATCACGTATTCATAGATGCGATATACTCAAGCTACAGCATGCTAGGAGCAGTAAGACATTACTATAGAACACTATAAGTGCAGTAGCACTTGATAGGCGACCGTTGTTCCCGTGTGTACTGTAGAAGTGGAAGGCTACTGTTACTACCGCAAGCACTATAAATTACTACTGCTGATGCTGGTGCTACCGCTACTACCACAACCAGACCTCCAACGGCTGCTACGACCACTACCAGTCTTCTGACTCAGCATGCAGAAACTTCTTGGCTAGTTTATGTTCCCCTAAGTACTATCATTTTGGCACCCAACGTCAAAGGTCTTAGCGGGTTCGTCTTCAAGTTGAATCTGAAGGACTGCACATAAACGATAAACCCCAGCTTAGTTTAAAGCTTAGCGCAAGCGGTCCCTAATTGGATAGGCGATGAAACTGGAACAAGTTTAAGAGAGGTGTTTTCAATATGGAAAGTAAACAGTCGACTGAGCTTACGACAAGCGTAGAAACGTACTGATTTCCGCTATCCGGACAAATGGAAGTGGATATAAAGGTAATGAAGACGTTAAGATCGACAGGTAATATGACCATATTATACTTTGACGACATTTTTACAGTTGGAAATCCTGGCCTCCTTACATAAGCATTCGTTAATATGCGACATTGTTCGACACAAAGTGCCAAAAGCAGTAACTGATAGTGCCACCACTCTCAAAGTAGTGTGATGGTAATCCGAAGGAAAGAGGTGGAAGCAAACCTAATGTCGCCGAAATGCCACTAACAAAAAAAAAAGCTCGAAAAGTCAACGTACTACTTAAAAAAATTCCCCTTCCTTTTCCTCTCTCTAATTTGATTCATAGTCATTTTATCGCACATAATAATACCTACCAAACCATGTCTTTAAAGCGTATTAATAAGGAGTTGGCCGACTTAGGCAGGTATGTATCCGTCCAGTTGCATTAGTGTTGGTCACTAGGAATGCTGAGTATGGCCCTTTTGGTGGAACATCGTGATGTCTGATTGCATATGATTGAATTTGATACTGGTAATATTTTTTTGACTTTGATTAAAGTATTTGGATCCTGTGGGTTTGTGCCATTCTGATTTGTATGGGTTCGTTTCATTCCATTCCATTTTGCCACCGCATCAAGGCTCGTACCGCAAACAAGTACTATTGACTAATACGACTACGCCCTATACATCATACTAACATCATTTCTATAGAGACCCCCCATCTTCCTGTTCAGCCGGTCCAGTCGGTGATGACTTGTACCACTGGCAAGCATCTATCATGGGACCCCCAGACTCACCATATGCTGGAGGTGTATTCTTCCTTTCAATCCATTTCCCCACAGATTACCCCTTCAAGCCTCCAAAGATTGCCTTCACCACAAAGATCTACCACCCTAATATCAACGGAAACGGAAACATTTGTTTAGACATATTGAAAGACCAATGGTCCCCCGCCTTGACTATTTCAAAGGTATTATTATCTATTTGTTCGCTTTTAACAGATGCTAATCCTGATGATCCATTGGTTCCTGAAATTGCCCATATCTACAAGCTGGATAGACCTAAATACGAGGCTATTGCTAAAGAATGGACAAAGAAGTATGCCGTTTAGATTTTTGATTTCCATTCGTGCGTGTGACTTAAGGCATCCTTGCTGACGTTAACACCTGCCGTGGATTGATTGCAATTAATAAGAGCATTTTTTTTTCTTCAGGTTATCCCACTTTGGTGTGTTGTCTCTTGTGGTTGTTTCAAGTATATATAAGCACAGTATGTAAGTAATTCAAGACGCCATTGGTCCTGAAATGAGTGATTGTAACAGCAGTATTAGGCGTAATCTGATCCACTGTAACGTGTGTCAGCCACATAGTGTAATGTTCCATGTTCGAATCCCGATCAAGTTGTTGCACACACGACTTTGAATCAACTAAACTGTTTTCACTATGAAAATACCGAAGCAGCTTGAAGCTTGAAGCATTGTGAGTGCAACTTAACCATCGATCAATCCTTGCAGTACATCGGCATAGCTTCAGCTTTAAGGGCCGACGCATTAGTGATTTTGTGGCCGAAGCATTGAAGATTCGACGTGTAACAATATTGATTGCATTTAGACGTGAAGTGAAGTCAAGTGAAATCAAGTGAGGGCCACTGTATTATAACATGGAGAAACTAGATTGGTTCGAAAGAACTGATTATGGCAAGCTTTTAAGTTTGGCTAGAAGATTGAATGACGATAAGTTTTTTGACGTGTTTCTAACGGAATACCAATTGGCAATCTTGCAATATGTCATTAGCCTTGACAAGTTGCAAATATGGGAGAGTTTCCTTGAAGGGAACATTCAATTATTGTATAAATGTGACACTGAAACTGCCAAGGACTCGGAGTCTGCTTCTGCTGATGCACCGGAACTGCTATTTGAAGAAGGCCAAGTGGCTCTACGAAACCTTGCCTTTAATGTGAGGTACTTGCTATGGGAGATGGGTGTGGATTTCTACTATAAAGATGGTATGGAGGAAGATAATAATCATGACGGTGATAGCTATTATAAGCTTATAGAGGCAGTCAATGATGAAGAAGATATTGTCAGCTCAGCTGCTGCTGTTGATGGTTCTTCTAAGCCAGAAATACTTGCCAAATTACCCAAAATAGAGAAGCCAATACTAAGAAACCTCAATGATGATTACGACGATGACGATGATGAAGAAGAAGATGATGATGATGAAGCGAGAACAGAAAATAACACAGATAAAATGCAAGTGGACGACGACAATTCAACTAGCGAGTTCAAGTTTTTGGCTGACTCCAAAGTACTCGTTCTCGAGGTTCCTCTGTCTATATTTCGTGATAGAGCCCAGCAGGCTCCCACCCAAGCTGGCTATACCAAAGCAAAGAGCCCATTATTAACAGTGAATCAAAACAACGGAAGAGCATCAACTCCCGCTATGAATTCTACCCCAACAACTGGTGGCGTAGGTTCAGGCTTAGATGATCAAGAAAGACTCATAAGAGACTCCTACAGAATATATCACAACTTTGAATACGACCGAAAAACGCTTATTAAACGTCGAAAATTGGAGTTATCTGATGAGCGACTCGAGAAGAATAGCAAAGACAATAATAATAATAATAATAAAAATAATAATAATAATAATGGTAATGATCTGAAGCAAAATGGAAGTACAGAATCTCTGATTATGGGATTCGAAGTGGGAAACTCTTCACTGCTCAAACATTTATTGAATGCCATTCAAAGCCAAAGAGATGACATAGATTTGAACGATCATGAATTAAGATCACTTTTCATGAATGTTCGTAAAAATAGAGGGAAATGGGCCAATGATGAAAGAGTTGGTCAAGAAGAATTATATGAAGCATGTGAGAAAGTCATTATTGAATTACGTGGGTATACCGAACATTCAACTCCCTTTTTAAATAAAGTTAGCAAAAGAGAAGCACCCAACTATGCCCTTATTATTAAGAAACCAATGGATTTAAATACAGTCATGAAGAAATTGAAAAATTTCAGTTATACTTCTAAACAAGAGTTTGTTGATGATGTCATGCTTATTTGGTCTAATTGTTTAACTTATAATGCCGATCCCAAACATTTCCTTAGAGTTCATGCTCTTGCAATGCAAAAGAAAGCAATGAAACTTATCCCCTCGATCCCCAACATTGTTGTTCGTAAGAGATCAGAGATCGAGAAGGAAGAAAACGAGTTGGCTGATAATGAGAATGGGGGGAAACCAAAAGCTGCTGGTCACATTTCTTCAACAGGTAAGTCACTAAAGAAAGGTCGGAAGCGGTCAAGAGAAGGTCAAGGTCAACATCACCCCATTAAATTAGAAGAAAACGATGTTAGTGCACTTGGATCACCCATTCCAGACGGTACTGCCGCATCTACAGCAGCAGGGACTCCTATTCCGAATGAAGAAACTTCTGCTGTAAAAAAGCCAATAGAAGATACTGAAGAGGTGGAAGAAGATGATGCAGAGGAAGAAGATGATGACGACGATGAAGATGAAGATGACGAACGTATTAACAATGAAAATGCTCGTGACGCTGAAGCTGAGCAAGACGATGAAATTGATCCAGAGTTAATTGCTTGGAGATCCATGACCGCCAAATCTCGTGCCCATTATTGTGCTCAAAGAGCTGAAATGTTTGGCAGTGATGGTAAATTATGTGCCACAGCTCCAGCATTGTTAAGGAAAAGTCTTAACATGAAGAAATTTATTCATTACTTGAACCCAACCCAGGCTTTATCTAAAACTAGCAATCTTTTGGTTAATGATGAGCCATATTTATTGGAGTACGATGTTAGTGATGGAGTTCCTGGCTTAGAGTATAAGGGTATTGATGAACATGATGAAGAGAAATGGGAGCAACATTTAGTTGATATTTATTTGCAACTGAGCACGAAAGAAGACTCTCCATTTGTTCTTTCACAAAAGAGTGGGTTAAACAAGTTATACGTGGACAACATTTCCCAAATACAGGAAATAAGGAGGATTTGCTTTAAGATTGCATTAATTAGACAAATGCAAACGCAACAGTTTCTTCATCACACCCAAATGAAACCTCCAGAGATTGAAACGTTGAAAGAAGTTGATGTTGATCCAGTTTCCAAGTTGACCAACCATGACCCTTATACTTATAAGGTACAATATGGAGCTTTAAGAAGAAGTATAGCCAAAGTTATTATGCAAACAGGGTTTGAATCAACTGAACCATTTGCTATCAACACTATGACACAAGTTGCTGAGAAGTTCTTATGTGGATTAATCAAGTCACTCAAGACACATACTGAGACGACTTCAAAGAATAAGTTGAAGTCTTCACGAGAAGTTATTTTATTATCACTTTTAGAGAATGGGATTTTCAAACCTGACGATTTGTACACATTTGTTAAGGAACGGATAATAAAGCAACAACAAAAATTGTTTGACTTGCACACCAAGTTGAAGAACTTTCTTAAAGAATTGTTAAGACCAGGCTTAGAGAATATGAATGAAAAGAATTTTGATGATAATAGTGATTTATTTGTCACTGGAGATTTCCTGAATGAAATAGGAGATGATTTTTTTGGCTTGAAGGAATTAGGGTTGGATAAGGAATACGAGCTTATGAGTTCATCCATGCCACTTTACATGCTCCACACCCGACTTCATAACTCGTTTTCTAATAACAATAATGCTAACAGAAGGTCTAAATATGAAGACTTGAAGGATTATGAACCTGGAAATTTGACTGCTAGTTCCATTAAGGATCAAATTGGGATCTTAAAGCCCTTTTATACCAAGCTTTTGGAACGGTCAAAAGTTCATTTTGTTAAGCAACAAAAGAAGAAGAATGAATCTACGGAATTCCCACCAGATGACAAATTGCTATTGATTGAAGACGAAGAGCTTCCTCAAAAGAATAGAAATATCAGACCAAGATTACCACCTACTGGGAAGATATCATCGATAAAGAAGAAAGTTGTTGCCAATGCTATGTTCTTACCTGAAGTAGATGAGGACATGATAATACCCAAGCAGGAACAACATGACGATGCTGGAGAAGAAGAAGATGGTGCTGATGATAATGATTTGGCATCAGAAATATCCAAAGAGTTACTGGTGATGTGATGTGATGTGACGTCGAATTGATTTGAATTCATTTCGTATATATATGTTGACTCTAAGATTTAATTAATAACTATTGATTTTTAGATTGTATATGTACAATTATTTTTTGGTAACTCCACGTTGCGAATGAATCAATCAATGTACAGAAGTTCTCGTAAATATCGTACATTGATATATACATACATATGTACACTCATATTGCATTCTATTTTGCTGCGCTGTTCCATACATATATACATACTATACTTCCCGAATGTGGTGAGCAGATTGGACGATGATCGTTAAGGTGAAGCCCCCCCATACTAATAAAGAATCCTTACCTCAGAAGTTAGTTAGACTATCAAAAGATGAACTCCTCCAAAGAGATGTATTGGGTAGAACAATCTTGCATGTTATAGTGCTATGTAACCGTTACGACTTGTTGCGTCATTTACTTAAGAATCCTTTTATAAAGCACATTTTCCTTTTCATTGACTACGAAAGTGGATGGAACGTTCTTCATTATGTGGTATTCTACAGACGCATGCAATGTCTCAAGTGTCTCCAGGATTACTTTAGGAGTGACGCCTCTGGGATGACGTTTGGTGACTTGCTTCGATGCAAGGACAGAAACAGACTCACACCTATGCAACTCATACATAACAATTATAAGGATTTGATGTTAGTTCCCACGTGTATCAACGAGACCAATGAGTTTGAGTTGGAAAAACGTATACGACGCCATCGACTAGTGAATGAATACGACGATCCCACCAACTCGTGGTGGTGTGACGCTAGAGGTGGCAGTGAAGTGTATGTGTTTGGGGCCAATAATAATAACAACTTGGGAGTTGGTGATACGTCAGATCGTATAGCCCCCACAAGACTATCACATAAGTTTTTCAAGGCAAATATGACCAGTCATATCCACAATTTCAACGGCTTACCGATGCCGCGGTACAAAGAGTTTCGGGTGTCCAAGTACCATTCGGTGCTTATTACTAGGAATCGGAACGTCTACACTTGTGGTATTGGGTCGTACGGTAGATTGGGCCATTCTCGGGGTAATTTGGCCAATCAATATAACTTCAAACTAGTTGAAGACTTGAAGGCAGAGACAGTGGCCGTATCAAATAACCACACGGTAGTCCTTGGAGTTGATGGTGGTGTTTATGGTTGGGGTGCAAATAACTATTACCAATTGGGAGTTATTGGTCCCGGGAATGAAAGCAGGGGGGGGTCACTAGTTGATTTCCCCAATGCTTTTGAAGCTACTCCAATCCATATAAATACTGGAGAATTAAAAAATGGTGGTGTTCTGCGTCGTAATCCGATTAAAGGAGTGTCTGTCTCCAAGATCCATTCCTTGGTGTACACTGATTATGAAGTGTATTCTTGGGGTCTTTCCATCGGGCAAATGGGATTCTCTACCGACTCTTCACGTACCATTGACTTCAGATACAAAGACGAAACGTATAAGGGACAATTCCAAAGTAAACCCAAAGCCATATCATTCAGAGATGAGATTAAACTTGTGGAAACTTGTGAAACATGTACTTGTGTGATCACTGTGTTAAATGATATCCATGTTCTTTACAATTATCAACATATAAAGCTTCCTAAGATCCCTGTGAAGGCATCAGATAAGCAATTTGATTTTTTCAAACCAGCTGTGTTAACAAGAGCAAGACAGATAGTTAAAGTATGTTTCCGAGACCTTGGATATATTGCACTATTAATGGACAGTGGAGATGTTTTAGGGTTTGATTTGACAAAAGATATCAAGAGTATCAAATACTCTTCAATTTGGAAACCATACAACGAAGATATGAACGTAGTTGACTTGGATATTTCTCATGATGGTTCCATTATTTTGTGTACCAGAGATGGATCCGTGTTTCGAAAGAACAATGGCTCGAAACTGAGACAGAATTCAATTTCTGGAACAACTATGACTCCAACTTTCATTAATACTGTGACAAATACTAAATTTAAAAGATTAGATGGCATAAATAAAGTGGTTAAAGTGTCATGCGATGCCAATTTTACTTCCTTTGGGTTCATTCGTGATTCAATGGATGCTTTACCATTGAAAGTTCATTTGAATGATTTCCTTATTGATTTTTCCCATTTAAGTTGCACCATGATGGCACCAGAGGATAGGAAGCAAGATCAATTGTTTAAGTCTGACCATGATGGTGGAGCCAATTTCTATATCCGAGATTTTGCGTATCCTCATGATAATTTTGACGATGATAATGATGAAATGATGGTTGATAATAAGTCCAAGTCACTGGACGACATTTTACTTTCGTCTTTTAAATCAAAATATGACTACAGCAAGAATAAGCCACCGACTTCATTAGAAACGTACAAGCGATGGAGTTTAGCATCACCATATGTTATACCCGTAGATTTGACTTATTGGGAGGAAGTATTTAATAAGGCGTCCACTACCTCTTATAGTGGCTATGATTGTTTCTTTGAGTTTCAAGATTACCCTACTATCAGAATAGGTGCCCATAAGTCTGTTCTTAAAGTAAGATCTGTGTTGTGCAAGAAGTTGTTTCTGGACCAAGAGGGTTCTCTATTTGATAATGGACATGTACGACTTTTTTATGACTCCAGTGATAGCACCTTGAGATTTGAAAGTGGCATAAACTTGAAGGTGTTTTTGATGTTAATTCATTATATTTATACGAACGAAGTCGTTGTGTTGGCAGACGACAGTTATGATCATCTGGACATTTCCCCTAGCGAAAATTCACCAGAATACAAAGCGCTCAAAAGTGATTTTGATAACATGGTTTATACGTTTCAGATTGGAGTCAATACTTCACATTCTTCTACTCAGTTGTTTGTAGAGAAATTTGGGCCAGCACTTCTTAATGTGGAAGATGGAGATAAAGACTTGATAGTTAAGTTAAGTGACGGTCAAATAAAGTGTCATACATACATATTGATATGCAGATCAGCATATTTTGAGACTCTTTTCTCTCAGAGATGGCATGAAGAGAACCATAATAATAATAATAATAATAAGACAAATGAACTTGGATTAGAGTTGGAAAATATCACATGTCTTCAATTTGAAACTATTTTACGATATTTGTATGGGGTTTGTGATGCAGAAGTCTTCAATACCGTTCAATCAACGGTTGGTAATTCCTTTGAGTTTGCTAACTTCCTACTTGAGCTCATGGAGATAGCTGATCAATTCTTGTTGTTGCCATTGAAAACCTTATGTGAACTTGCACTCAAAGATATGATTACCTTGGACGATGTGTTAGTGCTAACGATCCATTCAGACAACTTAAAAGCTAAAAAGCTCTTTTTAAATTGTGCATGGATTTTATTTGACAACTTGGAGCTTTTGATATTTGAATTATCTGAGCTTTCATACACACTTTTACAAAAGATTGAAGAACAATTTGAAGTTTTGAGCAAATGCCGACAATCATCATCTTTCGACGACCTGATCAAAAGCAAACAACACTGGTTTGAAGACCAGGGTATGGTTGCTTTATTTGTGAATGATGTTAAGGGGTTCAATGAAATATTCATGAGTGATAAAAAAGGGTATCTGTCCTTTAAACCATTAATTGATATTAAATATGATTCCAAAACAAATCCTCCTATTGATGTGCAGAATAAAAAAAGGAGGTCCAGAAAGAGTTCTACCAGAAACTCTGTGAATGCTTTGAATGACCTAAGAAACAGTTTGGCCAATGACCTTGTGCTTGAAAGAAACCATTCTGAAAATGCCATTGATGATAATGATTTTGAAACAGTGGTTTATGGTCGTCGTAAGTCATCAAGTCTCAAACCTATAAAACAGACTTCTCCTCCTGCTGCAGCTATTAAGCTGAACTTGGTTTCAAATATTATTGTTTCATCAGTAGGTTTGAAACTGACTACGTCAACCGGGTCGGTGAATCTGACAAACTCTTCAACGCCGACACAATCCAGCCATGACAGATTCCCCTCCTTAGGTATGGCTTGGAAGAATGGGTCGACCCTGAGTATTGGGTCATCGTCGGGTTCTCCCAAGGCTACAGAAGTAGTAGCTAAAGGAACCACAGTGGTTGAGGAACAGCGGATCTCTGAAACAAAGACTGCCATCAATAAGAAGGTGCTTCTGAAGCCAATCATGCGGATCTCTCAAAAGCAACGTAAGAAATTGGCTCAAGAAGCCAACGACGAAACCATGGCGAGTGGTTTCAATCAGGTGCCAAAAGCTGCTGCTTCAACTCCTATGGCACCATGGACTGCGCCAAATGGCGGTAGTGGTGATTACCGCGAGAAATCTGTGGAGTCGTCGTCGACCCAGAGGAAACTTTCTCTGACATTGGCTTCGTTGCCAATGTTGGGGACGACATCCAAGACGACTCCGACTCCGACTCCGACCCCCTCCTTGACGGAAATAATGTTGGAGGAATCATTGCGGACTGAACAGCAGCCAGTTATTCAAAAGACCTTCTTGGAGATCCAACAAGAAGAAGAGTTCAACCGATGGTGGCAAGAAGAAGCTGCTAGGGTTCAAAGGGAGATGGGACTGAATTCCGAGCCCAAGTCAACCAAGAAGAAGAATAAGAAAGGATCCAATAAGAATCACCAAGAGGGTGACGTTAAGAAGAGAAGCAGGAAACCAAAGAACGTTACCGCTAAATAGATCTTGTACATACATATAATGTACTTAAGTATAAACATGCAACCTTAAACCAGCAGACTTCCCGACATACACATACACATACACATGTACATGCATATGCATGAGTAATGCTTTCAAGCAGTCACATGAGCGTAAGCTACATCAATTATAAATAAAATATAAGGGTATTAATCTTAGTACTATACAATTATCTATCAAAAACACTAGCTAACTTACAAAGCCAACAAAGCACCGGCAGCAATAGCAGCAGCACCGGCAACGAATGGCTTAGCAGCAGCACCTTCGTAAGAGGTAACGTTAGCTGGGATGGTGTAGTTAGAAGCTGAAGAGACAGAGACAGCAGCAGTGGTTTCTCTGGCTGGACAGTTGGTAACATCAGGAGCACAAGAGGTGATGGTGACGAGGGTGGAAGATTCTTCGGTGACAGTAACGTCAGCGGCAACCAAAGCAGCAGCGGCAGCGAATAAAGTAACAGTGGAGAATTGCATTTTTGAACGAAAGACTAATAAGTTTGTTTGAGTGGTACTGAAGAAAAAAAGATGAGATTGAACTTTTGGGAACAGGGAGCTTGGATGCCCTTATATAGTGGGAAATTTGTAAGGCGGATGGTCTTGTATCATGGTGTAATGTTTGACGTTATTGTTAAGGCGTTATGTTTACAAAACAAATGTGGTTTGGAAAACCTGTCACCCTGTATGAACAATAGAACACGACAAAATAAAAAATTTAAACAATAGATTGATGCCGTTCTGAAATTTACAACGGGTCTGGACTCATGACGTACGTTATCTAGATATGATTTGGTCTCGTTTGATATAATTACTACGGATAACCATTCTATTCGATTCGTTTTTTTTGACAATTACAATTTCGTTTCAATGATCATTGGTTGCTTGCCAGATCGCTTGGTAGATTGACACATTTAAATCTTTGCTATTTGACACTTCCTTGACACACCTTCCTCCAGAAAAGCGTTGACATATTTTGAACAAAGGCGGCGGTGTAACAAGGTATCCCGAAGAGCCGGTGCCGGTTGTGTGCAAAACTGCACACGATGAAACAACAACAAAGGCAACACGGTATTATACCGGTCGTGTTATGATCAGTAAGATTGTATAATATTGTTGGCGAGGGAAGCCAACTTCTGATACATAATCTGTTGGAAAAATAACCGTGTCCCCGAAGAGTGAGTGAAAATCCATGCTCAGATCTTCCACCATCGGTGTAATAACTGGGCCAATGTACCTCCTGAAACCTATTTCCATCGAGCAACGAATTTACTGCCATTTACACGATTTAACCTGTACGTCAGCAGTATTTTCCTACGTTTCTTACTATTACTATCATTATTATTATTATTACCTTATGGCTATTAAAGATTTTCGTCTGTCACAGCCTCAATCTCTACTCTTGCCTCTGTACCCGTGGAGTGAGTTTCTCCCCTAGAAATCAATTCACTCTCTTCGATAACATTGTTAACCTTTTCGTACCCATCTGGATTATTGTGAACATTCCTCAATTCCTCGCCCAACTTAGCATCGGCGAGCCCGACCAAACGGATCCATTCCTCTATGGCTTTCCCGGATGGATTCAATATTCCGTGACACAAGATTAAATAGCCTATTAGATACTGGTACTCCTTTTGACGTTCAGCAGTGACATTTGATCCAACCTCACATACATCTATTAATTTTCTGTAAATATCCTTCTCCTCTATTGCCAGTTCCCATTTAGGACTGGCCTTCAACTTTCTGATTTCATACTTGACGTATCCGGCTTCCAAAATTTGTCGTGAGACAAATTCCCGTGTAATACGTTCCTGAAGCGATGTGAACATAACCAACACAAATAATACAAAATTACCTGCCATTTCTCTAAGTCTATGCTTGAACAAAATTACCAGATTCCCTTCGATCTGGTCAATAACTCGTTGATAATCCAACCTCTCATAACATGCAAAATTAATAAGTGGAGTGGCCATACTAGAAGGTATACTAACTATGGTGTGGATCAACCGAAGATATGCGAGCAATGCCTTTTGCATAGTTGACAAGTTATCATTAGCAGCAAGAGTGTCGATGTATTTTGTAAAATACACGGAGACATGCATAACCAGAAATATCAAGTAGACGAGAACCAACTGCCACACGTCTACATTAAGATTAACACCAATAAAATACCAAATTATGGCTGATCCTATAATTCCCGCACTGATGTTTCGTATATCGTTAATAACAATAGCAAAATAGTTCACGGGTGGTACAACCGGAGGATCGAGTTCAGCCACTTCTGGCGGAGGTGGGTTATCATTGACTATTTCCTCAACAGTGGTCGGAGTGGGAATGTCGGTACGTGATTCATGCTCCTCTTGTGCAAGAGATGGACTATGAGAGGACATTCGTACGAAACTACTCGTCGTAGAGCCATTTGTCCGTTGAAGCTCATCGTTGCTCTTTAAGGAATCGGGAATCACTTCGATTCTTGGACAACTATTAAGATCCAAAAACCCCTTGACTTTATGAATACTCCTAGGACTAATAAGAGCATAAGGCTCAGTGCCAGGAACAACAATGACATCTGAAATATCCAACAAAAGTGTTTCATCCTTGTATGTAAGCTTGAAGGGCGGCACAACGGGTACGAAATAATCTGACGGATTCCTCTCAAGTGAAGAAAGTGAAACCGTCCTTTCCAAAGTTCGTCCATCGTCGTAGTAATCTAGTAAATTTGACTGTGGTTGTGAAGGCGGTGGAGCGGGCGAAGAATGATTACTGGCATTGTTGTCATCCGTTTGGCTCAAGTCGACTGAACTCGGCTGACAATACATGGATATTATTCTTCCCTCGTTGTCATGGCTCGTTAAACTGTACGTCAGACTGTTATTCGTAGTGAAATCATCAGGCAATTGAGCTGAATGTGCAATCGAAGGTAACGGGTGTTTTGCCACCAAATCCATTTCCTCCTCCTCTTCCTCTGGTATATCCACTGTATCAATGGGCGAAGGCACCTTCATGGGAGTAAAGCCGGATTGATCTAGCGCTATAGGTGACAGAGTTGTATCCCTTTCTCTAGTAGTTGATTCCATTGGATGGGAGGTTTCGTCGTCCATTTGATTCCCCTGATGTGACGTTATGGAACTGTTGTCGTCGGCTATGGTACCCGTATGATTATGATGTTGACGGTCATGATGATTACTTTTTTCCCATTGTTCTCGAATACTGTAGCTCATTATTACCACGTTGTTTAAAACTCTTAAGGTTTCTTCAGTGAGTCCTAAAGTGGCTAGGTTTCCCTCTGTAACGTCAATTTTGGTATTGTCGTAGTAAAGTTTGAGAACCGCAGAATCAGCAATTATGTGGAGGAACCGTAATTGTGCGAACAAATCGTTGTAAATTACCTCCAAGGGTCGATTTAAGGTACACTCGATATAAATTGGGTGCAATACTTCTTCTGATACAAATTTTAATTCAAAATTACCTTTGGAGATTTCTAGATGCGTGTTCGATATTAAAGTCAAATGGACAGGTTTTAATGGTGTAACGTCCAACTCGATAATTTCAGACAAGATTAAAGTATTGTCCCAGGTTGGTCTGTCTGAACCTTCAACTAAGAAACCAAATTCACTACCTCGCTCTACAACGCCTGAATCTCGCACTGAATGCTTTAGTTGGCCTGAAGTCGTTGCGAGGTTCGCAGTAGTTGTATATGATCTCGCGTTGGCACTACTGTCAACCCAATGTAAAGTTACTTCAAACGAACTGAGCAAAAGTGGATGGCTAGGAGCAAATCCTATGAGGTCATGCTCTATCCTCATGATAATCAAATCACCTGTGTTTGTTGCTCTAGAAGGTACTGTTACCTCGAGAACTTGGCCAATGGTCTCATTATCACTTAATCGACGACCTTGGTAATACATGGATACCAGTAACGGGGGAAGCGGCGACACCTTTTGTTGTCGCCAGCACACCAGATAAATTAAGGAATCAATACGATGCGATAATGTCGCATTGATAGCATATGATGCACCAGAGAATATCCGACTATTATCATCACATTCTATCTCTTCCACCTGTAACCATAAAGTGAAGGGGATATCCATTGTAATAAATAGTATGAATTGGTGTAAACAAATATTCTACGACGTTTCCGTAGTATATTTTGAATCTTTTAGTTTACATTTTCTGTAAAAACTTCGTCTAATTGCGAACCAATAAATCGACCTTGATCTCCTCCATTCCTTTTACAGAAAAAAAGCACGCTTTAATTGGAATGGAATGAAACTATTTAGAAAACAATATAACCTCGGTCGTCCCACGATTGAAGTCGGAAATTTTGAGCTATTTACAAGAAGTAGGCAACAAAGACAACTTTACCTAAACTTTAATGGCATGGTACCGTTTACCACGGAAAGCAAAGATGTCACTATTGGCTTGGAATGTTTCGGTAGGATTAGAATCGACCAAGTCTAATTTTGTCGACCCAAATGGGTTAGGGCATTGATCCATTAAAAAGTCCATTTCATCATGTAATGGATGGTTTTCCAACCATGCAATTTCACGAGCTGCATCGACTTCATGATAACCAGTAACATAAATTGGGCATTTGGATTCAAGTAAACCCTTGAGTGATTTATCCCAGTGTACGGAATCTGCTGTTTGGAACCCTGGATGGAAGAGGAAGAACACATCCAAATAAGGATCAAAGGGGAACAAATCTCCCATATCGTAGACCTCATGGAAGTAATGGGTATGATAATGCATTGTGAGTTGATCGTCATAACGCTTAATCAACGGTCTCCCGTGGGGTTGATCGGTCGATGTAAAAGTTCGCGTTTCAGGGTTGAAATAACATTCAGGCCCAATGAAATGCAACTCAAATTTGGTTTCTGGGAACAAATATCCAAACTGTTTCCAAACATAACCTGGAAGCATTGCTTCCATCTTGGCACCAATTATAAAAATTCTCATAGGACGTTCCTTAAATGTAACTTCAGAATCTTTACCCTTTGAAAATGGTGGATACAACGTGTAATGCAAAGCTGACATTGATCTCAATCCCTCGACAGACACGGGACCTTTGGGTTGAGCATCGTGTGGTGAATATTTATGTAAAATAGAAGCAATAGTCACAGGATATGTCAATACTTTCGAAGCAGCAGCCATATTGAATTCAGTATTCATGGGACTAAAGTCCCGGGTATAAAGAAAAGTATCCCAGTTGGATAAGTTTGGAGTAAAGTCGACTTCTTGAGCACCAGGGAATACGAACTCGTCAAACTTTCGTCCAGAACGTAGATCGTGTTCGTACAAGTTAACCTTCTTCAACAACTCATACTTCTTATTCTCATGATAATCATGATCATTAAGCCATGCTTCCTCGTCATGATGAGTGGGGATTCCAGAATAAGGGCATACAAAGTTGACTGATTTCTTCGTCACAGGACATAGGGCCCTGGACCGAATTAAAGCAGCCCTCGTGCGAATGTCTTCGTAAGGGGATTCATCCCAGGGATACATTTTGGTGTTAGATTCTTCAGGAGTCTTTTCAAGCGACAACATTTTCTTGAAGAAGGAAACGTGCCTTCTTGCCATCACGCACTGGCGGAGAGTCGGCTGTTGGAGCCGTGTGAGGTGAAGCATATTGACCATGACTTGATGTGGTGTACGGTTTAGTATGTAATCTGGTCTTCGCTGTAGATTTTTATTCAAAGTCAATTTTCGCTGGGGTGATCGAGTATATGCAGGATTTCGGATTTTGGTATTCGGTAAAACCGCATACAATTATCTGAATGACTACAGTCTATACTTATAGCTAATATCCGTGTGTCTCTATTTAGCTGTACGTTAAACCCATGATATATCCCTTTGTAATTGACAAATATGCACTATCTGAATGGCAATTATAACTCGTCGTGGAGCAATATTTGAGTGTCGGTCGTTTGAGAGTTTGCAGCTGTAATAGTTTGAGTTTCAATCGCCTTCCGAGTCTCGGTAACCTTCTGAGTCTCAGTAACTATCTCAGTTTCAGTAACCTGTTGCGTCTCAGTAACCTTTTCCGTCACCTTCTCTGTGACCTTCTCTGTGACCCTCTCTGTGACCTTCTCTGTGACCTTCTCTGTGACCTTCTCTGTGACCTTCTCTGTTTCAGTAACTTCCTGGGTAACCACCTGTGTCTCAGTTAGCTTCTCTGTTTCAGTAACCTCTATAATAGCATCTTCTGTTACCTTCTTTGTTACTGTGAATGCATCTTTAGTTGGTCTCCGATGTTTCATGTGTCTCTCCATGTCTTTCTTCATAGGTTGGCCCTCGTGAAACAGTTCAAAAGCATTCCTCATTGCCTTAGGCTTTATTACCTTCTGACCGAGTCTATTTAATTCTGTAATTGGATCAACGATTTGTACCGTCACTTCACCTTGTTCCATCTGTACTCTCACCAAATATTTATAGTACCCATATACATCAAACCCATGATACCAAAGAACAAACGAATCTTCCCATTTAACAAGCTCCTCTCTTGGGCTATACATTGAGCTTCCAATAGTATTGTGAAACGCAACCTGGAGCGACTTCTCTATGGCTTCAGGGTTAGATTCTATGCCCAGGTAAACAACTAGATTGACGATGCTAGCCACATCAGTACCTATCGGCCCTTCATTTTTATGGTGACCCACAAATGTCCCTTCGCCTAATGCTATAAGGGAATAGTCTGAAAGCAGTACCCGTAAATTCTTTCGAGGTTCCTTCAGTAACACTGAGAGATCCACGTAATCAAAGAACGTGTCAAGTGAGTGATGATGTTGAAGCATTTCTTCGCCAACCATCGCATTCTCATTAACTGATTTGCATTTGATGTTCGTGATGGAAGCATCCTTATAAACTGGAAGGAACTCTTCGACTTGACAAAGTGCTGGAAGCGAAATTTCCATAAGATATTGACATGTTCTAAGTTCTTGCACTGATAAGATTTGAGGTGTCCCCGACATTTTGGTTTCAGGATTACACTTGTAAATAACTTCCACCGTTCGATCAAGATTTCGAGACGCTTCGCATTGCTGACCGTTTAGCGTATGTTTAAGTGCACGTCTTGTGAATTGACGTCGAGCCCCATTCGATTCTGATTCGGAAACCAACTCGAAATCCTTGGGTTCAAGCTGGTTGGTTTCCCATTTGGATTTATTATCAAATTCATCCTTTGGAACAAATCGCAGAGCTTGTCTCTTATCAAAACTACCCAATTGGAATATCCGTTCCGGGACCATGGCTCTATGTTTCCCATGCTGCATCAAATATTGATGATCATTATGGAACTGGATGATCTTATCTCCAAAGCAATATCCATAAGACCAATATCCGTTTCCCAAACTATAATCAAAAGTACACTGTTTTAAGGAGAACGATTGTCCCACAACTTCAATACCTGTTGAGATTAATTGGGTCGTATTCATCTTGGTGTGGTTGTCGTAGTCGTTGTCGCCTGCCACTTGGTCCAAGATTTGAACATGTTTACTCTCAGGAATGCTACATAAATATGTCTTTTCAAAATCAGTACCTGCCTTACTTCGAACCATAGTAAACTTCAAAGTCAGATTTTGGTGCTTCAAGTAGTGTTGGGCAGCATCCAACGGAATCTGACTGTCTAAGATCTCAACATTATGTTTCACTCCTAATCGTTCGCCCAATACCTTTGGTTGATGTGCGGATGCAATTGCAATGGCAGCAAAATAAGTCAAGGCTACGTTCCACAGTAACATATTTCTCGAACGATAATGAACATTAACGTAGTACCCAGTGGTTTGGAACAACGAAGTTTTAGTGCGAAAACACCAAAACTTAAGTCAACCCAAACGAACTTCAAGCCAAATGAGCATTAATTCAGTCGACTGATTCTGCTTCTTATCAGGTAAACTATTTAGCCATTTATTTCACTTGTCTTCCCCATCATGAGTGACGAAATGTCTTCTGCTTCATCTACGGTGTCGAGTCTAATCCCTACTAAAGACACAAGCACAGTCCAGACCGGCCCTTCCCCTCAACCTGAACAAGAACCAGCAGAGACTCAATCAGGGGTAACTGTGTTTGATATCGCTCATGTGGTAGATACAAAAATTGGCGAGCTTTTAACGTCGTTGGAAGAGAGTAACTCAGAGATCAATGCTCGTCTAGATCAGTTGGCTTCCCGGGTTGTTGGCCTTCAAAAGCACACGGAACAAGAACCGGAATCTGAATTGACCTAAAAATATATATAAGGTATATACTAAGGAATACGCCACCATTCATACCCTGTTATTAATACGCTACTATGTGTACGCTACTAAATGTACATGGGGTAGTGACCAATGGTCTGACGACATTCTTTTGATACGACATTTACATCACCATCAAATGTCGTACCTCTCTAGTTAACAGAGAAGTATTGTAGAACTATACAAATTGGTCAAACCAAATTATCACAAGGTAATGGCAAAGAGAAGTAAGAATCAAGTCCGACGGGAGAAAGCAAAACTTCGTAAACTCACCTCCAATTCGGATAAACTCTCGGAGCCAGTACCTACTGACAGTGACACGATTCCCAATGACGCTACTCCCAATGAATCATCAACTAAAGAGGTAGAGGAAGGCAAACCAGACACAGTAGGATCCTCAGAGTTGTTTTCACAGTATAGTTCTGTGTTCCAGCAGTTTGCAACAGAAGACAGGCCAGTTAAAACCATCAAGGAAAAGAATGAGGAAGATGAAGATGCTAGTAATGATGATAATGATGATAATGATGATGATAGTAAAGTTGATAGTGATGATGAAGGTGACAGTACAGCATTATCTGCTAGACAACTAAGAAAACGAAACAAAGTCTCATTGGCAGCCTTAAAGGCCCTTTCAAGTAACCCCAGTGTGGTTGAACCAACAGATGTTGATGCCAAAGACCCATTTCTACATGTTTATATGAAACTACAGCTGAACGTTGTTCCTGTGCCGCAACATTGGTCGTCTAAACGAGACTTTCTCTCGGGCAGAAAGGGAATTGAAAAGCTCCCCTTCCAGCTCCCCAAATACATTGCTGATACGGGAATTCAAGAAATGAGAAACGTTGTAGAAGACGATTCACGGACTCTTAAACAACTGCAACGAGAAAGAGTCCAGCCCAAGATGGGGAAACTCGATATAGACTATCAGAAGTTACACGATGCATTTTTCAAGCATCAATCCAAACCCAGATTATATGCGTTTGGTGATGTTTATTACGAGGGAAGAGAGACCACAGATGATTATACGGAACAAATACAAGATATGAAGCCCGGTGTTATTTCCAACGACCTCAGACAAGCCATAGGGCTCACAGAAAGTTCTACGTCCAATGTCGCACCACCGTGGATAAGTGTTATGGAACGGCTAGGGAAGCCACCGTCGTACTCCAACTTCTTGATCCCGGGTCTAGACTTGGTCTATTCGAACACAGGCTATGTGTTGAATGCAACAACAGCAGTCGAAGCCACTAAACCTTCAGAGCATTGGGGAGTGTTACAGGAAGCGGTGGAGGAGGAAGAATCGGACGAAGAGTCGGACGAAGAAAGTCACGATAAGGCCGCAAGCGAACCTGCATATGACGAAAGCTCTCAAGAGGAGGAAGATCACGATGAGAAGGTCGAGATAGCTGAATATGGTAAGTATGGAGGAATATCGAAAGATAAAGAAGTCAGCGACAATGTCACCAATACTGCTGAAGATTCTTCTTCTACTCCTGGTTCTAAATTGTTATATCAAATACTCGAAGAAACGTCATCGACTTCCAAGTCAGGTTTACTAAACTCAGACAAAAAGTATCAAATATAGGGCAATACTTTCAGCATTAATAGGCATTACTACATCATTAGACTTTTAAACGTATGGAATATAAAGTTACCTTAGTGTATAAATATGTATAAGCTTTTATCTTTGACAGGTGGTCATCGAATAGAAGAGAATGACCGTAGTGATTCATGGGAATAATTGTAATCAATCAGTGCACCAACTAATCGGGCAAGCTTAAGCACCGGAGAGAAGGGAAAGGAACAATAATAATAAAACATCATGACATTATGCAAATTTTTTGGGTAAGAATTAGTTGATAATTACTACCTCTTGTTTAAAAGTTGATGTCGGGGTTTTCATCTTGAACCTTGTCGATCTTTGGACCAAATGTAGCAACACATCTTGCCATGGTTGGAGAAGATCTGGAAATAACATCTGTAAAGTAGAAATTGTTGATAGGATTCTTCAATAAATCTCCTACTTTCGATGATGATTTGTTTATGGAAATTAAGCTTTGAATACCAAGCTTAGCAACATCTTGAGACACAGGTTCAATAACATCGTGTCTAAGTAAATGTGGTGCAATATCAGCCATTCTGGTTCTAACTGCGTATATGTCGTCATAAGGTAAGGCAGCTCCCAAATATTCAGAAACAGCTCTAATAATCTTCCAATCTTCTCTGGCAACACCTGGTGCATTGGTAGCTGCACGAGTAACTTGTGTTCTACCTTCAGTGTTGATGTAAGTGGCACTCTTTTCGGTGTAAGCAGAACCAGGCAATATAACATCAGCAAATGAAGCACCCATGTCACCATGATGACCTTGGTAGATGACAAATGCATCCTTAGGAATTTCAGAGTTCTTAACCTCGTCAGCACCCAATAAATAGATGAACTTGGCCTTGGTGTTAGCAGTTTCTTCATTGTATGTAGCAAACCCGATATCCAAGGCACCAGCACGAGATGCTTCACGTTGTAAAACGTTAACACCGTTCCATTCTGGAGCAGCAAAGTTGGAGGAATTCTTAGAAGCAAATTCGGCAACTGCTTTATAAATGGAACCAGCATCCTTTGATTCAGCAACACCTGAGCCAACAATTATAAGTGGTTTCTTAGCACCAGCCAACTTCTTACCATATTCACCATTCAAAGCAGATTCCAAGGCCTTAACATCGGTACCCAAATGTTCAAGACCAAATGTAGAGTTGAATTCTTCACCTACAGAAGCAATTTCCAAGTCAGATCTCAACCAAACCTTTCTTATTCTGGCATTCAAGACAGCAGCTTCGAATCTTGGGTTAGTACCAATCAATAAGATTTGGTCGGCTTCTTCAATGCCATCAATGGTAGAATTGAAAATGTAGTTTGATCTGAAATCAGTTCCATGAGCATCAACAGCGAGTTTCACATCAGTAGTGGTGTTTTCGGAGCCCAAAGTGTTAGTTAAATCCTTCAAAGCCACCATAGATTCAACATCGGTCAATGCACCGGCAATAGCCTTGAATTCGTCACCTTTAGGAGCGACTTTGGAGTATGCAGAGGCAATACATGATAAAGCTTCATCCCAAGTAGCGGTTTCAAACTTATCACCATTTCTTATCAAGGGAGTAGTTAATCTTTGGGTCTTCAAACCATCACAGGCGAATCTAGTCTTATCAGAAATCCATTCTTCGTTAACATCATCGTTCAATCTTGGCAAGACTCTCATAACTTCAATACCTCTGGCATCAACTCTAACGTTTGAACCAACGGCATCATGGATATCAATGGTTTCGGTTCTCTTCAACTCCCAAGGTCTGGCTCTAAATGCATATGGTTTAGAGGTCAATGCACCGACAGGACACAAATCAATGATATTACCAGACATTTCTGAATTGATATTTCTTTCTACATAGGTACCAATTTGCATATCATTACCACGACCAGCGGTACCAAATTCTGGGGCACCTGCAATATCATTCAAGAATCTAACACATCTTGTACAATGGATACATCTGTTCATGGAAGTCTTAACCAATGGACCAATTGCCTTGTTTTCAACTGCTCTTTTACCAACCACTTCTTGGAATCTACCTCTATCACGACCATATCTATGAGATTGTTCTTGTAAGTCACATTCACCACCTTGATCACAGACTGGGCAATCCAATGGATGGTTTTGCAATAACATTTCGGTGACACCTTCTCTTGCCTTTTTAATTCTTTCAGAATCAGTATGAACCACCATTCCTTCTTGAACTGGAACAGCACATGAAGCAATCAATTTGGGCATTCTTTCAACATCAACAAGGCACATACGACAGTTCCCGGCAATGGCTAACTTATCATGGAAACAGTAACGAGGAATGGTCACACCTGCCTTGTCTGCAGCTTGAATAATAGAAGAACCGGCTTCAATGGAAACGGTTTTACCATCAACAGTAACATTGACTTCGGCCAATCTTCTGGTGGAAACAGAGAGATTCCGTCTGGTGGTGGCACTGGCACTTCTTAATATAGACGCTCTTGCTGCCAACATCGCTGTATATTATTATAATGTGGGTTTATAAAGGGAGGTCTCAAACCAGCTTTAAAGATCAGAGTTGATAATAATGTCTCTCCCTGTACCAGCAAACTGAGTTGGTTCACTTTGTAACTTGGTGTGTAGTAATGCCAATTTTCACCCAATCTGATTCGCTGGAAAAATTTTCGACCTCTAAAGGGCGGGTAACCCGTGATTTGTTACGAAAGTCTAATTTCTTATAGGTTGGTGCGATTAAGGGCAAGAGACAATGTCAGGCGATAGAGTTATGAGATGGACTGGATTGATATACAACGAAGTAGGTGAACGGTCGATTATAGCGGACGAAATATAATGGACGAAATATAATGGACATCTTTAATGGCGAGGAAGTGTGATATACTTTTGAGCGGGGTTGAATCTCAGTGTGGAAACCATTGAATGGGGTACATTGATATACCTTAATTCAATTATAACTGTGATGCAAAGCATTATTTTACTTGAACTGTTAATGTCATTATTATTCCATAATAATATAGCCCGGCGTTTCTGTACCTGACTGAGTCCACTTATCACCAGAGCCGTTGAATGTCGCACATAAAAGAGAAAATGTAGTTATGGACTCTATGATAATGAGCTCTACTTCATACGTTCTCGCGCAGACCGCATTTTTAACAACAGTTGGGTTTAATGTTTGCAGATGATGAGTGATGACAACTACCAGGATGTACTAAAATACTTGTATTCTCGCGTCACGTACATGTCTCCTATACGCTGCCTTTGTAGTGTTGCCTATAACGAAAACCGATACATATAAACGCAGTGCTGCATTAAACTACATAAACCATCAAGCAACCACACATCATGTATTCCGGGGTATGTTTAAGCTGATTTCTCTTGCAATTGACTCAAAAATATTGACGTGCGTTCATATACATGCATTCGCACAACAGTTTATTATTGTGAGTATCATGCACGCCACTTGCAACCGTAAATGGTAGAAGTAGTGGTTGTAGATTGATTGTAGTCATTTACTACGGTGATGAACCAAGTTCAAGCAAAGCAGACTGTTTTTGCCATTGCCATGCCACTACAGTTACGAGCTCAAGTGTCAACGAGTAGAATGAATTGCGAGATGGCTGGCTATTTCTTCAAGAAAATATAAATTCTTTTGTATTAAAATACATTGTATCGTATTCAAATACATTGTATTGTATTCAAATACATTGTAAAACAAAGTTTCACCTTATTAGTTCAGTTCATTGTGTTATGAATATCTTTCGTTACTATCTCATGATTACCATTATTCATTAATATAATGTTTTCTATTTTTGTTCCTCCTCACTCTTGCCACCTCCACTGACAGCTAGATATACAAGGAACCCAATTAAAAGGTACCTCCAGTTTTTCTCAATCCAAGACAAGTTCTCCTCTTCAGATACTAATTTCTCCTCCTGTACCTCAACCTTGTTTCCGTCTTCGTCCTCTACAACTTTCGTCACTATAACCTTTTGCATTGGTGGCTTCCTTATATTGCCCTTCTCTTTCTTCATTTGTGCTACATTGCTGAGGACGGGAGCAGGAGCTAATCCAATCTCCTTTATAACGGCAACCTCGCCTTCAGGGTGTTCTCCGCTGGAAATGCTGATACGTGCAATGTCTTTATTTTCGTCAAGATACAACCAGAATTGTAAACTCTGTAGAGGATTGGTTGCATTGGTAATGGATGAATACAAAAAGCATTCATGGTCTTTGAGATCATTGGTATTAAAGCATTGAGCCTGTTTCACCAGCTCATGACCCCCCCTTCTTTCATTCAAAGTAAACGTAGGACCTTCTGTACTTTCTTTATTGTATGACAAGACTCCAAACTCCTTTCGTCCATAATTGATCGTGATTTCCTGACAACTACCAAGTAAAACAAACAAAGCGAATTCTGTGAAAAGACTCAATTTCATCGTGCACTGAGTGTAATTTGTATGATATTATTAGCATGAACGTATGTTATCAACAGTTTCAGTTTCGGTTTAGCTGTCTACGAATTGTTGGTATAGGCACGACAATGACTAGCCTATATGGTCCCAGTACCTAAATGATCCACCATTACCAAGTACTACACCAGTAGACCTATATAAATGTCATTGGGCAGTGCATCCCAACAGTGTCAGCAATATCTAAGAGCATGTGGCACAAGAGGAGCGTCGTTGTCTTCCACGACATTCAAAGGCACTCTCTATGAGTTGTCCTCAATGTGGATGCTAACAGAATGGCTTTATTGCGAGAGACCTGTAAGAACTGGTGGAGCAGGCGATAAGGGTGTTGATATAGTGGGGAAATGGAACATAGAGAGTTATCTTAAAGAGTACATTGATACAAGGTCACATTCAAAGAATAAGCTAGCGGCTTCGACTACCCTTTTGGGTCTGGATTTAAGTCATGATGTTAATTTCATGGCTCAATGTAAAAATACCCATCTGAAAATACGACCAGCTACCATAAGGGAAATCATGGGTATTTATAATTATCATGTTCCTAATAGTTCTCATCAAGTGAACAATTTTATGTTTCTAATATCACCTCAAGTATTAACCAAACAAGGTTACCTGGCATTTGATACTTATCCTGTTCCGTTGATCCATCTTAGATTCACGTCTTTGACTTGTGAGAATCCAAGCAAGATTTATGAGCTAGAGCATTATAAAGGAGGAATATTGGAATCCTTTTACTTAAATCATCGAGCACAAGCTCTTTTGGAGGGCTTGGATCTCACACTTCATTTACAACGATTTCTTGGGCGTAGTATAATTGATAGAATATGAAAGGAGACCATATTTATTAGGATTAAAGTGATCTATACAAATAAAAAACTAAGCAAACAAACAAATAAAATCATAATGTAAAGCAATCATTTAATTAACGAGGGTATCATATGCATAAGAAGCAAAGGAGTGAAGTGTCTTAACTAGAAAAACCACTGGAAAAATCCTGGAACTGAATGAATAGTAGTGGTAGAGTATTGTGTTGTAGAGGGAATTGTGACCCAAGAAGTGGCAGTAACAGTTTCAGTGAAGGCCCATGTCACGACTCTTCTTGGTCTGGTTGATGAAGTAGAGTCTACTACTCCAAGATCAGATACTGGAGTTGTCTTTGATGAGAGAGTAACTTCCAACTCCAGATCAGTAGTGGCTAAAGCAGCAGATGTAAATGAGGGAACTGCGGAAGAAACTTCAGCAGATGTGAGCGCAGAAGAAACTTCAACTGTTGTTTCTGACTCGAGCTGAGCCTCAGTTGATGAAACAGGTGAAGAGACTGCTAAACTTGGTGATGATGATGTTGCGACTTCAGACAGACTTAGAGCGTCAACAATATCGGAAGTAGTAGATGATTTAGCTGTAAACCAAGGCAAAAGAGTACTTACTGAACTGGAAGAAGCTGCAGTTGAGGTTGCTGAAGCACTGGAGCTTGGACTGAAGGTACTGGAAGCTGCTGCAAAACTAGTAGCAGAGGTGGAAGCGCTGGAACTGGGACTGATGATAATTGGAGCCGTAGAGCTCTTGGAACTACTAAATGTGTTGGTAGTTAAAGTGGATAAAGTACTTGAAGTTGAGCTGGTAGAGGAAGTACTCAAAGCAAGCAATGGTGTACTGGTAGCTGAAGTACTTGATGTTGTACTGGTAGATGAAGTACTTGATGTTGTACTGGTAGATGAAGTTCTTGATATTTTGGAAGATGTCAAAGCTGGTGAACTTGAATCAATCAAAAGGTTCTTCATTTGTTCAACAAAGGTAGTACCCAGGGAGTCAGTATTAGCCCAGCCAGAAGACGCATCCCATAAAGAAATACCACCAAATTGAGGGCTATCTTTGATTAAATCTAAGTATTGTTCAACCGTTGAAGCGGAAGCATAACCAGTTCCAGCAGAATTCGAGGCAGCAGGTAATCCCAAATACAACTTAATGTTGGGGTTTGGAGAAACTGAAGTAGCATAATTGAGCCAAGTTTTCCAATTGAAATTAGGACCCAAATTGCAATAATTGTTATAGAATTGGATGAAAGCAAAATCAATATCGGATTTAGCCATGGCATCACCAACACTAGCATCAGGATAAGGACATTGAGGAGCAGCTGAAATGTAATATTGTTTGCTTGAATCAGTTGCAAAATATTGTCTCAATTTTGTCACTAATGCAGCATATCCGATAGGATTATTATTTTCGATATCCAAGTCAAATCCATCGACTATGGCATTATCAAATGGTCTTTCTTCAGTTCCACTTCCAGCACCAAACATATTCCATAAGGTACCAGCAAAAGTTTCAGCTTCTGAATCGCTTTGGAACCCATAAGCACCTGAAGCACCACCAAGGGAAAGTAAAACTTTCTTACCCATAGACTGACAATAAGTAATATCAGAGCCAATGGCTGGACAATGTAAAAGACCACTGGAAAAGGTGTCTCCACATTGGTTAGCGAAATTAAGTGCAACTGAAGGAAAAGCGGTCATGAACGAGACAAGCACAATATCCACAGATGAGGAGTCACAGTAATCTCTTAACCTTTCTTGTCCACCTCCACTATTTTGACCCCAATAAACGGCAACATTGGAGCTTGCTGAGGCATCAAAGGCCAATGCGAGTTTGGAGATTAAAGAAACTGCGAATAAAATAAGTAAGGAACGTGAGTACATCTTTTGATGAAAGTTTGCTAATACAGACAGTTAAATAATTCAACGGGGGTATCAAAGGGTATATATAGGAATTAGTTAAGGCTGTAATAGGCAGCAAGTGGAGGTATAAAAAAGGCAAAGGAATGGAAGGGTGTAGGAAGAGAAATTAGTTTAATGGAAAAGCTTGAAGTATTAAATATTAAATAATCAAAGTAAAGCTCAAAAGAGGAGGGGCATTCATTCTACTTTATATTCCAACATAGGAAAATGGGCACTATTCTTAATTATTCACGGCGTGTCTATAATTTTGTTAGTATTTGTCTTCAAATTGCAGCCAATGCTTATCATTGTACCATTTGGCACCCATTCATCTCGGCACATATTCTTTTTTAGGCAAGAGATCTCTAGTTAGTTGTGGCCGGCACACGTCCTTGAGACTCCGCTTTAGCCCTGACTGCATTCCTGTTTCTATTGTTCGTGTTACTACCGCTGTGGATAAGCCCATCTGGTAACAATAACACACACCATGTTCGCTGCAACCTTTTAATAAGTTTCCTAAAGGGGGAAGGAACACCAGCCAGCAATTAGAGCATCTATTCCCGAACACAATAAATGTAGTTCATCACTAAAATGCGCGATCTGTTATTTTGTCGTTCCAACTACAACCTGAATCTGGTAAGATTCCTTAACAGGATAATCGTGCGAAGGGATGCGAAGGGATACAATTTCGTGATAGTATAACAAGCTTTACAGGAGTCATCATACTAAGGTTAGGGCGACACGAAACATTGGATTGAATGGTGGAGCACCTATTCTACACAGAGAACCCATTTCCTATATAGGATGTTTTGTTCACCATGCTACATTAATGGGATGGGTTGAGAACCTTGATTTGCGATCTGGTAATTCGATCGGAATGTTTCAATTGATGTCTTTCTCTACAACCGTCAATACATTCCGTTTCATGGTCAACAAAATATGATCTACAGTTGTAAGGGGTTCAAAAGTGAGCAGCTTTAAGGTGGCTTCTCAGTTTTAAACCAAATGGTGGTAAGTTTATGCGCAGATTAAGCCCACTGAACTTTTGGTCTCGAAAGTTAGACTATGGACATACAACTTACTATTATTAAAGGGGTCCTCGTACAGTTTTGGCAGACCAAGGGCCATGTAATCAACATATGTAATATTTTCTTAGAGGGGAGGGTCTGCTTTCCCAATAATTAGTAGACGGATTATGTTCATTAGTCGATATTATGTTAGTCAACATATTGTTAGTCGACTTATTCTTTCACCCCCGGATAAAGTATAGCTCGTCAGGCAATATCGACTTTTGAATTTGTGCGGTAGCACCCCGAGACATCAAGTGTAGAGAAAATAAAATGTTAAATTTGCAAATGGCTGGTAGTCGCACCCCAACCTAGTAATTTGACGTACACCCTCTAAAATTATTACAACGAGATTCTCCATCTATGCAACCTGATGTTATCTATCTCGCAGACCATCACCCATTGTTAATCGCTTTATTGTGTGTAACATCGGAACCTTAGTGAGCAAAATGTGAATAAGCTGTTTACTCGACGGTAAGTACCTTTTTCTTGACTCTCTACACGATTTGCTCTTTCGCGTACCACCACTCCTCGTGTTTTGTTTATGATGGTTGACGGTGAAAGGAAGGTCCAGCCAAGATGCTATCGTACTATTGACAACAACTTTAATACAAACATTTAGTACAAACATTCAATTTACAAATGGCAACAATATGAATGCATTCGCATGACGAAACTCAACATGCTACCACCCAACACTCACTACTAATTTGCAATGTTTGAAATAGGCTTGTGTACAGCATAATTGTGTTGTACTTTTTTCTTCGGTCCTGTTTATACTTTTAGTTATAGTTTAACAATCTGGTCATAATTTGGGGCCATTGAAAGTTCAAGTAATAGCACCACCTTGTGTAGTATTCTTTACAATCGATGTACAATCAAATTCCTACACATGTCAGATTTTGTTCTTTACTGAGTCATTCATTTTGAAGTTTGTGGTAAAGAAGTTATATTTTAACTGACATCATTGAATTTTTTGGCCTCGACCCATTGTTGTCTATAAGATGGAGGCTGGTACTGTTGAAGTTTTACTCTTTAAGAAAGAAATTTGAAAAAAATCTCCTATTGTTGGTCTGGCGAACATTCAAAAAGCTGGTACGTCTTTCCTCAACTGGTCATGTTATTGATTGTTCTTACAAGAAGAGCGGATGCATATTTCGTAACACAATCTCTCTCTGACGGGGACGAAGTGAAAATGCACCACGATGAAACTGGAGGACTAGTATTAATACATGTGATGTGGCACGTGACAAAGCAATTTTGTCTGGTTTCAACACGAAGTCAATGTAGTTTCTTTTAATTAGGTAATGAGTTGTCGTTTAAAAAGTAAGAAATCAGTACGAACTTTTGTTTATTGCAAAATCGGCCATATGCATATTCATTTCGTTTCTTACATAGAGGAGGACTACAGTTTTTATATATGGGCTTTCAATAAAAGGAAGTTCATGTTTTTTCAAAGATTTAAATATTCGATAGGAAGACTATAAACTTCATTCGAATTATACAAAAAGCCATGAGTAAACTCCAGGATGTGGGATGTTGCCTGTATTTGCCTGCGAGGCTTTAGAGGAAGTAGCAGAGGTGCCTATGACACGAATTGAAAGGTAATTAGGGAATCACCAAAACTCAAACCAAACCACGAAGAGTGCCAGATCAACCCCATGGGATATTTTCTTCGTTGAGAAAGAAGTATTATGCCCTAGAATTGTAGAGGACAGGGAAATGGCCTGTTCACGTTTATTACAGTCAGGCAGTAGGGCTAGCTGCGAAGTTCACCACCTACATGAGAATGCCTGTTCTCAATAAAGCTATAAAATAGAACAGAATCCCCAGGAACAAGACCTATCATTGGGTCCAACTCTACGTTGCATATAACCTAATGTTTTACGTTCTGCTACTATTAAAAATGCTATACTTAATAATACTGATGGAAGCATTTTTAATAATTCTATAAATTGTAACATATTTAGTTATTGATATAGCCCCTATAACAGATAATATTAATGTTAATCAAGTTATCATTGTTAATACAGCATATTCAGTTTGATTGCCTACTGTTACTAATTCTGATGTTACTAATTCATCTATTTTCATTATTATTCCGTATGTTTCACTAACGGTTTTAAACATATCGTTATTATTGTCATAAATAATGATTAGAATAGAGCTCCATTTGCCCCAGTAGACCACATTGGGCCCTCAAAATAAGATGAAAGTTTACGGTGTATACAAAAGAAGCTAAGACTCCAACCACATATTACACTACATTTTTGTAGAAATATGTTTCTTTAGAATATAAACTAAATTTCTCTTAATAAATTAACTCACCTTACTAACACGCAAGAAATATTCAATATCAACTGTACTGTCATACTATCATACTCTGATACTTATCAACATTTCATATTCTCATAACAGGAAGTTTGTCATGGTTTGTTTAAAGTGAAATTACCATTTGGAGTTCAATTTTTGTGAACAACCCCTTCTCTCCCCTTTACTTCACCGCTGATACAGCAGTCTCCACACCGTCACAGGTTGCGGTTTTTACACAGTTCAAGGCTCAACCAGTAGGTGATCTGGGATCAAATCTTATTACCCAATTAGGCAGGCAAGTCGAGTTTGTGCTACAATTCTCGCCGAAATACACCTGCTGTCCATAACTAACAAAACTACTGTACAGTGCCCAATAACCTATACAGGGTACATATACTCTATTGTTCTCGCTTCCCAACATCATCAACACCCATAACTTAACCCCCTCCTTTGGGTATATTTGGGTACAAACAACTTGAAACTGATTTCCATGACGACCCTGGATTGGAAATGAAATGCTACTCGGCAATATTCAACACAGCTCAGCAGAGAAACTAATCGAACATAGGATCAGTTCTTATAGTTCTTATAACACAAAGCAAGAACAACTGCTTCGTGGTAAACACGATTCCTTTGTGTACAAATAGTATTTCCCCAACAAATGCTTAGCGTTGCACGAGGCAGTGTTAAGTAGATCAATCGCTCGACGAAAGTATACTAAGTTGAATACTAACGTAGTTCTAAGTTATATACCCAATTGCTATCTAATTAGGGGCGGGCACTCGTAGTTATTAGATAGCAATTATATGTTCATTCAAGAACTTCAGATGTCCACTATAAATCTGGAGCTGATCAAGAGAGCAACTAAATCTCTCATTCACATGTGATTGCTTCATAGGAAACAAAGGTTTAGGGGTAAACCTGTATATTTGGTTCAGAAACAATAGGACAATTTTGTATTCCGGCGAAATTTCGGCGGGTAGTAGTTTGTGTTAGTACTATAACATCCACCAATACCGTGGGAAATAAACCTAAGGGTGGCCCACTTCCCCTATTTTTGAACTCAAGTCCAAGTAGCATAAATAGCAGACAATATTTCCATTTTTCTTCAAAAGTCTACTTTAGTTTTTCTTTTCTTTATTCTTCATTCAATCTTCTCATACAATCATGGCTTCTAAAATTAAGTTCAACTCTGACAAGGCTACCGAAAGGGACGGTGCTTTATACACCAAGTTCAAATACGAAAACTCTATTGTCTCTACTGATGCTGCTACTGGTTCTCTTCAAGTCACCCCTACCAGTGTGGACTATGAATTCAAGGTTGACTTGAAGGTTCCTAAGTTAGGTCTTATGTTGGTCGGTTTAGGTGGTAACAACGGTACTACCCTTCAAGCTGCTGTTTTGGCTAACAAACACAACATCTCTTTTGAAAACAAAGAAGGTGTTGTTGAGCCAAACTACTATGGTTCTGTTACTCAATCTTCTACTATTAAGTTGGGTGTTGATGCTTCTGGGAACGATGTCTATGCTCCTTTCAATTCCGTCTTACCTTTTGTCAGCCCTAACGACTTTGTTGTTGGTGGTTGGGATATTTCCAGTGTCCCTGCTGATAAGGCTATGAAGAGAGCTCAAGTTTTAGACGTTGATTTACAAAAGAAATTGCGTCCATACTTGGAAGGGAAAACTCCATTGAAGTCTGTCTACTACCCCGATTTCATAGCAATGAACCAAAAGGAAAGAGCTGATAACGTTATCAACGTTGACTCTAAGGGTGAAGTAGTTACTGACAGAAAATGGGCTGATGTTGAACAAATCAGAAAGGATATCAACGAATTCAAGACTGCCAACAAGTTGGATAAGGTTATCGTATTGTGGACTGCCAACACTGAAAGATACGCTGATGTTGTTGCTGGTGTTAACGACACTGCTGACAACGTAGTCCAATCCATTAAGAACAACCATGCTGAAATTGCTCCATCTACTGTCTTTGCCGTTGCATGTATTTTAGAAAAGGTTCCTTTCATCAATGGTTCTCCACAAAACACCTTTGTTCCAGGTGTTTTGGAATTGGCTGAAAAGCACCAATCATTCATTGGTGGTGATGACTTTAAATCTGGTCAAACTAAGATGAAGTCTGTTTTGGCTCAATTTTTGGTCGATGCTGGTATCAGACCAATTTCTATTGCTTCATATAACCATTTGGGTAATAATGATGGTTATAACTTGTCATCACCTTTACAATTCAAATCCAAGGAAATCTCCAAGCAATCTGTTGTTGATGACATTATTGACAGTAATAAAATCTTGTATAATGACAAGAAGGGTAAGACTATTGACCATTGCATTGTCATTAAGTATTTGAATGCTGTTAAGGATTCCAAGGTAGCAATGGATGAATACTACTCCGAATTGATGTTGGGTGGCCACAATAAGATCAGTATTCATAACGTCTGTGAAGACTCTTTATTGGCCACACCATTAATCATTGATTTGGTTGTGATGACCGAATTCTTCCAAAGAATTACATACAAGAAGGAACTGGATTCTGACGATAAATATGAAAACTTCTATGCTGTCTTGACATTATTGTCATACTGGTTGAAGGCTCCATTGGCCAAGCCTGGATTCCAACCTATCAATGGGTTGAACAAACAAAGACTTGCTATTGAGAACTTGTTGAGATTATTGGTAGGATTACCAGTTAACAACGATTTAAGATTCGAAGAAAGATTACTTTGAGTAGGTTAAAATGTTTCTGTTAGTTATTCCCTTTTAATTCATATTTTAATTTTGGCGTATATATTCACCAATGTTTCTTATCTGGAACAATATTACCGCGATAGAGATCTACATAATCGACTAAGCGGATTACTTATACTTGATTATGCTTTTTAGATGACTATATTAATTAATTCGTCAACCAGATTCACATATTTAATAATGTAGACTGTATGTGATGGTGGTGATAAGCTGCTTTTGTACTACACACAATTTCTCGAAAAGGAAACAGTCCGCTTTGTAAGTTAAAGAATTGCCTAATTAAGACAAGTGCGCTTTCTTGTCAATCCTGGGGTTGATAAGAGCTATTACAAAAACTGTTGAACGATTATTCGAATGCAAAAGAGACTGCAACAGTGCAACCAGAAGAGATCAAAATGCAGCTTAAGGATATGAATTAAGTGGATTCGTTCAAAGGTCTGATTTAGGGACAAATAATAACCATTTGGTAGTGATAGAAAATACGGGACTTTGGAAAGCACAAAGCTAAATTGATAGTATTTATCTCTCCACATTTCAGCAATAGAAGTTGATCTAACTTATAACAAAGATAAACATAGTTCACATTGTGCGATTAAGTATAGAAGTAACTATTAGTTTGTTTGCTCGTCTCGAATCATTATCTTATTTCCGGATTACCTCTTTTGGCAGTAGGCCCGACAACAGTCAACCCCATCTCTGATACTGGTTAGAGGAGACAGCAAGCACATTCGAAATAACCCTAATTGCTTTGATTTCAAAGGAAAACGGTGTTACTTTACGTACTCAGATGTGGTTCGAATTACCTGTTTGGCTGTGACCATTGGATTACTGTTCTACTATTGCGGGGAAGGTACCTGCCATCGTCGTCTTGTGGTAATATGTTAGTTTTTAGTGTATGACCAGGAATCCTAACTAACAATATAACCGCGCAATTGAGGATCACTCTAATAGTAGAAACAGTTTCAGAACAAAAATCATTAGATCTTCATCGTAACTGTTTTACCATAAGTTCCCGGTCACGTCATCTTGTGTGGAGCAAATTGTACACCATAAACGGCTGGAAAAACTTTCCTTAAGGTTTAGAAAAGCTCCTTTCCATCCCTACACGTTTTTTGTTCTCACGTCTCACCTCTCTCCGATAGTTGAGCTGTAGATGTCTATATCTTCCGTAGCTGTAGTTTTGCCACGCATTATAGTATGAACGTCTGAGGATCTGAAAGCGGGATTACGTTGGGTAATGCATTGGCTCAATGGGCGGAATTAAACAAAGGGTGCGGATGATTCTCAAAGTGGTAATTGCATTATGTTCCACTATTAGTTCTACAGAACATAGTAGTGTAGATTATTCAGTCAGCTGTAAGCAGATAGCTCACCCATTCATAGCCATTTTGTGATCACCTGTAAGCGGGAAGTTGAAAAATAAAGTATCGATCGTAGGCGATAACTAATTCAATATGTGGGGCACTGTGTTGATAAGGTATAAAAACCATCATGATCCTCTACAAAAGTTTATTAGATTTCATATAATTTCTAATTTGATCAAGTAAAACGACTTGTACCTACTACAACAAGCTTTACAGATTACACAACATATATTTATTTTGAACAATATGACAGAGGCTGATATCGTCCCTGGTACCGTTCATTTGGTTGATATAGAGGGTTTCCTTCATGTCAAGAAGGAAACAGGCTCTAAACATAATATTATTCTTGTACCTCAACCAACTTCTAACCCCAATGACCCTCTTAGATGGTCAAAAACTAAAAAGAACTTACAATTTTTGCTTGTATGGTTCTGGGCTTTCATGTTGGCTGTTAGTGTGGCCTTTTTCGGTTCGTTATATGGAGTTTGGATATCAGAAGAAGGGTATACTATTGTTAAATTGAACAACATGGTGGGATTGCTTTATGCTTTCCTAGGTATTGGCGTGATTACGTTACAACCAACTGCAATGAAATTGGGTAGACGTTTCGTCTACTTGATATGTTCCGTCATTTCTTTAGTGGCTTTGGCTGTTGGTGGAAGCGCAAAATCAATAGCTTATCTTTATGCTTACGGTATTTTAAGCGGATATTCAGCAGCACCTGTTGATTCTTTGGTAGAAATCAGTGTTACTGATACCTTCTTCAAACATGAAACTGCTACGTATTTGGGTTACGTTTTATTGGCCCTTTATGCTGGTTCTTTCTTGGGCCCTACAGCTGCTGGTTTTATTGTTGAAAAGCATAGCTGGAGATGGACCTATTGGACTCAAATAATCATTATTGGGGTCACATTTATTGTTCAAATCTTCTGTATGCGTGAAACTTTGTTCAGTAGACTGAGATACACGAAGAATGACAACCTTGAAGATAATATTCTTTCTCAAATCCAGTCCCATGTCAGTGGTGCATTACCAGAAGAATCGGAGAAACAATATAGTGCTGAAACTGATAACGTTTCTTTATCTCAAGATATTGAAAACATGGGAGAAGTGGATCCAACTATTGCACCTCGTACTTACATGGAAAAGTTGAAACCTTATGAAATAACGTACAATGATGAACGTTCTTGGTTGGTTATATTCTTGAGACCATTTGTTTGCTACTTCCCAGGTATTATTTACGGTGCTTTGGTCTATGGTGCTCAAATTGCATGGCTTTCATTATTAACTACAACACAAGCTACTTTGTTTGGTGCCCCACCATATAACTTTGCTCCAGACATGGTTGGTACTACTGGTGTGGCAGCTTTTATTGGTGCTACCTTTGGTATGCTTTATGGGGGTAAATTCTCTGATTACTTGATTATTCGTTTGTCAGAGAGAAACAAAGGTGTTTTTGAACCAGAATTCAGATTATGGGCCATGATTATTCCAACATTAATCAACGCTGCTGGTATTCTTGCTTACGGGTTGGGTATCAATAATGGTGTCCACTGGGCAATCCCGGTAATTATCGGTAAAGGATTCTTAGGTTTTTCTATGAGTGCTACTGGTTCAATTACATTGACATACGCTATTGACTGTTATCCTAAGATGGCTAGTGACGCATTTGTATTGATGCTATTCATCCGTAACTGTATTGGTTGTGGCTTTACATTCGGGTTTGAACACTGGTTGATTGCATGTGGATTAAGTCAATTGACTTGGTTGTTGTTCATGATTAGTATTATCATAAACGGTTCGTTTATCTTCTTCCTAAAATGGGGTAAAGATTTCAGAAGAATGACAGCCAAAAGATACTTGAGGTTGGCTAAAACTGGTGGGTCAACTCACTAAAAAAGATCTTCGTTTCAGAATGTGTAATCTTTGATGACTAGAACAGAATGTAGTAGAGCTACGTATGTTTCATTTTAGTATCACATTAGTTAATGGTAATCTACGAATTTCTTGCTTTTATAATACGATAAGATCAAATATGTAGAAAATTAATATGAAATAATACTGAAGGAATACAATTGAATACATAGCCATAAGCTCGTTTGACAATAGGAATATTCAAGAACTTTATCTCAAATTGCACAAGGAACTTTTTACCTAATGTATTTTATATATTGGGTTGTGGCATACTCACGTCCAAACAAAGAATAATTTTATTGTCAAACTGGACAACATCAACAGTGCAAGTGACATTAAGCTCAGTGAAATGGGGTTGATATGACCGTACCACTTTTGGTGCAAATATGTACTGTTCAATACAGCACAAAATAAAATGTTGTCGTGTTGAAAAATACGAGCATTCTCGTGACATATATGTACGTTGGAGTCGGACAAGGAAGCAATAATTAACTGGTTTTCAATACAATAAAGACACAGACATACGATTTTTTAACTACTCATTCTTATCATGATCCATTTTATAGGTAATGGTGTCAAGGTCTTTATACCAAATTCGTAGGTCGTAGTTAACACTAAAGAACCCTCCACAGGTCAAGTCTATGAAGCATGAAGTATAAGCAACTAAACTTCAGTGGTGTTTTTGACCCATTTATGCAGGTGTATGCTTTGCATCAGCCGTTTGTTGAATAATGTACAAACGTGCAAGAGACCAAGATGGTTTGTCAGAAGATCTTCGTCACGAAACACAAAACTGACCTCGGTTCAGTATAGTCAATGCGTAATTCGCTTACGATGATACCCAACAAAAGTCGGTGGCCTTTACAATATATCACACTAAATACTAAATTCATTTCAAACAGTTGGGTTTCAATTAAATTCTCGCCACTGATGGGCTGTAAGTACCCAACTCACATTTGTAGGGAGACAAAACATCATGTATTTGAAGCCGATTTTTGGGTGCGTCCACAGATATCCTAACGCTTGCAATGGATTTTTGAGCCTATTGTAATAGCCGACAAAACTTTTGCATGTAACCAATGAAGGTTGCAAAGAATAGAAATAGAAACGTTTACGTAACCATACATAATGATTATGGTAAGAAAAACCACCGTACCATACAAATTACTCTATCCTACTCAAGTCATTCTCATCTATTCTTACCTTTTACGTAGCCAAGCACAATTCTAGCAATATGATGATGATCATCATGAAAATGACGATAATAATAATGTCAATACTAAATTACCAGTACTGCACGTCTACAGCTTGCTAAGTGGTTCCCCCGCATTAGTAGATTTCCAAGAAACTTCTTTGACCAAACCAAACCACTAACACCATACCATTACAATTGGTGTTGAAGGGAAGCAGTGACATGATATATAAACTATAACATCAGAGACCTCCTCCTCGGCATTATCAGCCTGTCAAGCTCTATCCCCAACAATTGTTTTAAAGCTGAACAAACTACCCAATCTGTATAAACAGAAAATCACAACGCCAGAAACAGCAATAGACAGAATTAGCTGTCTCCCCCCTCACTTTTGTGCCATCCAGATAAAGTGACAAGAAACAAATGCACATTTTTAACTCCCTAATTTGTACAACTACAGGGGGGTTCTCCTCTACTTTCTCCCCTCCTTTGGAGCAAACCACCTACCGTATATAAGGAGTGGTATCTCACACATTATTGTTACGGAGCATACTACAATTTAGTACAGTTCGAACTAATCAAGTACTGAATTGAACTAAACATAGCTCAATCATAAAAACAGAGTTTATTCAGTAAGCCAATTCACAACTTTGTTCAACCTTCAATTCCATTATTGTTTTTGGACTCAATTGGACGTGCTACTATCATTGGTTTTCTTGTACTGACTCCCTAAAAATTTTTGGGTAATTAATTTGTTGTTCCGTGTTTGGTGGCTTGGAAATAGCATAGCGTAGCATTGCAACGTGAGACCAACCAACCAAAAAAAGCAGAGCACACTTGAAGATAGGTGTTTCTTATATAATTGGTCATATTACTGATATCGTTTTACTATCAGTCATACTACTAACACTACATTAATAATACTACCTTTATCCTAAGTATTATTGTCAGTCTTAGCTTTAGCCTTTCCTCCCGAAAACACAAAAGGCTGGTCTGCATATTTTGCCGCATAGTTACACATACGTACTTCCTTCCCAGTTGGGTGGCGGAAGTTAAAAACATATACAATCCGTGTTCTTTTTCTTTGATCAATTGGACCTTGTAAAGCATCAATTATGACTGTACAATTAACTGTTCCTGTTGGCGAAGCCAAAACCGGTGAAACCGCGCCAAGAAGAAAGGCGTCCCAAAAGAATGGTGCTGTTGAAAGACCCTTGGACAGTAAGGCTACCACCATTAGAGAGTTTTTTGAAGAATGCGTTGGCCGGTTTTCCAACCTCAAATGTATGGGTTGGAGAACTTTAATTGATATTCATGAAGAAACTAAGCAAGTCACTAAAGTCGTTGATGGCGCACATGTAAAAGTTGACAAGGTGTGGCAGTTTTATGAATATTCAAACTATAAATATCAAACATTTGCTGAAGTTTTGCAAACTGTTGAAGCCTATTCCAGGGGTTTGATTAAAGTTGGTTTGAAACCTAATCAAGTGGATAAGTTACATATTTACGCTCAAACTTCCCACAAGTGGATGCAATCATATTTGGCTGCATCATTCCAGAATATCCCAATTGTTACCGCTTATGACACTTTGGGTGAATCTGGTTTGATTCATTCTCTTGTCCAAACTGGATCTAATGCCATTTTCACCGACAATGGGTTGTTGAGCTCTTTAATCAACCCCTTAAAGAAAGCTGAAAATGTCAAGATTGTCATATATTTTGATACTGTTGATCCTCAAGATAAGCGTATGAATGGTACTTATTATAGTAATGCCCAAAAGGCCATTGATGATATCAAGAAAATTCGTCCAGATATTAGCTTTTATTCTTATGATGAATTAATTGAATTGGGTAAAGCTAACCCTGATATTCCATTACAAACATCTAAGCCAGAAGATTTATCCTGTATTATGTACACTTCTGGTTCTACTGGTGAGCCAAAGGGTGTTGTTTTAACTAACGCTAATGTTGTTGCTTCTGTTGGTGGTGTTTCATGTGTAGCTGGTAGAAATGTTGTCAAGAAGGGTGACAGAGTTATTGCATTCTTACCTTTGGCTCATATTTTTGAAATGGCTTTTGAATTAATGTCCTTCTGGTGGGGTAGTTGTTTGGGTTATGCTACTGTGAAAACTTTGACCGATGCCCTGATTAAGAATTGTAAATCTGATATGGTTGAATTCAAACCCACTGTAATGGTTGGTGTGGCTGCTGTTTGGGAAGCAGTTAGAAAGGGAGTTCTTGCCAAAGTTAAAGATTTACCTACTCTTACCCAGAAGATCTTCCACTCTTGTGTTGCTGCCAAACTGTCTATGTGGAAGTACCATATCCCTGGCAGTGGAATATTTGATCCAATCTTTAAAAAGGTTAAGGCTGCTACTGGTGGTGAAATTCGTATTCTTTTGAATGGTGGTTCTCCAATCTCCCATGATGCACAGGAATTCATTTCACTTCTTATTGCTCCTATGTTATTGGGTTATGGTTTAACTGAAACTGCTGCCAACGCTACAGTTGTTGAATTATCACACTTTGAATATGATGTTGCTGGTACTTTAACTGGTGCCATTACTGCCAAGTTAGTTGATGTTGCTGATGCAGGATACTATGCAAAGAACAATCAAGGTGAAGTTTGGTTAAAGGGTAAATGTATTGCATCTCATTATTACAAGAATGAAAAGGAAACATCCGAAGCATATGAAGATGGTTGGTTTAAGACTGGTGATATTGGTGAATGGACTGCCAATGGTGCATTAAAGATCATTGATAGAAAGAAGAATTTGGTTAAGACATTGAATGGTGAATATATTGCGTTGGAGAAGTTGGAATCTATTTATAGATCCAATCCTAATGTGTTGAACTTGATGGTTTATGCTGATCAAACCAAGGTTAAGCCAATTGCTGTTGTTTTACCCAATGAAAAGCATATGAAGACATACTTGGCTGAAGAAAAGGTTTTCTCCCTTGAAGAACTTGATAACAAAGATATGGCCCATTTGGTTGACGATCCAAATGTTGTCAAGGCATTCAACAAATCTTTGTTGGCTACAGGTAAAGCTCAAGGATTGAAGGGTATTGAATTGCTTCAAAATGTTGTTTTGTTGGATGAAGAATGGACACCTCAAAATGGATTTGTGACATCAGCTCAAAAGTTACAAAGAAAGAAGATTTTGGAATCTTGCAAAGACAAAGTTCAAAAAGCGTATGGATCTTGATAGTTAATATAATTTTTGATATTTTTATTTCTCTGTTTTAGCGTGGACCCTTGATGATAGTAAAGTCCAGGCTTATTGTTATTACTCCGTTACATATTAATTATATATGTATAGTGTTAATGTATGAATATTTGCAATTGTATTAGTGTGTTTTTATCCACCGTATACACCTTGAAATATGCCCTTGATCTCAGACACAGAATACCCATTAAGCAAACATAATTGTAGCAAGATTCTTGATTTCTGCGGATTCAAATAGCCGCTAGCAATGGCATTATCAAACCCTTGGATCTTTGGTAATGAACCAGTAGGTACCATACCGTCCATTGATCTTTTAGAATAGATGATTGGAATCTTATTATTTTTGGTCACGTGATACAATCTTTCGTTGGTAGTTTGATTCATGGACCCAGCACCCATAGTAGCCAATACCATCCCCTTGGCATTGAATTGGGTTACCAAGACATCTATTAATTCGTTGTCAAACCCCTGGTGAGCATAAATAATACAAACCTTGGGTAAAGTTTGGATAGGAGCTTGGACTGACTCCAAATTGAAGTACATCACCCCTAATGGCTTAGAAGCAGGCCAATAGTAGTGGATTTCATTGTTAACAAAATTACCAACATATCCTTGACCATTACTCTTGAAGGTGTCTAAGGAGTTAGCATTGGATTTGGTGATATAAAACCCAGATCCTATTCTATCGTTCAAAGCCACCAAAACACCTCTATTTCTGCTTTGTTGAGAAGCAGCGATGGCTATGGCTTGATACAAGTTCATGGGACCATCAGAAGAAATCGCAGTGGAAGGTCTCATGGATCCACACAATACTATTGGTTTATAAGTATTAATAGTCATTTGAAGAAAGAAGGCTGTCTCTTCCATGGTGTCAGTTCCGTGGGTTATGACAAACCCATCATAATGAGGTAAATCCTCCACTATCTTATGATAAAGTGAAAGAACTTCTTCATCACCCATTTCCTTCAGATCCAAGTTCATAACTTGTTCATATTGTAAGTTACAAGTAGTTGAAAGATCAGGAATCAGTTGAATAAGATCTTCAATGGTCAAATCAACTTCATAACCGGCTGTTTGATGAGACGAAGCTCCTTTAGAGGCTATAGTACCCCCAGTACCTAATACCTTGATGTTAGGAAGGGCGTGTGAAAGTCCTTCACCTTCTCCCCCTGTAATACTAAAGGCACTAGCACTAGACACACTATGTGAACGGGTATATTTGATTTTATAGATTTGGTTATCTGTGCCTTCGACTGTCATTGTAACCCGACCTTCTGCTGCTGCTGCTGATGATGATGATGATGGTGGTAAAGGTATTTCAGTATTCATATCAGATAGTTAACAGGTATTTAACAGTATTTGTATATTGATACTTTTGTTACTAGGGAGATTCATATACGTTATATATGCCAGTAACCCCGGTAACTCTTCAAGTAGAAAAACCGTAAGGCGAAATTGATAATGGGGTCCGATGAGCTTCTGACATGGCCCTGTGGCATTACTGTCGATACTGTATATGAGATGTGGGGGAAAGTGAGAAAGAAGATCAAGTAGTGCTAATGCAACACGGTAGCACCGACCGAAAATCTACAAGTGATTTACCGTTAGGCGTAATGCCAGAGTAATGCCATACCGTGAGTGAGTCAGTCAGTCAGTCAGTCAGACACACAGACACTATGGGGTTCTTTTCCAAGAATGAAACAAACGATATGCCGCCCAATAAGTCGGCACGTAAAATATGTTGGGAATCCAGAGACTTGTTCTTTGACTGTTTAACCGCAAATGACATTGACAATTCCTTAGATCCAAAGGAAGAATCCAAAGTATCACTGCAATGTGGAAGCTTACGAGAAGATTTTAAGAACAAGTGTGTGGCTTCCTGGTTTGAATACTTTCAACAGAAAAGATACCAAGATATAAGAAGAGACAGGTACATAAAGCAGTTGGAATCAGAAGGTGCTCAGCCATTGCCATTTAAGTTAGAGCCCCCAAGAAAGTGAGGGAACAACATTCTTGTATATAGACTATTATATATATATATATATATATATATATATATATAAACAAATAGGTGGTACCCACATATGTATGGTATGTATCCATATGTATGAATATAGTATACTATACCGCACTTATTGTAATGGGTTCGAGTCCCACCACCTGTTCTTGGGTCTCACCATTTAAAAGATCTAAAACCATTCCCCACTCATAGATTCCAATCTCTAATATGGTAAAGCTCAATTGTAACTCTATTGTCTGGTTGGGTCTTATCATTTGTCCCAAGTGTTGTTGCATCACTCCATTGAATAGTATGCGACGATCTATGCTTAATTGATTCCGGGCCGGGGAACCGTTCTTCAAAAACGGAACGTGACGAAAGATCCCATCAATGTCTCGTTTACCTCCATTGTGGATCTTAGTTCTCAAAATATAAAACTGTTCAGTTGTCAACTGATATTTCCCATCCAGTTGTTCACATTCAGTACCATCTTCTGTCTCGATAGTGCTTGTCATTTGAATCTCCGGTAGTAATAATATGTCGAGCATTGGTTCCGTCAATCGTATAGACCGGAACTGAATATCTCCATAGCGAGTTCCGGGTCCCTTGATGGCATTGGAGGCCCACGAACCGGTTAAATTGTTTAGCAACTCTTCTCTTAACCAGAAAAGTCTCCGCATACTCTTGTCTTCTGCTTCAGAGATGGAATAGTTCTTGATAAATTGCTTGTTTCTCAAAGATGGTATAGCATCTGTTAAATTGACTTCATTGTGTTGGATTCTTTTAATCGGTAAAAAGTATCTGGTGGTGATGCCAGCTTCCACTTCTTCATTGATCTGAAATCCTGTCGATTTATATCCAATCTCACAGTGCAACTTCAGATTCCAATTGTTTCTTAAATCAAATACCAAAAGGCAATATTCATAAATATCTTCTGTTTTGGAACCTTGAATGCCATCAATGAATTTCAAAAGTTTGCAAAGGTTATCTGTATGTAAAATACCTTCAGATTGTTGTTGCTGCATAGCATCTCGTAAAGTATTGGAGAAAAGTGGTAGTAAATGGAACCCAATGATCTCTAACGTTGGCATGATACTAATTCCGATTGGAATGTAAAATTGCTTAACATAACTCTTCATGGTATCAGAAGCAACTCTGTGAGAATAATCTAAAATTATCTTCAGTTCTTTTATTCCTCTCTTGCAAAATATTTCATATTCAATAGTTATCTTTTCATGTGGTGGGATGGTTTTGAATTTATTGGCAACCTCGTCCTTGTTCACAATACTGAATGGTTTGGATTTTAATAAAAACCATTCAATTTCATACATCTCTGCTGGTGTTAGGGTCTGATAGCCTTGGTTGAGCTTCTTACTCAATGGTTCAATTGTTGAATCCCAAAATGAAAATGACAAATAATTAATCAAGACATCAGATTTGTTAACCAATGAAATACTGAACGTCACCCGTTCTCCTTCAAGAAGCATGAGCCATCCATTGGTAATCAGAATACTATCCAATACAAGTGTTGGCTGAGGTGGAAGAACATTTATGGTAATTGTCTTTGTTAAAACCCGATTTTTAATATTATTATTCTCCAAATTGGATATAATATTAGACAATGGAGAACCTGTAGTAGATGGTTTAGACTCAGATAGACGTAAATCCTTGACTTTCATTAAAACAGAAGGAAATTCACTTTCAACAATATTAAAGAATTGAGCCCTACAATTACTCAAACCTATTTCAAATCCTTTAATGATGATTTCCCCAGTTGCTAAACTCTTAAACAGGACTAGAAATTGTTGTATTGAATTGGGAGCAATGATAAGATTTGTTGGATGGTGTTTCACAAGCGAAGAAGGATCTTCTGTAACAGCATGAGTTGATTGAAGTAATGGAGAAATATTGGCTGGTGAAGCAGAAACATTATTAATACTACCTCCACCATTCAAGCTTGAAGAGGAATTCGAAGGCCTTTTATAATTTTGAATGCCAACACTGGGGACAGTTTTCTGTTGTTTGGTCATCAGCTTGGAGGATACTATGCTATTAGACTCAACAACAGGTCTTGTCAAATGTTGAAGGGTTTGAATTTCATCTTCAATCTCAGAAACAATCTTCAATTCATTGATCTCAATTTTAAAAGCGAAGGGGTTTTGTAAAGTTAGAACCAATTGATAAACTTCATTAACAATAAGTAAGTCTTCCACTACTTGAGGTTTGGCTTTCGTGTAAGGATCAAACACACCTGCTTTTGTCTTTCCTTCGAGAGGAGTATCTTGTACTTCATATTCATCAAAGGGTAAAAGCTCATTTTTACTTCTTGTGATACTTAGTCTAGCATCTCTAACAATGAATGGGTCCCAATATGGAGTGTGCAATTCGATACTGTTTCTTCTTGATACGAAAACACTGTAGTCTATCATTTCTTTTAGTCGAATTTGATCATTAGGCGGTAAGCAATGAGTATACCTTGTTAATAGCACTGAGCATACCTTAAGCAAAAAGGGATAATCCTTCATGATTTCTGCAACATTCATACATAACCGTAAAAGCAGTATCTGTAACGATATCCAATTACCTTGCAGATTCAAATAAGCATCTTTAATGTTCTCTTCCGGTTTTGAAGTAACCTTGTATGCTTCAAATAGCATTTCAAACAAAGAATATATGCTAGAAACATCATTACCACCACCTTCTCTTGACATTTGTTTAATGCTCTCTGAAATACTGTCAGGCTTTTCCTTTAATTTCCTCGATAGGCTGACAATAAGGGTTCTTAAAATGAATGACTGTTTCCTGTGGGCCTTCAATTCAAAATATATAGAGGCCAAAACACAATAAATGTTACATTGCTCAACAAAATCGATTTCAGTAAGTTGAATAAGGTACACATTATCCAATTCTCTTAGTATTTCTTCTCTTGAATAAAATTTTGATGATTCTTCTTGTTGTGGTGTATTAACAAGATTTGTTAATGATTTTGTCACTTCGGTCCCCAAACGACGAATTTGAATCATAAACTTGGTTGCTCTTAAAATGTACTCTGCAAGTATAACATCAGGTATGCAATTTTCGAAATCAGAAGTACTCAAATGATAACTTTTTAGTATTTTATTATGGACCAATTTGAACAACTCCGGGAATAAGACATCATTCAATTCACCACCATTAATACTGTTACGTTGACTGGCTAATGAATTTCGGGGTGTGATTGAATTAGGAATGTTGACCTGAGGCGTGCTGTTACTTGATGATAGCGCAGATCTTATTGAATCCATTGAGCTTCTTGTGGTGGAGGTGGTGTCTAAGGACGCAAGGGATTGTAATTTTTTAGATGAAATTTGTAATGCAGCTGTTAATGCAAGTACTGGCATTTGAAAGTTAGCTCCAATATATTGAAGTAAAGCAATTGTTATAAGCATACCTTCAAGAGCACTTCCAAGCCAAAGATAATCTTCACATTTTTTCAAAGCTAGTATTGCCTCTGAAAACTCATTCATGGCGTCAGTATATTTCCCTGCTAGAAGATAGAAATTACCCATGACTTTATTCTTCCTACCAACATGCTGTAATTTCATTTTAGTTTCAATCAGTGAAGATATAAAATTCCCGGAACTGAATCGTTTTTGGTTAGTATTACTATTTTTATGGATTGTTTTCACCAATACTTTCCCCTCAGAAACAGGAGATCTCAAGGTAACTATTGTAAACGAGTTCACGTAGTTATCCAAGCTGTGGAGGTAATTTCTGGTGATTTCCACCAAAATCGAGTCCAAGCCACCAGTGACTACTTCCAGATCATGATGATAGAATGAAGTCTTTGGAGAATGGTCACTTGGGATGACTTTGGCTTTAATGACATCCAATGGAGTATCAAATAGTATGACATTGTGTACTATTGCATTGGGGAATGAGGCATTGAGCGTATGAGCAATATCTTCAGTATCAACATGTGCTTCATATGTTCCTATGGCAACAACTATGAACTCCTTCCTGAAAGGTTCAAAGTTATGCAACTGCAAAATATTCAAGTCATTGGTGCTTGTTACTATATCGTACAACACTCTACCATTGGGGTAAGGCTGCGGATTGAAATGTCTCAATTCTGGCATAGGCGGGACCTCCAAGAGTCTGACCTCCGGGTTTGCAGATCTCAATAACGAAACATATTTATCAAAGTTGGACTTGGAACAGTTGTTAACAGGTACAGCTAACACTCGGGTACGTGCTGGATAAACAAACTCAAATCGACTCAGCATTCTTCCAGTTCATGCAAATCAACTGTCCTCAGTTCAATGGCGACGACGGACTTTAATGAGCGAAGTATTGGTTTGACTTGGTGGGTGTACGGGTACAAATAGACGTGTATAGTTTCAGATCAAGAAGAGAGTTGCCAGTAAAAGAGGTCGTGTCTTTTTGAGAATGTGGACTTTGAATCGAGGGCAAAAGAGTTGATAGTGTTGATAATGTTCACGCTAAGTACTAATACTGCAAAGTACTAATATATACGACTGATATACGACTAAGTCCTACTATACAGCAATTGAATATGCCAGGGTTGAATTTTGATAACTACCAAAGAAACCAATATCTAGCAAGTAAGGGGTTTTCACAAGCAAAAGCCACTTCTACAGGTACTACTATTGTTGGTTGTAAGTTTCAAAATGGAGTTGTCATTGCTGCTGATACAAGAGCCACAGCAGGAGATATAGTTGCTGATAAGAATTGTGAGAAGTTACATCGATTAGCACCCAGAATCTGGTGTGCTGGTGCTGGTACAGCTGCTGATACAGAGATGGTGACTCAATTGATTGCCTCTAATTTAGAATTGCATTCATTATATGAAAATCGGAAACCTAGAGTTATTACCGCCATGACTTTATTGAAACAACATTTGTTCAAATATCAGGGCCATTTGGGTGCTTATTTAATTGTAGCAGGAACTGATCCTACGGGAGCCCATTTAACTTCAGTTCAAGCTCATGGATCAACAGATGTGGGTGAATATTTATCTTTGGGTTCAGGATCTTTAGCAGCCATGGCTGTACTTGAAACCAATTGGAAACCAGATATGACAAGAGAAGAAGCCATGCAGTTATGTTCTGATGCGATTTTACTGGGGATTTGGAATGATTTAGGTTCTGGATCCAACGTTGACTTATGTGTCATGGAAATAGGCAAAGATGCTAACTTATACAGAAACTACATGACTCCTAACGTTAGAATTGCAAAGGAAAGATCTTACAAGTTTGCTAGAGGTACAACTGCAGTGTTACAGACAAGTGTACGCGATTTATTAGATGTTGAGGAAACAGTTATACCTTTCGGTCAAAAGGATTCCGATGCCATGGAGATTGAGGCGTAGACGTATATCCGTATGTATATCCGTATATATATTATTCAACATCTAAATGTAATAGTTTGTATGCTATGATACTATATAATAAATGAGGTTCTAGAACATTCGCTTTGGTAGTGAAAAATTCACCGGCTTTGGGTACGCTCCACATATATAGTGTTGATGTAGTTGACTTTTTTTTTAAGCTTTACCGCAAAGCATTGTACAAAGTATGGTGGTGAACAATCCTAATAACTGGCATTGGGTCGATAAGAACTGTATTGATTGGTCCAGAGAGTATTTCTCTGAGAGATTGGCCAACTTGAGTGGAATTGAAGATGGGAAGAAGGTTATTATCGATTCCATTTCTTCTGTAGAGGGAGACGTTGAAGTCATACAGCGTAAGGGGAAAGTGATGTCACTTTTTGACTTACGTTTGGTATTCAACATTCTGGGAACTTGTGATGGTGAAGATTCTGATTTTAAAGGTTCTATTACTGTTCCCGAGTTGGCTTATGATACTACAGCAGATGAGATTCAATTTGATATTAGTATTTACAATGAAAACAGCCAAGCACAAGCCATGAGACCATTTATCAAACAGGCTTTACTTCCTAAAATTAGAGACATTTTGGGTAAGTTTGGCCATGATTTGATTGTCACTCAGAGTTGTGACATTCAAATTTCAGCTGATAAAGTTAACTCCGAATTAACAAAAGGGAACCAAGCTCGTACAACCGGGCAAGCTACTACTAATAATAATAAAGTTGTTGAAAAAACTACTACCTTAAAGACTACTCCTGCCACAGCTACAGCTACTGCTTCTGCTACAGCACTGGCTGGTCCAAGTTCAACTACTCCAAAGTACAATACACTGACCTTACACTTAGAACCTGTGTTTAACACCACCATAGACCAATTGTATTTGACGTTATTAGATGGCAATAGAATCGCAGCATGGTCCAGATCAGCCCCTAAAATTGAACTGTTCCCACCTTCAGAAGGCAGTGAGTTCCAAATCTTTGGTGGATCTATTCTGGGTAAACTTATTAAATTAGTACCCAACCAAAGAATCGTTCAAACCTGGAGATTGGACGATTGGAAAGCAGGCCATTATTCTACTTTAGATATCGAATTGATTCAAGGGAGTAGTGACTCGAAAATGGTTGTTAAATGGTCTGGAATCCCCATTGGTGAAGAAGAGAGAGTTAGAAATAACTTTGAAGAATACTATGTCAAGTCTATTAAATTGACCTTTGGTTTTGGTGTCACATTTTAGTAGCATTCCATAGATCATATCATCTCAGTAACAATATATATCCCAGTTCATATGAAGAACGCATTGTAGTTTAAATAGGTGAATGTGTGTGCCCATACAGCATTTCCGTGAGTCGTATCTTACTTCCTATTTAGGTGCACTTTTGCGCACCGGATATTTGCGCCCGATGTGGAAATCTGGGATTGCCCAGTGGAAGATTCTATAATGAAATATAAAGGGGACTCCAAGGTTTTCAGTATTAAACTTATTTCGAAAAAAACTATCCTTCTGTTGTTCTTATATATAATCACACAATTGACACAATGTCTGACACCGCTGGAAAAGTATGTTCAACAATAACAGCAACACCTTACAGTTGCACATTGCACCTCAATGGTTATCCCTTTGAAACTTTTTGGTACTAACATAAATTTAGTCTATTTTTTGTAAGGCTGCTGTGGCTTGGGAAGCTGGTAAGCCATTGACCATTGAAGATGTTGAAGTTTTGGCTCCTAGAGCCCATGAAGTCAGAATCAAGGTGTTGAACACCGGTGTTTGTCACACGGATGCTTACACTTTGTCTGGTGTTGATCCAGAAGGTGCTTTCCCATGTATTTTGGGACACGAAGGTGCTGGAATTGTTGAATCTGTTGGTGAAGGTGTCACTAACGTCAAGGTTGGTGATCATGTGATTGCTCTTTACACTCCTGAATGTGGTGAGTGTAAGTTCTGTAAATCTGGTAAGACCAACTTGTGTGGTAAAATCAGAGCTACTCAAGGTAAAGGTGTTATGCCTGATGGTACTTCTAGATTCAAATGTAAGGGTCAAGATCTTTTGCATTTTATGGGATGTTCCACCTTCTCTCAATATACCGTTGTCACTGACATTTCTGTTGTGGCCTACAACCCTAAAGCTGAAGCTGACAAGACTTGCTTGTTAGGTTGTGGTATCACTACAGGTTACGGTGCAGCCACTATCACAGCTAATGTTCAAGAGGGTGATAATGTTGCTGTTTTTGGTGCTGGTTGTGTTGGTTTATCAGTTGTTCAAGGTGCAGCCGCTAGAAAGGCGGGTAAGATCATCGTTGTTGATATCAATGATAAAAAGGAAGAATGGGCTACCAAGTTTGGTGCTACTGATTTTGTTAACTCTGCCAAATTACCTGAAGGTACTACTATTGTTGATAAGTTGATTGAAATGACCGATGGTGGTTGTGATTTCACTTTTGATTGTACTGGTAACGTCAACGTCATGAGAGCTGCTTTGGAAGCTTGTCACAAGGGTTGGGGTACCTCTGTTATCATTGGTGTAGCCGCTGCAGGGAAGGAAATCTCCACCAGACCCTTCCAATTGGTCACCGGTAGAGTATGGAAGGGTGCTGCTTTTGGAGGTGTTAAGGGAAGATCTCAATTGCCAGGAATTGTTGATGATTACTTGGATGGTAAGATTAAGGTCGAAGAATTCATTACTCACAGACATCCATTAGAAAAGATCAACACCGCATTTGAAGATATGCACAATGGTGATTGTATCAGAGCCGTCATCAACATGTAACGCCAGCAGCTAGCACAGACTGCCAAATTGTAAAATAGCGTACTTCATTAATATAGTTTATGTAAAAGCTTAGAGAAAGAGCTTAGAGATTTCTATGCAGACATATAAGCTCTTTGTATCGTATGCTGTACTTCGTTGTGCTAGACGCAAGGTGTATCCGCAGTCAATATATTTATAATGATCAAGAAAGCAACGTCATAGAGTAATCTTATGGTTAACCTTTTGAGGTAAAATCTATGAAGTAAATATTAGAGAAGCTTTAGCCCAGTACATTTTGTAGGTTTGGAAACTATTTTTGATGAAAAATGATAAGAGATGTCACATATTCACTCGCTACTGTTGGTTATCAAGTAAGTAAGTACAAATAAGGTAAATATTTAGGATTTATAGGTACCGCTGATTTAATTCTCTTGACCATATACCATTTCATCATCACGTGACCAGATCATAGCGGGTAATGGAGGGTATGAGGTTCCTGTACAAACGAGCAGAGGGGTAAACAACCAACTCCGAAACTATCACCGATCATGTTAAGGTCTCTTGCACCGGCGCTACCAATTCATTTAGAGGTATATTTAATGTAGTGTCGGATGCCGTAGGTCGAGCTCAAAATGATAATGTCGCAATTAATTCTCGCGGTTTCTTAAATCTCGGTTCCGAACTGATCATAATACACAAAACCAAGTAATTTACAGGTACCAAAGCGGGGCGCTGGCCAATCAACGTTCGTTTTCTATTTGAGATGTACCCCCTCCCTCAATCACAATGTCGCAGACACCAACCTGATGTCGCTGATAATATTATACTTGGAGACTGTGTACAGGATGATCTAGTGTACTCCGAATAAAGTGCGAAATCGACTCCGAGTTTATTGCAACGGTTCAGACATAAAAGAAATATGTGGTGGGTAAGTGATCCGACATGACATTGACCGTGGTGATAATTTATTAGTATTTGTAAACTATAGCGAAATTGATGTAGAAGGTTGCAAATTGAAGGCCAATAAGGACTAAGGACATGTTACCAAAAAAAGTCTAATCATGTAAATATACTTATAAAAACCTGTGTCTGATATATGATAATTCAGACACAGCGTTCAACTAATCCCAACCATAAATTAGCACATAAAATATACAACATGAATGTACAACAAAAACTTATACCATAAATCACGACAAAACACATACACAATCCCGCTGCTATTCAATAACTGATACAATTGTCGGCAGACTATTTAATATGTCTTAAACTAATGTCGTCGATAAGTGTCTGTTGTTTGTGCCGAAAGTGCGAACCGAAAAAAATTAAAATAAAAAATCGAAAAAGGAACTACAATTTATATCTTTCCCTTCTTCTTCCTTCGTTGTACATATACAAACGTTTAGAGGTACGGTTAGTCTCGTCTCGTGTTAGATATATATATAAATAAATTCTGCATCCTTCAAATATGTTTAGACAATTAGCCAGAGCCTCATTTGGTCCCAGACCAACCACCACCAGATTCACATCTGCCGCTGCCATCAGAGCTCAATCTACAATTGCCGGTACTTTCACTGGGGCAAAGAACCCTAACGGAACTTACACTGTGACTTTGATTGAGGGTGATGGTATTGGACCTGAAATTGCTGATGCCGTCAAGGATATCTATGCTGCTGCTGAAGTTCCAATTGAATGGGAACCTGTTGATGTTACTCCTTTACTCATTGATGGTAAGACTACTTTACCTCAACCTGCCGTCGACAGTGTCAACAGAAACAAGGTTGCATTAAAGGGTCCCTTAGCCACCCCAGTCGGTAAGGGTCACACCTCAATGAACTTGACTTTGAGAAGAACTTTCAACTTATTTGCCAACGTTCGTCCTTGTAAGTCCATTGTGGGTTACGAAACTCCTTATGAAAATGTTGATACCGTCTTGATTAGAGAAAACACCGAAGGTGAATACTCTGGTATCGAACATACCATTGTTCCTGGTGTTGTTCAATCCATCAAGTTGATCACTAAGCCTGCCTCCGAAAAGGTTATTAGATATGCTTTTGAATATGCCAAGTCTGTTGGAAAGCCTCACGTTCTTGTTGTCCACAAGGCCTCAATTATGAAGTTGTCTGATGGTTTGTTTGTTAACACAGCCAAGGAAGTTGCTAAGGAATACCCTGATGTGTCTTTGGACTTTGAATTGTTGGATAACACTTCATTGAAGTTGACTGCTGACCCTAACCAATACAAGAACATCGTCATGGTTATGCCTAACTTGTATGGTGATATCATGTCTGATTTGTCTTCTGGTTTGATTGGTGGTTTGGGTTTGACTCCATCCGGTAACATGGGTAACGTTGTTTCTATCTTTGAAGCTGTCCATGGTTCCGCTCCAGATATCGCCGGTAAGGGTTTGGCTAACCCAACTGCTTTGTTGTTATCTTCTTGTATGATGTTGAGACACATGTCTTTGAACAACTACGCTGACAAGATCGAAGGCGCTGTTTTGAAGACCATTGCTTCCGGTCCAGAGAACAGAACTGGTGACTTGAAGGGTACTGCTAGCACCAAGCACTTTGCTAGCCAAGTCATTGCCAACTTGTAAGCGTCATCACCGATCTGACATAAACATTCGGTACATTAATTTATCTTTAAATATATTTTGATTCATTCAATGCTACAGAAATTATCCATGACATTATGTAACTAATTAAACCTTAGTTTCAAGTTTGACATTGTTCAACTTTTCCGTAATTTGGTCAGTGGTATCCTTCCTGTTATCTTTAGCCAAGTTTCTTAATACAATGTTGCTTCCTTCAACAATTGCAATATGCTCCACCTTATGTACTTTATCTTCATATTGCTCCAAGGTATCTTCCTTAAGTAATTCAATTTCTTTAACCACCAAAGGTTCACCTTGATCAACTTCGGCAATGACATAATGAATCATGACACCACCAGTCTTTATTTTACCATCTTGACCTGCTTGCCATGCTCTATCAATAGCATGAGTACCTTCAAATGCACCAGGAAGTGCAGGATGAAGATTAATAATGATGATTCCGGCGTCTTTCAAAGCATTGAGAATGGAGGGTGAAAGAATAAGCATCCAACCAGCACATACAACAAGTTCGGGAGCTTCATAACCTTCAACAAGTTCACCAGAAACTGAACCATATATTAATAAATTGGCCAAATCACTGTTAAACTTTTCTCTTCTTAGAGATCTTTCCTCTTTATCATCTTTGGTAGTGCCTTTGTAATAAGGTTTAAGAGCATGTACTTTAGTAGCAATCAGAGCCTTTGATGCTCTGGTAAGTCCATAAGCATCTGCCAGTGACGAGATGACTTGGGTAATGTGACCTTTAAGTACACCTGAAGCTTCCGCGTCAATAAGTGCTTGTAAATTGGAACCGGAACCGGAAATTAACACTGAAATATTGGGTACACTCATTGGATGTAAGATTATATATTTATGACTATTAATGTTCCCTTTAGAAGTAGTAGTTAGCTGTAACTTGACCCTCTTGTGATGCCAATCCAGTTACCCGTTTTGGACCACTTTGAATTAAAGGGAAAAATTGAATTCCCATTTTGACTCGGACCGTCGCACTCTTACGTAAGAGAAAGACGTTGTTTCAAATTTAGAAAAAGTTTCCGGAGGATTATGTTAGTATAATCTGGTTCATGTCATGACAAGCAGTGTGCTAATAGTCTTCAAAACAACGGATAATATCTATTATTATAGACGCTTAACAGTGTAAAAAATTCTACGACTTTGTCCGGGTAACGAGAAAAGTTATTGGACGTCGCCTGAAAATCCAGACACTACCATTTGGAAATTAGTTGTAATTGACAGTAACATACGGACATAAGAGTCAATTTATCAAGATAAATGGCAATTAGTATATCCAATGGTTATTACCTACTTTAATTGACTTCTTAGCTAAACTCTACAGTAAACAATTGATGGGCCCAACCATGCTGGTGTTCGGGGGTCGTAGCCAAACTTTTGTATCACCAGATTTCCTCCGGAAAATTTTTTTCTGTCAGGGCATTTTTGGGTGAGGGGACTGGCCAAAGTCACCAGCGCAACAGACTAGAGGAAAATAAGCAGACACTGTAGTATACAGATGAACCTCCTGAAAATGTCTTAATCCTACAGCGTACTACTCAATTCCACACGCTATTACCATCACTACCCAATTGACGATTACCCTGTACTGACATTTATCTTCACCTAACCTCCATCGCATCCTGTGTGTGAACCCTACCAGCACACAGGAAACAGTGTCCCCTTTGCATTCCCACTTTTTTTCATCATTTTTTTCGCTGTTACTATTCTTCTCTTCTTCTTCTTCTTTTTCTTTTCTTTCCTCTTCAGATCTGCTCAACTAACTACTGTCAAGATGGGTATGTAAGAAGCGACGACGTTCTCCTCCGTCCACGTCTGTGTTCCCTGTTGGAGGCTCTTGCTGAGGGGCATCGGAGTGAGAGTTTTGTACTGCAAAATTTTTCACCTCATCCCTGAACAGACCATCATTGAATCTAATTGATGTTCACTCATTGATGATAATCATTGATGCGTAGGGTTCTACATGGACAACGGTACAAGGAGCTGCAGCATAGTATGTTGTGTATAGGTTCTGCTTACTAACTATTTTCTAGTTGCTTTCACTATTGATCAAATCCGTGACTTGATGGACAAGGTTACCAATGTGCGTAACATGTCCGTCATTGCCCACGTCGACCACGGTAAGTCCACTTTGACCGATTCTTTGGTCCAAAAGGCTGGTATTATCTCCGCTGCTAAGGCCGGTGATGCTAGATTTATGGATACCAGAAAGGATGAACAAGAAAGAGGTATTACCATCAAGTCCACTGCTATTTCTTTATACGCCAGTATGACTGAAGATGACTGTAAGGAAATCAAGCAAAAGACTGAAGGTGAATCTTTCTTGATTAACTTGATTGATTCCCCCGGTCACGTTGATTTCTCATCTGAAGTTACCGCTGCTTTAAGAGTCACCGATGGTGCTTTGGTTGTCGTTGATACCGTTGAAGGTGTCTGTGTCCAAACCGAAACCGTCTTGAGACAATCTTTGACTGAAAGAATCAAGCCTGTTGTCATCATTAACAAGGTTGACAGAGCTTTATTGGAATTGCAAGTTTCAAAGGAAGATTTGTATCAATCTTTCTCCAGAACTGTGGAATCCGTTAACGTTATCATCTCCACTTATGCTGATAAGGAAATGGGTGACATGCAAGTTTACCCAGACAAGGGTACCGTTGCTTTCGGTTCCGGTTTACACGGTTGGGCTTTCACCGTTAGACAATTTGCCTTGAGATACTCCAAGAAGTTTGGTGTCGACAGAGCCAAGATGATGGAAAGATTGTGGGGTGACTCTTACTTTAACCCAAAGACCAAGAAGTGGACTAACAAGGACAAGGATGCTGATGGAAAGCCATTGGAAAGAGCCTTCAACATGTTTGTCTTGGACCCTATCTTTAGATTGTTTGCTGCCATCATGAACTTCAAGAAGGATGAAATCCCAACCTTGTTGGAAAAGTTGGAAATCAACTTGAAGGGTGACGAAAAGGAATTGGAAGGTAAGGCTTTATTGAAGGTTGTCATGAGAAAGTTTTTGCCAGCTGCCGATGCTTTGTTGGAAATGATTGTTATCCACTTGCCATCTCCAGTTACTGCTCAAGCTTACAGAGCTGAATCCTTGTACGAAGGTCCAGCTGATGATGCTAACTGTCAAGCCATTAAGAACTGTGACCCTAAGGCTGACTTGATGTTGTACGTCTCCAAGATGGTTCCTACCTCTGATAAGGGTAGATTCTACGCTTTTGGTAGAGTTTTCGCCGGTACTGTTAAGTCTGGTCAAAAGGTTAGAATCCAAGGTCCTAACTACCAACCTGGTAAGAAGGATGATTTGTTCTTGAAGTCTATTCAAAGAACTGTTTTGATGATGGGAAGAAATGTTGAACAAATTGATGACTGTCCAGCTGGTAACATTATTGGTTTGGTTGGTATTGATCAATTCTTGTTGAAATCTGGTACCATCACCACTTCTGAAACCGCTCACAACATGAAGGTTATGAAGTTCTCTGTCTCTCCAGTTGTGCAAGTTGCTGTTGAAGTTAAGAACGCTAACGATTTGCCCAAGTTGGTTGAAGGTTTGAAGAGATTGTCCAAGTCTGATCCTTGTGTCTTGACTTCCATGAACGAATCTGGTGAACATATTGTTGCTGGTTCCGGTGAATTACACTTGGAAATTTGTTTGAATGATTTGCAAAATGATCACGCTGGTGTTCCATTGAAGATTTCTCCTCCAGTTGTTTCTTACAGAGAAACCGTTGAAGGTGAATCTAGAATGGTTGCTTTGTCCAAGTCTCCTAACAAGCATAACAGAATTTACGTTAAGGCTCAACCAATTGATGAAGAAGTTTCTTTGGCCATTGAAAACGGTACTGTTAACCCAAGAGATGATTTCAAGGCCAGAGCTAGAATCTTGGCTGATGAATTTGGTTGGGATGTCACCGATGCCAGAAAGATTTGGTGTTTCGGTCCTGATGGTAACGGTCCTAACTTGGTTGTTGACCAAACTAAGGCTGTTCAATACTTGAACGAAATCAAGGATTCTGTTGTTGCTGCTTTCCAATGGGCTACCAAGGAAGGTCCAATCTTTGGTGAAAACTTGAGATCTGTTAGAGTTAACATTTTGGATGTTACTTTACATACCGATGCTATCCACAGAGGTGGTGGTCAAATCATTCCAACCATGAGAAGAGTTACCTATGCTTCTATGTTATTGGCTGAACCAGCTATTCAAGAGCCTATTTTCTTGGTTGAAATCCAATGTCCAGAAAATGCTATTGGTGGTATTTACTCTGTTTTAAACAGAAAGAGAGGTCAAGTTATTTCTGAAGAACAAAGACCTGGTACTCCATTGTTCACTGTTAAGGCTTACTTACCAGTTAACGAATCTTTTGGTTTCACTGGTGAATTGAGACAAGCCACTGGTGGTCAAGCTTTCCCACAATTGATTATGGATCATTGGCAAGTTATGGGTGGTGACCCAACTGACCCAACCTCCAAGCCAGGTGCCATTGTTAAGGAAAAGAGAGAAAGACAAGGTATGAAGTCTGAAGTTCCTGGTTACGAAGAATACTATGACAAGTTGTAAGCAATTTAGCACTATAATCTTTTATTTTTAGTAAACACCAATTTCTTTATATGATTGTTTAGTTGATCTTTAAGATATATATATCTAATATATTTTCTTTAGTATAAGATGAGGTAATAGCCGTTCCGGAATTACCGAGAGGTCATTACCTTTCCGTTTTAGGCGGTCGGCTGTTATGCGGTACTATACGATGCGGTACTATACGATGCGGTACTATACGATACGGTACTAGTATAGATACGGTACTAGTATAGATACGGTACTAGTATATCGTGTACTCTGCTAGTATATGGCGTACTCTGTTAATACATAGTGTACTCTATTAGTATATAGTGTACTCTGTTACTACAGTATGCACTACACTACTATCCTCTGCGCTACGCTATGCTGCTCTATGCTGTACTCGCTACTATTACGATGCACCGGTATAGGCTCACTATCTGTCGACGCACGACTCTCGGCTCTTACAAATGTGTACCTTACTGGCATCACCGGATTTAATGTCTTGTGTGCCGTACGTAAAGGCGTTACTCCCGATCCGGCTCTATGACAAATAACTCATATAAAGAAGGAACTATCCATTGTAAACGTATACGAGAATACTGTGCTGTAATACCAATAGTATACTATACGACTATACTATACTACTATACCAGTACTATACTACACTACACCACTACACCATACTAGTACCCTACCACACAATACTACTACACTTCTATTCTGCACTGTATACTACTACTGTACTCCATTTGTTCCATTTATTCTGTCCTTATGTCGTCTTCTCATCAGGCACTCACAGATATCATATCAAAGATACAGCTGCTCCATGATCACCTGACAGGCATCTTTCGGTTCTCCTGTTGTCTAGCGTCTGTTGTGGTTGTCATTGGAGTCCTCTGGCGGTTCCATGTGGTGTCGTCCCGATTAGCAGTGCAACTTTATATCTCATCGTCTGAGACATCAACAAAGAGACGGGGGATGCGCTATTACAATACAAGCAAGAAATCCCTTAAACGATTCGTCATAGTGATCATCCTATTACAATTATGGAATATCATCATGTCAATTGGTGCCCCACGAATATTAATATCGTTGCAAAGAGTTAAAGAGAATGTTCCTGATTTACCTCCAGAACTCTTCACCTTTTCAATGGCCACACCACCACTAGTCAGCTCTCCACAGGGTAGACTTTTCTTAAGAAAAGATATAAAGCTTTTCGTGGTTATCGCCATCTCGTTGGTGCTCTACAAACTGTTTCTCAATGCATCCCATCACGTTGTGCAGCTAATAGTTGATGTTGCAAAATGTCGTCACATACCATTGCATAATGATGAAGACAATGAAGATGAACGTCTGGAACTAGAATTATGGGAGTCAAACAAGGTGGTGTCGTTTAATGACAACATCACCATTGTTGAATATTCTTCATCAATTATAAGCTCTAAGGTGACACCAACATGTTGTTGTCCAACCAGTATAACTATCTTAAAGCAATGGCTTCGACTGATTAGATTCAAGAAAGCCTTACGTCATTACGTCGTGCCATTCTTGGGGTTGGTGGTTGTGCTCCCCTTAATATATAAATCTCCAATGATCTTATTAACAACATCTTCTACCATTTATATCCATGGGCCAGAGTATCAGATCCGCTTTGATCATGTTTTCTTGGCCACAATCATGGTTTCCTTATTCAATAATTTTAAATCATTGAGTTTCATGGCTCCACAGTTCCCTACCATGACTCTTTTATTAACCAAGTTCTGTTGGGCTTATGGTTATTTAACATTAATTTTGAGTGCCATGACATTACCATTTTTCACCGATGTCTTAGCATGTTTCCTAAAGATAATGTGTGATGCTATCACTGAACGTAATGATAACGAAAGTAATGCTAGTTCACTTATACGGGTACAAGTTTTAACGTTGTCGGTGACTCAATTTCTAAGACATGCATTATTGCTGAGTTGTTATATGGTACCAGATTGTACTGAACTGAAATTGACTCCAAGTTCATTTCTTCTCATAAGAGACTTATTAATGAGAGCTTGGCTATTGTTGAATCAATGCTATTTGGTGGTAGTTCCATGTGTGCTTTGGTTGCTTTTGATTGAATGGAAATTATCAACAATGACTTGAATTAGTTAATCGTAATAAACCAATTAAATTAGTTAATGTCATCTCATCGATCTAAAGACCACTATTAGTAGCAGGCAATGGGAACGCTTTCCCAATGCGGAAGGAATACGAGCAGTGGGTATTTATTCCCGATTTGTACTACTGGTTCCGCACTTTCTCACGGGTTATCTCTTCCCAATTCGGCCATCCCTCCCACAGATAGGATCAGGTATACCGATTATAACCTTGATAACATGGGGTCCAAATGGTAACCACGATCTCATATAAATAGTCAGAGAAGACCGTTGTGGTAGTCATTTTTTTAAGTCTTTTCATTCACTACTTTACTCAACTCAAGCGTATCCAATAATGGAAAGATTGCAACAATTGGCTCAGCAGGCTACAGCTGCTGCTAACCCACCAGCTTTGCCTGTTCATCCTTTGGACCCTTTAAGTGTTTTAGAAATCCAACATGTTTCAAATGTTATCAAGGCTCATTTTGCTGGCGTTAACATTAGTTTCAACACTATTTCCTTAAAGGAACCTGCCAAAAAGGCTTACTATGATTGGAAGGAAAAGAATGGTCCAATTCCCCCAAGAATAGCATACTATGTTATTGTGAAAGACGGTGTTAATGGTGTCACTGAAGGGTTTGTTGATATTCCTTCTTCAACAGTTTTGACTGTCAAAGTATTGGAAGGTGTTCAACCAATTTTGGCACCTGAAGACTTGCAAAGAACTGAAGAAATTGTTAGAACTGATCCGGAAGTCATTAAACAATGTGTTCTTTCTGGAATTCCTGAAGATGACATGAAGAATGTTTATTGCGATGCTTGGACCATTGGTTATGATGAAAGATGGGGTGCTTCAAGAAGATTGCAACAAGCTTTGATGTATTGGAGATCAGATGAAGATGATTCCCATTACTCTCACCCTTTGGACTTTTGTCCTATCGTTGATATGAATGAAGGTAAGGTTATCTATATTGATATCCCCAACAGAAGAAGAAAGGTTTCTAAACATAAACACTCCAACTTCCATCCAATCCACATCAAGGAGAAATATGGTACACCTGAAAACCCATCTGGTTACAGACAAGAACCAGATACTCCAATTAACATTACTCAACCAAATGGTGTTTCTTTCAAAATGGATGGTAACGTTATGAAATGGTCCAATTTCTCTTTCCATATTGGGTTCAACTATAGAGAGGGGATTGTTCTTTCTGATATCACTTACAATGATCATGGTAAGGTTAGACCAATTTTCCATAGAGTCTCTTTGGCAGAAATGATTGTTCCTTATGGTTCTCCTGATTTCCCTCATCAAAGAAAACATGCTTTGGATATTGGTGAATACGGTGCTGGTAACTGTACCAACCCATTGCACTTGGGTTGTGACTGTAAGGGTGTTATCCACTATTTGGATGCCCACTTTTCTGATCTGGCTGGCTCTCCAATCACTATCAAGAATGCTGTTTGTATTCATGAAGAAGACGATGGGATTTTGTACAAGCATTCCGATTTCAGAGATGGCTTTCAAACCACCATCAATGTTAGAGGTAAGAGATTAATCATCTCTCAAATCTTTACTGCTGCCAACTATGAATACTGTTTGTATTGGACCTTCAGACAAGATGGTACTTTGAAATTGGAAATTAGATTGACTGGGATCTTGAACACTTATATCGCTGGTGAAGGAGAATCAGCTGGTCCATGGGGTACTATTGTTTATCCTAATGTTAATGCCCATAACCATCAACATTTGTTCTCTTTGAGAGTTCATCCAAGAGTTGATGGTGATAACAACTCTGCTGGAGTTGCTGACTGTGCTGCATCTCCTTTCAAGACTGGGTCCGTTGAAAACCCATACGGTAATGCATTTTACTCCGATAAGACTGTTTTCAAGACCGTCAAGGACTCTTTGACAGATGGGTCAGTGATTAGAACTTGGGATCTCTTCAACCCTCAATCCATTAACCCTTATTCAGGTAAACCCGCTTCCTACAAGTTGGTTTCCACCTTCTGTTCTCCCTTATTGGCTCAAGAAGGGTCCTTGGTTAGAAAGAGAGCTCCATGGGCTGCTCACGCTACCGAAGTCATTCCTTACAAGGACGATGCCTATGGTTACGGTAGATTGTACCCATCAGGTGATCATGTTGCTCAATGGTCTGGTGATGGCGCCAGAGGTATGAGAGAATGGATTGGTGATGGTTCTGAACCAATTGAAAACACCGACATCATCTTCTGGCATACCTTTGGAATCACCCATTTCCCAGCCCCAGAGGATTTCCCTGTCATGCCTACAGAAATCTTTGACTTGATGTTGAGACCCAGACACTTTTTCACTGAAAACCCTTGTATGGATATCAAACCTTCTTATGCCAGAACTACTAAGGAAGTTAAGGCTGGTAAGACCAATGAGGATCCAACTGTGGTCATTAAGGATTCAACTTCTGTTCACGCTTTTGGCGAATCTTGTTGTAAGAAATAAATACATACTAATCTCTTTATATATTCTTAATTTTATTTATTGTGTGAACGAAGAAGAGTGTAGGCTGTTTATTTGTAGTTGCAAAAGATTATTCCCGTTGGTTATGTAATATATTGGTGTTTATTACGTAAGCAATACAGCACACTTATAACATTCAATAATGTATTGCTTATGTACGTCTGTTGTATGTATTCAATATATTCTGCTATTGTAACTGCTACAGCTACCATTGCCACTACCATTACTATTATCTTTGACATTAATTGTGTGCTAAATGTGGCACTACGTGCCTCCACATCTAATGCTGTGGATGTACAAAAAATGCGATGAGATAAGCAACCTTCACCAAGCTCATCACTACCACCAGATCACCAAAGATGAAGTACGTCATTGAACACATGGAAGAAGGTTTCTCTGAATGGGTGACATTAGAATACGCTCAAATCATCCGTGATGTCGGTAAGGAAAACCTTATCCTCACATCTCTTCCTGATGATACCACTGAAGAGTCGATACCTTCAAGATTGAGACAACTTGGATTACAATGGACAACCGAGGAATGTATTCAAATAGATGGAGGTCTCGATGCCACCAGAGTGTGTCTTTTAGATCCAGCAGCAGAGACAGATTTGACACCCGAAGACCATCAAAAGTTTGATTACTTTGTGTTTGGAGGAATCTTGGGGTCTCATCCTCGGGTCGACAGAACTGGAATCCTAAGAAAGAAATATGGTTTTGCCGGTAGAAGATTGGGCAGTTTACAAATGACCACAGATACTGCCATTAGAACCACCAAACATATAATTGATGGTCAAACCAAGTTTGAAGATATCAAGTTTATTGATTACCCGGAGATTAGGTACAATAAATATGAATCAACAGAAATGCCCTTTAGATACATTGTTGATGGTAACAATGAACCAATATTACCGGAAGGAATGCTTGAATTGATCAAACACGATGCTGACCAAAGTATTGATGACTTGCTAATGGAATAATATCATCGTATAGTAAAAATCACTTATTACTCTTTAATACTTCACGCATAATAAACCCAACAGCATCTTCATCTTCAAAGTATGAAACATGGGCTTTCAATGCCATGATGATAGAAAAATCAAACATTCCCATAGGCAATAAATAATCAACTCTACCATTATTCTTATTCAAATCTCCAAGAGTCTTTTGTAGTGATGGAGATAAAGATTTCTTTTGAAGACTTTTCTTCCCACTATGACTTGAAGATTTGCTTTCAACGCTAAACAAGGATGACACAATGTCCCCTAAAGCATTTTCATCTTCTACCAATGTACTATTTTCTTTAGAAACCTTTTTTTCTGACGACTGGAAACTCTTGAACCAACCAGCTGCCTTTAAAAACCTCTCAGCCACATCACTGCCTAAAGATTGCAAGTCTTGAACCAGGGAATTGAATCCTTTTATAGCAAATGGAACCTCATCTACTTTATATTCTCCCAACATAGGATCAATCAAGGGTTCCATACGATACCCAACTGGATCACAAGGGTGGAATAGGTTATACAAGTTTTGACATTTAGGTGAAGAAACCATACCAAAGGAGTCCAGGAAATCGTAAGACTTATCCACCTCTGACCGAGGCCGAATATTGGTTTGCCTTAAAAGCCGAAAGATCCCCACGGGGGATCCCACACAAAATAAGTTTTCAATATCAAACAAAAGGTCCTTTTTCAAATCAGGTTCTTTTGGTCTAGTAGGTTTCTGGAATGACGCAATATCGAAAACTATTGCTGAACCAAGTGAATGTCCCATAATATGTACCTTGCCCTTGAAATTAGGGTTCATCTCCATATATTTGGAATAGACTCTATTCAATTCAGTAGTGACAATCTCATAGATTTGTTTAATGTATCTTGCTTCGTAGTACAAGAGTACATCAAGGACAACATCACCTGTGATTTTTCTTAATGGTTTAACTCCATCAACAGAGATTTCTTCTAATGTTGGAAGGGAGAATCGACCAGCAGCATTTTTTGTTTGAAACCTTTTGTATGGAGTAAACTCAATCCCATGTCTCCAAGAAATAGGTAACACTTGAATTTTATTATTTAAATTCTGCTGTTCGTCCTTATCCTTCTTTGTTTCATTAGCAGAAAAGACATTAGCCATAGTTTTCCGTAACACATTGACACTGTGAACGAAATTAACAGATTCATATCTTATCCCCAAGATTTGACCAATCCCGTGAACACATAAAACCAAATGGTCAATTTCTCTATCCGAAGTATCAACAGAAAGATTATAATCTTCTTCCATTGACTTTTGAAGTCTTTCGTTATCTTCATTATTTTTAGCCAGCTGTTCGTCAGGTCCAGCTTCAGCTTCAGTTTCACTACTCTTAGTATCTTCATCAGCCATTAAACTGTGGTAAAGATTGGCAATATCCTCAGGTAAACTCCGTATAGACTTCGACAGAGAACAATCCAAACCCCGACTAATCAGCTCTAGCTCCAACAACGACAAATTGGAACCTGAATTCCCAAAGTTCCGAATGATATCCAATTGGAAGCTGTTGTTGATGGTGGAAGGGAACATCACGGCTTCAGATTCATTAAAGAATAAAACATATTTCCCATTCCCGAGATCGGCCATATCTGGTTGTTCATCCACTTTATACAACTGGTGATGCTTTGCTCTTACTTCTTCCAATTGACCTTTAATTCTGGCTAATGATTTCTCAACAACCTCTGAAGCATCCATGGCTTCCTCCTCATCATCTTTAAACTCATACGGTTTAAGCTTCTGGTACAGTGCTTCAATCTTACTGGTCAACTCACCAGAGAGTGGAAGCTTATTATGGTCAAACCAAATCCCTCTTCTGACTTCGTAGATTGGGCCTTCCCAATAAACGGGTTCTAGTTCCAAAGTATCATGATTCACTTGTAACAATTTGTCTTCGCTAACTCCAGTGTAAAGCGGTTTCCCCGAGGTTCGAAACTTCGAATATGACGTCTCTAATCTGGCAGAGTCTCCCTTAGAAAACTCCACAAACTTGGTGGGGTCCAGCTCCTTGGTGTAGTCAGTCCACACTGGTTTGGATTCTGGTACGTCTGTAGCATAAAACCACCGAGCATTGACTTCCGGTGCGCTGTAAATAGTGGCACTGTAGCAGAAGGTCCTTCTGCAAGCCAATTGGACTATGAGTTGTCTGCACATACAGGGGGAAGTTGATATTGTCTAAAGGGGTACTCAATTGTAGTTGTACTGTGTTGTTCTGTTATTCTGTATTATACTCCTTAGCGGAATATGGGGTAGTTTTCAGTATCCTCAAGTATTGATGAAATGGTCTGAGATATACTGAGGAATGTACTCAGATGTACCTCCTAAATTAAGGTTTACGGTGTCGTACGACGTTCACGTGTATGCCGCATAGAAGCCGCACTAATCGAACGATGTGTGTATTCTATGTACGTGTAATGTAATTTAAGTGGCCTTCAGGGGAGTTCACCTCGTCACCTACAGGACTTACATAAATTACATTACACGTACATAGAAGCCGCACTAATCGAACGATGTGTGTATTCTATGTACGTGTAATGTAATTTATGTAAGTCCTGTAGGTGACGAGGTGAACTCCCCTGAAGGCCACTTAAGTACCCCAGCCCTAGAGAAGTCACTCCAAATGGGTAACCCCATGGCTTTAGCCGTTTGAATAGTAGTCTCATCGATGATCTTCATGGCTATTCGAAGATACACCAGTACATCCTGATTTGCATCTAAAGCTTGAGTATCGTTAAGGGAAAGCTTGAGTAAACTTCCATAAGTCTCCGTTGTTAGCAACGCTGTCAAGTTCAATGAACCTTCATTGAGTCCAATGTATGCTTCAACGTCGTTGATCATCAAAGCTATACCATCGTAGTAATTTTGGTACTTTACAGTATTGACGGCTTGACTGCTAGTCCAGCTCAAGAGTCCTGTAACCGAGTCAAAGGCGACGAGCAACGGAGGCTCAATGGTTCCAATAGGATCATCTCGAAGTAGCACTCTAGTGGTCTCCGCTATGGAAGCCAACCCCCATCTAGAGGCCCCGGAGATGAAGAGTCCCAATAATAAGCCTTGGAATAGGAGGGCTGTTCGACCACGGGTAGCACAGCCCGGTATTAAGAGCATCGCAAGAATATAATGATGGATTCTTAACGTTAAACCCGGTAAACAACCAATAAGAATTAACCCAACTACAAAACAAACATATATCAATAATGTATGGATAAATCGACCAGATCTCCAAATATGATACGCTTGAACACAACAACAGATGGCGACCACAACAGTTAATGTCACACCAACAGCCATTGAACCCGGTTGCAGTTTCAAATCTGTCCATGTGAATCTGTCCAAATGAAGTCTATCAAAAGTTAAGTTGTTCAACACTCCAACCCAGAACAAAGGGTACCACAATACAAGTCTTTGTAGAGGAGATCTTGGATCTGGATCCGCGTCGTGGTCTTCAGATTTGCCCAACGTTCGTTCTATGGAACACTTCCAAAGAACACTAAGGATACAACAAGTTGGCAAGAATCTTCCTAAGCTTAAAGACATCAAGTTAGCCAAAGTTTCCGGATCAGCAGCTTCAACTTTCATAGGTGGATCTGTAGCCATACATATAGTCCAAAACGCAACAACACTCATGGTCCAGAACATGACTGCCCCACTGGCCATAAAGACTATGGGTACTCCCAACAAAACATTAATGGCCAACACCATGAACCGAGGATCCTTACATTGACTAAAGACATAGCTTTCATCAGGATACAACTTCTTGAAGTAGTAGGAACTGGGGAAGAACGAATCAAACGAAACAGACGATAGCCCTTTGTGATAAGCTTTGGTGCCAGGGAAACTTCCTCTCCCTTTACTCCCAAAGGAAACCCTAGCACATCCTCCAACATACGAGGAGACTACTCCAGCATGAACAGCAGCTCCACATGGATACGAATCGGCCCTATAAGGGTTTGATAGTTGCTGGGCATTGAACTCTCTCTTTGAATCTGATTGGACCGCACCACCTCCAATATAGTAGCCTCTATATTTTATCATTTGGTCCCCCACAGGTAAGAAGGAGAAGGTGTAGCTTTCTCTTTCACACAAAGCAGGACACCGTATGATGACATCTTCACTATCTGCCAATGATGGACATCCTTTGCCGTCAAGACCACACTGATTGTTTTTACCCTTCCAGAATAACGGTTCTCCTCCACAGTCTAGAATGAGAATAGGTGTATCATCGGAAGAAGACGGAGCCAACGTTAAATACGATATTAAGGAGTGGTAAACCACAAGCATCCACATCATTAGATAAACCACCAATAATGCTAATCGGATCTTGGGCAGAACACCATGACGGAATTTGGTTGGAATGTCTTCTATGTATTGGAGTGCTTTAATAGAGCCAGGAGCCTCATCTCTCGGATTGCATGGCCCTTTAACTATGAGACTAAACCATTTTGAAACAGTTGATCTTTTATCATAGGGATCATCAAATGGATAATACGTGTCGTCATCTTCATCTTCATCTTCATCTTCACCTTCAAGGTGATCTACTACATCCGACTCCAAGTCCGTTCCATCGGCATTAAATAATCTATTTGATTCCTCCATAGAGTCCAGTTTGCCAAAGGTTTCAAGAGGAATATACTCTTCAACTGTACTAGATTGTATCCCCCGTTCATTTGCTATGTTCATTACTCCTTCTTTCCCCCTCCTTTGGGTAGAGTGTCTTGTGGGTGTGGTGGTTATGGTAGTATGCTCTTTTGTTAAGCAGGGGGGATCGCGCGGTATCTTCGGTCCGCTACCGGAATATAAGGTCGGAGATTGGCCCAGATAAGGAGATGTGAGGTATGCTCACACGAATGTAAAATGAAACACGAACGTCAGTGCGCAATGCAAGGAAGGTTCTATCCTTCATGTAATGCAGCTCATTCCGTTCTATTCTGTAAAGTAAGTTATATTATGTTACAATGATTACTATAATACCAATTCTTAATTAAACGTAACAATAATTAATATACATAAAAGACCCCCCAGAGACATACTAATTAACCAGAACACATAGTACAGGATTCAGGATTGTTGATAGCACAAGCGATGACCTTTGAACTAAAGATATCTCCTTCAGATTCTTCTTCTTCACCTTGTGCATCAGTTGTAGAGGCAGGTACTGGAGTTGGAGTTGAAGTCTTATCATCAAGCTTCAATTCAGCGAGGGAATTTTCAACTGATGTAGGTTCACTACCTGCAGTGTATGGTGAAGGCGATTGGGTAGTGGAGCTAGGTTCACTGGAAGAGCTTGGCTCATTAGACATAGCACGAGCAACATACTTTCTTTGGTTAAGTTTCTCTAAAGTAGCAATAGTTGTACCAGCGCTTGAAATAGTGGATTGGTCAATAGTAAATTGAATGGCAGCTGCAGCAGCTTGAGTTCTTAAGTAGTACATACCTGTTTTCAAACCCTTCTTCCAACCATAAAAGTGCATAGATGTTAACTTACCCATAGTTGGGTCTTTGATATGAATGTTCAATGATTGAGATTGATCAATGAATGCTGCTCTATCAGCAGCCATATCAATAATATGCTTTTGAGAAATCTCCCAAACGGTCTTGTATAATGCCTTGATTTCATCTGGGATATTAGCTAAAGTTTGAATAGAACCATTGTTAGCAATAATATGATTCTTCATGGCATCATTCCAAATACCTAAATCAACTAAATCACGTAATAAATAAGGATTAACAATTTGGAATTCACCTGCTAAGACTCTTCTCGAATAAATATTGGAAGTATATGGTTCGAAACATTCATTGTTACCTAAGATTTGAGATGTAGAAGCTGTTGGCATAGGAGCAACCAATAAAGAGTTTCTAAGACCATGTTTTGCCAATTTCTGCTTTAATGAATCCCAATCCCATAATTCAGTAGGTTTTCTTTGCCATAAATCAAATTGTAATAAACCTTGAGAGGCTGGAGATCCTTCATAAGAATCATAAGGTCCTTCAATTTCGGCCAATTCAATAGATGCTTCAACTGCACCATGATAGATGGTTTCAAAGATTTGTATATTTAATTCTCTTGCTTCTTGAGAGTCAAATGGTAAACGCAAAGCCATGAATGCATCTGCTAAACCTTGAACACCCAAAGCAATTGGTCTATTCTTGAAATTAGATCTTTTAGCTTCTTCAACAGGATAAAAGTTACGGTCAATGATCTTGTTCAAGTTTCTGGTGACAACCTTGGATACTTCATGTAATCTTTCAAAGTTATACCATGAATGTTCACTATCATTTTCAACAAATGAAGGTAAAGCAATGGAAGCCAAGTTACAAACAGCAACTTCATCAGGATCAGAATATTCAACAATTTCACAACACAAGTTAGAAGATTTGATGATACCCAAATTCTTTTGGTTGGTTTTCTTGTTACAAGCATCCTTATATAACATGAAAGGAGTACCAGTTTCGGTTTGAGCTTCCAAGATTGCATACCATAATTTTTGAGCCTTAATGGTGGATCTACCACGACCTTCATTTTCGTACTTTTCGTATAAGGCTTCAAACTCATCTCCATAGACATCAGACAAACCTGGTGCTTCATTGGGGGAGAATAAAGTCCATGTACCATTCTGTTCGACTCTCTTCATGAACAAATCAGGAATCCATAAAGCAGGGAACAAATCTCTTGCTCTAATTTCTTCCTTACCGTGATTCTTTCTAATGTCAATGAAGTCAAAAATATCTGAATGCCAAGGTTCTAAATAAAGAGCAAAGGCACCAGGTCTCTTGTTACCACCTTGGTCAACATACCGAGCAGTGTTGTTGAAGACTCTAACCATAGGAATAATCCCATTCGAAGTACCATTGGTACCAGCAATATATGCACCAGTCGAACGAATATTATGAATATGCAACCCAATACCACCAGCAGACTTAGAGATCAAAGCACAAGTCTTCAAGGTATCGTAAATACCATCGATAGAATCATCCTTCATGGCAACCAAGAAGCATGAGGACATTTGAGGATTTGGTGTACCAGCATTAAATAATGTTGGAGAACCATGTGTGAAATATCTTTGAGACATCAAATTATAAGACTCAATAACTCTTGGAATATCATCACCATGAATACCAACAGCCACTCTCATAATCAAGTGTTGAGGTCTTTCAGCAACCTTACCATTAATTCTTAACAAATATGATCTTTCCAAAGTCTTGAATCCAAAATAATTGTAGTTGAAATCACGATCGTACACAATGGCAGAGTTCAATTCGTCTGCATACTTGGTGATGGTAGCATAGGTTTCTTCAGAAATCATAGGAGAATGCTTATCAGTTTTAGGGTTAATATAGTCATACAATTGCTTTGCAACTTGAGAGAACTGCTTAGTGGTTTGCTTGTGTAAGTTGGACACAGCGATTCTTGCAGCCAAGATGGCGTAATCAGGATGAATAGTAGTCATATAGGCAGCTGTTTCAGCTGCCAAGTTATCCAATTCAATAGTAGTGACACCATGATAAACACCTTGAATAACCTTCTGAGTGATGGAAGTAGCATCAACGTGTTTGGCATCTAAACCATAACATAATCTTCGAAGTCTGGTAGTTATTTTATCAAACTGAACATTTTCGTGACGACCGTCTCTCTTGAAAACTTGCATTGTGGAAAGAAAGAAACACAGTTGATTTCCGAAAACTTATGTACCAAATAAAAAGAGTAGTACTTTGGCTTTCCTTTTATATGAGTGATGAGACGCGAATGTAAACAAAAAAAAATAGCTTAGAACATTTCTAGGAGACGCGTGACACGCGCAAAGTAACACAAAAGCACATGTAATTATGACGTGTAGGCGATATCACTTGATAGACGTGTAGATCCTTAGTTAAGAAAACAATAACTGGAATAGCAGACTGTATAACACGCGTACAGATCTTATTTACGTTCCTTCCGTTTTCAGGTTTTGCACCGATCCATGTTTAGTCAGCGGAAGAGGTGTCAGACATAAGGCTGCAATGCTACCCACATAATTCAGTTAAGAAACGGGAATGTGATGTTTCTCTACTAATTGAATTTGGAGTCTACACAGTGCTTGATATATGATTCATATTAAATTTATATAAATATAAACAATTACTTTGATTCTTCTTTTGTTAAGTCGCTATAGTTGTGGTTAGTAAGTCTGTGGTGCATTCTCGAAGGATTAGATTATTTTTGGTGTTAGGTGTAGCGAGATTCAGTGACAGTGGGACATAGACCAATAATCGTACTTAATATTGCGCTGGACGGCTGATAGGATGAACATTGTCAACTTAGGTAAACACAACTCCCATATACCTTCAGTCTCATGGTGGTCGCACAGGTATAAATGCCACTAAGTTATTACCCCCTATAACACCTGGGCTGATTTATACCCAATACATAATTCTCTCAACTCCAATTGAGATACTTGTATACATACTTCAATAACTTTTCCAAGTCAATGTCATCTTCCTTGGAAGAGACAGGAACAGCCGCAACAGCTGGTGTTGCAGGAGCTTCCTTCTTAGCACTGGGCCAAGCAACAAAAGCGGCCACAGAACCCAATGTCAAAATCGACAACTAAAAATATTGTTAGTAGATGCTTTATGATTTAGGATATACAATTGAAACAAGCAATGAGGCTTCTATACATTAGTTGAGAGCTTCACAATAGTTGCGTACCAATACATTGAACGCTTCCTGTATGTTCCTCCTTCGTATCGTACGTACATAATGAGCAGGAACTTGCTTTCCTAAAATAGTGTATGCGGAACCCATAACTGATAGAGTGGAATAGATAACCGAAGGTGACTCTAAGGGTAGTCTCCACATTTGAAGTTCCCCATTTGAGATCACCGAAATATTTACGTGGCTGTCTGACCAATGAGATCGAATGACGTTATCACGTGACTCTGGGCCTCGTGATCAAGTGTTCAGTATTATCCACTCTTACTTTACGGCATTCTTATTTGGTATTAAACAGTATATATTTGTATTCATTAACAAGCATTTATATGCCAATTCTTTTCTTTACATATTTGAGCCCAATCCACTATTTTGTTACCTTCGGGGTTCCGCAACCAAATTTCTTGCGCTAAGAACCAAGCTAGATCAACGTTATAAACTGCGCACCCATCTCTTAAATGCTTAAAACAATTTTCTATTCTTCTTTTATCATAATCAGTTACTGCAGCCATACTGCAAGTCAATAACGGGATTATCATTGATACTCGCATCTTAGAATCTCGAAGCCCCTCCACCAAATGCAATGTTTCTTCCAATAGAACTTGCACTTCATGGACCAACGGAGAAGCTCTTTTCAAATGGAAGTAGCAGCAAAGTTTACATACCTTTTTATATGTTTCAAAAATATCGATCTGTAGTTGATGCTCAGTGTCGTCACTAATAAGGAGCAATTGACTAATTGAAGGCTTCTCCATATTAATTTTCAACATCATTGAATCAAACACAAGTAACGAACATTCAACATAATCCAACTTAGCGGATTTATATAGTTCATTTAATGTTTCATTGGTGAACAGTGAAGCTGAAGCCTTGCGATAAAGGTCTTCAACGTAACTCTTTTGCTTTTCAAGTAGTATCTTGTTAGTTGCAACTTCTGCCAATCTCCAATAGATTGTGTAGAAGGCACCTTGTACAGGATCAACTCCGAAATTACCAAAGTCAACTTTAGCAAACACTTGTTGGAATTCACTTAACGGATATATAGGTCCGTTGATCCATAGTTCACTTGACGTACAACTGAAATATTGCATCAGTGATATAATAAAGATGATATCATTAGAATAGTTGTAGTCTTCACATATTTGTATTAGGCCTCCACTGAGATCAATTATCTCCTTCAACTTAAGAAACACCGGCCACCAATGATTAGGGTCACCGGTAGTAACATAAAACGTATAAAGTACGCTGTAGAAACACATGGCCCAGAACCTTTTGGCATTGCATTTTATTAGCGTTTGAGCATCTGTTGGGGGTAATAGTGAATAGCCTCGACGAATATAACTGTGAACTACTTCATCTTCAGGGTTATCCTTAAGATATATTCCTCCCCAAGCAGCTAAAAGATTACAGATAGCTTCATTCCCTTCACAAACCTTCACATAACACTTGAAGAAGTAATTGGAATCATCAATTCCCACACAACCAATAGCTGAACCTTTATACCTATAGAAATCCCAGAATAGACATCCATTGGAGTCAAGATACTTTAACGGTGCACTGGTGAACACCAACCGCGGAGATAAGGTATTGGACTTGAACATGTCGTCCATTGCATCTTCTAAAGCCGTTACACGTTGTACACACTCGATATCGTTATCATTATCACCATCGTTAATAGGCATATACGGAACCAACGCATGGTGGGTCTCAGCTTTGGCATTCTCTTCAACAAAGTCGTCCTGAGACTCAATTTCAACTAGCTTACAATCTGACTCTTGATATTCAATCTCATGACGCTCAAGCTTAGGATCCAGCACTTTTTCAATAGTGGTAGGTTTCTCCTTTGTTCGAAGATGATAACTCCATGCACATGTATCATTCCTCTTCAGACACGCGCCACATATGGGATGGACTTCGTCGCATCTCTTCCTTCTCAGTCGACATCCATCGCAGCCATATCTTGATTTTGATCTAGTCCCCACAAAGCTATGTTGTTCTATGCGCTTCTGATTGAATCCTTTCTTACGAGAATCTTGGAGACTCGGTTTACTAAACCCGGAATGGTCTTGTCTTCGCTTACGAACTGGTTGTAGAGAATGTGCTTCGAATAACGAAAACATTATATCTATGTGTTTATATCTACTGTTGCTAAGAAGAGAACATCTATTTCAATTCAGTTGAGCATGAAAAGTTGGTCTATAATGCTAAAGGCTTTTGTAGCATATGTTGCACCAAGGAATGCTTCTGTACAATCTCACATAGCAAATATAGAACAATTAGAGAGAATGTACGTCTCTATAATTTTGATAACTGGTGGCAAGCCGATAACGACTACTGATAAGGGCCTGGCTTTTTGTTATTGGCTTTTGTGTCACCAGACAACGGTTGGCTACGGAATGTATTACAACAAAAGATCCAGTCATAATGTGATAAGGGGATTTGGGTGTCGGGGCTTTCCACCCCTGAAAAAAGGTTCAGCTCATAGTTCCGATTGAAGTATTCATCACAATTTTTGCTATACGTAGCATTAATGTTTTTTGTGGGTTGGTCTTTACTGGCAGGTGGAAGCCAAATTTTATGTCAGTGGCATGCAATTACCCTTTTTGGCTCTTTCCGCCACTTTTTTTTGAAGCATATTTTAACATGAGGAAATGAAAGCTAATGCAAAGTGTTGTTATATGCAGGGCTTTATTAAGATAAGACGGATTCCACCTGATTAGGCAATTTCATTATAAGGTATATCCACCATAGCGATTATAATGAAAAGGTTGGGGTAGGTGTGTATACATGTTGCAAAGAATACATAGGCTCAACGACGGTAAAGACTGGAAAAGGAAATCATGATCGATAAGAAAATATTATAGGGGGAAATAGGATAGCACTGGCAGATGAATGAGTCTTTTTACCGAAATATAAGTAGGACGACATCCCCCTGTCAATTATATAATTGTACTAGGTAAAATATTCTTTTCATCTTATTAAACACTTCCTTCCTTCCAATATGCCCGAGTATACTGAATTTTTAACAACTGAAAAGTTTGATGGGTTTGAAGACCCAGTCAAGTACGAAAAGGAATGGTTGCCTAAAGTCATAGCTTATCGTGAGGCTCTTGCAAGAGCCATTGATCCAAAGTATGCAATTGACTTACCCAAACCCATTGAACAATTAGTCGATGACCAATTCAATTCTCTTGATTATCTATACAAGAGTAATTTGCTTACATCTGAGGAATTGGCCATCACTGAGACGTCAGCTACTGAATTACAGAAGCAGCTTGCTTCTGGTTCCTTAACTGCCGTGTCTGTGTATTTGGCTTATGCTAAGAGAGCAGTGATTTGTCATCAACTTACCAACAGTGCTATGGAATTGTTCACCGACGAAGGCTACGAAAGAGCTAAAGAGTTGGATAAATATTTTGCCGAAACCGGCGGTCAAGTGGTTGGTCCTATGCATGGGTTACCCATCTCTCTTAAGGAGCATTATGCATACCGTAATAAGGTTACCCACGCCAGTATGGTTGCTTGGGTTGATAACGTTACACCCGAACATTGCGTAACTATTCAAGTGTTAGAGGACTTGGGGGCTGTGTTTTATGTTCGTACCAACCAACCGCAAACGTTGATGCATCTAGACTCCAACAATAACTTCACTGGCTTGACGAGAAATCCCTTCAACATGAAGTTGTCCAGTGGAGGCTCGTCATCTGGGGAGGGAGCCATTGTTGCCTTTGGTGGGTCCACGATGGGAATTGGATCTGATATTGGAGGTTCTATTAGATCTCCAGCAGCCTTCTCGGGGTGCTTTGGACTAAGACCTACTTCTAATAGAGTGTCGCTTGCGGGTGCTGTTGCGACGATTTCAGGTCAAGAGTCAGTTCTCGGAGTGTGTGGACCTCTTGCTAGATCTGTTGAAGACATTGACTTTTGGATGAAACACTATTTGAACAATGGTAAGCCTTGGGACTTGGATGGAACACTTGTACGGATGCCATGGAGAGAATTACCCGCTCCTTCTGTTTCCGGGTTGACTATTGGTGTAATATGGGACGATGGGTTAGTGCACCCAACTCCACCTATCACCAGGGGATTGAAGGAGGTTGTTAATAAGTTGACCAAAGCTGGAGCCAAAATCATTGACTTCAAACCCATGAAGACCAAGCTTGCTTATGAGACGGTCCACAAAATGTATAACTGTGATGGTAATGCTCTGAATAAGCGGGTCCTTGGAACTTCTGGTGAACCATTGACCAAATTGACCAAATGGTCTTTGAACTATGGTGATGGTTCTAGAGAGTACTCTACTACCGAGAACCGTGAGTTGAATTACATCAGAGACAACTTAAGATTGGAATACACAAAATACATGGTGGATAACAAAATCGACTTTCTTATTTCTCCAACCTACTGCAACGTTGCTCCAGTTAGTGAATGTGTATACAGTTGGTCTTATACTTCGTTGTTCAACATTTTGGACTTCCCTACACTTGTTTTCCAAACCGGGTTGTTCCTGGACAGTGAGATCGACAAATGGGACGACACGTTCAAAGATTATCAATTCAGATCTGAGTTGGAGAAGTTGGAGTTAGAGCAATATGATCCTCAAACGTTTTCTGGTGCCCCAATTGGGTTACAATTAACCAGTAGAAGATATCACGATGAAGAAGTTGTTGCTGCTGGTAAAGCAATTGTTGAATTACTTGGCGTATCCCTTTACAAAAAGTAATGTATGTATTTATTAAACTAATGGAAGGAAATGCTTTAAACTGGAAAATGATAGAATTACGACATTAGTTTATATTATATGCGACATTTACATCACCAAATGTCGTACTTGCGGTCAATCTTCCACCGCCAACGCTTGTGGCCAATAACTTTCTAATCCAAATGCCCGAAGTACATCCACAGCATTCTCATCATCTTGCGTATACATTTGAGACCATTTCTTAAAAGTCAATTGTTTCACTTCATTCTCCCAAACTATTCGACACTTATTCTCCACGACATTGTCGTTACTGTCTTCGTCTTGCTCGTTCCAGTTTATTCTTTTGAGTAATAACTTCTTGTAGAACTTGATCCCTTTGCTACCTCCTTCTATTATCACCAAGTTAAATTTGGGATTATGTAAGCATATACCGTTCAACTCCAATTGTTTAGCATTCATGTTAATCTTATAAAGATGTTTCCCATTGTTAAGACTCTCAATTCTAAACACTACCATAAACTTCCCCCTACTTAAATCTCTTTCATGTTGCAGTTGTATCTTAGCTTGCTTCTCTTCCTTGGTGAGTTGTCTTTGTTTGTTTTGCTTCAAATGCTGGTCGACCCGAGCCTTGGCCTCATGTCTCACCTTCATCTCTAGTGCTGTGGGGTCTCTTGCCGATTCATTGGCAAGAACATTCATAAGATTGGATAAGCGGACTTTAGGGGGAGGCGGAGGATCTATGCCCAACTTTATTCTGTCTTGTTTGTCCTTAAGCTTCTGTAACCGTTCGTTTCGTCTCATCTTCTTCATCTCCTTCTTCGTCAAAAACACAGCAGTAGAAGCAGCCGGACTCATTGTTGTTGAACTGTCCTTATTAACTATGAACACTGGATGCTGGATGTACTCAGTCACAGGTGCTGATTCATTTTCGTAGTCTATCTTGGATTCATCCAAGCGACATTCTTCATAACTGTTAACCGTTAAGTAAGGCTTGTCCCACCACTCAACCATGGGAGGGTTCTCAAGTCTGTACTTGTCTTCGCCTATGACTATGTCGGGTACAAGCCCTTTCAGCCGTATTTCTTCTTCGTGTCTATTCTGTTCGGCTTCAGCTTTAAGCTGACTTCGAAGAGCATCGGCTTCGGCTATAAACTTCCCCTGAGGAGCCAATTCAAACCCCCGGTGTTTCTTCGCTTTAATGGCGGTATCAGCTTGATTCAAATAGGGATTAATGGCGGTAGGGTCAAAGACATCTCTAACATTTCGCTTCAAAGGATTATGGTTCTTGGGTAGTCGAGGTGTTGGGGTAATCTCTTTAAGTAACGGATGGATCTCAACATTTAGGCCGCCAGAACCTTTGGCAGTCAGCTTATCATTCAACTGTCGACTCATAGTTCATGCGGCAAGACTGGTACTAAGTATATTAAGTTGGTTGTTGTGGTATCTATTTATTATTAGTTCGACTTAAGTCGTGGTACGGTAGCGTCGCTGTGCAGACGATGACCGTCTAGGTCGAGCCTGCATATGGATCACGAATATTCTCAAGGAAAAGAATCCACTGGGCCTTAACAATATTAGTTACTCCTTTCTTTCTTCCAATTGCTAAGCTGAGTTGGTATCGATAATATTTCAAAGGGTCCCCCCTTGATAATTTGCTACATAGAGTTTACCAAGTACACTGCTGTATTTATTGAATATGTCGGACGCAACAGTTGGTGCCACCAGAGAGCGAGGTCGCCAGTACCGACCCTTGATAGATGAAATCTTAAAATGTGACGACAAGGACTTGAGTCAGGTGTTGAACAAGAACATGACCGAAGAGAAAGGCGACACGCTTTATTGGGTTGAAGTCATGTCCAAATTTGAAAAGATTATCGACAAATTGATTGACAAATACGGCTTGGAAGACACCGAAGTCAGGCTCCAATTGATCAACAATTATGATAGTCAATTGGTAATTTCCATTATAAAATTTGTTAGAGAATTGATAAAACTCCACTCGTGGCAAGCGTGTACTCTTGGAGGCAAAATCTCCAAGTTTATCAAAACTCCTTCCATAGACGTTAAACTCGAAGCCTTGGAGTTTTGTGTGGTGTTGACTAAAAGAGACTTGGGGTACTATTTGAATCCTATTTCCAAGCAAACCAAAATGGAGATCCTACGTCTTGCGCAATGTTTCCCACCGCCATTGCCTGTGGGGTTCTCTCAGAAAGTGAGCCAATCAAAGACGCATACGCTGGAGGATTCAAGAGTAATTGGAGGTTATTATAGCTTGGTGGATGCTTTAAATCCGAGAATGAAATATCCTTCCAAATGGAAGGGACTCAGTTTTTCGTATTTTTCCTCGTCTGTGGTGAAGGACGTTGCTCCTGCTGCTTCTGCTGTAACAGCCGGAGAAACACTGAAAGCCGACAAAAAGAAGAAAAGATCATCCTCAAAGCAAACAGTACTTAAAGAAGGAGTTTCGACTTTTTTCATGTCTGATGAGAATGTTCGAAAGTATTCATACGATCAAATCCTTGATAAAGGCTCTGCCTCAATCCCCAAGGACCACTGGAACGATTTCAGCTTGACGGCTTTGATAGCAAAGTCGTTCAACACAAGATCTCATGATGCCATGAAATTACGGGAGAAAATAGTCAGAATGAAATGCTTTGCAATTGCCGTTTTATTTTGTGCCTGTCCCTCAGACTTTGTCATTACCCGTTTTATTGAGGCCCATCATGTTTCTGATTTAAATTTTGTGGTTGACTTGATACTGCCAGAATACGCCAATATCGTTTCTAAAGAAGTGTACTACTCAGCCACAGTATCGTTATTATGTCTCGCTGTTCACTGTTCCGTGAAAGATACCTGGACTGGGGATTTATTTCGTTATCTCGGTGGTAATCTAAGCCATGGAATGATGTTCCAAAACTTAAGACACATTCAACAACAAGTGGCTTCGAACGACCCTTCATATGATGAAACTGCCAACTGCTATTTTATTTCCATGTTTTACTATTTTCTTGATACTTCTTGCAGCACCAGGTTACAAATTGTTGGTCTTATGGATGATCTATTATCGTTCTTGAGAATAGAAACTAAATACAAGAAAACTTGTGGTACTGCAGCCGTGGCCCTTCATGCTTGCTTTAAAATAGGCAACGAAGTCTTGGACGACTTTGACAATCTTGGAGGGTTTGAGATTCTTATAGAAGCCATTCAAAGAGAAGTGAGGCTAGCTATGGAAAACCACTCAAAGAATTTGAAATTATCTAGAGACGAACGTACCTATATTACTGATTTAATACTGGTTGTTGCCAGAATCTTAGATATTGATTTTGGTGACCGTTTGAGGACTCTTTTTGATTCTCCAATCTTACAATGCTTCAACACAATACTTGAAAACCCCCAGTTTTTTGATCAAAAAGTAGTAGGATATACGGTGAATTCAATCAGGTCAACTATCAATAATTTCCCTTCGGCATATTCTATTTTGAAAGAAGCCAATGTCATCTCTACCTTGTTCAATAATTACAGCAAATTGTTTTTCCCATCAGCAGGCATGTTTGCTTCGTTGGCTGATGTCATTGGTCCTCTTTGCTTGAATAAAGAAGGACTCAAAGATGTTCTTGATAGTTCGATCATTCGTGATAACTTCAAAGTGTTTTTGGACGTTGAGCTTTCCAAAGAATTGGATTCCCGTTCAAGTTTAGGCTTAGGAAGAACGTTTGACGAATTATCAAGATATTATCCTGAACTTAAACCGTTAATCATCAAAGAAGTCAAAGAATTATTACATGATGCTGTGCCATTTTTGAGAGAGAACCTTCAAGGAGTTGAGTTTTATACTTCGTCTGAAGGTACTTTTTATAATAAAAATGACGATGATGAACCTATCAAAGTGGAAGGAGGTGTAGGAGTTAACAGCTGGGAGACTTCTAAATTCTTCCTTTTGGACAATATATTTAATTTCACTGGTGGGTTATTTTATTACCAACAATGGGACGCAGAGGTGTTGGAAGCGATTCCATTTGAGTACATTTGTGATCTTTTAACCATTCCAAATAGCCCCTATGATATAATTGATTCCTTTGACTCACATAGACTAGAGGAAATACTAAGCTATTTTGACAGTATTAAACGAGGATATGGTTTAGAAGTGTTGATTAAAAGATTAAAACATCATTTACGAGGTACCCAGATCCAAGCATTCATCCACGATGAATCTACAACCGTAAGTCATTTTGTTAGATTTGAACACGACGGCCTGGAAATGGGGACAGAGCTCTTGCAACAAATCAACGTGGTTTCCTGCTTGCTCCATGTGCTTACACTGTGTTATGTTGCGATTTTCAAGGAAAGAATCATTCAATTGGCGACTTTAATTGACTCTGAATTCATTCTAAACATCGGACTTTTGTTAAGAAGATGTACTGTTGAAGAAACCGTCATCAGATCCAACCTTCCTGCCTCAGTTGCTGCACTTACCATCCCCTATGCAGATTATGGAAACGACATGCCACCGATGTTGATCCACTCGCAAGAACCTCTTGATGACCCCCCCAAAAGAGACGGGAATACAGCAAAATATAAGAACACCGTTCAAATGAGAGAGCTATTCCGTCAAACTACTTACAAATCAGCAATTTTGTTCAATGTGTTACCAAAGATTTGTATGTTCAAAAAACAAGAGTTCCTTACACCGGAGCTAAGGAGGAAAGCCGTGCAAATCATCCTTTCTATCTCCGAAGTGTTTTCCAAGTTCTTTGATCTTCAGTTCCCGGACACTTCTCAAGAGTCAAGCTATACGTTGGTTCTCGTGAACCTCGTTAGCCACTGTTTGTCACAAAAGGCACCTAAAGACTTGAGGAACACTGCACTTGTTATTGGGCTCTTGCAAACACTGTACTTTGAAAAAATCTCCAAGATTGCCGAATCTTTATGGTCCAACTTACTTGAAACCTCCCCTGACGAAGTGGAGAAAACAAAGGAACTCAAATACATTAGTATTGCTGAGAATAGCACCATTAAGAATGCCATTTACCAAATCTTCACTTCATTTGCCTATATTGTTCGAGATGAGTTAATGCCGAACTTGCCCATGACCAGTTCTTACTTTGCAAGGGGATACTCTGGTCCCAACCAATTGGTTTCATCAGTGTTGCTTCAAACCCGAGTTCTAGCTATGAGGTTGCTTCTGAAGACTGTTGGTCCGGAGTCACAGCTCTTTGCTACAGAAGGTCGAGGTATCAACAGTTCTAATATTCCTTCGCAGGTTATTGAGCAATGTCTTACCATATATCAGGCTATTCTGGTAACCAAACTTGATGCAGACACCGAGATTGAGCCATTTGTGGGCTTTGACGTCAACAATGTTGCTCCTCGTGGTCAAGATCTTCAAATCTTGATCGATAATGGTGTTCCAATGGAAGAGGCCATTAATATGACCAACAAGTCCAGAGATCTACGAGATATCATCAATAAGAACGATGCTCATTTATGGGAATACAATCTTGACGACATTAGTGACACCTTAAAGGAACTTGCCAATAAAGATGACATGGAACATCCGTTGACAACTCGTGATAATTCAGAGGAATACCTTGAACTTTACGCTAAGATTGCGTCTTCAATATTAAAGAACCTTTTCATATTGACAGAAAACTATCCTCGATGTGTTGAATCTATTATGGAAGTTCTCTTGACCATTTCCAATGATCCGACTGAAATTGTGTTTGAACACCTTAAGAAAATGATGCACAACAAGGAAGAAAGCACTAGTGCACGCATTGCACCCGTTGCACTTTTGTTCAGTTGGTGTGTGAACAAGTGTTGTAAGAACTCTGTTATTCTTGAACAAGCAGCCCAGTTTATCAGCGCTGAATATCACAATAATGTTGTTCATGTGAATGAAGAGTATTTTGCATATCTCTTGTTCATCTTGGAGACATTATTGACCATGAGTGACGTTCCCAATGTTGAAGAGACCGTCCACAAGTTTCAATACAAGGCTCCACCCTACAAGGTTTCAACAGAACTTAAGGAGAACATGTTGGAATGTATCTTGAGCTTTGGAAAGATTCTGGAGAAGAAAACCGCCTATGCTTTGGGAAGAGTGCTCATATTATATGCTAGAGATCAACTATATGCCAGCAAGATCGTCAAGTCTAGTGTCTTGAGCGAGTTGATCCATGTTGCACTCTCGTACACCAGCGATTCCAACCAAACGTTTGATCCTTATAGAAAGATTATTATTATTCTTCTTAGAAGATGCTATGAAACCGTGGACATTCTCAAGAACTATATGACCCCGGACATTTTACATTTGTTCTCTGGCTCGTTGAGGTCCAAGAGAGAATTGGAATCGTGTCTTCGGGAGACCTCTGCCTTGGTTCTTCGGGAGCCGACAGTTTACGTAGATACGTTCACCAAGTATACTGTTCTTGAGGGCTACGACGGGTCTTCTGAATTGTCTCAAAACAGATTAATTGTGAGTAAAGTAGACGAGAAGAAGGACCACAAGGAAGACGGTGATGGTGAAGCTGATGCTGATGTTGAAATGGAAGATGCTCATAAAAATGTTGTGGGCCAACATACTACGGGAATTGTTCACTCGTTGTTGCATGAGTTGATGCACACTATGAAACAGGATTGGATGTCGCATCCAGAGGAACCCAAGAAGAACAGTTCCCGTAACAACAAAAAGAAGACTAAAGAAGACAATAAGAATGATATCAAGGCCGATGTGTTCAAGAACGGACATTTTGCCTATGCCTGTTTTATTCTTCAGGTTCTTATTGAGTTATTGAGTTCCTACAAGCAAGCCAAGTTTGAGTTTATATCTTTCTCCAAGAGACAAGTAGCTGAGGATCAAATCAGGCCACTTCCCACGGCATTGAACTTTATGATTCACCAAATGGTCTCTTTGTGCCCTAATGAGAACGAGAACAGCATCAAGGCATCCAGAATGAATACGTTATCGACATTGGCTAAGCTTGCACTTGTTTCGTTAATTTCCACTCCAATTCTTGACGAAAAGAACTCGCCTGATCCCAAGAATGAAGACATTGACATGGCTTTTATCCGGAAGTTCTTTACTGATGTTTGCGGTAAGATTCTCATCGATACTCTGGAGATGAGTACCGTTGTTGCGGAAATCAAATATGCCAAACTTCAACGAGTGCTTGAGCTTTATGGTGCTCCGTTCTCCAACAAGCTTTCTTCCTTGGTGAGCTCATTACGGAACAAGAGGGCCACGGTTTACGATTCGTTCTACATCACCAAGTGTATGATGGACAAGCAGGTTCCCAACTTGATAGCCAAAGTAACTGCTGATTACGACTTGAACTACGCCGACATCAGTCGAGTGATTAAGGCCGGAAGTAAGGTGCTCAACTCGTTAGGGAAAGTTCGGAGTGACAACCAAGAATTGTTTGAGCATGGCGAGCGGGACGATGAAGACGACGAAATTGTTCCTATCTCTGACGATAGGGAAGATGTGCCAGATTTATTCCGTAATTCTACGTTGGGAATGTACGACATTGACGAATCTGAAGAGGACGATTTCTCTGGACTCGACGAAATTCCAGAGGAGTTATGGTCAGAAGATGAATCGATAGATCTTGTGTCGGACAACGAGATGAACGCCAACGACATTGATGATTTCGAGGCAGAAGACTCTGATATGGATGTTGATATTGCCATGGGAGATGATGATGATGAAGGTGAAGTAGTTATGCACGACCAAGACTCCGATGGTTATGACTATGACGATGATGATGAAACTACGGATTCTGAAGGTGATGCTATTGATATAATTGAAGAAGTTACTTTTGACTCTGATGACGAAGACGGAGAAGATTTTGATGATGATGACGGTGAAGGCAGCAATGTTTCCGATGAAGCGGAGTTCTTTGGATTCGATGACGATAGCGATGGCAGCGAATACGACGATGATGAGTTCACAGAATGGTTGGACGGTATGCGGAACGGAGAAGTGTCAGAAGATGAAGACGACAATAATAACGAAGATGAAGAAGATTTTAACCCTAGAATTGTCACCATAACCCCTGGCCGTCGTTCTAACGACACCAACAACATCGACGACGACGACGAAGGGGACTTGGAAAGACTTTTGGTGTCCAGCAATGCGCCAAATGGTAACCCATTGACTGCACTTTTGGAGATATTTGGCAATGATGCAGGAGGTAATTCGTCTTGGTCGTCGTTTGTGGGTGGCCTTTTGAACGAGCCGTTGCTTTCTGATTCTGTTACGTTTGGAAGCAGCAACGGCACTCGACTTGACTCTGAACGAGCTCTAGACGGGTTCCTTTCGTTGGCCAAATTGGGCAACGACGGCGAGGTAAACTCCGTCATTAAGTTCAGTTCCACAGTGGAAAGATGGAGTGATGCCATGAGGTTATTTTACGACAATAGAAGCTTGTATTATTTGAGGGTAACCCCGGCCATAGTCAATCGGATTCAAGACAAGAGTGCTGAGATTTACAAGCGGAAGAAGGAGCAAGCGGAGAAGGTCAGAATGGAGAAGTTACAGAAACAGTTGAAAAAACAGCAAGAAGAGAAGGAGAGAAGAGAACAAGAAGAGAAGGAAAGAATGGAACTTCAACTGGAGCAGCAGCTGGAGCAAGAACAGCAACAAGTTGCTGCTGAAGGAGAACGTGAACCTATTTATGTTCTAATCGGTGATAGAGAGGTGGACATTAGCGGGACAGATATTGATCCTGAGTTCTTTGAAGCGTTACCGGAAGATATGCGAGAAGAAGTGTTCACCCAACACGTACGAGAACGTCGTGCTACGGCCTCGAACACCAATGCCGATGTCCGAGAAATTGATCCTGATTTCTTGGATGCTCTCCCTGATCAGATCCGGGAAGAGATCCTTCAACAGGAGTCCATGGCTCGCCGGTACTCTGCCATTGAGAACATGAGAGCCATTGACGATGATCAAGACAATATTGAAGAAGACGATGAAGATGATGATCAAGATGGTGAAGAGAACGAACAAGATATTGTTGTTAATGCCTTGAGCGAACATGAGAATCACAGTAGTAAAAGCGGTAGAAACAATGATAGACTCAAGTTAAAGGTATTTCAGACTCCATTTGTTGATGCCACTGGGGTGTTTTCCATTCTTCGTCTTTTGTTCTATCCTCAGCCACATCCGTTTAGAGCTTACATTCATGATACCTTGTTGTTTATGTGTTTCAGCAAGCACACCCGGAACGAGGTTATTGGGTTAATGATAGCCATAATGCATGACTTGCTTACAAACCAGAACTCGATCGAAAAGCTTTATCAAAGTGTTGTGATGAAAGCTAAGAGCAGCGGTGGTCCTAATGGTGGAGGTTGTATAGAGCTTCCCAAAGGAGCCACGTCAAAGAATGTGGGTGTGCAATTTGTCACAGCCATGTTACATTTGTTGCAGAGTAGCTACTATGTTCGTTACTACATGTTGACCGAACATGAAATCCCATTCTTGGTTAAGAAAGGTGACCCCAAGAATAAGATTAAGGAAATGATGGTCAAGAAGAACAGATACCCCATCAATTATATTATACTGATACTTGCTAATCCTTTGGCTACCGAAGATCAATTCTTGGTGTATCTTTTAGCCCACGTGCTACAGAATGCCACCAAGCCTTTGGCCTCGCTTAAGAGAACAGATGACGATAAGAACGACAGCAGCAATGCAACCCCTGCTGCTCCAGCTCCTACGTTGGCTCCGGTGATCCCAGACCATTATTATGCTTATATTGTTCGGATTTTAACCGGGAACGAATTCCACAGTGTCACCTTCAGACGAACCATAAGTACCATGCAAAATATGTCTTGGTTACCACACTCTCAGAAGATTTTCACGGTGTTTTTATCTGATGAGGCTACTAATTTCGGTAAGCTTATCATAGATGAACTTAACGAGGCCATTGACTTGATCAAAGCTTCTCCAGAACAACAGCAGCTTGACAGTAAGCTCTTGGCTAAGTTTAGTTCTCAGTCTTCCAACCAGACAAAGCTTCTTCGTGTTCTTACGGCGATGGACTATATGTACGAGCACCGGAACAAGGCAGAAGACGGGAACAAGGCAGAAGATGGGAACAAGGCAGAAGATGTTGACAACAAGATGTTGACGGAATTGTATCAACAATTATCACTAGGAACACTCTGGGACGCTTTAAGCTCGTGTTTGCTGTTGTGTGAAGAACACTCTCGAGGGGAGGTTGCCACATTGCTTTCCCCGTTAATTGAGTCGCTTTTGCTTGTGTGCAAGCACAGCAAGATCAAAGACATGCAAGTACGAGATTTGGCTTCGTTTGAAGTGAAGAAGATCGACTATACCAAGGAACCCATTGAGAGGCTCTTTTTTTCGTTTACGGACGAACATAAGAAGATCTTGAACGCAATGGTTCGGGCCAACCCGAATTTGATGAAGGGACTTTTTGGAATGCTTATTAGGAACCCCCGGGTGCTTGAATTTGACAATAAAAAGGCATACTTCGATCGTCGGTTGCTTCAAGACGTTGATACTGAAAACACCTTGGCTGTTTCTGTACGTAGAGACCAGGTCTTTTTGGACTCTTACCGGGCGTTGTTCTTCAAGTCCAAGGAAGAGTTCCGAAACTCAACCTTGCAGATTGAATTCAAAGGTGAAAGCGGTGTGGACGCCGGTGGAGTCACCAGAGAATGGTACCAAGTGTTATCTAGACAGATGTTTAATCCTGATTATGCTTTGTTCATCCCAGTGGCCTCTGATGCTACGACATTCCATCCCAACAGAACGTCGTACATTAATCCGGAACACCTTTCGTTCTTCAAGTTCATTGGGAAGATCATTGGTAAAGCTATTTTTGACGACTGCTACTTGGACTGTCATTTTTCCCGGGCAGTTTATAAGCGAATCTTGGGCATTCCCGTGTCTTTAAAGGACATGGAGACCTTAGACTTGGAGTACTATAAGTCGTTGATGTGGATGCTTGAAAACGACATTACCGACATTTTAACCGAAGACTTCTCAGTGGAAACCGACGACTACGGCGAACACAAGATCATTGACTTGATCCCCAACGGAAGAAACATTGCTGTTACTGAAGAGAACAAACTGGAGTACATTAAGAAGGTGGTAGAGTACAGACTTCAAACCAGTGTTCGAGAACAAATGGATAACTTTCTTCAAGGGTTCCATGAGATCATCCCTAAGGACTTGGTGTCTATTTTCGACGAACAAGAGTTGGAGTTATTGATTAGTGGACTTCCCGACATTGACGTTGATGATTGGCAGTCCAATACTTTGTATGTGAACTATTCACCCTCTACCATACAAATCCAATGGTTCTGGAGAGCCGTGAAGTCGTTCGATAACGAAGAACGGGCTAAACTCTTACAGTTTGCAACCGGGACTTCCAAAGTGCCGTTGAATGGGTTCAAGAACTTGAGTGGAGCCAATGGTAACTGTAAGTTTCAAATCCATAGAGACTATGGTCTGATTGACAGATTGCCTTCGTCACACACATGTTTTAATCAGGTAAACTTACCAGCATATGAATCTTATGAAACACTAAGACAAGCGTTACTACTTTCAATTACAGAAGGTCATGAAGGGTTCGGTTTAGCATAGTCATGGCTATATTAAGTCTAAATGTCGTCAATGTCTACCGTTGGTTCGCTATCTGTTAAATGACGTTGCTAAAAGTTTCTACACACTTGTTCAATGTCGTCAATGTCTTTCATATGTTCAACCAACTTATAGTTGATTTCGTTCTCCTTCACAACGTCGTCGTTCCATAAGCCACACTCTTTAATCAACTCCTCAGGTTTAATGGTCATTCTACCATTCTTCTTAAACACATATTTGGTGACTGCTGCACAATACAATGTCTCCTTTTTGGTGTTGGGGTGTCTCACGACAAACTGCGACAAAATGTACATCCATTTGGAGTCCCATGCAAACACACGGCTTTTGATGAAATATCGAGTGAACAACGTTAGCTCCTTCTTAAATGTCGCTTGGACGGACCCCATAGGGATATAAGGGACATTGGACAAAGATCTGGTGGAGAATTCGTCGTTTGTGTTATCATAATAATTCCAAAAAAGCGGGCCGAATCTTTCCCCGACCAATTTGGTTCTGGCAATGTCTAAATCAGCAAAGTAGGTGGAATTGGATTTGTGCAAGTAGATGTCGATCTCCAAGGGTGAAACATAGGTTCTATATTCACTGGCTTTGAACAAAGTGTTTCCTGGCACTTTTCTACCGTTGGCAACGTATCGCCGGTACCGGAACATGAGAACGGTGAGAACTTGATAGTAAAAGCGACATACCCATGCACCAGGTAATGTCTTATAGGTGGACACCAAGAACGCTAACAACAGATACTTAACCACTGTTTTGACCATATTATTGAGCTAACTATTATTCTTGGTATTAGTATTAGTAATTCGATACGGATATAAAGAAAGGACACGATGAAGAGTAGTGCGACATTTCGTTTCATTAACTCGGTTTCCTCTTGTACTCCGACAGTGAGAAAGGGGGCGATACTTTGTCATATGCATAGAGATCTTCCGAGCCTGACAAAATTTCGGATTTAAATTTGCACGCTTGAGCGCAGCCGGCTTTGTGTCCCTGTACGCCTATTAAGAAGTAACCCAGTGAAAATATATTAACTACGCAGACACTAACTAATATAACAAAATACCCAAAAATAAATAGCTGAAATAGAAATATACAAGAGCAACACACAGTGTCTGTCTGTTAGTCATTTTGAAATAAACCCTGTAAAAATTAACGTTAACCTTCCTTCTTCAACTCATTGGCAAAGGAACATTGGTTCTTTTCAACATGATTGGTTAACCATTCATCAACATTGTTGAAGAACTGGTGACACATCCGACAATGACCGTTAACTTTATTGCGTTGGTCCTTCTTTGTACCATTAGGATACTGGAAGTGTATAGCCTTCAAATGATTCTTAAACGTGTCACACCGACTGAAGATCCCCAGATTGTGACAACAATGATCTCCGGTCGAATGGTTCTTGTATGGACACTTGAACTGGCCCTTGTCCAGCCCGATCTCCTTCCAATGGCACTTGACGTGACGGAATAAATCATTGGGTCTGGCAAATCCTCGTTGGCAGTACTGACAAATATGAGGACGGGATGTAGGCTTCAAATGTGTAGATTTGTGAGTGACCAAGTTGGAAAAGTAAAGCTTGCACTCGGGACATTGTCTCTTCTTGCGAGGCTTGCACGAAGACTTCTTGATGCCTCCGTGGGAGCTGTGAGGCAAGTCGCCGTGGTCGTTGGCGTCCACGGTGCCTTGTTCGGGAATTTCCATTTCTGGGGAGGAGGGACCCGTGGATGCTTCCAGACCAGAAGGAGATGAAGGAGTGGTCGACCCTTGTTCGATTTTTATCTCCCGTGGAGGATCCAAATGGTGGGGATGATGGTGATGATCTTGCTGCTCTTGTTGCTGTTGATCATGAGGGTCGGAGAACGACCGTATTCTGTGGCCGGCAGTAGTCAACTTATTCAAGCCGTCTACGGACGTTGGAGTAGAAAACTGTGAGCTTGTGGTGGCCACAGAAGGACATCTGGTGTTGGGAGACCCCACGGGACTCATGATCGACGAACTCGAACATGTGGAGTAGTTGCGAGAGACATTTGGTACCACAAACAACAGACTTGAGCCTGGCGTGGGAACGGCGGCCACGGGGATTGCAACTGGGCCTGGGCCTGGGGGTTTGGGGGTGGCGCCGCCCACAACCTGGTACTGCAGGAGTTGCTGGTTTGGCTGGGGCAACAGCGACATGGCAGGAGCATATTGCGACCGCTGATAGTATATTGGCTGCTGTTGTTGGGGGGCAACACCATACGTTGGGAAGATGACGTTGCTAGCAGGAGGAGCCACTTTTGAAGCAGTGGTGGTAGGCAAATCTAACGAATGGATAGGAGGCAATCTGATTGCTGGACCTTGGTTGTAGACTGGAGGCAAGATATATGAGGAACCCATTCTGATTATATGTATAGATAGATAAATGTGACAGGTCTAAATCATACACCAATTTAGACTGACTTCATAAAAGGAACGGTTACGGGAGGTATTAATGTCGGATATGATATGAGTGACTATTAAAGGGTATATAAGGCGATGAAGACGGGTTGTTTAGTGAGTAGCCCGATATATATAGATAATGGCTGGGTATGGGATAAATGTGGAGGGCGGAATCAAAGCATTATTTAAATAGGAAACAGACAGACAGGAAGCTTGGGCTTTTCTCCGAGCCATTAGAATCATACCCACTGAGTGTATAGAAAAGAAAGCGGCAGAGCCACCCACCCGCGTAAGAAATTGTCTGACACCTGTATGAGTAAGCCCCCGAATTTAGGGGACGTAAAGTTTGTGTTTCCGTTTTTCTTCTGGCGTACACCCGACTAATGTCGGTGTGGCGTGCGGATATAACGCGAATGAATGAGGTTGAAGCCGTGTCGGATATACGAAAACCTCGACCCTATACTAAAACTAATAATAATCATTGTTGTGTCTGAACACTTGTACCGCAAGAGGCCTTTTGTGTACTTGGCAATGTGTTTCCGTCTACATCAATTCAATTGCCGAACAGCATAGTTACAAACCATCTATTTCCCCTATCTTCTGACCGGAGCTTTCGCCAACAAGCGATCGGAAATACGACTGATACTTTTCGGGACATTTTTCAAGTAGAGGAAGAAGGCCTTAGCCCGCGACGATATTTAATCCAACATCTTTCCAATTTGTAACCAGAGTCTCTAACCGTGGAGGAAGACACCTATCGACTCGGAATCTTCGGACGCCGTTCCATCGTGTTATAACTCTTACATAGTAGCCATATGGCATGGGTGGTGGAATTGCGTATTCAATTTTATGGAATGCCTGGTAAGGTGGCGGGACCCACAAGGCTGAAACAGTATGCCATCTTCTGTTTGGACGTCTAGATAAACTAGCGCCATCCCGACACCCCCGCCATCATGACACCTTATCGTCGGACAGACACGACGCCAAAGCCGTGCCCCGCGGCTGTTAATTGCAGCAAGAATACATATCCGAGACCGAAAAAATGTCTCATTCATGGAGTGGGGGCTTAACCATATAGCGATAATTTCTACAATTCATTAAACCATGGAATGAATGTATATGCTACAACAGCCGCGCTATATCTAGAAAGCGAAGGGAATTGCATGAGTATAGTCGATTCGTATGCAATTACACTTTACATTCCACTGTCAGCGTCCCAACCTATAAATATTAAGCAACAGAACGACCCGAGACAGTGTTCCGGAAATTGTATCACAAAACACCGACATTGCTTAGGAAAATGAGGTGTTTCACTATTTATAACGAGCAACCCCACAAAGGCAATTGTCAGATTTGTATAAGTTTACGGTTAACATAACCAACAGGTTGGTTTGGAGAACCCTGGCCTATACGAAGCCATTCATTTGAATTCTCAGCCCATGAAGCCTCAATCGTTCCAAGGCCACATACGTTAAGTGAGGTATATACTTTTATGTGTCTATTTGTCGCGCAGGTGCGAACCGATTCTGTGCATGGTGCTCGACCGAAATGAACCTCAAATACATCGGAGTTATCACAGTGTTAATTGAAAGGACAGCAAAGACTGATCGTTCTAATCTTAAAGATAGCAACTATTACGCATGTTGATATTGTTTGAATAATAACTGTCTGTCAGCTCCAACCACAGCATGTAAAGACTGTTTAGCAGCAATTAATGCAGTCAATTTTAGTCAAACACTTTGCCCCATGGCTACAAACTTGTAGGCATCTGTTTCCATCACGGTTGTTGGTGAGTTTGCTACAAAACCCCACATCCTCTTTCCTTGGTATTTGTCACTGGAGAGTAGCTGTTACACACACCTCCCATAATGCTTGCTTATAACCGATATAGGTAATTGTATATCATTAAATCAGACACACCACTTTACTGTTGTTCTCCGGAAAATAATGCGGCAATACACTGCGATATCATCATGATGTAATGGTTGCTATTGTGAGGTATATGTTTGAGCAATTTTAGTCGGATTTGTCTGCGTTATCTGTCTGATAGGAGTTACTTTCGAAAGGGCCGTTACACCCGTCAACTCCGCATTATTGACCTGGATGTTCCCTAATTAGTAAGCTTTGCAAATGTGAGTGATTTAACAAGGTTATGCAACAAAGCGGTGTTAGGTTTTCTCGGTTCCGTTCTTAGCAATATTCACCGTTTCGAAACAGATAAATAACTAATTGTCTCCTGTTGAACTCCCCTCCATAATTTACGGTGCTCGGAGTAGGGTACCGAATTTCTGTCCGAATACTTTAGAATCTGGGCTTTCACCGATGAAAAGCATTGTCGGAGTCTTTGAAATGTCTTTGTGCTGTTTCTGGTACGACCGAAACGCAGACAAAACGAGTTTGTTTCAGCCGATCGTTTCTACAGAGTTTACGTTCTTGGCTAGAGGCCTCCAAAGTGACACAAAATAATGACAGCCGTTTTACTACAACTCAATAACGCAAGGTTCACCATAAGTACCTACCTTAGTAGTCATGGTGCTATCCAGCTCCTGCTCCTATCAGACATGTTTTGCGGCTTGTTAAAGTATCTACTACATTTTTTTACTCAAGCACACTGGCTTTGCTTGAGTTTGGAGTCTGCTGAGTGAACTATATTCTATGTGAGGTAGCAGTTAGAGTTGCGTAGTGGAAAGATATCCATTACACAAACAAAGCCATATTCATGTCATAACTAAACTTGCTCTATTACCCACTGTCTGCAGTTTATGTGTCAGCTCCAAGGGTTAATAATGTAGATCATTGCCCAGATATTTACAGTAGAATCTCATAGATAAGCTAAGTATTTCAGCAGACACTTTATTTCTGTGGTCTAGCCACTCCACTCCACACTAACGTTGCTTACGGGTTACATGCTCATGATAAACTTATAGTAGGTGTTTGTGAAAGCAGTAGTTGTTACAAGCTTTCTCGTTTACTACGTCATGTCCATATCAATAGTTGACGTCACGTTTATCAGATATGCCCCGCCTCAAAATCTATAGTGCCAGTTGCTTGATCCACTATGTCGTCAGCCCTTTGTTCATGTCAACTGGTGGGAAAAAAAGTTATCTCCTCAGGCTAAACTTAAGTTCCGGCAACATTACTTCCGGCGCATACGAACACAACTAAATAGCCGTGCTTGATGTTTCGTTTTCTGGGCCTAACATACTCATGGCACAGGAGACGAGGGTGATTGCCTTCTTCCCCGATACGTCCTTAAAGCTGAGCAGAACTAACTGGATTCACTAATATGATGGTAAGATTATCTAATGGACGGAAGTTAACATGCGTGTTCGGTATTCTCAGCAATGCCATGAGAGCGAACGGCTACGGTATTGCCGACATTGATGAAAGGTGAAATTTATTTTTTTTCTTTTTTCGCAAAGTGTCTGCTTTTTATTTTATTGTCCGCGGGTCGACGGCGATGGGAAAATCTAAACTTTGTCATTTGTAGATCTTCAGACACGATACACGTCATCACCGAACTCTCGTTCCATCCGCAGAAATTTGGCGTCGCCGCGCAAAGAGTTCCCTTACCTCCGACCCCAACATCCTACCTTTTTAATACATTTCTGATAACTCTGCATGGTGCTCATAAAGAATTGCGCTTCATGATTCATCATCTAGATCTCTTATTTTTTGTATACTCCAGAATGCCGGCGTTTGAGAACAGCTTTCATTGACCAAGGGCGGCCGGGATGTACGGCTGTAGTTTATGTGGTGCGTCGTTGTTATGTGCAGAGAAGCAATCAAGTGGCTGAGAATCGGATATTGTTTGCTGATATCCGCATCCGATAGTTCCAGGAAAAAAAAACCGTAATAACTACTAAATCTGTGTCTATTGTCTACGTAAGCAAGCGACGATCGGATTTGATACCATTTACGATATGCCCCAGAATGTTGCTTAAGCCAACCAGTTCGCTGGTAAAATGGGTGTAACCTATTAAACAAAAAGTATTAGCTAAGGATCACTTATGTATATGAGAGACGATGGGTGTAAAAAAGGTACTGGTTAAAAAGGAGACGCATTTCCTTTGTTAAGCCTTTCTTGACTTTGGTTTGGTGGTAGAGACACCAGCGGCGCCAGAAGTCACAGCGGAATCCTTAACTGAGGAATCAGCAGTAGCAGCATTGCCAGACTTCTTCTTAGAGGACGACTTCTTATAGACCTTGATATAGAACAGAATGAACAAGATCAAATAACTAGTCAAAATCAAGTAACCATAAGCAGCGGCGGTCTCACTACCATGACAATCTCCAACATGAGGTAACCATTGGAAATAAGCATAAGCATAATGAGTGTAAGTGGCGAAATAAACAAACACCAAATCAATTAAGAATTGGATGATTTGGAACCGGGTAACCCATTCCTTCCACCACACTCTAATGCCTCTAGCACTTAAGAAATAGTACCAGTACATCACGACGTGGACGGCCAAGTTCAAAGAAATTGGAACCCACTCAACAGAGGTGACACCAGTTAATTGAGTGTAACATAACAATGCGGTAGCACCATGGTGGTAGACGTGCAAGAACAACAACTTCTTCTTTTTCAACACAAGGAACACGGTATCGATTAGTTCCATATATTTAGTCAAGTAGTTCAAGTAGTATAACGTTACCAACGGTCTAGAGAAGGCGCCAGCATCACAAATGGCATAGAACAATCCGTGATAATACAAAATGGGAACAATCTGTTCGATGATAAGAAGCAAAAGAACCAAGCTGATCAAGGTTAAAACAATGTTATGTAATTGGAATAAAAAGTTCAACTTCAACGCGTTGATCTTGAGCTTATTCATTAAAGTTCTACCTCCAAAGATAACAATGTAATACACCACAATGATTCCAATAGCATGATATCCATTAGCCAAAAAGGTTTTGCCATTAATGAACTCAAACTCATCTGCTTGATATCCAACTATCGACTGGAAAACATAGTTGAAAAGGGGCCAAAGATATAACCCAAACGGTCTATCGATGCTGGGTACTGATATCTGAATAATATCTTTAGATGCCATGATTATAGTGAGACCACAGATAAGTTTGGTGGAGCAAAGCTTCATCTTTTCTGCTTCTTTAGCTTGCTTTTTTTTCGGCACAGGTCGCATCGTTGTTCGCACGCGGTAAATTTTTCAGCGTCCTGTGATTATCAGCGTCGCAGGAATCATTGTGGAGCGAGTGACTCGCAGTCCAACGAGTCAGTCGACTGAATCTTTCGCAATTCGAACCAGTCGACTACAGTTTAACTATAACCTTTTATTAACCAATTTCTAACTACTTCTTTCGAATGGATGAATCTCGACTCACTTCTTCAACCCTTGGCTTCAAATTTAAAAAGTCAATCGAAACAATAATATCGTAGCCATTATCTTCACAAGCGTACAATGCTTCATGTTCATTCGAATGTAAAAATCGAATATTCTCGCCAACTAGAGCCCTCAATAAATTGCCCAGTTCCACATCCCGAATCTCAATGAATCCAGGCTCAAATGCTAATAAATAGGGATAAAATAATGCAACATTCTGAGGTACACCTTCCCAAAATATCCCCCATTCGTGATTGGTTCTCCATCCATTCCCATTAATAAGAAACGAAAACTCACTATATGAAAGCATAAAGTTCTTTCCTAATCTGTAGATCGCCAATGGATGAACGGATTCTCTGTGAATAGCAAAGTCTAACGAAGGATCTGCTTCGTCCAAAATAGGCTCCTTCATGTCTTTCTCCAACGATAAGATTTCAAATCCTTTGGTGCACCCAATACACAATCTGGTTTTCAAAAAGGAAATCACCAAGGGGTCAGAACTAAAGGAAAACTCTCGAATATCATACTTCTTATTCTTACTCTTATTCTTATCAAATGGATTATTGGGCTCAAAAACACTAATGGAATGAGTGTTCCCAGTCTTAGTGGCACACACTAAAAGCTTCCCGTCACAAACCCCAGATTTGAAGTATCCCACATGATCTAATATCAACTTCCCACTTCGTGTATTTTTAACTTGATCCAAGGATTCCGTACATGTTAAATCAAACTCATACAAATTCTTATCTGAAAGGACCAACAATTTACCGTATTCAACAAGAACTTCCATTTGCGTAACATACATCTTGGTGATAATCAACGTAGGATCCAGACAAATCTTCTCATTGGATGTCATACTGATGGATCTAACAGTGGCGACCCAAACTCCTGTATCTGTACCATAAAGTAACTTCTTCCCTCCATAACATGGCACGGCACAATTGATCCGGTTATTGCCATGGAATCTTCTGGTGAAATACTTGGAAAGCAGGAAAATATCATTCTGTTCGATAAGCTTCTTCTGTTGCTTGTAAACTTGTTGCAATACTTGGTTTTGGTTAGTCAAATCATCTGCAAATAACGTCACGTGAACTTGGTTACGACCCAACCCCAATACATTAAGAGGTAGCTTGGTATTGGAATTCGAAACATTGGGATTGAAATTGTAAGTTCCAATGGTGCTACCTGTTGTAGCTGATCCAAGAGTAGACCCTCCAAGGGAATTCAAATCAGATGCTGATGCTTTGAATGATGGTACTCGAGTACCTGAGGCTGCTGAATTAACTTCCAGAAGTAAAGAATCTTGAAACCGGTGTTGTAAAATAGACCTGGTGTTGGGAATATCAATCCCACTGTTCATGAACAAAAGTGGTAAATAAATTGGTCGCTCAAATACTTTAAAAACTTCTCTCTTGTTTTGAGTCTTCTGCTTCACTAATAATAGAGCGTGTTCAAAGAGATATAAATCAATCTTCTCATTATCCCTCTTACGATTCAAAGTCGCTTGATATATGATACGATGCTTGTAATTCAACTTCAAGTTGAATCGTTGTTCTAATGTTTGCTTACCCAAATGTCTTTGTAAAACCATGATTTTATGACGATCAGTGGATTCACCCGTAGCAACATTCATCTTGACTAAGATCTTTTCAATTTCTTCCTTAGCAATTACCAAATTATTATAATCTGGAGACTCTGGATTGGTGTTCTTTAAAACACCCTTAAGTAATAATTGATACCGGGCAGGTCTTTGAATACCTTTAATCAAAAATGCAGTCAAATCTTGCTTTCTAGATTCCGGTTTCTTTTCAATGGCTTCAAGGAAACGGGAATATTTGATATTAACTTGTTGTTGTCTTTCATGTTCATAACTGGCAAAGACTTTATTACCAGAATATTTAACAAATGCATCAAAGTTCCCTACATGCTCCAAAAATACATCTGCAAATGTTTCAATCACTGGCTTTTGCTGTTGTTGTCTTCTGGTCAATGCTTCACTCAACCCTTTGGCTAAACGCAATAAATCATTGACTCCGCCAAATACAGTACGAATAAATGCTTCACGTTCCCGTTCAGGAATAATATTATTGAATGCGTTCCGCAAGGGCATGATGTAGAAATCCGTCATAAACTCCAAATCCTTCACGTAGTCTCTTTCAGTATAAATAAATTCAAATATTAATTCTTGTCTCATTTTTTGATGTTTATCCATCTTATCCAAAATAGAACTTGGTACAGTTTCGTGCCATAAAGTCTTATTTTCATCAACGTCATTGATTGAAAGCTTAGACGTGGCTCTCTTCAACCCTCCACCAGGCTTCATGTTCAAACGAGCTTGTTGCTCCAATCTTCTTGGACATGAAATACTATAACAGAGGCTGTTTCTGGTACATGTTGCTGAATAGCAATTCGTCAAAATAGTGAAAACACCATTCACTCCACTCTCATCTTGTGGCCCCCCCACACCACCATTATTATTCCCATTCAAAGTGGAGTTGGATATAGTTGATGCCGAATGGTGTATTTGATTATGGGGAGTGGTTGTTAATGGCGTTCGTTCCACCAATTCTGATTGTATCAATGTCTGACTAAATGAAGATGCGCTGCCAATTGGAGTACTCGGAACACTACCGCTACTATTTCTGTAGATTCCTCCTCCATGGCTTTGAGCTTGATTGGAGTCAACAAAAGAATTCAGTTTGGACAAATCCGGGCTAACAGGAACATGACCCACATCAGCAAAGTAATCTGCCTTGTTGTATGGATAATTAAATGCATAAACCTCGTGAACAGAGTCACGCAAACGATGAGTTAAGGTAACATCTCTAAAGAACTTCTGAGCATCTAAAGATCTTCCTAATAATAAGGCCAAGTTTCTATCGTTTGTTCGAATAATCTTACAGATTATATCAACAGCCATCTTGCCTGTAAATGTATCGTGATGTTCTAACCCATCCTTGGTGTTTACTGTCAACACCACGGTGTCCTTGAATGCCTTAGCAACTTGTGAAAGCAATGCGGGATAGACGGAAGGTCTATGATGACGATGATGTTTCCGTTGAGATCCCAGCTCATGTCCTCCGTGGGCACGAGTACTCTGCATTCCCGCTAAACTTGATTTAGAAGCCATGGTAGACATCGAAGACACCCTCTCCAACTTTGTACCTTGCTGCAGACTGTTCAGTAACGAGTTGTTCAAGGATGTAGACGAACTAAATCTCTTTGTTGACAACGATGACAACTTTGCCAATGAAGTAAACGATCTAGACTTGGAAGATGTGGGTGTTTGGACTTGTTGAGATGGTGGTGGTTGCATTGAGTAGCTCCCAATACCGTTATTATTATTCCCACCATAATATGAAGGAGTTGTTTGGGGGTATTGAGTGCCCGAACCTAATGCTGATCCATTGACACCACCACCATATTGGTGCTGGATAGCTGATCTGTTATAATTGGAGTTGGCCAGTAAAGATTTCGCTCTGTTCTGAGCATTTGGAAGTTGTTGCAGTTGAGGAGCCGGATTTCCACCTCCTCCCGTATAAGGAGCGTTATGATTTATAGGCATAGAAGGAGAGCTTACATTTCTGCGTTGATTTTTAAGGTCCATTGGCGGTGGTTTCCGAGAGATTTGACGTCTGGCTCTCTCGGAAGCATCGGAATCGTTACCGGTGATTGGTGACACGGGATACGGAGGAGCACCCGTCGTTGATTGATTGTGATATTTCTGTTGATATGATGACTTTTGAATGAATTGAGAAGGGTCTTGTTGCTGGTGATGATGATTTCTAAAACCACCTTGTTGCTGAGAGAATGCCGTAGATGAAGATGCAGATAAGGAAGGCGATTCCAAAATTGGAGACCCTAAAGCCTCTTGGGACGCATTTATTCTAACTTTCTGCATTGGAGAAGTAGGATACGGTAAATTGGTATTCTGAGGAGGATATACCGAATTAGTTGAGTTGCCATCCGACGACTTAGAAGGAGAATAATGTTGCGATTGTGAGTGTTGTTGTTGCTGTGTGGATTGGAATTGTCGTTGTGTTTGTGACAGCGGAGGATATCCGTAGTAATTCTGGGGCTGCTGCTGCTGCTGCTGCTCTGATGAATAAGGAGCACCCTGGAGCTGCTGCTGTGAACGGCTAGGAGAAGGGTTGGAATGCACACGAGACTCAAGAGCTTCCTTAGGAAGAAGATGAGCAGGTATATTACCAAAGTTGCTGGATGCCATACTAAAACAAAGTATTTCTATTGACACCAAGAAAATAAGACCACCGACCGAAGTTTAGTGGAGTGGAGTGTGAGCAGAACAGAACACTAAACAGCCAATGAATGTGTGGACGCTGGAAAGTCCCCTTCAAAGCTCAATACTTAAATGTATCAAGTAAGTCGAGGCTATAATAAGCAAATGGTCAACTTGCTAATTGTAGAAGAATTAGAGAGTCTTGGATTAGAACGACTGGCTAGTTTTACTCTGGCCGCCTATGTTTTTTTTCTTCCTACCACACCAACCGATTTGTCACACCTCCATACTAGGCGGTGGGAGACGTAAGGGGTCGTCGCAATGAGTAGTGCAAGGCTAAGGTAATGTCTACAACTTGACACGAATATTCTACTGTGCTATGCTGCTCTATGGAATGCGGTAATACGATGCTATGTCTGATCTACTACTATACATATGGTGCTATACATATGGTGCTCTACAGCCTGCGCTATACAGCCTGCGCTCTGCCATTGAATTACTATTGTTACTATTAATAATTTCCACCTCTATTGTGTTTTCTATTGCATTGCGGTTCTTAATTCGTGCCTCATAGTGCAGTCTCGTACTCAAGTAGTCGTAGTCTTAACTCCGCCGAAAACATACACATTAATATCTCCACAATTACATCATCATCGAGTAATTGTATAATCATCATAACTATCTCATTCAAATGGTGAGTTACCACAGTAGCAACTTTTGTATTGCGACTGTTGCAAGCCCGCTCCGAATTCCGGCTCTTTCACTGCTTGTTTAGGAAACCCCATTTAGGCTACCTGAAAATTTCAAGTTTAAGTCCCATCAAGTTTTATGTTACCGTTCATATTACTTAATGCAGGCATTGATCTTGGAGCAATTGTAATTTGGTTTGAGCTCAACCATAGATTGTAGTGAGATCTGGCCCTTTCATGTTTTTCAAGACAAAATCACTAACTTGTTTGAAAAGTATTCCCTAGCTGTTTTTCATCAAAATAAACTTGGAAGACATAAACAGAGGTAAATTTATTTATCGTTGCTTCTATTACAGTCACACTATTCTTGATTAAACCCGTAGTTATCTGTATATACCTCAGCCTCCTCTACTTCATTGTACGCCTAATTGCGACATTCTAGGGTGTGCAGAGCATAAATGGCGACATTTGTTGATTTTGATGTTGTCGCACTCACTCCTAAAATACGGCCAAGTGGTGGTGGTTCGTTGCTGATACCTACCTACTAGAGCATCATAACATACCAATTATGCCAGCATACCATTCTACATTTCTTGGAGAAGACACCAACGAACGAGTGGTGGGGAATTTGTGTCTTTTGCCCTTCCATACAAAGTTTAGAGGCCCAGTTTACCCTCCAACGCAAGACTATGATATCATTGACGAGACCTTGGATTTATTCCGTGCCAATTCCTTCTTTAAGAACTTTGAAATAAAGGGTAATGCCGATAGAGTGTTGATCTATGGGATTCTCTTTGTTAGTGAATGTGTAAGCAAATTGAATCTGTCAACCAATTTCCGAGAAGCTCAAAGGCAGCTTTCCAATTTGGCTTTGGATGGTTTCAAGTTACCTGGAGATATCGGATTCCCATTGAATAACTTGTATTTGCCGCCTCTGACCAAAAACGACTATGAGTTGTTGAGGACTTATTTACAGCAGTTTAGACAAGAGACTGCTGATCGTTTGTTAAAGAGAATCTATGCAGATGACACCAACGGTGGTCCTTCAAAATATTGGTTAGCATTCACAAAGAGAAGGTTTATGAACAAGAGCTTGTGATTATATATATACATTTGATTCATATATAAATGGCACACCCAGTCTGACTTTACGCTTGTAGATTTGATATTGTTCGCCATAGATCTGACCTAGAAAGTACTCTTCAAAGGGTATTCTTATCAGAAAGAACCAAAAGAGTGTTATGGCCACAACAAACAGCATAACCCAATTATGCAAAGTTAATTCTATTCCCTGTGCAAATAACCAAAACCCAAGATACACTGGATGCCTCACTGCAGAATATACTCCATGAGTAACCAACTTCCTATTCCTCCCTTGTGCTGATGCTGATGCTGTTGACGTATCGGTATCAATGATATGACTAAACGATTCACCACATTGAATCATACCCACGTACCTTATCCCAAGCCCACATACTATTAAGAATAAACCAAAGACGGAGTGTGGGTTCCACGTTCTAATGACTCCCCCCCATAGAAGAGAGTGCTCCAAAAGACTTATTAGCTGCATCACTAGAAACTGTAGGTTCCCGACGTTTCCATACAAGAGAAAGCTTTTGGAATGAACTTTACTCGACTGATAGACGGCTGTTACGTTGAACTCCATCATAAAGTACATCACCACAGACTGGATGTACACGTGAATAGGACACACGCCATGACGATAAGCATCTACTACATTGAGTCCAGTAACACCGCCTAAAGACGCAGAAGTAATGAAGATTTCCAAGAGAGAATTGTTCAGTGGATCATACATGAATAACTGACATGGTGATAATGTTTAATGCAGTCTAAATTAAGATCTGAAAAATAAACCACACAATATGTATAGAACAGTTTAGTATCGCATAGCATTGCATAGCATCGAAAAGTATACTACCGCATATCATTGTTTCATGCCAGAGTCACATAGAATACTATATGATCCACTGAAGGTGTCTCTACTCAAGGTGCTGTTGAAATCGTTCTTTCTTGGAGTCCTTCTACTGCTTAACCTATGGCATCTCCTATCTGGAGCCTCTAATTGGTGGCTTCATATGTATTTTGTTCAAATCGGAGTCTTCCATGCATTAGAGTTTGTTTCTGCCGTTCTATGGAACCCTACTCAAGTAGATGATGACTCCTTCATACTTGAAGATTCAGATCTTTGGATAGTGTATGGTGGAACACTCATAGAGTACTTTTTACGTGATAGATACTTGAATTGGTGGAAATTACCTTTCATGATTTGTCCTCCTATAATAGGACTAATCTTTGGAGTTATAGGCCAAACTACTAGAACATTGGCCATGTACACCGCTAGACAATCCTTCAGTCATTATATTCAAACTGAAAAAGGTGCTCATCACACCTTGATAACTAATGGCATCTACAGTATCTTGAGACATCCTTCCTACTTTGGATACTTTTGGTGGTTTGTAGGCACAGAAATCGTTGCGGGGAACCCCTTGGTGTTGATAGTTGGGATCTATAAGTTATGGGACTTCTTCAATCGCCGCATAGTATATGAAGAAGATTTGTTGATCCTGTTTTTTGGGGTAAACTACATTGATTATCGGGAAAGAACATGGGTCGGTATTCCTTTCATCGAATAAATACTGCCAAAAATGTTATCGGTATATCGTTGATTTATTTTCCGTATGTATGTATATATGTATAAGTTCTAAGGGTCAATCTAATGATGAACATGCATAATATTTCTTTAATCCTTAGTGTTCTTGGTTCCCATTCCCAAGTTGTTGGTGTTTCTATACATCAACAATCCGTTGTCACCATCAACATATTGGCACCATCTGCCAGATTTCCACAAACTGACCCACATGTTTTCGTCAGAGTGCATGTAGTGGGTACCCATAACCTTCTTGATAGCTTCAGAAGCCTCTCTAGCATTGTAGAAGGGAATACGAGAGCAATAATGGTGCAAGACATGGGTTTCAATAATGTCATGGAAAAGGTATTCACCAACGAAACCAAATTCACGATCAATGGTAGCAGCTGCACCTCTAGCAAAGTTCCATTCTTTAGCGTCATAATGAGCCATTTCAGGTCCGGTATGTTGCAAAAAGGTAATAAATACCAACCAATGATTGGTGAAAATGTAAGGTAAAAACCAGTTAACAAACAAGTTGAATCCACCAAAATATTGATACCAGTTGTATAAAACAAACAATTGAATGGCAATACCCAAGTCAGAAAGAACAATGTACCAGTAGTCTCTGGTTTCAAAGATAGGTGCAGTGGGGTTAAAATGAGAGTGGCTCCAGAACCCGTAGCCTTGACCAGCAGTTACGTTGGTCCACAAATACATGATCCATCCACCCAATTGTTGAGTTAACAAGTCCATCAAGGTATACAAAGGAGCATCTCCAGCAATTTCTTCCAAACGAGAGGCATGGCGGGCTTTCAAGAACTTTTCCTTAGTCTTGGGAACGAAAACCATATCTCTGGTTATGTGACCTGTGGCCTTGTGATGCTTACCATGAGAATACTTCCAAGAAAAGTAAGGAACCAACAAGTAAGAATGCAATATCCAGCCAACGGTATCATTGACCAATCCGTAATCAGAAAAGGCTTGATGGCCACATTCATGAGCAAGAACCCAAATACCCGTCAGGATCAAACCTTGGATATAGGTGTAAACCCCCCAGGCGGCAAATCTTAAATAAACAGAAGGTAATAAAGGAATAAATGTATTACCAATGTAGCCAACGGTAACCAACAGGAGAATATCTCTAAACACATAATAGAAAGAAGTAGTTAATCTTCTTTCATAGCAATGCGTTGGAATAGCCAGTAAGATATCTTTAATAGAATAATCTGGAGCCTTGAACTCATTACCATAAGTATCTAACGCAACCAAGTTAGAGGATTGAGTCTTTAAAGTGGCAATGTTGCCTCTTTTTTGGATAGTGGTACCTTCCAGTGCGTTCCCAGTAAGGGATCCAGAAGTTGAAAGACCAGTAGACATATTTGGGCTAGATGACTAACGACTAATGACAAAAAAAAAGAGACGCTTGACAACCAACGGCGGGCTTTCAAATCCCTTATAAAGGGATTCCTGCTCCCATCAGGATTTGACTACGGTTATATATCTTACCACCAATCAATAGTGTTAATTAGTACCACGAATGAATGCAAACGCATTTTCGTGCGACAAAACCGATTTACAGTTTATACCTGAAAGCCGAACAAACAATAATAATACTGTAACCAAATAAAAAAAAAAAATAAAGCAAAAAAAGAAAAGAAAGAACCAGACTGTGGTTGATGTGCAAACCGAATCACTTTCTCCTAGCGGTATATGAAATAGCAATGGTCCCAGTATCAAAGCTGCCGATTTATTAGATAAAAGTGGTTCTCGGAGATAGGAAAGGGAGTTTTTTTTTGCGAACAATCGACCCGTAAGAAAACCGTTTCGTCGTAGTATTGATTTGCTCTTCCACCACCCGATCAAGTTGGACTCTTAATCGAGTGGTGTAGACCATACTTTGGCTGTCGCAGATATCATGTGGAGTGGTTAAGGGGTTGGTGGAAAAGTTAGCCCACGAATACCGAGGGTGAAATGGCATGGCATGGTAAGTTAAAGTATAATAGGGATAAACTGCAGATCGGCTCATCTCAAGTCGGTAAGAATAAAGTAAAATTTTATGTGCACGAGTGAAAAAATAAAACAACAATGTATTTATTAATATTCTTCTTCTTATTATTATTATTAATAATAAGAAAAAATATTGTTGGTAATAACCCACTGACTAACTCAACAATTATACAAACAACTGTGTGGTGCCATTACGAAATAGTTGTCCCCTGTAGTTTGGTCGTCTGAAAGGATTCATATTTTTAAAGTCGACTGAATTTATTCGCAGTAAACCTCAGTACGGTATTTTAGAATGCGATCCGATACGATATATACGATGAGATGAAGAATGCAATTTACTGAAACGGTTCAATAGAAAGAGGCAAAATCACAAATAGGAAAGGTTTAATCCCTTGCACTTCATGATACGTTTTGTCCTTTGCCAAACAGGCAAAAAAAAGAAAATCATCAATAGCGTATGGCTCACTATGCGTTTCCCTCGGTGCTACCCTCGGAAGGCCCGTCCCATCGCCAAGCTCTAGTGTATCAAAAAATTCCTGTCCGCTTTACGTTGGGTCTGTTATAAAGTACAAGCTATATGCTTTCCTGTTTATTGGTTCTGGAGAAATTGTTGAGCAAAATCCACGAATTCAACGAGTATTATTGGTTCCTTTGGAATTTTGTTCCGCGTAGAGCTTTCAAATCGAGTCCTAGTAAACCTGCCTTCTTTTTGTCCCCTTGCCAAGATACATCAAATGGTCTGAATTTAACAAACCAAACGCCCCTAATCTGCCAATTCACCCCTTTATTTATAATCAACTCATTTGCTGCATATCTCTAGAAACCAATTGACATGTGCAGAGTAGGGCTTGCCATAACAAACGGCTAAGAATCTCATTTAACTGTAGATAAGTAAAGCTGTAGAAAGCTGGCCAAAACCGAGTAATCTGATTAAAGTCGAAGAAGCTGGTTAAAGTTGAATAAACTGATATAAGCTATAGTCCAGTGCTAGGTTACTTAAGGGCCAGAGGCTATTGTGTCACCCTACTACGATAATACTGTTGCATTAGTAGTTACCACATGAAAAATCGGCCAGCGTTCGTTATCATATGCCAATACACGCCGGTGCTACCATAGCTAATTTGTTCACCCGAGCTGTCGGAATGCATATATCTATGTAGGGTAATTGTGGGATATTTTGCAGCCTTTGTAAGAAGACTTGTTAAACAAACATCCGAAACAGGCTCTGATATATCTTCATATGTAAGTTACAAGGTTTGATAGTCGTAGACATCGTAACAGTTGTAGTAACCAGTACTGCAATCCCCCCTCTCCCCCGGCACACGTGACTACAGGCCATCAACTAACATACTCCAGGTTTGTGTAATTTCTCGGCGCCCTCTTCGCAGAACAGAGGTGCTAGGTGTTGAGGAAACCTCACACTTACCTCTATTACAACATAGGCACAACATCTAACTCGATCCTTCCGTAAACGTTTGTAAAACACCATCACAAACAATGCAAAGGGCAAGCTTGCGGGGAGTACTGCTACTTTTTAACTTAGGTTTTGTTAACATTAACATTAAACATTAACACTGTTTCCATTAGTTCCCTTGTCCCGGTACTGCATATAAGCGCCGGTTCAGGATTCTATTTTTTTTCTTCACTTATCTTGATCTCAAAACTATATACATATGAACCTTCAGTCGTACTCATCTGATACCCCAAATTACAAGGACTAACCAAGATCATGAGTGAGGTAGCTAAGATTGAAAAGAAGCCAATCAACTTCAGCAACATCCTCTTGGGTGCAGGGTTGAATCTTGCTGAAGTTACCACATTGGGACAACCATTAGAAGTTGTTAAGACTACTATGGCAGCTAATCGTAATCTTGGGATTCTTGGAGCCACTAAGGTTGTTTGGTCTCGTGGAGGAGTTAGTGGATTTTACCAGGGGCTAATTCCCTGGGCTTGGATTGAAGCATCCACCAAAGGGGCGGTACTTTTATTTGTGTCAGCTGAAGCTGAGTATAGATTAAAGACTTTAGGTATGAGTAACTTTGTTAGTGGTATGGGAGGTGGTGTTGCAGGTGGGTTGGCTCAAGCTTACTTAACCATGGGGTTCTGTACTTGTATGAAGACAGTTGAGATCACCAGATCCAAACAAGCACATGTCCCAGGAGCCGTGCAACAAACCTCCTTCCAAGTGTTTAGAGAAATCTTTAGAAAGGAAGGTATTAGAGGGATCAATAAAGGAGTCAATGCTGTTGCCATAAGACAAATGACCAATTGGGGTTCAAGATTTGGGTTCAGTAGATTGGCTGAAGAAGGTATTAGAAAATTATCTGGTAAAGTTAATGGTGAAAGTTTAAATGCTTGGGAAAAGATCTTGGGTAGTGTTGTTGGTGGTGGATTAAGTGCTTGGAATCAACCTATTGAAGTCATTAGAGTTGAAATGCAATCCAAAACCAATGATCCAAATAGACCTAAAAACTTAACTGTGGGATCTGCTTTTAAGTATATTTATCTGAATAATGGTGTTAAAGGCTTATACCGAGGTGTTACTCCAAGAATTGGTTTGGGTGTTTGGCAAACAGTTTTCATGGTAGCATTTGGTGATATTTTCAAGAAAATGTTGAATGCCAATGGATCAGGTCATTAAATATAATATAGATTAATTTATTCATATTAAGCGAGAGTGTGGGTATATATACGAAGTATATCTAAGTATACCTAAGTACTAATGGAGCTATGTATGTTTCAGTGGACCGCTCCCCATCTATCATAGCTATATAAGCCAATCAAGGTTATCACCAACCCCCAAGTTTGGGAACGAGAAAAGTTTTTCAGTTCCACCACAAAGGCCACCAAGATAATAAAGATTCTCTTAAGAATATTGGCAATGGAATAATTGATTGGAGAAATAGAACCCAAGATTTGAAATGCCAATAGCGATTGCATGAAATGACTAAATCCATTCACAAGAACCAACAGGGTAATGTAACTATCCACCTGAGATAAACTGAATTTATCATTCTTCAATTCACTTATTAAATACACTGGGAAAGTGAAGATGAATCCAATCATGGAACAATAGAAAAGTATGGTTAACTTATCAACTTTTTTCTGAGTTATATCTTGAGATTTCATGGGGATATCACCAATCTTGGTGCCATTTTTATTGGCATCAACCGTTAATCTTGTCTTAGCAAAGATATTCTGACTAACAAAAATAAGCATTGATATGAATGCATAGATTAACCCCTTTAAATAAGAATCTTCTTGTTGCATGACTTTTTTGGGTTTATAACAAGTAATCATAATTCCTATGATTAAGGGCACCAAAGTAATATATGTGGTAGTGCGGAACTTGCGTTTGTAAAGCACCAGATAGATTGCAATAGTAACTATGGGAGAAAGAGTCTTGATGATTTGAACCATAGACACGGGGATTATACTGGTTGCCTTATGAGAAGTAATGTGACCTATGAATTGGAACATCCCCATGGGTAGAGTGGTTGAAATAATCAATTTCGTCGGAGTGAAAAACTGTTGCAAGTTGCCTATTTGATCGAAGTTTGGGATGGATCCTTTAGGGAAGATTCTAGTAGCTGATTGCGGGATGAAGAAGAGGACTTGCAAAAGACACACACAAAAGATCCCATTCAAAAGAAATTGCATTTGAGTCAAAGTAATTGGGTATTTATAGTTGGAAAGAATCATCTTGGTGGAATTGGATGAAACAATAGAAAACAAGTACCAATTGGTACACAAGAACACAATTTTTTTATCTATTGGAGGAATAATACGAGTCAATTTTGACCTCCAAGAAGCCAATGATGAAGAACGTGAATGGTCATAATGATGAAGTAGCCCGTTTTTACTCTTTTGGGCCTTGGATAACGATTCCAATTGTTCATTCAATTGAAGGGCCAGTAGGGGTAAATCAGGAGTAGACGCACTGGATAACGGAGGCGTGGGAGGATACAGTGGATAATTGAACTGGAAATGAGATCCACTATTAATATTGTTATTGTTTCCACGCGGTGATGAAGGATTGGTTGTCTCTGGTGAGCCAGATAAGCTTTGAGGAGGAAACTTTGGTGTATGAGCGCTCAATGGTGTTCCATTATGACTATGACCTTCCATTTGAGGGAACCGATTGCCACCATTATTATTATTATTATTGTAATTATTATGTTGTAAGTTACTTAAATTGTTACTACTGAAGTTCGGATTAACTTGTGAACTTCTATAGAACTTATCTTGGAGTTGTTGCTGAGCATATTTAGGAATATACTTTGAAGATGTTAAGTCTTCGGACGATGTATACCTACTCATATTAGACTTTCCTTCTAGACCTGTACTAGACCTGACACTTTTAGATTAGACCTGACACACTTCTATGCTATCTGAGTACAGATGCCCTTATCCCTGACTTTATAAGTGTACTGAGATTTACACCTTTGTTCTATTTTTGAAGGGCATCATCACTTTATTATTCTTGATTTTGAATGAATATTCGTTGGGCCCTGTATATAAACGGGGACTTCACGTACCCCTAATTCTAGGAACACAAAAGCAAGCCGTGGGAAAAAAGAAACATACAGAGCCACGTGATGTGACATCTAGATCGATCTGGGTCGAACATAACCCACTATACGGTATTGATGTATTATTGAAGCTGAACCACTACCTTGTCGTACACGTACGACGTATAGCATAGTTTCTGTGCTACTACAGTAGACTAGACTGCACTACTGCAGCCGTACACCTATTCACTGTACCAATTTGCACTGTGCCTCCTCATTACGTCAGCGTTTATGTAATCACGCCTTTTGGTAACCATACAAGTACAAACATAGCGGTAAGGACACATATCAACTGTTTATGCTTACATTACTTACCATACAACAGTTGATTATAGATCAAACATACTATGGGTAGTCTTCTATTGTATGCGGGCAAATACCTTGCCAAACGAGCAATTCTATCGGTAGTCAAAGGGTCTGGGGAATCGGATATGGAAGATGATTCACCCGAACTCAGTCCACCAGACGATCAATTGGATGAAACCAATCCAGTGACTGAAGAAATCTTTAGTAGTTGGGCGTTATTCATACTTTTGTTCCTTTTAGGGTCTGCATTATATACTTCTTATTTCCTTCAACAACGAAGAATAAAAGCTGTCCATGAAACAGTGCTATCAATCTTCTATGGAATGGTGGTTGGTCTTATTATAAGAGTATCACCTGGTCATTATATTCAAGATACCGTCAAATTCAATTCATCTTATTTCTTTAATATCTTGTTACCTCCCATCATTCTAAATAGTGGATATGAACTACATCAAGCCAATTTCTTTAGGAATATAGGCACTATATTAACGTTTGCAATCCCCGGCACATTAATTAGTTCGTTTGTGGTGGGGGTTATCTTATATATATGGACAGCTCTTGGGTTAGATGGAGTTAAGTTGGAATTTGTTGATGCCATTGCCGTGGGGGCTACTCTTTCTGCTACGGATCCGGTGACTATTTTATCGATCTTCAATGCTTATAAAGTAGACCCCAAATTATATACCATTATCTTTGGAGAATCCCTACTCAATGATGCGATCTCCATTGTTATGTTTGAAACATCCCAGAAATTCCATGGTCATCCGGTTCATTTCCTGTCTTTATTTGAAGGTTTAGGTTTATTTTTAATGACATTCACCATCTCAACAATTATTGGATTAATGATTGGAATCTTGGTGGCTTTGGTTTTGAAACATAGCCATTTAAGAAGATACCCTCAAATTGAAACATGCTTGGTATTATTATTTGCTTATGAATCTTATTTCTTTTCCAACGGTGCTCATATGTCAGGAATTGTATCACTTTTATTCTGTGGAATTACTTTGAAACATTACGCTTATTATAATATGCTGAGAAGGACTCAAATCGCTACTAAATATATCTTTCAATTGCTTGCACAGTTATCAGAGAATTTTATCTTTATTTATTTGGGTCTTTCATTATTCACAGAAGTTGAATTGGTGTTTAAACCTTTGCTTATCATTGTTACCTTCATCTCCATTTGTGTGGCCAGATGGTCGGCAGTGTTCCCTCTTTCAAGACTTTTAAATTTCATTTATCGGGCAAGATTCAAGGAATACACAAATAGATCAGCTTATCATTCCGGTGGATTAAGTTATCAAGTAGTTCCTGATGAAATTAGTCATTCTTATCAAGTAATGATCTTTTGGGCCGGATTAAGAGGTGCAGTCGGTGTAGCTTTGGCTATGGGACTTCAAGCGGAAGCTAAATGGACTCTTTTGGCCAATGTGCTTGTGGTAGTCGTTCTTACTGTGATTTTGTTTGGTGGAACAACCGCTTCAATGTTGGAAATCTTGGGTATTAAAACTGGGTGTGTGGATGAAAGAGCAGAATCAGATGATGAATTTGAAATAGAAACTCTGAATCAAAGATTAACTCTTTCAGGTCAAGATGGATTCAATGTCAATATGATGTCCAATAGACCATTCAAAAAGTCAACAGCATCTAACACCAATGCTTCAAATGTTTCTCTTGCTCTGAGAACTTCACTGCAACATTATTTCAATGATGACGAAGTTCACAACGGCTCTTCACCTTCGCTCCATAATAATAAATCCATTGATAATTTAGTTGGTGATGACGATGATGAATTGGTGGCTCAACATGAAGTAGATGATTTGATTTCTGGTCCTACTTCACCCACCGCCAATTTGGGTCAACTGGATTCTACAAATGGCTTATTGGGTTCCTTCCTCAGTGGAGAAGAACATGCAAAATGGTTTACTAGATTTGATGAGGAAGTATTAAAACCAGTATTATTGGATACCTTACCTCAGGCACAGAACAAAGGTAACTCTTAATATTAATAGTTAGTAATAGAAATAATCTTTATAATTCTGTTAATATTTTGTTGTCTTGTGTTGTTTGTTCAGCAATAGCAACATCTATAACATGCTTTGCTAACTTATAGGTCCTCAAGTTTAAAATTAAATCGTCCAATTTGAAATTGAACTTGATGCACATTTGATAAAACTCCATTATGGCCAAATCATGTAATACAGCAATCAATTGTTTGGGATCTCTTCTGGTCATTGTTCCTCGGGGCAAATAAACTGAATGGGGAATATAATCTGTATAGTTTGAACACACTCTAATTGGTTTCTCCAACAACTTAAAAACATCACTGACTTGAATATCAGTCACCACTCCCAATAAATCTTCGGAGATGGAATGTGTACATAAATGGGAGATACTAATTATTGAATTTCCAAAGGTAACTGGGTCCAATACTCGAGATTCACAGTCACGTTTCAATGTAATTCGAAAGAAAACTCCAAACCAACTGGAAAGAAAATCATCATTAAATTGATTATACCTGCTCATAAGACGAGTTTTAAATGAATTCATTTTAGCTCGATATGCCTTGGGTAAATGTGATATCACCAGATTCAGAAGGGGGACAGAAACATAATGATTGAAAACATCTTGTATTTTCTTAGCAAATATAACCAGGTTTTCCGATTGTAAATTGATGACATGGGAGTTTGTAGTTTGGGGGTAAATTCGTAAATCATTGGTGATTGGAGTCGATGAACTGGGTGGAGACGATGAACTATGAATACTTGAATTACCAAAAATGTCTGTAAACAGAGTATCATTATTATTCACATTAGTTGTAGAATTATCTTGTTCTTGGGTTATTTTCTTTAATGCTCTAAGATCTGTATCTGTACGAAAATTAATTCTGGTGGTTGTATCTCTGATTATGGTAGCACATTCAATAAGGAATTGTAAGCATAAATATCCATCAGTAGTTTTAGCCTTATAGATTGATTTTCTTAACTTAATGGCTTCTTTATCATCTGATGAAGTGGAAATATATGCCAATTCTTGGAACGCAGTAACTCTACTCAATTGGTTAATAAACCCACCGTTGGTATTTCTTAATCCCGATAATAAAGTTGAAATTGGATCTTTGGAATAGGTGCTAATAAGTTTCTTACCGTCAAGACATCCAATGCTGGCATAAACATTATACAAATGATTAACAATTTCCCACAGGAGAAGGATATTGAATGTCAAAAAGATGGTTTGGAAATATAATGACCAGGTAACCCCCAATGGTGGAACGGATTGATAATCCAATCCCAAAACAAATAATGTAACCCAATTCATCTTGTATAAAGTTGATCTGGAGATCATGTATATTATGGGAAGAGTTATACCAGTAGAAACCACTGTTAAAGCCAACGATTGGGAGAAAACCAACCCCAAATGTTTGGATATCAGTTTGTCCACTGAAACTTTGTACACCCCAAATTGGAAGGTTAGCTTATTTCTCTGGTATACCAAATGATGTAAAGCGTATCCTATGCCGGTACAGATGCACACAAACCAATAATAGACATAAGAATCATTAACTGCTGGTTTTTGTTCGTAAAACATAGGAATCATATAGAATTGACCTCTCAAATCCTTCAATTGAGTTAAATAAACACTACCAATAAGTATACTGGATGCAACATATGCCATGGATACATAGCCAAACCTCTTACTTAAGCATGTGTGGTAGATCTGCAACGCAAGAGTCTTATGCTCAGTGTACAACACAGTAGAATGATGATCTCGATTGATCTTCACGACAAAGAGGGCTATAAATATAATAGGGCCTTTAATAACGGTATAGATTAAGTCCCACCATAACGATGTCCTAAAGGGTAAGGCCATGCCTATAGACAAAAGAATGGCTACTATGAGGTTAAGCTGGAAGAGGAACCTCAACCGTTTGGCCAATACCTTTGCAAAGAATACTTCATACGGCATTTCTCGTATTGATACCGACGACATACAGAAGAAATGAAGTCAGAAGAAGAAGCAGTAGAGTAGTAGCAATTGTTTGTTGATGGTTTAGGCAGTGAAATTTTTAGATGCTCGCGACTGCATATTATATATACACTATAAGTTTATACTGTCTGTATTTGGCTGTACTTTACACTGTGTATTACTATTTACATGATTACAGAATATTAAATCTTCTCATTAAGATTCACTTGAGCTTGTTGCTTCAATGTTTGAGTGGTTCCGTCCAAGGTATCCTTAACCACTTCCAAACCCGGTTGGCCCTTAATTTCTCCGAAAACTTCATCAAATATTATACTCTCAGTGGTATTGGCTTGAGCGTAGGCAAAGGAATAACCAGAAAGCTTGTTGTCAATGTTCATCATATTCCGTTCAAACTTGGACACATTGACTTCAAAAGCTTCCTTAATAGCTTGCTCCAATTCTTCTTCAGTAGTGATGAACCCATTAGCTGAATGATATAACTCCAATAATTCGGTGGCTCTCTTTTCAGCAACTTCCAATTGTTTGGACTTTCTATTCAAAATTCTTTGCTCATCAACAAGGGCTTGCTGTTCTGGACTTCTCTCTTGCATCATACGACCGTTAATAAAACTGGAAACTGTTGGTAAAGTCAATTTATAGGCTTCAGATTCTTCATGAGCAATTTCCGAAACTCGTTCGTTTTCTTTATGAGCAACTAATTCCTTTAATTTATCAATCTTCTCCAATCTTTTAAACTCCTTTAAATAAGCTTCTCTTAAATGTTCTCTACGAATCTCATCTCTTTTCAATTGCCATATTTCATTCTCACTTAATTTGCTTTCATCTATGTCTTGAGGAACCTTGCTGTCGATGTATTTCTTTATTCTTTCTTCAACTGACATCACAGGTAAATCCTTAGGTTTACGATAAAATGTGAAACCTTTCTTCTCAGGTAAGGGTACATTGTCAGCATAACCTTGTTCGAGGTTCTTCTCTTGAGCTAACTCAAAATGCGTCTTGGGCTTCACAGGATGATGTTTGAACACTGGACGCACCTTGGGTAACAACCCGGACTTACCCCCGAATCTAATGGTTCCTTTTCCCATACTTGTTGTGGAGATAATGAATGTTTATTGGTATACTTTGGCTTCATTAGTATGAAAAAAAATTTCACTCCAACTTTCGCACCACCCAGTTTTGTATAATAAAAACTAGTATAACCTTATTGGTAGCGCGGGATAGAATGTACTACTTCATTTACTCAATGGTTTCTCCCATATTTTAACATTTATCATGCTACTATACCCATATCCTGTATTTTGAACCCATGTTTCTGATCTCTTTACTTACCCCAAACTTGAAATATTCTCTCCAGTAATGGTCGTCCAATTTTCTTTGTATTGACTTGATTTTTAAAAGCCTGGTATATCAAGTCCTTCTTCTCACTATCTCGAGTTACAGCATGCTCAAACTTGAAAAACTCTATTAAACCCTTGGGGGTATGGAAATGCTTCTGAATAGCAATTGCCTTGTCTAATGATAAGCCCCGTATGGTCATCAACATCTGAATAAACATATCCTTAACAGTTAAGAAGTCGGATTTACCAAGTGTTGCCTGGAAATTATAAAATAAATGGCAACATTCATATTGATGTCTTCTATTGGAAAATTCGTGCTTAAAGAGAATCTTAAGCGACGCAAAATCATCTTGTATATCACAGTTTATAGGTTTTATGGCAACAATTCTAATCCCATTCCCATTATACTTCTTTTTAATTACTTCTGTCATACTAACAAAGAATTGTACTGTCTCATCAGCACTTTTAGTCCTGGCTAAATGAAACTTGGAATCGGTTATTGTACCAGACATAGCTGTTTGAATTGAGTCTGTCATTTCTTGTACATCCACAGGAGCTTCTTCCACAATGTAGTAAATGTTTTCAAGTGCTGTTCTCTTTAATCTGGTTTTCTGTTCAATAAACCTCCCATCCTTAATTGATGATACAAGATCATCAATTCTTTTCCGTTCAGCTATACAATCAAGTACAACCTTTTTTTTTGTTTCTTTATGTTGTGCAATCCAAAGTGCATCCCCAATAGAAAGAGTTTCCACTAAAACAGGTACACCCAACTCCTTTAGACGAGTGGGAAAGAAATTCCTATCCAATTGACTTCTAACTTCCCTATTATCCACTACAAGAAAAATTTCATATTCATTGGCTTCCCATACTTCATATCTTACTCCATTTAGTGTGCAATTATTCCTATCATGATTCGCCTCGTTTGAATTGACATCATATCGAGATATCAGTGGACGTTCTACTTGTGGTTGAACTCGGTTGAATGGAAGAGTATACACAGGGGGGTCGTTTGAAAGTTGACATTCAGAACTAAGTCGAATATTATTATCAAAAGAAATATCTGGATCTTCATTCTGTACTTCAACAATTATATTTGAACTCTTTGCAAGTTTCAAACCTAAATCCTTTCCCTCCTCAGTCAAATAATATCGAGCTGGTGAACGACCGTGTTTGTACACCAAATCATTATTTAATAAAGTGTTGATGCTTTGCCATGCAGAGTAGAAAACACCAGAAGCAGGATTAGATGAGAATGCATTATCACAATATTCCGAAGCTTGTTCACATATTTCTGTTCGTACCATACCTCGTATGTCTGCTCTTGCAATCACCATCACTATTAATATGGCATACCCTCCTGATCTGTGCTTGGGAATATAAGCTCTCTTTGTTGTCCTTCTTTTTCTAGTGGTGGGAACTTCAAGCTCTAAAGCCGTACTTTTTCTTTTATTTCCTGATGAATCAGATATTGATTTGGGTTCGGTAGCGATTCCTTCTGTATCGTCTTCACCTTTCAGTGAACAAGTATCTGCAAAGGAAGAGGGGAACTCAAGACTTTTTTCTTCACAATGGTGCTTTAATTTTTCAATTAAAATGTCGGCAGTCTTCTTCCCTATAAATTGGACTTGTCGTAACGCAGTTCTGCTTGAAAGACGTCCTTCATACCGTTTCATCTGCATTAATGCTCGACGGTACCCCAAGGCGATTCTCTTTCCTTTCTTTTCGGCTTCGGCTTCTAAATCCTTCAACCACTCTAGGAAAAGAGGCTTATAATCCTCTATCGCATCGGGCATTGAGGTTGATAGTGAAAGAACCTAAGCTTATGTAAGGGTAAACATTGGATCTATGTACAATGTCGTGAAGGGATATGTTCGCGACATATGGTGATAATACATAATATAACAATGTCGCGTTTTATATTCGATGATCAAGTACAAAATGATTATAGACGTTGGACTTTCAACAACACCAGCACATACACAATAATAATGTCGTCCCAAAGAACAGGCTCGAAAAAGTCCATACTTCCTCCAATCAACTTGATCTTCAAGTATTTACAACAACAGGCTTTGGTTTCCATTTGGTTGTACGAACAGACTCACATGAGAATCGAAGGAAGAATACGAGGATTTGATGAATTCATGAATTTGGTCATTGATGACGCAGTAGAGATTTCTACCAAGAACCCCAATGCAAGGCAAGAACTTGGAAGAATATTATTGAAAGGGGATAATATTACGTTAATATCCAGCACAGAGATATGAATACACTGCTCACTATATTGCCACGTTTGTCAGGGTCAAAGTATGAATAGAAATCCTGGCTCTACTTCCTTTACCTCCTTGCATCAAAATAGACCTTTTGTATATTAATATTACACACACTACGTAGAATAGTACACATGTCCTCCCAGCTTACCTTACTTTCTAATAGATTCAGTGACCTCACATTTGAAAGCCACCCGTTTGATCCTACGGGGACTGTTTTCGGAAGATGATGAACCTTTGACAGGACTTGAAACAGGATCACCATTGAGTCGTCGTTTATACCGCAACTCACGTTCCTCGCGAGTCACTGACTCTTTATAGATATCTATTTGCTTTCTTCTTTCACCAGAAAGACGTGCCTTCTCTGTTGGTGATTTCCTTTTAATATGAAACTCCTCATTATCGTCTTTAGTTCCTGTCCCATCTGTTAATCCTTCTGTTTCGTGTCCGTTTATCTTCTTTTTATCATTCTTGTTAGCTTTCTTGTTGTCTTTGTTCTTTGGTGAATCCGGTTCCTGGCATTGGGACGACATGGTTTCATCTTGACGACATTGTCTGGCTAGTTGCAGTCCAAAGTAAGCCCTTTCGTCGAAAGTATGTGCTCTCTCAGTTGTACCTGATTATACTCTAATTCAAGATCAACGCGTATTTTTCCGCACTCTCGTAATAGAACGATTGATTTGCCATTAGACTAATACAACAGAATAGACCAAAGAAGTCTGTAAGTAGTACAAGATGCTGCCACCAATAGACACATCATCGAATAAACGTCCACCGCAATATCAACAGCAACACATTGAAGGCGGAGTTAACCCTGCTGTGTTCAAGAAACCTCGGTTGAATGAAGATAGCAGCAGACAGAAATCATCACCAACTCCATACACTCAAAGAGAACAACATGAGATCCAAGGTAAATTGAATAAGGTATTAGGTCCAGAATACATAAGTTTCCGACCTGGTGGTGGTGGACAGAAGGTAGCTTATATTGAAGGGTGGAGGGCCTTGAACCTTGCAAATGAGATCTTTGGATTCAATGGCTGGTCTTCAGAATTGGTTAGTACTCAAGTGGATTACTTTGACACTCATGGGCAAAGTGGGAAATATTCTTTAGGTCTTGCAGTTCTTGTTAGAATCACTTTGAAAGATGGTACTTTTCATGAAGACTTTGGGTATGGGTTTATTGATAATGCTAAAAGTAGAGCCATGGCTTTTGAGAAATGTAGGAAGGAAGCCTTTACTGATGCAGTTAAAAGATGTCTTCGATGTTTTGGTAATGTATTGGGTAATTGTCTTTATGATAAAACCATTATTCAGAAGATTCATAAATTCAAATTAGATCCTCATGAGTATACCACTGAAGATTTCCATCGAGATCCATTGATAGCTCAAAGAGAGCAACTTAAAAAGGAGTCCACTTTTTCTTCAATTCCCGGTTCATCTACTTTCAATAACAATCCTACTACATCAACATCAACAATACGATCGATGTCAGTTCCACCTCAACCAGGACCCAATTCCAATTCCAATTCCAATGGTATTGTTAAAAGTAGTAGTAATGGTGGAGTCATGGCTACTACAAAGCAAATCCCCATATCACGAGAAGTTATGTTGACTGCATCCCAAGAGGCTGTCAAGTTTTTCGGTACTGATGATCCATTTACATTTAGTGATGACATTGGTCCTGAGGATGACGATAATGTGGATATGGATGGAATCGATGATATGGAGCTACAACAATTAGAAGGTCGAAACAGAGAACTAGCTGATTCATCACGTAATAATTCAGATGACGTACCACAAGCAATGTTTGTCAGTGCTAAAATCGCTGATAGACATGAGAAGGATGGTACGGTTCCATTGAAGAAGTTTGATACCAATTTCATTTCTTCAAGTATAAGACGTACTTTGGATCCCACCAAATCGGTTCCGGTTAAGAAGGCAGAGGTTCTAGAGCTTTATAGCCAACAAGTGAATGATTCGCATAACAACGTCAACGGATATCGGGCTGGAAATGAAGATGGGAATGGCAACACGAGTGTTCTAGGTAAACGATTAATAGGTGCACCACCATCAGTCCCTAAGTCTTCTCCTTCATCCCAACAGTTTCGTCCACCAATGAAACGACCCCATAAAGAAACATCTCAACTGGATTCGGGTTAATGGAATGGGAAATGGACAGGGTTAAGTCTATACAGAGTATACAAGTAGTTTTGTTCGATAGTAGATCTGTGGTGGCATTGGCCTATCTCTAACGGTAGCGCTGTGCCCTTATCGCACAGGTACGTACCTCAATGTTATACTACCTCTTGACTGATGACCTCAGACTTCTTTGTACCTTTATCAACTACTATGGTGGAAGGTACTCGGGATAACGGATCAATTGCACCGTTGCTTGAACATGTAGGGCCGTACAACGAGTTCCCGGAAGAGTACCAGCTGCAGAGTGCCATTGAAGCTCTCAAGTCCGTTAAGGTTTTGGTAGTTGGAGCTGGAGGGTTAGGGTGTGAAATCTTAAAGAACTTGGCATTGACCGGTTTTAAGAACATCCAAGTTATAGATATGGATACTATCGATATGTCTAATTTGAATCGACAGTTTTTATTTCGTCCGGATGATGTTGGTAAGTCGAAAGCCGAGGTTGCCACCAGATTCATCTTGGAAAGAATTGGAGACCCAACCCTTAACATCGTACCTTATTACGGTAAGATTCAAGATAAAGATATGGAATACTATAAGCAGTTCAACATTGTTGTTTGTGGATTGGATAGTGTGATGGCTAGAAGATGGTTGAATGCAACGTTGGTGGCCATAGCTCAAAAATTGGGTCAAGTGATCCCCTTAATTGATGGTGGTACTGAAGGGTTTAGAGGTCAATCAAGAGTTATATTACCAGGTTTCACTTCTTGTTATGAATGCACTTTGGATATGGTACCACAGAAGGTCACTTACCCCGTGTGCACTATTGCCAATACTCCTAGAGTTCCAGAACATTGTATTGAATGGGCAAGTGTGCTCCAATGGCCAAAACACTTTAGTGCTCATGAGAAGTTTGATGGTGATAACCCCGACCACGTTGATTGGTTGTATGCTACAGCTTTGAGTAGAGCAAAAGAGTTTGGTATTCCTGGGGTTACAAGAAGTTTGACCTTGGGAGTGGTCAAGAACATTATCCCTGCCATTGCCTCAACAAATGCCATCATAGCTGCATCTTGCACTAATGAAGCCTTCAAGATCGCTACAGATGCAAATCCCTTCCTCAACAATTACATGATGTACAGTGGAGATGACTCCATCTTTACTTATACTTATGCTCATACCAAAAACGTTAATTGTCCAGTTTGTGGAGATAATTTCAAAGAAGTCAAATGTCAGAGATGGTGGACTTTGGAGAAATTTATTGATGTGCTTATAAACTTACAATCCATTCAATTACAAAATCCTTCTCTAAGTACAACTAATGGTGTCCAATTATATTTCCGTGCACCTCCTGAACTTGAACAATTGACCCGTGAGAATTTAAGTATCAAACTAATTGATCAAATTAATCCAGCTACTGAACAAATCATCGTCACTGATCCAAACTTGCCCATATCATTAAATGTTAAAGTTGTCTTTGAAGGTCCCGATAAAGAACCACAAGATATCAATTATTTGTTAAGGCAATGATTTAAAAGGCAATCATTTCGTTGATCAACTTTTCGTTGAAGGCATCAATATTATCCAAATAGACATGATGACCACTATCTTCAATTTCAACGACATTGCTTTGGTTAGCATCGTTATGATAACTATTAATGATATTGGAACAGAGTAGGCCACCTTTTTTATCCATCCAATCTTCTTTCCCGTACCACCAAGACAATTTGCAATTCAATAAATGGATTCCACGTTCAATTAAAGGATATCTAGCATCTGCTCCAGGAGCCAAAAGATAGTTCAACATATATTCTCCTGAACCTGGCAGTTGGAATATACCATAGCAATATTTGTGCAATTGTTCTCTTTCCCTTGAAGTCAATTTGGCAAATCTTCTTGAAGACCAACCACTAACGAGTTTGGATCCTAAAGGTCCAGCATTTCTAACTAAACTGAAAGGACTAATATTTTGTTCCCAAAGTGCAGCAAAATAACTGGGGACATTAAGTTGTTTACGATGTTTAATAACAGCACCTGGAGATATCATAATCAATTTCTTACAAAAATCAGGGCTTTTCTTGATTCCATAAGTGGCCATGAGGTATGCACCCATGGAATGTGCTGCAACCAAAAGGTCTTTATTTTTAATATTTCTTTTGATCATCCAAGCTTTGAAGGAATTATGGAACCAGTTTTCCACAGCATCTAAATTATTGGGTGTAAATGGAGGTCTAGATGAACAACCATAACCCAAAAGATCTATTGAATGAATTACCCAATTATTAGATTTTGGGTTTGTTGAGGGGGAAGACAATGCATCAAAGTTCTTCAAAAAGAGTCCAAGGCCGCTTCCATAACCATGGACCATGACCAAATGATTAAGTTGATCTTGTGATTCCTTAGCCATGGCTTCTTTATTTGGATAAATGACAAATTCATTGATATAATTAGCATCATTATCATCAATAGGTGTTTGGATAACTTGGGCTATTCTACCAGTTTGGTTTTCAACGTCCGGATAGAAGGGAAGAAGCGAAAGGAGATCATGCTGGAACTTTTCTGGACTGTCCCGAAACGAATAATCATCAAGTGATTCTTTAACTGAAAGTGGAAACGTATTTGAAAATATTTTATTCAATGGTACAGATGTTGGATGAGTGGATCTTTTATAATGTGTGTGGCCATTATTTGAACCCCCCAAATTGACAACTGAAGGTGACTTAACGGTGGAGACCTTTCTGTCGAACAGTAAGAATAGATTTCTAGGAAAACGTGTCATGGGTACATTCAAGCTTTGAGAATAAATCAGTGATCGTGTCAACAAGTATAAAACCTGACCAAACCTGTTGGTGAATATCACACAGAAGTTAACAGCATAGAAAGGTGTGGAGCAGGAGGTTTAGCTGAATGCTAAAGGATTTAGAATAGGCAGTGTCAGGTTGGTATATGATGTTAGAGATGACTATTGAATGCCCCACGAATTGAAATCCGTGGCTACCAAATTAAACGTTCGTGCTCGTACCGAGTCATGATTTTTGTGTCACGTGATATACCTGGAGGTTCCTACTTGTATGTAGTATTACACTACACTTGGATGAAATACTAATGGTTGATTGTCTTTAGAAAGGTTATCTAGACTCTGATTGGAATTATGTTGATCTATTCGGTATTTTCCTGTCTGGTAAAATTAATATTTGAATCTACGAGGATCACCTGAGGTACCAAAAATCGGTCATCAATATTTGCTTCATAATAACCAACCAATCGGCCACATTCACGACATCATTCCATTTAGCAAAGTATAGTGCCTCGGTTATCCAGTTTTAGCCAATAAAGTAAAATTCCAGATCTGATCCGGGTTTCTAATGTCATTGTTGGTGTGCAGTCCTGGTTGAAGCCAAGTATACCACCCAATGTTGAGCCTGTTGAAGTTTGCAACATTGTCCTTGCTAAGGCGATTATAAGATTTGCAAAAGCCGATATTCGTCTGTCTGGAAACTGGTCATAGCATTTTATCAGATCCAAAAGATTCAAACACAATTGCTAAGCTTTTACTTTAATTAACTTGTGGCTTAGTTTAGCTAAAGCAAGTCAACTAAGGGTATGATGGCTTGCAATACGAAAGTATTCTTACTATTATTGTTGCTTGAGAATTTAAGAGGTTTCCGCTTGACCTCTAATCGTCAATACTTTTTTCCTAATGGAGAGCAGTCAATGTGCTATAGACTGTCCGACACTCGGGGAGACATGCCTATACTATTAAATTGTGTGTCTGGAAAATTATCTGATCAATTTGATAATGCATTGACCGATTACAAAGACATTATTGAGTTTGGTTCCTACATGATAGTTAACCTAGTTAATACCACCCCCTTGACGAGTACATTGTGATTGGCTAGCTCATTGCGAGGATCGGATACGATGTGTTACATGTAGGAATTACCTACTTCATATGCAAGAGCAAGGTCGTGTAATAGAACACCGATGGCCTTTCAAGAACTGTCTTTTTGTCTTTTTTATCATTTTGATCTACAGGTCGTGTGGGGACCTCAAGAAAATTTCACCGAAAAAAATTGTCTGCAGAAACTACCACATCGATACTTAATTTCAGCTCCTACTGGGAATATACAAAACATGACCTTTGAAACATGACCTTTGAAACAGTAAAACGAATGGCAACATGATGAGGCTCGTCATTTTAAGTGCCGAAGGTTTTGGTGACTGAAAGAGCTAGCAGGAAGGAAACAAGGACCATTTGAGGGTACAAGATTTTATAGATAACATTATCTGATTTATCTGATGAAAAGAGCCGCATCCTGCATGCTCAAAAAAATTCATTTGTTTTCTTGTATCCGAGTACGGCGTAACCCATAATGGACTAACCTGGATAGAACATTACACTAGAATAAACACCAGAATAACCTTCATAAATGGGACTATCATGCTAGCGGTAAAACCAGTATAGTATAAGCTGTCCTCCTAGGTAAGGAGCTGTTAGGATAATCCGAGGCCCGCATTTCCCAGACTGTGTGTGCAGGATCGCACTAAGCAATGATACTAATAAAAATTTTCAATGCAACCAAATTGGTAGTAGAGAAGTGGTATTAGAATACTAATAATAATGGTAGGCATGGTGGAATGTAGACATAATGTGGTATAGACATAAGGTTGACGCAAGGGTATCTTACTGTGTGCTGATTGGGTAATATCCCCTGTTATTGTCTACAGAATTAGGACAAAATTTATCAGACCGGACAATCAAGAAAAAAAACACCCACACTATTATTGTTTTTGCAACAATAATACCGTTTGTGTCATTTATCCCACGAATAACTGAAGGGAAAGCCTAAGGCACCCGACTCTTTTGAAGTAATAATCTTTTTTGTCTGATGGAACTCTATTGGTTATAAATAGTGAATAATTTGCTCAAGTGTTAATTCATACAAACCAAATTTGTTAACGGTTGTGTTCATCAATTTTTATCTATTTGATCATCACGCTTGGCAGAGTGAGTAAGCGAGTGAGTGAGGCCCATACAAATTGATAGCCAAGCCGTAAGAAAAAATCTTTAGAGGATAGAAAGAAAAGCAACAATGAACAAGTTGTTGGTGTTAGTGGTATCGTTTCTTTTGGCGTTTGTGGTTAAAGCCGAAGACCACTATTGGTACTTTAACGCTACATGGCTCACTGGTAACCCCGATGGAGTTATGGAAAGACCCATCATTGGGTTCAATGGTTCATGGCCTTTACCTACCCTTAGAGTTAAGACTGGAGATAGAGTTGTTCTCAAGTTAACGAATGGATTGGGGAATCAAAACACTTCACTTCATTTCCATGGGATGTTCCAAAATGGTACAGGTCAAATGGATGGACCTGAAATGATTACCCAATGTCCAATTGCTCCAGATGATTACTTTGTGTACAACTTTACTGTACCTGATCAAGTTGGTACATACTGGTACCATTCACATACTGATGGTCAATACCCCGATGGATTAAGAGGAGTTTTCGTTATAGAAGAAGCAAAGAAATCAGATTACCCCTTTGATTTTGATGAAGAAATCACCTTATCTGTGTCTGAATGGTACCATAAAACATCTCACGAATTAACACCTAAATTCTTGAACAGATATAACCCTACCGGTGCTGAACCAATCCCACAAAATTCGTTGTTTAACGATTCTAGAAATGTCACCTGGAGAGTTCAACCCAATACGACATATTTTGTTCGTATTGTCAATGTAGGTAGATTTGTCTCTCAATATTTGTACATGGAAGATCATGACTTCACGGTGGTTGAGGTTGATGGTGTTTATGTTCAACCAAACACCACCAGTATGGTTTACATCACTGCTGCCCAAAGATACGGTGTGTTGATTAAAACTAAAGAGACCACAGATAAGAACTTTGCCTTTATGAATGCCATTGATAAAGATATGTTGGATGTGGTCCCCAAAGACTTGATTTTGAACTCTACAAATTATATTTCCTATGACGAAAGCAACGATACACCCGAAGAGTATATTGTTGATGAATATGATTTTTTGGATGATTATTGGTTGACCCCTGTGAGTGCTGAAGCCATGCTTGATGAACCAGATCATGTTATCACCGTTGATGTCACGATGAATAATTTGGGTAATGGGATCAATTATGCCTTCTTCAACAACATTACCTACACTCCTCCAAAGGTCCCTATTTTGCATACAGTTTTATCTGCTGGTGAATTGGCTACTAATGAACTTGTCTATGGTACCAATACTCATTCTATTGTCTTGCAACATAACGAAGTTGTGGATATTGTTTTGAATAACCATGATGCTGGTAAACATCCATTTCATTTACATGGTCACGTTTTCCAATTGGTTGCTAGAGGTGAGACTGTTGTGGGAGATCCTGTTTCTTTCAATGCTACGGAATATGATCTTTATAGAGACAATCCAATGAGAAGAGATACTGTTTATGTTAATCCCCAATCATATATTGTTATGAGGTTTAGAGCTGATAACCCCGGTGTTTGGTTCTTCCACTGTCACATTGGATGGCATTTGCAACAAGGTTTGGCATTTGTATTGGTTGAAGCTCCATTGCAAATCCAAGAAACAGAAACTCAACATTTAACAGAAGGTTCCATCAGAATCTGTAAGAACTCCAACAATGGTCTCTATGAAGGTAATGCAGCAGGTAATAAGGATAACTTTTTGGACTTGAAAGGTGAAAACGTTCAACATAAACCATTACCTGCGGGATTTACTGCTAGAGGTATTGTTGCCTTGGTGTTTTCATGTCTTGCTGGTATCTTAGGTCTTGTGGCCATTACCTATTACGGCTTGTCTGATCTTAAGAATGTTGAAATGGATTTAATTAAAGATTTGAATGTTGAATTGGATGGTTTGGATGAAAGCAGTCAAACCAACAGTTCTGATTCTTCTGAACATATTTCCAAGGTTCAAATTTAGTTACTTTAGTGGCCTGAGATTGGACTTTACTATATTGAACTAGCATTAACATAAAGAGATCAATTGATGGCTATTGACTAGCATTTTAAAGTTGGAAACTCCCGGTTAAGATTGTGTGTATAAGAGAAATGGAGTTTATGACTTATAAAATGCATCAATGGTCTCTTTATTTTATGAGATCTTCTACTAATGACATAATGGATACAACAACTATTATTCCATTTACCACATGATGATATTATTACTACCACCCTTTTACTAATGGCACAATATTGATACAATATTGGTTTTTTTTTACTTATTTAATTTGCTAATGACTCGGCTCCCTCTTTTATTCCTTACCTCCGACGGTTTACGTCGACCATTTTGTATATTACATTATTTAATTATAGATATTACCCAGGATTACATCGTTACTGCGTAGTTGGTGCTCGCTTTATGTTGTATTATTTGTACGTACACGACCGGTGCGTGGGCGAAAAAATCAAACGTAGAGCAGTCAAACTATACCGAACTATAGCTCTACACTTCTTCACTTAACTCCACCATAATGATAGAGTCGGTGTTCATTACAGATTCCAATTATGGGTTGGCGTTTGAATACTTGTCGAGCTTAACGTCGCCGAGTTTCAGGTCCGTCAAGGAAATCATCTCCGCGCAGCCCCAAGGTTCATTCAATTCATCTACACTCCCCAAGAGAGTGGATAAGAAGGAACAACATATAAATGACAGTATCATAGGCATTGGACGAGAGTATACTCTTTGTCGTAGGAACTATGGTAATACATTGTATGTATTTGTTGTTTTCTGCGAGAAAGATGCCTTAAATCCCGTGTTACCGTTTGCCTTTATTGATAGTTTGGGTCAGGTATTGGAAGAGTACTTTGAGGTGCCCGTTACAGTGGCTAAATTAGATGGTCATTTAGATACTTTGACGTTATTACTCAACGAGATGCTTTCATCCAGTGGGATACCTTATAATACAGATTTCAATAGATTGAGAGATCATGTATCTCACAGGAGTCTCCTTTCCAAGTTTTTGGCTACCTCCAACGATCTTGCCAATGCTGCCACGAGTGGTCAATTGAGTTCCTTAAGTACACCAACGAGTGTTTCTCGAATGACTTCCGGTGGTGGCAGTTCTTCTTCTCAGGTTATATCAACCAAATCTACAGATATATCTGTGAACTCAATCCCCTGGCGACGGTCTAATGTCAAGTACACCAATAATGAAATGTATGTGGATGTCATGGAGACTATTAATGTCATATTTCAAGTTAGTTCTAGAAGCTTGGATAAGAATAACAATAAGACTACTACTAAAAATGCCGTATTATCCAATTTAAAGGCATTTGATCTGGCCTTTTATTCCACTTCTACCTCTGGTTCGGCTTTAAGATCTTCATCACAATCTTTGGTCCCTATAACTGCCACTATAGATGGTCAAATCCAATTTTTATCTCATCTTACAGGGGTCCCCCTTTTACAAATGGTTTTACATTCAGATAGACTGAATTTTAGTCTGCCAGCATTCCATAGATGTGTTGAGGTTAAAGAATGGATCAGGTCTCCTGGGTTATTGAGGTTTATACCTCCCGATGGTAAGTCTACGCTTATGAAATATCAAGTGGATATAATAGATAAATGGAGGAAGGATAAAAAGAATAGTGATTTGTTTGGTCTTATTAATGTTGGATTTGAAACTGGCTTGGGGCCTTCACAGAATGAATTTGAAATAAGATTATTCATCAATGGAACTAAAGGAGTCAAGAATTTGGAAGAATTAGTGGTGGATATAGAATATGGTGATAACTTTAATAGGAACTCAGAAGATGGACGAAGTTCATCTCCAGAGACGGAATCCGACGATGAAGATTATGGATTAGATAAAGACCTCAATGATGATGGTGAAAATGATACTGCCAATATCAATTGTGGGAATGGGAATGGGAATGAAGACATTATTATCAAATCACTTCGAGTTACTCATGGAGATTTTACTATAGAAGGTAACAATAGAGGACATTGGAATTTAAGATCAGTGGCTACTGGAACACAACCGATATTTCGAGGGTCATTAATCACAAATAGAGTTGGTGGTGGTGATGATTTCAGATCAATTTCTAACCTGCCAAGTGTGATTGATGTTGACTTGGTGGATACGGGTAATCCTAATAGCACTACTACTCGGGAGGAGAAAATCTCACTAGAGCCATTATTTATTCGGTTATCCTATTCACATAAAGGGTGTGTACCTAGTGGTACTAAAGTTGATAGCTTAAAGATAGTCAGTGCCAAAGGACTTGGAGACACAGTCAAACCGTTCAAAGGAGTCAAATATATTACCACCACAGGTAATTATATTGTTCGAACCTGAGCACCACTTAATAATGGAGTGATGGTTGGTTCACTGTCCCTTCCTATAAGGTGTCAGTCAATAGTACAAAAAAAAGCTAATAACATAAAGCTAATAACAAAAAGAGTTTTATACAAACGATTTGCATAAGAATCTTTAGTCTGCATTTATTCGGTCTTCTTACTCTTTTTGAGCTTCTCCTTTTGAGCCTTCTTGATCATGACATTGCCAATGAATGACCCAACACCCAAACCACCAACTAACAACAATAAAATAGGAATCTTGATGGCATAGTCTCTGGGTAAAAAGAATAATTGTAAGAAGCTTTCACTATCCACAAAGGGTAATACAAATACCCAAAGTGTGTAATAGGTGAACACTGAAGCAGCTACCGCAAGCATACAAGACCCAACCAATTGATCAATAGCCTGAATAATTTAGTTAGTAAATGACACGTCCTATGTACATATATATCTCACATAGTCATAAACACATACCATTGTATACTATTATAGTTAATACTACTATTATTATTATTATTATGGGTATCAAACACTGTTAGTTGGTTTGGTTTTTGAGTTTATCATGTACGTGTTCTGTGTGCGCTACCAATTTCGTGTATCACGTGATGTAAGTTTATATGTCACGTGATCTTCTTTGGATATTGGGGTTAAAGGCTATGGCTTAGGGTTATTGAACGGTTAACGTCTTTCTGATTCTGTATTTCTTCCGTATAGCCCCTAACATGTTCAGTAAGCTCAAGCTGAAGAAGGCACCCATTTCATTGACGAGCGTGTCGAACAAGCTCAAGACTTCAACCATCAATGACTTAAGTCCGACCAATTTGAAGAGTAAAGACTTGGACATTTACGCAGCATATCAATTGGGGTTACCTAATAACAGTATAATTGCCAGTGCCTTTGATCCTGTTCAAAGTTTGTTGGCGGTGTCGACTAAATCATGTGAGGTTCGGGTGTTTGGGAGTAAGTATGTTGAAGTTGTTTTTCTGTTTAACTTGAAGAACCCAATCACCTTTTTACGGTTTGTTAAGGGAGTTTATTTGGTTGCAGCTTGTTCACTGGGGAGCATTCAAATCATATCACTTCATTCTAAGGATGTTATTGGCGCTTATAATGCTCCCAGCATGATTCTGTCCATTGAAACAGATCCATCTGTTGATTGGCTTATCATTGGTTTAGGCAATGGGTCAGTGTTATTCTATGATATTGATAGATTAACCCTGACACCTTATAGAATGGAGAACTTACAGAAGCAAATTCTTCCAAAGGAAAAACTACTGCCTGTTTTAGGTATTGAATGGAATCCTAGAGATTTGGGGACTGTTTTACTTACTTATTCCCATTGTGCTATCATCTATTCATTGGCAACGGCTTCTATTAAACAATTTTTTGTATACAGATTGGATAAATCTGCTAGGGCATTTGAATATTCCAAACATTTTGCCAATAATGGCAAGAAGAAACTTTTTGGCAGTGGTAAAGATATCATCTCAGAAATCACTGAAGCCCATTGGCATCCAAATTCATTACATGTTGTTACTGTCCATGCAGACAATACTCTTGCCTTTTGGGATGCCAATGATTCCACTTTAATAGAAGCAAGAATTGGATCCGAAACAGGGGTAAATAAACCAGGAAGTCCTATCCCGTTACCAGATCTACAAACCTTTAGACCAACTCAAACAGTTAGATGGATATGTGGAGAAGATGCAGAATACACTCAATTGGTCGTTGCCAATAGTAATCCTTCCAACTTGCTGTCTTTAACAATTATGGATTTTGGTTACACATTGAAGTATTCTTTGACTTCTCATGATAAGCAAAGAGCATTCTATGCTACTCCAACAAATGGCCAAAGACAAATCAGCTTCAAATTCAATAATACTTCAAAACCAGATGTTGAACCGGAATTTATAAAATCAATAACTCCAATAAATTCTCCGTTTATGCCTTACTATGGTGGGAATCAGAACCCAATTTATATGATGTTAATAAGTAACTATGGTTCCATCTACTTTGTTACATCACCATTCACGCAAATGGGAATACCTGATTTAGATTCCTTGATTTTACCTGAAACATTGACTTCATTGCATCCTCCTACAACTTACATGAAGGTTGAAACTGTTTCTCGAGTCTATTGGTTTGGAATTTTGAGTTCAAGAACCGGTGCAGCAGCTAAATTTGGAACCCTATTAAAAGGTGGGATGGCTGCTTCAAGTGCCATTTCCCCCAGATCAGTGAATTATGATGATTCTGTTCGTCAAATCTTAGTGTCGGGTCACAAGGGAGGATATGTGAGATTATGTGATGTTTCAAGAAATGAAAATACAGATTCAGAAAGCATTGTTCAATTAAATTTGGCTCTGACCTTATTTAATGATGGGAATCCTAGAGCTATGGATGTTACTCATGTTTCCACTGCCTTTGCCAGTAGAGAAATGCTTGTGGGGTTGGCTAACGGAGAAGTAGTGGTGTGTAAGTTTGGCAAGGTGAACAAATTGATCCCCAGTAAACCTTCTACTGATTATACCCTGGCACCTGTTCAACATCAAAATGGGAATGCTAAGTTGATTTCCATTTCCGATCGGATTCTGGGGTCCTTTGCTTCAACATATACGTTTTTACCATCCTTCTTACTTCAAATTAAAGGAAATTATGATCCTATTACTTGTTTGAAGATGAATGATATTGGTTTCGGTGCTATTGCCTACAAATCAGGTAGATTGATAGTATGTGATATCACCAGAGGGCCTGCAATCATCTATAATCTTGATGACATTAAAGAGAAGTTGGTTACTGTTCAAGGTGAATGTTTTGTAACAAGTGTGGAATTTACAATTATGGAATATGGACAAGATGGTTATTCACTGATTCTTTTATGTGTTGGTACCAATGGTGGAGGACATTTCATGACTTTTAAAATTATTCCTAGACCCAATGGTGGGTTCCTGGTTGACTTTGCAGAGAGAACGGTCAATCTTAATTATAAGGGGATTGACAGCAATGGTGATGGTGTAGATTCTTCAGCAGTTACTCACATTATTCCTATTGAGAGTAAGAAGGGTGCATCTGCAGTTGCAACTTTGGATACCTTTCATCAATTAGGCCAAGGGATCCCCATTTCAGGGTATTTGATTCTTGGTTCCAATAATGATCTTAGGGTTTTGAAACCCCCCAAGACTAAATTGGCTCATAAGGTTATTGATGAAGGGATTGTGGGATGTGGTGTGGTAGATATACATGGAACTGGGGTTTGTTTAGTGTCGATTCTGAAAGCAGGTTTCTTGAAGCTTTCAACTATACCATCACTTGGTGATTTGGCTGATATCAAATTGCCTAAAGAAATCAGTCCACGGGTTGCATACGGTAGTCATAGGAGTACTCACTTATCAAGAACCGGGGAATTCTATGTTTCAAATGGAGGAAATGAAGTTGATATCTTCTCTCTTTATTTGAAGGACTTGAATAAGCATTATAAGGGTAAACGGGTTACAGATCAATTATTTGATCCTGCTATTGTCATTCCTGCTCGTCCTGCAATGAATGTGTTACAATGGGCTAAGGGTCTGCCAGCAGTTAGTGCAAAAGATTTGGCTAATTTGATTGCTGGCCCCAACAGAAGACCTCCAAAGACTGAAGAAAGTAGATTGGCCCACAATATTAGCCCTGAAGCTAACCCTAACCACCCAGGATACGTTGCAGCTACTGGTAGTACGGGAGGAGGCTTGTCTGCCGATATGAAGGCTGGTTCTGGGTATGAACAGAGTAGTCAGAGGTCCACCAACATTGGTGGGGGACAAGGATACAATCAATATACTAATGGTATCATGAGATCGTTCCAGGACACCTGGAATACTGCAGAAGAAACCTTGAATGATTATGCTAATTCCATGAGTACAGCTATGACAGATACTTATGATTCAGGCAAGAAATCCTTTTATACCGGTGCTGTTAAGAGTAAATTAGGTATTTAATTTGATGACGTTTGTGTAAGAATACATATGATTTTAGGTAAAAGTATGATGCTTGCAAATGAAATATTATGATAAGTATTGCAATTGGATCAAAAATTGAAAATTAAGTACGCAAACATTATTAGATGATATTCTTCTTATTCTTTGATAGTTTATACTACTTTTGTGTCGCAGTATTACGTAATCAAACGACAAAAACTAATATACCCTATTTGTATATTATTCTATTAGGCATTTGATCTAATAGTTATAAAGTGATCTTGTATATGTCATTTCTTTACATTAATACGGTTTACTCAAATACACGATATTGAAGACGGGTTGTACAAGGCTTGCCCGATAAGGCACTCAACCTGCATACAACACGCCAAAAGTATAAACAAGAGATCAAAATATTGACTACAGTAGTATCTAACACTACTACTATCTAGGGCTTTCCATAATGTCGTTTGATAAAGAGAACCTAGGCGGTGAAATGTCGTCGCCTTTATCTCATAAGACACTCAAATCCATTTCCCCCAACCGACCCGGGAAGTTATCGTTTGTTCATAGTGATAACCTCGATGAGCATCTCAATACCATTCACCATAGTCACAAGGACATTCAAGACCAGCTCTACAATATTGAAGTCCAGACCAAACAAACGAGTGTTGATATAGATCAATTGTTTAACCGACTGAAAAATAATAACGAGAATCTTAATCGGGTTCTTGAGAATATCTCCAGTTACTCCAAGGAAGTGATAACTGAAGGCAATGCCACCAAGAAGGATATTTCTAATATATTTAGTCGATTTGATTCCATCGAGGCGTTGAATCAAAAGGTATGTGATGAAGTTGGTACGAGTTCCACTGATTTAAAACATCAATTGGAGACTTTAAGTACCAAATTTGACTTCACCAAATCAGATATAGTGGCTAATCTTGATATTCAAAGTGGTACGATTCAAGATATCTCTGAAGCTTTAACGTCGTTGAGCCAAACGATTGGTAGTAGTGATAGTAATTCCGATTTGGAATTTAAATTACTTCAAGCACTTAACCTGATTCTACCTAAATTACTTGCAATGGAAGAGTTAATTAAGGCGTCTTCGAAGTCTTCTTCGTCTTCTTTGGATAACGCGGAGATTCTTGAGTTATCCAAGAGCATCAAAATCTTAGCTGAAAGTAGATTTAATTTGGATCATCAAAAGGAGATTGTGGAACCAATTATTAGTGAGTTTAGAAACGTCAAATTAGATGATAAATCTACGTTATTATTACAAGGAATTTTCCAAAAATTAGACAACTATAAATCTGAAGGTGATCTTACTGCTAATTTGCTTAATAAGCTTTCAATGCAGCTGAACGAAAAGGATGCTCAGATCCAATCGCTTGAAGCTAAAATAGAACAACAAAATGCCATTCTACTGGGACTAACTCAAAGACTTGCATTGAAGGATTCAATACAAACTTTACAATCAAAGCATGACATTCTCGAGAATAAATATAACTTGATGTGCCGTCAGTATCAAGAGAAATATGATGAACTACTTAAAATACAAAACGATTTCCAATTGCTAAAGAAAACATTGGATACTGATTATTTCAAAAAGATAGCTAATGTGAAAGATCTACATTTTGAACAAATGTCAAGACTTCTGACTTCATTGGAGTTACCTAAAAAGTCCGGAACATCATTATCTAAAAGGATTGTTAGTACTCCAATAGTGATGCCATCACTTGATGAAGTTAATAATTCTGATGGTGAGTTTTAGTTGTATTAATATTTACAGAAGCTATGACTTTATACATGCAGTTTAAGTTTGGTGGTGGTTAATTCTTCACTATTCTCTCCTTGTCGTCCATATATGGTCTAAGGACTTTTGGAATAAGAATTGATTCAGTTGCTGGATCATAAAATTGTTCAATAAGAGCCACAATGACTCTTGGAACTGCCATACATGTTCCATTTAAAGTATGAACATATTTCAGCTTACCACTTTCACCATCAATATGCTTGATACCCAATCTTCTTGATTGGAAATCAGTGCAATTAGAAGAACTTGTTAATTCACCCCAAGCCCCTCTCCCAGGCATCCAAGCTTCACAATCATATTTCTTAGAAGCTGGAGCTCCCAAATCAGTTGTTGGCATATTAATCATTTTGGCACTTAAACCCAAATCTTTAATGATTTCTATTTGGAATTGTTTCAATTGTTCCAATTCTTCTTGTGAATTCTCTTCAGTTGTGAAGTGGAAAAGTTCAACTTTTGTGAATTCATGAACTCTGTAAAGTCCCTTGGTATCCTTTCCTCTAGCTCCGGCTTCGGCTCTATAGGATCTGGATACTCCAACATATTTCACTGGAAAGTCTTGCTTAGAGGGGAATGTGGAACTTGAATGCAATCCACCAAGTGGTATCTCAGCAGTTGCAGTTAAAGCTAATGAGGAACCTTCAATGGAATAAACTTGTTGTTCATTGTTTTGATCTCTAGGTTTGAACCCACATGCATTGACTACTTCTGATTGAACAATCGATGGAGGTATGAGCATTTTATAACCATTCAATCTAGCTTTCTTCAAACCATATTGAACCAAAGCTTGTTCCAATAAAGCACCATCACCTTTCAAATAATACCATGATGAACCACTAACTCGGGAAGCAGTTGAGAAGTCAACAATATTCAACTTCTCTGCTATGGTTTTATGATCGTATATTGAAGAATCTTTCGGTCTTAATTGTTCACCGTGAAGCTCAGAATCACAATTGATAAACTCCACCACGGTTCCTTCTTCAGGATCTTCTGGTACGCCTGGATCCAAAAGATTAGGTAAATTATCAGCCGCATCATGAAGAGTCTTAGCCAAGACACTTTGTTGAACTTCAAGATCTTGAATTTGTTTCTTATATGACTTTAAAGTGTCCAACGTTTGAGTATCTTGCTTCCCTTTGATTGTGGAAGCCAATTTCTTTCTTTCTGCTCTTAATTGGTTGAGGCTTGACGATATGTTTTTCTCCAACTCTCTATTGTTTAGAATGTACTCAAGGCCCTCTTTTACACTTGGTAGACAGTTTCTACGAGATATGGAATCTAGATAGGCATCTTTGTTGGCTATTACCCTTTTGAGATCAAAAGCCGGTTTCAGAAGAATATTAGTGTTCTTGAAGGTACTGCTGCTCCGAGTGAACCTTTTGATAATTGAAGACATCCGTTGGTAGTAACCAATTGTGTAGGCAATAGATGAATGGGACTATAAACGGTTTAAGTTATGACGTGAAAATATATCGGATAAAGTAAGTCACGTGACATAAAAGCACGTGACAAAGAATACTGTCACATGACTACACATTTTGCAACTTTATAAATAATGTCGTTATATTATACAAATTTGTAAACTATGCAAAGAGAAATAAAGATATAATGATGATTTGTGATTTAACCCAAAAGAACTTGGTGAATCTTATAAAAGATTCCACCATTCTTAAACTTCAATTGTTGTTCTTCTCTTTCCATAGCCAAGATTTCTTCATCAAAGATGGTTCTATCCACGTTGATATCGATTTGATCAACTCTCAAGAACAACTTCCAGTTTCTTGTCCAGATCTTGTGACCAAAGTAAAAGACAATCAACACTATGGCACCAGCATAATTTTGGAAAAAGTTTTGAGCTGACATTTGACCCTTGTAAGGCCACAAGGCAATCCAGAATTGAGCAATCAAAACAAGTGCATGCCACATCATAGCATAGTAAGAGCCCCAGACACCAGTGGAAGCCCTATAACCCAAAGAGTCCAAAGAAATATTGTAATATTTCAAAGCAGCTCTAAATCTAACATGAGATATACAAATAGACCACCAAGTAAAGATTTGGGAAAGACCTGAAATAGACAACAACCAGTTGAACACGGCTTCTTGGTTCTTATAAGCAGCAATAAAACTAAAGAGACCGAAAATGGTAGAAACAACCAATGCTCTGAATGGTCTACCTTGTTTATCGATATAGTTGAACCAACTTGGAGCAAACCCTTGATCGGCCAATGATTGCAAAGTTCTGGAAGCAGAATATAAGGATGAAGATGCAACAGAAGTAACAGACAATAAGATGACTGAATTGATGATATGAGGAACTGCTTTAACACCATGTAATTCTGCAGCCAAAACATAAGGAGATGCATGGGTAGCACTACCACCAGAACCCATTAATCTGTCAGAGTTATAAGGAACCAACAAACCAACCATGGTCAAGGAACCCAAGAACAAAACAATAATTCTCCAGGCAATCAACTTACAAGCAGTTGGAATGGCCTTTCTGGGGTTTTCTTGTTCAGCAGCAGTCAAGGCCACAAATTCAGATTGACCTAAAGAGAAGGCACCGGTGACGAAAACAGTACATAACCCTTTGAAACTGGTATGGTAACCAGGATTACGCCAGTATCTACCACCAATAAATGTTTTCTGAGGACCTCCACCAACATCAATAACAATACCCATAATGATGAACCCCACAATCATGGCAACCTTGGTACAACCAAAGACGAATTCACCTTCACCATAACCCTTAGCACCAATAAAGTTAATCACAACGATGACGGTGAAAAGAATAGCCACCCAAACATCGGCATTGATAGTATCATTCCAGAAGGCTACAGTCATAGAAGCAGTGACCAATTCAATGGAAATAACAGATAACCATTGAATACAATAGTTCCAACTGATAGCAAAAGCCAAGGATTCGTCCACAAACTTTCTTGGGTAATTGTTATAACCACCAGATAATTCAGAATAGTTAACAGCCATTTCACCAGCAGCTTGTAAAGTTGGATAAAGGAAAGAACCTACAATAGCATAACCAACCAAAAGGAAAAGAGGACCGGCGTTTCTTAACTTGGAACCAGAACCCACCAACAAACCGGTACCCACACCTGTGACCAAAGCCATCAAGATTAAATGTCTTTTGGAAATAGCCTTTGCCATTTGCTTACCAGCAGCTGTGTCACCTGTGGTTTCTTGTCTTTTGAAACCATCAACAAATTTGGACCAACCTGTCAAGTTGGTAGATTCCACCCCATCGAAATAATTATCTCTGGAGTCAACAGAAGCAACCTTGCCGACAGAAGCAACAGGCTTCATTTCGATGTCACTCCTAGTCATGATGATAGTAATAATAAGTTAATAATTAAAATGCTTGAGAGAATATTCAAATAAAAAAGTCAATTATTAGGGATGTCAAACCATTCATATATATAATATCCGAATACAGGAGTAATGAAGGTCCGCCGATAGGAAACTCAATTATCGCCAGTTCCAAAGACAAAGAATGTATTCCTGGATATCATTAATAGGTGATAGGGTAAAAAAGAAAAACCATCATACAGAAAAGAAACCACAAAGCGTTTACTGTCAAACCATTTTGGTCCTGGAGATCACAAACGATCAATACTATCTACGCGAACTTTACGGCTCGAATCTTGTGAGTTAATCAAATGCCTCCCTGTAAATACTCTGAGGGGAACTATGGGGTTTGTTCTATGGTTTACTGGTGTTTTTAGCTAATGATATGGGGAGTTACTATAAGGCATTCTGGTTTATGAGGCAATGCAGCCCATCAGCTGCATGGAACCGCAAGGCGATTTGCAGGATTCTGCACACCAATAAAAGTTCTTCCGACGAAAACGCACGGCTATTTTACTATGTGGTATATTGTTGACTGGGTAACCGCTTATTGTAACAGAATGACCTACGCATAATGACAGCACCACTGGTATTATTTTGTGCTGTTTGTATCACCAAAATTAGAGTTGCATCCTGCAGAGATTTTAGGCACGAGGCATTTGTTTATTTCTTTTATCCGGATTGAATTTTAACTTTTTTTGCAGATTCGAGGGTGCATATAATTTTTCCACTCTTCAGTGCTCAATGCTGAAAGTTTGTCAGCGTAACAATCATAACGTCACTACTATAATTTCAATCATGACTGAAGGTAAATGTCAATACTTATGAATGTATGTTTACAACGAACTATATTATTATTATCATCTGCTGGACAAATTAAGATGATTTCGGCAAATCATGCAGCACTTCAAAATACCAATTGATAAGAGTACGAGTGCGATTATGCAGGACTACTATTTCGTGAATCATCAATATTATTTGGGCAGCTGATTCATACATCATTATCACCGTATCAACATACCCCAATCAATCACGCAAGGTGTTTTAACTACTACCACTATCAAGGAGGCCAGCTAGGCTACCTACTTTCCCCACAAACAAATGCACCCAGGAAAACGCCTTACCTTGTTTTTGCTATTTGTGTCGTGCACGTACCAGACATAGATATGAAGTTTAATAATTCTCGGAATAACCATCACTGCGTCCGTAAAGGGACAGTACATATTTGGTTTTAAAGGAGATTTCTATTTCTAAAAGGGATGATATCCTATATACAAGTTATGGGGTGAGTCAAAGATACGAGACACTCATACTAAACAAACCAAAGGTTCGCCTCAAAGATAAGGCACACATGCTAGTCTAATTTGTTGCATATTATTTTGATGCAATGATTTCAATTGCATGCGAATCACCACGAGATAACTCAGGAGTGTCTAAAGCGTCCGATAAGCATTCCCAAGGATCTCTTGTGCCTCCCCAAACCAAAACACTTTGCTTGTATTTATCACCGGCTTGACGAGAAAAGGGCTCGGCTGCAAAAAGTTGATTCCATATCTTTTCGGCGATAGTGAGATCAAGCAAGTACAGATAGTACACTGCTCCGTAAGAAAACAAGTGGGGGATTTTCCCTAACCAAGTGGAGTAAGTATCTGGGAATACTTTGGATTGTTGCTCTAAATTGTGGTACACATTGACGGGGTCAAAGTCTTCTAAGTGGTGAATCACTTGATCATTATGTAAAGCTTGATCCAAAATAGCCATTTTACTTTGAACAAACTTTTCACATTGTTGCAAGCTTCCAACAGACAGTTTCTGCTTGTGCAAGCTTAGCAATGTTTCACTAAGTGGTTCTCCAGTCTTGTAGTGTCTTCCCATCATCATCAAGACCCGAGGATCTTTACTGAAGAACTCCATCAACACTGAAGGTAACTCCACAAAGTCTGTTGCACATCGAGTGCCCGATAAGTTGTGTAGGTTTGTTCTGCCTATCATTGAGTGCATAGCATGGCCCATTTCATGGAACAAAGTGTCCACTTGATCAAATGATAATAACGTAGGGTCACTATTATCATATACTGCAAAATTACACACCAATGCAATAACCGGTAATTGATAGTCTCCATCAAGTTGAACTTCCTTAGTCAATTCTTCTAAAGACTCACTACCAATGTCAGTGTTCAATTGCCGTGAACATACAATGGTGAAATGAGAAGGCAGGACTTTAGAAGACCAAAAATCCACGTATAAAAACCCTAATGTTTGCTGTGTTTCAATATCAAACACCAGGATCTTCCGAACTTGATTCTCCTTCCAAGTTTCACCAGTACACGTTGGCACGGGGATCAAAGAAATCCCATAGAGTTGAGTGAACAATTTATTCAACCCAACCATCACATTCCCCACGGAGAAGTATTCATTAATTGAGGGTAAATTGTTCCATTTATCTATGTTGGCCCTTAATTGCTTTTGCTCCAGAAGATAAACCAAATAGTCTCTATCCCAAGGTTTAACATCTCGGATCTCAATGTCCAGATCAACACATAATTGAGCCAATTCACCTTGCACACCACAGTGTAAACTTTCTTGTAGATTCTTCAACAAGGTTTGGACATTTTCAGGAGTTTTGGCCATTTTATATTCCAATTGGTAATCAGCAAACGAACGGTACCCAAGCATATTGGCAAGAACGGCTCGATATTTAAGGAACGCTTCAAGTACTGCCACTTGTTCTGGTACAGTGTCATGCAACCCGATCCAAACTTGTTTCCTGACTTCTCTTGAATCACACTCGTTCAAGATCTTAAACGGAACATTCAGATGGAACGGAATTACGTAATGGTCTTGTGTGTCTTTAAACATACTTTGGTAAGAGATGATCTCATTCTTAAGAGTAATGTTCTTCATTTCATCCACGGCCCATTTCGGGACCTTGCATTCTCTATGGGCCATAAGACGAACCTGTTCACTGAATTGAGATCCCAATACACTGATTTCATTGGTGATGGAAACAAAGTTGTCTCTGGTTGTGGGGTCCATGTTGATACCTGAACGCTCAAAGTCTTGCTTCAAATATTCCCCCACTTTGATTTCCTCTTTGGTCATAAGCTTGGTCAACTGTGGATCTTCTAGCGTGTCTCTAAGAGCTTCATAGAGGGGCACGTGCGTGTTGAGTTGGTTCATGAACTCAAACATTTTCTCATGGGTTTCCTGGGCCATAATCACATACTTTGAAGTTGGATGAACTACTCGGACAAATTCACATAGATCAATGACCCGACACAAAATGTCACTGAGTTGATCCAATCTCTTGACTATCTGTACTCTTTGTTGAGTTGTTCGGGCATTAACAATGGACTCTACTAAACTATGGGCTCTTTCCAATGAAGAATCAGCAAATTTCGGAAACTGGCGGACAGAAGTGGTCCAGGAGTTCCGGAAAAGACCGGAGTTCGTGTCTTTGCTACCTCTAAACTTCTCATAGAACCGATGATCATCAAAGACTTTGCGTAGAAGTTTATCGTTGGGTGTATCTTCAATCACGACAGTCTGAGATGACGATGCCCATCTCAAAGGACGCACTGCTGCAGTCGTCCAGGGTTGTCTTGGGAAATGTCTCTTTTGGATATTGACACCAACATATTCAACAAAATGTCGCCGACACACACCCCCAGCTGTATTTATCATAATCATCAGAAGAAGATGGTTATCAGGTGTGACTTTAAGCTTCCCCATAGACTTGTTCTTTATCACAGAATAAGGTACTGCAGTTAGTGAAATGGTATTATATACAGGAACCATAGTAACACCATTTTGATATCAGTAGTCGACATAATTGCAATGGATGTTGTCCATTGTACAGCCGGTATACGTCCATGCTAGTCCGATTAGTGGCGTGTTAGACCAGTGACAGTCAGCCGGTGACAGTCAGCCAGCGACAGTCAGCCAGTGGCAGACGAAGCGTAACAGTTAGACAAGATAAGTTAAGAAGGTTCTATGTGCAGGACACGAATAACTGATATAATCAAGTATAAGGCCAGCATTGAAGATAGTTATATGAATGATAGCAGAAGAGATCATCCTAGTAATGCTAGTAGTAATGACACTAGTAGCGCTGGGACTGATAACAGTAGTGATAGAGATTCGTTGGTACGCATAATGACATAATGACAGAAAGTCTCCTAAATGTCGCAAACGACACAAAATGGTATAACTAACAACAGCAGTTCGATACAGCTGCCGAGTAATCACCTACAGTATCACCAACTAAGGGGATAGCATTGTCTGCTAGTGCTTTCCATACTAGTACTCCATACTAGTACTCCATACTAGTACTCCATACGACTGTATCAATGTCACGATACGACGGCGGGCCTTCACCGACCAAAATGAACGTGTTGAGTAGATCGGTGCATGACTATCAATTTGGTAATAAGATCGGTGAAGGGTCATACTCCACGGTTTATTCTGCCATTGACATTCATACCAATAAGACATTTGCCATCAAAGTGCTTTCCAAGAAACATATCGTCAAGGAGAACAAGATCAAGTATGTGAACATCGAGAAGCAGACTTTACATCGGTTGGGTCAACAGCATCCCGGGATAGTTCAACTTTATTATACGTTTCAAGACGAGTCGTCATTATTCTTTGTGCTTGACTTCGCCGAGTACGGAGAGCTTTTATCAATTATACGTAAATATGGGTCCCTAAGTGAACAAGTGACTAGGTTCTATATGTGCCAGTTAATTGATGCTGTACTGTTCATTCATCTGAAGGGAGTTATCCATAGAGATTTGAAGCCCGAAAATATTTTGGTGGGGTACGATTTCAATCTTAAAATCACCGATTTTGGGGCCGCAAAGCTTCTTGACATCGATGAAGAACCTCAATCAGAGAATATAGACTATAGAGGATTAGACGAACTCAATGGGCCAGTTCCTTCAAATGATAGCAATACTGCCAATAATAATAATAGACGGGGGTCTTTTGTGGGGACAGCAGAGTATGTTTCACCTGAACTATTAAGAGATAATGTTTGTGGATTTGAAGCTGATGTTTGGGCTTTAGGCTGCATTTTATATCAATTCTTTAATGGGATTCCACCTTTCAAAGGAGCTACAGAGTATTTGACGTTTGAAAAGATTGTTCATGTCAATTATTCTTATCGTCAAAATTACCCTTTACCTCCGGGTGCGATTGAAATTATAGATAAGATTCTTGTGGATAATATAAGCAAGAGATTAACCATTGGACAATTAAAAGAGATGCCTTGGTTTCAAGGTATTCCATGGGATAATAAAGGGTACATTTGGAATCGTAAAGTTCCTCGGTTTGAACCGTACACCCCAACACCAAATCATAGTGGTGGATCTCCAATGGCACCAGCAGGATTGAAAAAAGCAGTTAATAAATCTGCTAGTTATCAAAAACTACATGCACAAATCCAAAATTCTTCAGATTATAGTTTTATTCCTGCTGTTGGATCTGCTAAAAGAGCGTATGCTCCTCCAACAATTATTAAAAAGAATCCCCAAATGACTAATAATAATAATAATGTTATGTCAAACAACTTTAAACCTTCAATTCAACCTATGCATCAATTTACACAGTCTCCTAAACATAAGCTTGGACCTGATCCTTTTAATCAACAAATGACCAACAACTGCAACAACAACGACAATAATCCTAGTAGTAATAAAGATCCTCCAAGTCCTCAAAAACCAGGTTCTAGGAATATAAGACATAAAACGGTATTTTCCAATGTTATACCACCACCAAACTTACAGAAATCATTACCTCCAATTGACCATTTGAGAATAGATAATACTACTAAGCAAAGGAGTCCACAGGCTGCTAAGGCCTCATCTTCATCTCAAGTCTCCAAAGCACCTGCGTCTCAGGTCCCCAAAGCACCTGCGTCTCAGGTCCCCAAAGCACCTGCGTCTCAGGTCCCCAAAGCACCTGCGTCTCAGGTCCCCAAAGCACCTTCTGAGCTTCCCAAAGCACCTTCTTCTGCGAAGAAATCAGTAGTAGCAGCAGCAGCTGCTGCTGGTGCTGTTCAACATCCGTACCAACAACTTAAACAGAATAGTTTTATTCCAGTTAAATCAGGCATTTCAAAGAACATTAAGCTTAAGGAGATCTCATCTTTGCTTGATGCCAATGAGAAGATCTTGAAGATGGACGTAATATTAAAGCTGGATTTAAGTCATAAGGTTGTGCATCGGAAACCCAATGAACCTTTAGGAGATTCTTCCATAGAAGCAATTATCAAGAAACATAAGAGTGAGTTAAAATCTCTGGCCAAACCAGTCATTACTGTCATCACGAACCATGCCCGAGTACTTTTCATTGATTCAACTTTATTGGTGATGTTGATAGATTTAAAGGCCAACCAAGGAGCTGATTATCTGATGTATGATTACGAATTCGAGTCACTTATGTTGAGTGATGACGAAAATGACCAGAGTGTCGAAGCCAACGGATACTTAATACTTGAGTTGAATAAAGAAGGTGGAGATTTGATCTTCTTAAAGAGAATTTTATCTGAAACCAAGTTAAAGGAAACAATTATGGTCGTGGATAAGAATGGGAAAGAACTTGTTCTTGGAGGCAACATTGGATGGATAGACTGTTTATTACTAGCTAAAGATATCATACAAAAGACTCCACAAGAGAAGCAGCAGTCCAAGAGCAACTCCACCAACAGTAACAACGTTGTACCCAAGCCCAAAACAACTACTACTACCACTACTACGACTAAAAAGACATCTACAAACGATGGGAATACCAGATCCAAGTCTCCACTGCTAATGACACCTCGAATGGCCCAAAATAGCTCTAATTCGAGCTCCAATGGTCTGGGATCATCGTCATCTATGAGTAAGTTTGCCTATGCCGCAGCAGCAGCAGCTCATAAATATTAAGCAATTTGCTTATGACTATATACATAAAATACCTGTCTTGGTACGTGCTACTACTGTTGGAGACTCTTTTTAAACTCTTCAATCCAATGGCCGTAGTAGCACTTCTGGTTCAAGATCTCTTCCGTCAGACCTCTGATGATGGTCTCAATGTTTCTTTCATTAAGCACCCAATTGTCTATCTGATCACATTGGGAATACTGTGACTGCAATTGCTCGTTATAGTTTTTAAGAGCATAGGGATCAGTACGTAAGTCAAAGTCTGATTCTGTTCTATGCCCGTTGTTGTCTCCTTCAAGCTTTGAACTGTCTGACGTCTGTCTGAGGAACAGAGCATAATCGGAGCAGTATTCAATGGCATGGCTTCTTTCCTTCCAAGCAGGTACTATGACAGTTTGAAAGTACTCATTACAAGCTGAAGGTTGTATTTCATTAAGATGTTGTCTTATGGTATCGTCAGTGGCGAGTCTTGAAAGCCGTAAGAAAGCTCTGATTCTGGTGGACGACTTGCAATTGTCCGGGGATAGCAACGAAGCTTCTGTTTGATTAGTAAGCATATTAAGTATACACAATGGTAATACAATCAGTGGTTATAGTAACAAGTTGTAGTAGAGGGAATTTCCAGTTGCCACTGTATGAGTTCCTGATACACTTATTTTACTCTTTGCACGACTTTGAAGTTTTGTTTTTCCGCACTAAGTTACACAAAATCGTTTTCAGATCTGCGGAGCTAAAGTATAATTTTGTTTCCATCATTACTACCAAGCATTCTCTTGATCATTCACCACTATAGCAGCCATGGATCAGCAAAAGCACACTATGGCCTTCAGGTGGGCTTATTCATTGGCTATTAAGAAAATGTGGACAGATTTTGTTGCCGCCACGGGACCCAATCCACTCTTCAGCCTGACATCCACTATGGATAGACAGATCATGGTTCTAACAGTTGGTGAGTTCCTTAATCAAGTGTCCAATAAATGGCTTACACTGTATGTTGATTCGTTGGGAAGTCCTAGAATAGAATCGGTGATACGTCGTTTTGAAGACGTGTTGGTGTTTGATGCGTTGGAGTGTCCTTCTTTAGAGGACCTTTTGAAAGAGGTGGAGTCATCAAGTTACACGTCATATATTGATAGTATTAAGGCGAAGGAATTAGAGGAGTCATTTGGTGAGATATTGTTATCAATGAATGTGTCTACTCTTCCCTTTCAACTGTTGCTCATAAGATATTTAGAAGGCTCACTACTGGAGATGGAGATCAGTTTATCTTCAACCCTTGAAAATGGAGTCCGTAGTCTCATTGAAACCTTTAAGCAGCAGCAGCAAAGTGTTGCTGTTGATGATTATTTCGAAGAGTTTCTGGAAGCCTTGGCTATGACTTGCAAGGTGTGGCGAAGTCCTTCTTTAGTATCAAGTAGGGTTAAGAAACTCCGAGAATTGGGTAACAATTTGATGTCTAACCTGAGTTTAGCTCATGCCATTCAAGTTTATACTACAGCTATTGATTGTGCCACATCTGCTGAAGATACCAGTCAAAAGGCTCAATTAATTACTAATAGAGCTATTGCTTATCTTGGGTTAAATTGTAACCGAGAAGCAACAACTGACTTGGCCAGAGCATTGGATAGGGATAAATCGTTTGTTCCAGCTTGGACTCAAATGGGCTACTGTCAGTTGTATATGGGTAAGGGGATGCTTGCATTGCGCTGTTATGTTATGGCGTTGAAATATTATACTGGAGCCAAATTACCTCTGTTTCTTGAAGCATGCAATGATGATGATGAATTGGTTAAAACTTACAGATTGAAGAGGAAACAAGAATTGTTGCCTCAATTTGTTCAGAAGTTAATCCAAGGTATCACTCTTGCTGAAAGACGTTCTCAACAACAAGGTGATGATAGACTGGAAATCGATTCTATTGTTCAAGATGCCATTCGAGTATTGGATAGGTATAGAGAGACAGTTTCTCCTGAAAATGATCACTATTTCCAATACGTTTCGTTAGTTGATCCTGGTCTGAGAAGTCTTATGGCTCGTGCCAATACACAAGCTCCAAATATCTTTACTCCAGAGGTTGAACAAGCTAGTTTGGGCGCCAATACTATGGAAGCGGTTGCCATTACTACCACAAGTCCATACACCCCTTTGGCATTTCTGCCCAGGGGTCCTACAGCAGCTAACAATACTGCAACAACGGGCACGGGTCCAGACCTTCCTGTAGACACTTCCAGAGTCATCAATGGTATTCCAGATGCACTTTTTGGGGCTACCCGAGCCGCAAGAGATGCCGAAACAGCAAGATCAACTACCAATACCACAACTACTTCAGGTGGTACTCCCATTGGAGCAGCAGCGGCAGCAGCGGCAGCAGCAGCAGCCGCAGCATCTACATCAGCAGCAAGCGGACTGGAATCAGGTACTCAAACTACAGATAATGCAAACGGACACCAATCAACTAATGCCATTGGAAATGTTATTGTTGATGCTTTGAGCAATTTCATTAGAAGCGTACCAGCTAATTCTATTGCTCAAACTTTAGGTGGGGAGAATGGGTCTATTTCATTTGGTCCAATTACAATTACCAGCACTGAACCCACGGGACTAACAACAACTACAACTACAACAACTACCAACAATACCAATAATGCTTCAAATGAGGATACAGATATGACAGAAGCTTTGAATGATGATTTAGATTAAAAATCTTTCCAATAATTGAATGTGCATTATACTTGAAACAAAAATCTTATAGACAAAGGGTGATAAAAACGTAAGCCAGAGCACTTAAGGTGCTATCAGATTAAACTATGTCAATCCTATATGGAATGAATGCTAGATGAGGATCATTGATGAGAGATTGAAGAAAGCTTATTTCTTTTCCTTCTTTTCCTTCTTTTCCTTCTTTTCTTTCTTTTCTTTCTTTTCCTTCTTTTCCTTCTTTTCCTTCTTTTCCTTCTTTTCTTTCTTTTCTTTCTTTTCCTTCTTCTTTGAAGGTTCAGCTTCTTCTGAATCTTCATCCCTCTTTCTCTTCTTGTCCTTCTTTTCCTTCTTGTTGACTTCAATTTCTTCAGTTTCAGAAGATCCAGATCCAACAGCGGCATCGGCGTCAGCATTATAAGTCTTTGACTCAGTGATATCAACCGTTGGAGTTTGTTTACTAACTCTTGGAGTTGTTCTCAAGTCTCTACCTTCCAAATCACTTAATCTTGATTCCACCTTGGCTCTACATTCCAAACCCAAGTCACCGTTATCGTCACGCTCTTCAGCAAAACAATCATATCTTAAGGAAACAGCAGCCTTTGCAGCCAAAACTCTGGCTATTCTACCCTTGTTCTTACCAGAAGCTTGACCAACCAAAGAAGCATGATATAATAAACCGTATTTTGGTGTATCATGTTTAGTCTTTAAAGCTCTAAATAAGGCCTTTTCAGCTCCCAAGATTTGAATAGTGGAAGCAGGAGCCTTTGCCAATGAAGTTAAAGAACCAGCATGGGCAATTAATCTTGCACCAATCAAATCACCAACTAAAGTTGTTAAATTAGGAGCAATGGCCTTCATACGAGATGTCAAATAATTTGATAATTGATCTCTATAAGTTGCAAAGTCAACAATCTGTTCAGCCAAAGATTTGATATTATCCAAATCTTCATTTGTTATTTCAGTACCCATAGAGATTTCAGCAGCAGATTTAACTTGTTCTTCCATCTCTTCAGGTAATATTTCAGTCAAATCAGTTTCAGCAGCATTTGATCTAATACCCATAGTTAAAATGATTCTTGCGTAAGCCACGTTATCGGTGATGATCTTGGCCAATTCCGGGAAATGCCAACCGTACCATTCCTTACATCTCATGGCATAAGTATTCAATTCTTTGTCCAAATCATCCAATAAGGCAATAGCTTGAACAATCATGGTATCCACCTTATCAGCTGAGAACTTCAACTTATGACGACCAATGGAATGAGCCAAACCTAATGACATTTGTTTCAAAGTACTGTCATCTAAACCAGGTAACAACTCAGGTAAGAATTCCTTAATGGCTCTATGTAAATCTAAAGTGGCAGCATCTGCTACAACAGATAAGTTTAATCCCAATTTATTGATGGCATTACCTAATTTTGCTTCAGACACAATTAAAGTCAGTTTTTTATCAGTTTTGATGTCTTCCAATAATTTCTTCAAGTTATCAGACACCTTACCTTCAATAACAGAATTAGCTTCTTCTAAAGCATTAGCAGCAGAAGTAAACTTTTCAAATCGGTATACTTTGAATTGTTCAGCAACTTTGTTGGCGGTGTTCAAATCGTCAATCAAGCTCGATGACTTGTGGATCTTTTTGTCCGCTGACTTCAAGAGGGCGTACCCTGCAGCTGTTTCGGTAAGAATGTAAGCCATGGTTGGATACTCACTAATCAAGTTGAAGAAAAGTATATTATTATTATTATTATAGTAAGAGAGAAGGAACGATGGAGGGTCGATGAGATGGAAAATTTTCAGATGGGGGCCTTGTGCAGAATGGTAGCGCAGAGAAATTCCCGATGAGATATGTTTTGTGTAACACGTAAACTGGGGCTACCCATATGGTGGGGGCACGCAGATCATAGGAATTGATTCACTTAGAGATTTGGATGCTAAAAGCTATAGCACAGTAACTTCTTCTTGGTATATATATAACTATATATACATGTGCATAGAATCCGGGTCACGGAACAAATGCTATGGAGAAACGGAGTTTGAGTCTATCTCCGCAGAAACCCGTAAAGAAATCAAAAGCAGCCAGTGAGAAGCGTACGCGTTATTTCTTTGCACCTATTAACACTATAGTAGGAGGAGGAAGTAATCGAGTTAAGGAAGAAGAAGGAGGAGGAGGCAGCAAAGAAACAGAGTGCAAAGCCACATCAGCATCAACAAGAACAAAGGATAACTATGAAAAGTTGGTCAAGGCGTTGCAAAGCTCAGACGACAGTTTTGATGGCATTAGATGGAAACAGAGTCCGAACAGGAATGAAGTAGGTGATACTAATTCCAGTCCTTTGAATAAGGGGACTATTGAAGTGATTAACAATAGCAATAACAATAACAATACCAATATTTCACAAGCATTGACGAATGATATGATGTTCCATAAGTATGGGTTTGGGTTCTCCAATATTGGAGGGGGAGGACATGAGCTACATCATGTGAATAAGCTGGATCGTAAGACTAAACTGTATAAAGAAGAAAGTAGATCTAATGGGGGAAGTTTGAAGAATTGGTTGACTAAGTTGGAAGAGAGTAACCAACATGAGGAGGTCAAATCAGCGCCAACAGATTCCATAAATAGCATATTATTAGATGATATGAGTTTTGGAGATTTCAGTGATTCTACCAACAATTGTTCTTCACCATTGAAGGCAGCTAACTTACAACAACAACAAACAGACACAGATGATGAAGATTCCTCTGATTTCTCCAATAATAGTGAACTAGATCAGCTTCTACTGGGGAGTATTCCTTCTCAAAAACGCCCAGTGTTGAACAAGACGTCGTTGTCGTCGTCGTCGTCGTGCGATCTTGAAAGAGCTCGTTCATTCCATGATGGTGTGAAACGGTTTGAACAACTTCAACTTGCTTCTTTCAACGAAAAAACTTTGGACTTCACTCCTGAAATATCCTTCCATAGAGAAGGGTTTAACAGATACCAAATCAAAAGCATCACTACATCCTCATATACTTTCCAAAATCATAAGAGAGATCAACTTGTTTTGGATATCATAAACTCGGAAAAGAAAACCCGAAAACTCTTGCTAAGAGGTCAATATTTAAGTCTTAGTTTTGAGGTTAATGACATTATTCACGTTATAATAACTGATCCCATGCATCCAAATCTTATTGATGACGAGAAAAATCTTTTAATCTGGCATCCAGACGTTTTGATTTCAGCAACAACAGTGGCAGAACTGCTTTACTGTGAACGGAAGACCATTTTAAAATCCAGATTCACATTTCCTGGTGAAGTTCTACCAGTTCTAATAATTGGAATCATCACTCATCGAATATTTCAAGATTGCATTATGAATGGGGTGTGGACTAATGAATATATGAATTCTTTACTTGATGAAGAAATAGAAAATTATTTGGAGCAAATATTCACCATTGATTCCGATGTCAATATCGTCAGAAATGAAGTGACAGCTTGCTTTCCTTATTTAGAATCTTGGTTTCAAAAGTATTATAAGACACAGCCTTCAAGCTCTATACCAAAATCAGGTGGTAAGCAAGTGAAATTCGCCTTAGAGAAAGCTATGGCTGTGGAAGAAAATATCTGGTCTCCAATGTATGGTATCAAGGGAATGGTGGATGGTACCTTAATGGCAAAGGTAGACGACGGTTCATATTTGTTACCTATGGAGATTAAAAGTGGTCGACCTAATATTTCCCATTTGGCCCAATCGTCACTTTATACTCTTTTATTCGCAGATCGTTATGATGTTGATGTGAAGGGGTTTCTATTGGTGTACACGAAGGAGAAACTAACCAAGTATGAAGAGACAAGACATTCAGACTTGAAGTCATTAGTGAATCTTCGGAATAAATTGGCATTATTCTTTAAATCTGACATTGAAAAGTATCCGGGGTTATTGAAACTGTCATTATGTGATCGCTGTGAGGTACAATCTTATTGCATGACCATAAATAAACTATCTGAAGACGGTACTGCCGAATTAAGTGGCATTGACAGTTCTTTATATGAGAGTCTAACGGAACATTTGAATGATAAACCTTTATACAAGCAATTCTACAAACATTGGATTGATCTTATAAGCAAAGAAGAGTTTCATATGTGGAAAAGTCAAAGGGACTTATGGCAGATGACAGCACAAGATAGAGAAGCCACTGATGGCAAGGGCATTGGAGGATTAAAGATTACTGGCTGTGTTCAATCACCACCACAAGAATTTAACTATACCTTTATGAGGCTTGATAAGTCTGCGGACCGGAGTTTCATGGCTTCACAACTCCTGAAAACAGACAAGATTATTATCAGTGATGAGAAGGGTCACTTTGGACTTGGCCAGGGGTTTGTCTCTAAAATAGGAAGAGATTTTATTGTTGTAACCACACGAAGACTGTTATTTAATACAGAATATAAGGAGGAACATAAAGGTGAACATACCATTACAACCTTAACTCAATCTCAGGTTCGAACGCCATTCCGAATAGACAAAGATCCTGTTTTCCATGGGTTAGGCTTGGCTAGATTCAACATCCTTAACTTATTCACTTCAGATGGAGATTCCAAAAGACGTTCACTGATAGTTGAATTACAGAAGCCCGTTTTCGATGAAGCATTAAGTGTCACACCACCTGAGGGCCTCAATAAAGCACAGGGAGAAGCATTCAATAAGGTGATCACCTCAAAGGATTATGCGTTGATCTTAGGAATGCCAGGAACGGGCAAGACAACAGTTATTGTACATTTGATCAAGTACCTTGTGAGTCAAGGAAAGTCCATTTTATTGACTGCCTATACTCATTCAGCAGTTGACAATATTCTTTTGAAGATAATTGGAGATGATGATGTTGATAATGATGAGGATGGAATAGACATTTTACGGGTTGGCCCAGTATCAAGAGTCCATACTAAAATCCAACGGTTCGTCCTCAACTCAAATGAAAAAACCAAAGTCGATTCTTATGAGAGCTTCCAACGATTCTATCTCAAGCCTTTGGTAGTAGCCACAACTTGTCTTGGGGTTTCAGACTTGACATTCAACATGAGACGCCAATTTGACTATTGTATTATCGATGAAGCATCCCAAGTGTCTTTACCCGTAAGCATAGGTCCATTAAGGTTTTGCAAGACATTTGTGTTGGTTGGCGACCATTTCCAACTTCCTCCGTTGGTACAACACCCGAATCCTCAGGTTAGAATGGATCTCTCCACTTCACTATTCAAGTTACTAGCCACCAAGCATCCGGAGAGTGTGGTGGAGCTCACACAGCAGTATCGGATGAACCAAGATATCATGAAGCTTACCAACGTTTTGATCTATGAACACAAGTTGAAATGTGGTTCAGAAGCTGTTGCTTCAAGGCAATTGGAAATTAAATGTCCCCGGAAAATCGATACCAATTGTGCATCTACGAGCAAAGCTGATCAATGGTTTGAGTGGATCACAAATGTCAAGAATAGTGTTCTCTTTTTAGACCATGATCTCAGTGGTGCATGTATGGAGACCAAGCTTGGCGATAAGATAGAAAACCCTGGAGAGGCTCTGTTGATCAAGCAAATAGTCATGGGCCTAGTTTCATGCGGAGTTAGACAGCAAAGTATTGGGGTCCTTTCGTTGTACAGAGCACAACTTCGGCTTTTAAAGAGAGACTTGAAGTCGTACCCTGAAGTGGAGATCTTGACTGCTGATCAATATCAAGGTAGAGATAAAGATTGCATTATCATTTCACTTGTTAGATCCAATACTGAAAAGACAGTAGGAGATTTACTTCAAGAATGGAGAAGAGTTAACGTTGCTATAACCCGAGCGAAGAGTAAGCTTGTGATATTGGGGTCAAGATCCACATTAATGGGGTGTCAAACAACCAAAGCTTTTGTCCAATTACTTGAAGATAACCACTGGGTATATCAATTACCATCTAATGCAAGTACGGTCTACTCGTTTGAGTCTTCGTCACAACAACCATGAACCAGAGTCTAATAGTCATTATATTATTGGTCTATATTATCAGAGAGCAACAAAATGGACTTGGAAATCAACATTTGCATTAGGTTGATCACCATTCTGTCGACGTCTGATCATCTGGAGAGAAAGCATGGAAAGAATACCAATAATAAAAAGTATCAAGAACCATTCTCCGCCATCATCATTGTCATTGTCAAAATCATCACCATCATTACCGTTGGCATCATTTTGATGGAACTCATCACCACGAGGTTGAGTTTCTACAACCACACTATCTGGCTGAGAAAATAAGGCACTCCACCATGAAGAGCTTTTGTTCAGATCATTCTTGGTGCTGCTGAAGAAATGCTTTAGACGAACTCGAAGTAACGCCAAGTTCACGGGGATTGTATTGAGTTGGGTCTTCTGCTCGTGAGATCTTCTATTTATATGGTAGAAGCATTCATCATAGTTCCTTTTGGCCATACTGTAATCCACAGTATTATTAGCAGGACCATAACCATACTCATACATGTATCCCAAATTGAAGAAAGCATGAGGTGAACCCAATTTGGCTGCTAAGGTATAATAGGAATAAGCCTTATGATGGTCAACGGTTATGTTTGCTTCTTCATATCCATTATGGAAAATATCTCCCAATAAGATAGTCGAGTCTACATCGAGTCTCGAAGAAGCCAATTCAAGGTATTCCATACCTGCTAGAAATCTTGCTTGTTGTTTAGTGTCCATTTTGGGAGTAGAATGTTTCATAACTTGATTAGACATTGGTCTTTCAGGCATAAGAAGTGTGGCTGCAGAGATTTGAGCATAAAGCATTCCTTGTTCAGCAGCTATCAGATACCCCAATAGGGCATTTTTGAAGTTACCCAACATCAATTCGTTCAAGGCGTAATCCAATGAAGGCATGAATAATCCCGTTTCCAAATTAATGATTCTAAAATATTGAGCACAGAGTACTTCACAAAGTTGCTTGGGGGTTGAACTACCTGGGGCCAAGGACCCCAATTCCCAATACTTATTAATTTCATAAAGAGCTTTTGAGTTAGAATATTGATTTCCACTGGGTAAGTTTATAATTAACTCCAATTGTTTCTTTGCTTCTTCAAATCTTGATAACGATCTCAATATCTTATACACGGCCAAGTACCCGTCCACTGATTTGGAAGCATTATAATGTTCAATTGCCAATTCCAAGTCTGGGTCTTGATGATTGTCAATGATTAAACCGTTTTCATACATATTCCCCAATTCAAAAGATCCAATAGTTGACAGAGAAAGCAACTCATAGGCAACCCCAACATCCTTTTCAACACCCCAACCATTTAAATGCATTACTCCAATATAATAATTACACCGATTAATCAAGGGCTTGTAAGAATGTGAATCATTGGAAACCTCATGGGCAGCACACCTTCGGAAACACTTAAGGGCTTTGTCATAGTCACTATGTCTCAAGAAATCACCTCTAAAATACAAGAGTCCAGTGATATACAATTCTGCTAGTAGATGAAGTTTGGGATCGTCAGTTGAATCTTTATATTTATCCAAGGTATTCATGAGAGCGATTTCATCTATCTCATAACTTTTAGGAGATTCACTTAATTCAGATCCAAACATACCACCTTTAAAATCAGCTATACTGATATCATACTGATTGGCATATCTGTTATTAGTGGATTGGATCTTAAGATAATCATTCCATTTCTCCTGTACTGCTCGAGAGTAGTACAAATGGGCTACTTGACAATCTGGAACCACACCCAACCCATGATGATACCGATATGCCAAGGTTAAAAGAGCTTGAGGATCACCGTTCTCAAAGGCGATGGTATAATGAAGGATAGCCAATTCTTTATTTTTAGGAATCAAATCAAATAACCCCGTGGAATAAATGAATCCAAGCATGAAATTGGCATGACCATTGGCAGAAATCGTACAGGCTTCCTGATAGAGTTCAAAAGCTCGCAGATAGTTGGTGGGTACCGAATAGTTACCAAACATATAAATGTCTGCCAAATCAACTATGGCTGGAGCAAATCTCTTGGTGGCTAAGGCTTCTAATTGTGGTAGCACACTGTTCAAGACTGTATCATTGATATTGGTCGTATGGCCTTTGACAGACTTATAATCTTCAATTGACGAATCATATGGTGGGATTTGGAACGAAGTCTCAAAGTTATCTCTGTTGAACACCTTGTTGTTGACGTCATATTTCGAAGGCACTTGCTTCATGGTTAATATGAGCTTCTCATATTGTGATTGGAGCTGCAGTTGATCCCATTCATCATTGGCTGCTCCCACTGCCACTACTAGTAGTAGTGGTAACGCTAACCATTCATTAGCTAGCTGCTTCCAACGCATTGAGACCACTAAGGTAACACTATTGAAGACGGCAAACAAGGCTATTAAGTTAACCAGTTGACACCTTTTGGTGTTAACTATATAGGATATACTTGGTATGTACACGCACTCCGTGAGAAATGTATGGTAGCGCTTTATTTTTCGTTAGCGATTGCGTTAGATGGTAGCGCAGTGGTTGACGTTATATAATTTCACACACTGTACAAAGCAAACACGTACCTTTTCTTTACACACAGCCTACTATATTTACAGGTTTATATATTAGTAATATCAACAGTGGAATAATGCCAATACTGTTAGATTCACACAGTAAAGGTCCCGGAGCTTCCAGCATCCAAAACTCGGAAGCGATCTTCCGGTCCGCTCCTATGGGATTGGTCCAGTTCTATGTCACCATTGAATTGGCTCGAGATATGGTGTATGCGTTAGGGAAGACGGGGAGTGTTCATTTCCGGGACTTGAACCTGAAGCTTACGCCCTTCCAAAGGACGTTTGTCAATGAGATACGGAAGCTAGACGCCACCGACTCCCAATTGAGTCATCTAAGATACATTATCGATAAACATGGAGTAGGCAAAGGCGATCCCTACTACAACTTGGATGAAGACAGCATAGGGTTACCTACGTCATCGGAGATGGACGGACTTCGGAGCCAAGTAGCGGAGTTCTATGACCGGGCCAAGCAGTTGGACGAAGCGTATAACCAATTGGACAGTCAACGGTTGGCCTTACAGGAGAATAAGTATGTTGTAATTGCCGTTAATGATTTCCAAAAGTCGAGCTTATTGGGGGGAGGAGACGAGTATCGTTCCCGGATGTCTCTGTTTGAAGATATTCCTGAAGAGGCGGCCAATTTGTTGAACAGTTCCAATACTAATGTGTTGATGGAGGAAGGCATGGCAGGAGAGGCCACACTGATGGAAGAGTTTGGGTTTAATATGGTTGTTGGTTCCTTGGCCAGAGAGAAGGTGTCTATATTGCGGAGCATCTTATGGAGAACCACTAGAGGGAATATGTATTTCAAGGACATTCCCATGGAGGACGAAGAGTTCAATGGTGGTGGGTCTACAGCCGACGAAAAAGTCTACAAGAATGTGATTCTTGTGTATGTTCATGGTGAGTATTTAAAGCTGCGGACATTGAAGATCATTGCGTCGTTGAATGGTAAGGTCTTTGATAACGTTCGAGGTGGGACGTCTGTAAGGTTGCAGACGTTGGACGAACTCACACTGAAGATAGGAGATTTAAATACGGTGATTGAAGAGACTTTGAACCATTTACGTACGGAGTTGACTCTACTACAAGATTCATTTGCTAAGTTTGCGTATATCATTAAACGAGAGAAAATGGTGTATGATACTCTCAACATGTTTGATCAAGATAGTACCAGAAGATGTTTAGTGGGGGAAGGTTGGATACCTAAAGCTGAATATTGGTCCACCCGTCAAATCATCAAGAACTTGGTACGAGATAAAACAAGCAGATCTTTGATTGGAACAGAGTTCGATCTGATAGAGTCAATTGAATTAAATGATAATAATGTTAGTGGTAGTGAGCTAATAAGAGGTCCTTCTTTGGTTAATATAGCAAATGATAATCATTTGTTTGTGTTAGGGAATGATGATGAAGATCACAGTGTGAACCCACATAATAGATATACTCCTTTTGATGATGATACTGATGAGGATTACAGTACAAGTCTTGTGGCCGTTATGAATGAATTATCAACTAACAAAACTCCACCTACTTACCATAAGACAAACAAGTTCACTTCGGCTTTCCAGCTGATCATTGATGCCTATGGAATAGCCACATACCAAGAGGTCAATCCGGGTTTAGCTACCATTATAACTTTCCCATTCATGTTTGCCATTATGTTTGGTGATTTGGGACATGGGTTTATACTTTCGTTGATGAGTTTATATCTTGTTTCCAACGAGAAGGCTTTTGGTCTGATGAGGAATAAAGATGAGATTTTTGAAATGGCTTTCAACGGTAGGTATATTTTACTTTTAATGGGGATTTTCTCGATGTACACTGGGTTCATTTATAATGATATTTTTTCCAAATCAATGACTATATTTAAGTCTGGATGGGCTTGGGAATTTCCTGAAGGGTACTCATATGCTCGTGATGGTGCAATTACTTTAATAGCTAAGAAAATTCCAGGAAAGACTTATTGGATGGGACTTGATTGGGCATGGCATGGAGCAGAGAATAACTTACTATTCACAAATTCTTATAAGATGAAACTATCGATTTTGATGGGATTTGTTCATATGAATTACTCTCTATTCTTCAGTTTGGTCAATTATCGATTCTTTAAATCCAAAGTCGATATTATTGGGAATTTCATACCAGGATTTTTGTTTATGCAAAGTATCTTTGGTTATTTAACCTTAACCATTATATATAAATGGTCTGTTGATTGGCTTGGGAAGGGCTGGCAACCTCCTGGATTGTTAAACATGTTAATCAACATGTTTCTTTCTCCAGGTAACATCGAAGAACCATTATATCGAGGTCAAAAGTATATACAGTTGGTTTTGGTGGCCATAGCCTTAATCTGTGTTCCTTGGTTACTCTTGTATAAACCATTGACATTGAGGAAACAGAACAAACAAGCCATTGAATTGGGATATTCCGATCTTCGGTCACAAATGTCCCATAACCTTCAAATGCATGAAGAGGAGGAAGCAATTAATTTTGAAAACAATATACCCCAAGAAGATTTAGACTTTGAAATCTTAACTGACGATGATGAGAACAGTGAGTTCAGATTCCCCAACGACATAGAGCAAATGCACCACAGTGCTCATGGAGGAGGGGGTGGCCATGGTGGAGGTGACTTTAACTTTGGTGACATTGTCATCCATCAAGTCATTCATACAATTGAATTCTGTTTGAATTGTGTTAGTCACACAGCATCTTACTTGAGATTATGGGCCTTATCTTTAGCCCATGCTCAATTGTCGTCGGTGTTGTGGTCAATGACCATTCAAAATGCTTTTGGAACCACAGGAACCAAAGGAATCTTTATGACGGTGGTGTTATTTGGCATGTGGTTCCTGTTAACAGTTTGCATCTTGGTGTTGATGGAAGGTACATCTGCCATGTTACATTCTTTAAGATTACACTGGGTTGAAGCAATGTCCAAGTTCTTTGAAGGTGAAGGCTATGAATATCAACCTTTTACTTTTAATGCCATTGACCTTTAGAATAAATGATAGGGCTTAACATATATGAAGGTATTAAGAGCGATACCAATTAACGTTTTTGGTAAATTTGAACTCCGACCACCAAAGTGTCTCGTAAACACAATGTTTTTTTGGACGAAGAATTTTCAACGATCATTGTTACCTTTATTGGTGGGATATTTTCCTAATCCATAAAAATGCCTTAAAGTAATATATAATAGCCTTTATATATTTTAGTAAATGAATTTTCCACAGTAATGTCTGTTTCTGCCTTTCTCTCTGTTAACTATCTAATGTATTTTTCCGTTTTCGGCTGAAATATATACCTGTTCACCTTAAGTTCGCTCCTGCATGCACGTTTTTTTTGCACGATGCATATGCAATAGAATTGTCCTGTATATGTGGCTTGCAGTAATTTGCCATGTTCGCTGCACAGTAAATCTGTGTAAATAAAATTGTCGGAGGGAAATATTTCATATTGTTTAGACATTTCTATCAAATGAGTTCGTTCTATAAACCAATTCATGTTGTTAAAATTCAAACGTAGACGCAAGAGTAAGCAGCTCCATGTACTTCGTGTTGACGTCAACTGAAACGAGAGTAATACGTGTTCTGTCATTTATGGGACTCCTCTTGGGACGTTTTTTTTGCAACCATATTAACAAAGCACACACACCAAAAACAACAGAAGCCAGGCTTAGCAAGGTACCCACGAATTACACCAAGTAATTATAACTATCATTATTTCATTATAGTGAACATTTCTAACTTTGATATTTGGCATTCTGTAGGCAAAGACCTTGTATGCCATAGAACTTGGTAGTTGCAGTGTGCGTTCAGACGCAGCTATTTTTATTTTTTTTCTGTTCTCAATTACCGCACTTGAGATAAGGTCGTAATCAAATACTTATTTGGTGTGGCTTAGATTTGAGACATACTATATTTTTCAGACATTAAAGTATAACCGTGTTATAGACAAATTGATAATAGTCATAAACTTTAACAAAGCGACAAAAATATAAGGGTTCATTTACGAACATGAACAATTCAGAACTCAATTGGGACAGAGATTGTTTTAAGTGAGAATGAACATACAATAATAACCAACGGTGTTAAATTAAATTTTCCGTCGTAGTGAAAAGTTAACAAAGAATAATAAAGACTCTATAAAATTGACCGAAAATTATACACCGAGGCAATTAATTGTGCTAATCATCTAATTGGATGGATTTAAATGCAGTTAACCGTCTTTGAACCTCATCTAAAGTCCATGGACGTTGTCTATTTCTCATTTTTGTCTGCAACTTTTCTTTTATGGTTTCCACTGGTACGGCCTTCTTTGCTGCCTCTTCTTCGATAAATTTGATGATTTTCATTCTTGTATGTCGAAATTGTCTTTCAGAAGATCCATGCGTTTTAAGCCACTCAGTTACGGAAATATTATTATCTTTCAACTCCTTTTCTAAAGACTTGAAATCATCCCACATCTCGTATAAAGTGGTTGCTTGTCGTGATAATCTTCTTCGTAGTGCTCTGTCTCTTTTTGTCTGGTCTTTGGAAATCCGATTCAAGAAAATTGGTGCTATTCTGTTTTCCGTTACCAAGTTATTCGCTGATGTACTGGCGCTCGGGCTTCCTCGCAGTATGACTTTGACTTTTTGTTCTTCCATAGTAACGTCTTCCATGGTGGCATCATATGTAGTTCGACTGCTGGATCGGGAATAATCTGTAGTCAGCTGTAAGGGATTATTGGCCAGCAAGATACCGCTTTTCGTAGACTCTCCACTGACATCGTCGGTACTCGGTGTCACTAAGGCTCCTCCAACCTGTGGATTTATTATAGGCCTGGTTTCAGTTGAACTCCACTGTCCTTTCAATTTGCTCAATGTCTCGTTAATCATGTCTGCGCCTGAATCACAACAATTGGATTCAAACAAGTCTAACGTATGAATTATGCCGGAGATGCTTTGTCTTACAATTCCACTGTTTCCAGAACTGAGACTTGTAAGAATGGAAAGCCCATTGACCGAATTCCGCAAGTTATTAATGTACATGGTTAGAAGATTCTTGATCTTTGTTTGATGCTCCACAAGACGTTCAAGTTCTGCCTTAATGAACCCCAAATCTGGTCCTGAAGTCGAAAGGGGGAAGGCTTGAGTGTGTTGAGCCATATCTTGCTTTTCTAAGAAGTACAATGATGATGTGAATGTTTCCCTTATGAAGCTTTCTCTCTCCATGGCAAAGGCATTGAATTGGCTGGAGTTGAAGATCGGATGAAGGGAAAGAGGATGACCAGGGTATTTCTTCTTGATGTAGAGCATATCTTGAATCAAGACAATTTTCAAGAAATCCAACACCTCTTTGAAATTAGAGTCGTTATTATTATCTGGAGACTTCAAAAAGGGAAAGATTTCATCCAGTATGCTCGATGGTATTTCCCCTATTGATTGTCTTTCAAGAGGATCTCTTGAACCAAGCCCTGCTCTCTGATGAAGCACTTCCCAGTCAAAGCTGTACAAGTCGTTCAGAATGGGTTTGGCCGAGGAGTCGGTGTTGCAGATGAGTTTATTCAAGTTGACTTTGGAAGCATCGAGTTGGCTCAATTCCAACACTCGGAGGGAAGATTTATGCTGTTGACTGTAGGAGATGTTGGCCAACTTGTTATTCCCCTTTAAGAGTTTGGTTTCGTTGAAGTCATAGAGCTCAATTGAGCCGTAGTCGTCTCCAATATGGAACCTCAGAAAGAGATAGATGGCTATAGCTGAGATAGGACAGAACTCAATCACTTGGTGTCTTAAACATCCATAATAAACTTGCTGGTTTTCATAGTTAGTACGTAGTACAAACACAGTGTCATTATTGTCATTATTCATGACAAGCATATCACTAAATTTGACTTCCCGTTTCTGTAAGTTCTTGAGGCCCATTGCATGAGTGAGATGAGAATCCACTAGCGTTCTGAGCATCTTGTGCACCTGGGTCGGATCATTTAACTCAGCCGATTCCCAAGTGGGTCTCACAAGCATATAGTATTCTCGTTCCGTATATAGAATAGTGCTTTTTTGTTGTGGTGAGCCGCCTTCACCATCAGACATAGCACTCCCAATGTTCAGTACTACAATTGTGGGAAATATGATAAATGCAAGCCTAGTAGTGTCAGAGTCCTCTCCGCTTTCAGGTTGGAATCAATTAGTTGCAACTCCATTCGAAGAGGACCAAAGAAAAGTTAGATGGAATTGAATTGTTGATTTGGGTGCCGCCGTGTGTAAGACTAAATGACGACACTTGTAATTATTGTAAATAGAATGAAGTTGCTTCAGATAAAAAGTAACAGAATTAAGGGAAGCCGTTGCCCACAATAATCTTCTCTCACTAATAGATGGGGAAACGGTGATGGTATTTTTGGAAATGAACGCTTTTATAAACCTTCTTCCTCCCCCCAAAAAAAAACGATCCAGGTAGTACTATTAAAGTGAGAGCTTGTCTCTTTCAACATAACAGTAAGGCTTGTTTTTAACAAGCTGCATGTCCAGGTCGCGTCGGCAAGCTTATTACAGTACAAGTAGGGGACGAACAATCTCTGTAGGAAAGTTGCAGAAGATATGACGGTTTGTGCTACGTACGGACTGCAGATGTGCATTTAGCCATTGGTTCCACAATACTAAGACACCTTGATCAGACAGATGGACAAACCTGACACTTATATGAAATTTGTCTCCATTAATGCTATAAAATAATTCCGTGAAATAACAAATACAGTTTAACTTCATCATATACGTCAGAGATTTGTAGTTTCCAAAGTATCTTCTTGTTTATATATCTTTAAATATTAGAATGTCTTTTATTGTTATTATTTTTTTTTTTGGCGCAGACACATGCTGTTGTTATCCTAATAATTTAGTGAATGTTCTTCCGAGGCCAGCATAAGGCTTCTACTTTGAGCCTTTTCAAGAATAACCTACTTCCCGCGTTATGTGCAGATAATCCATAAAACGTTGAAATCTGACACCAAAAAAAAAAATCCGACACACTCCTTCATGAGTTTTAGTCTTGATTTATTGTTTATTATGAAGTCTTAAATTTTCTAGTGGTGTTCTCTTTGTCTGTAATCTGGCTATGTCCAACAGGAGTGCATCCTTTACGCCCTTCAAGAATACACTGCATTAGTCCATCAGCCTTTCTAGGAGGGGAGTGTGACGGAACCCCACAACATCTGGCAATTTAGTTTCTTTGATGCATTTCTACTAGAATTTTTAGCACCTCGTACCTGGTAACGTGGGACAACCCTCACTAGCAGAAAACTTGTAATTGGTGGGGAAATTAGAAGCCTTGATTTGGAGTCACAATGAGATCCCTTACCTGGAACTCAAGGCCATTTAAAGAAAGAAAGAAAGAAACGGAAATTTCAAAAGGAAATTATGCACAGTAATGAAGCCATTCGAATTTTGCTAAAACCTTATTTACTATCAACTTTTCAATGGAAAATTATATTGAACCTTCCCATTATCTGCATCTACTTACGTTAATGACCCCTAATTATAGTTGAAAGGTGTTTCAATTATTAAAAGTAATTGCATTCTCTCAAATGCTTAGAAAGGTTATTTTTTCAATTTTTCAGGCACTAAATTTACATGATTAACTGTGATTCATTGGTAACAACGTTTGGAGCATTAGCATAGTCAACAAATCCGAAACTTTGCTGCCATCATGCGGACTATGCACTGTCCTGTGATGGGCTTCTCCATATTTTGATGAACAAAGCAATAATATAATCCACAACAGCGTGGAAAGGTACGCATGAGAGCTGAGCGAAGTGCTGAAACAAAGCAAGATTTAACTCCCTACCCCTTTCAAAGTCAATGCCTAGTAAACGCAATTGAATTTAAAAAGGTAATAATCAAGCACAAATCCTGCAAGTTGTTGCTACTTTTTGCCTTTAAACTTCCAGCGCAGGCAAGCCGTCTAAAGTTATTGCATTTGCCGCCATATCCATATCTTCAATGCGTAACCACGGAATTATGCGTCCTATTTTCCGTGCAATCGATACCTGGATTGGCTTAGCCGAAATGTTGATGACTATATTTAGTAGACAAAGTAAATGACTGCTTTCAAATATTGTCGGACAATTTCCGCTAGGAGCCCGCTTTGGTTACTATTTTTACACTCATTCCATTGGAAGTGTTTCAAAACCAAATCAAGGTGGGATCAAACGCCGTTATCAAGTACAAGCGATGGGATACGAGCCATGGATACGTTTTAACTATTTGTTTCAGACCCATTGGAACTTATTGTCGAGACCAGGGAGGGCATGGTAAATTTCAAAAGGTCATAACTTATATGGCTATTGTAGGTTGTGATTCCGATTGTTATCACTTACTTTAGTAATATTATATGAGTCGATGCAGTAAACTAACTTAATGCATGACGGTAATTACTTAGTCCAAGATGCCATGGATTTAACATGTAAAATGAGAATATTAATTTTAGTGATAGTGCATCGCACATGAAAAGGTGTATTGTATCGTATAGTGTACATTCCCTTGCAGAGTATGTATGGAAGCTTCTGTACTTTACAGAAGCCGTTTATTTGAGTAGAATCGAATCAAACACTTAGCACTCGACTCAATTACGTGATGTGAAAGTCCGAAACCCGTTTCAATATAAAAGCAACCTAAACCGATCCTGATTCGTTAAAAATTGTTTTGTTATGCTAATGTACCAAAAAGTTCTAGAGTTATATCATATAAGGAATGTTACAGCCACGGTGGCTCAAACCAGACATAGGACATTATAATTTCCATTTACTAATGTCTGTTTAGGGATACTAAAAATCCATACTATTTTCACACACCATTTATAAATAGCAGTAGAAAATTAGCCCAATTCGTTTGAAAATGTCAGCCAATGTCAAAACATAGCATCAAGAAAAGGATAAATAATCATCTTGCTATTCTATACCTAACAAGGCGTGTTAGAACTAGTATTCTTGAAAGTCATGCTTTTTCTATGGTTGGTGGGTATAGGGTCCGATACCTGCATAGCACTACGTTCTACTGATGAACAGACATACATTAAGCTGCGTCTTCGTCGTTTTGGGACGAAGTCCGCAAGCCCTCAGTCTTGTGCATCCTGCTTGTAGTCTCAATTGAATTGACTACTTCCATATAATTGACATCCACATTTGGTCAAATTACATAAGGGGGTGGGGGCAAAAACATAATGGGCTGAAATCCTCGACACAAGAACAATGTTAATAGTCAACAAAAGAAGACTTCTAGTAAGCCTCCCTCTGCAATTGGTCTTATCATGCGTTAATGCACTTCAATTCTTTTAGTTCCATAAAGATCTCATGCACTGCATGGCAACCTCCCTCGTATTATATAAGAGGTACGTATTATATTACATTCAGCGTAACAATTATTGTACAATTAAATAAAAAACTAACATCAATGATAAAAAATATATTTTGGTATCGTAGTACCCTTTGTTTGTTGTAATTATTCGTCACAATCATCTAAGCCAATCCCGTTTAAAACCATACCCTTTTTCACAACTAAATCCAGTAAACTATTCCTCAAGTCTACATTCATAAATGAAGACGATTCATCTAACCACTCCCTCAGTAACTTGATGGTGCCATCCAAAATCGATTCGCTGGCTTCATCAAGTTCCATTTTGTTATCAACAACGATCTCATTTACTAATGAAACAAGAGCTGTGAAAGCAATAAATGATAAGGATGGTAAATCTGATTCGCTGCTCTTCAGTGACACATTTTTTATATGTTTCAACAATTTCAAGGCCTCGGAATATTTCCCGTCTCTGTAGTACTTCATGCATGTGGAACAGGTAAGGACGATAAACTGCTCGGCATTAACCATGTTGAAGGATGTTATTAATGTTTTTTGTTCATTAATAGTTGGTTTAAAGCCATCTACAACCTCATAATCTTCTTCACTAGTGTCTCTTTCATCATCTGTGTCCAAGATTTCATGATCAGTCAAATCTTGACCTTCTCTGATCAATCTAAAAGATTCCAATAGTTTAACCACATGGGAATGCAAGTCTCTCATCAACTCTGGGGAGTTCTCACAGTTAACAATAGTGAAAAACATGCTATAATAGTTGTACAACGCGGAATCGTTATCCAATAAATTCTTCAATTTCTTCAAGTCTGCAATAAGAGTTTCTGTGGATTCTCCAACGGATATGGTCTTCAAATAACTCAAGTTTAACAAGTGAATGATATCCAAAATTCTCCAGTTCAAAACCAAATTGTAATAAGAGCTGGATTGGCTTGATAATTCCTCATGGTAGACTTCAATATACTTGAGATGGTTTTGTCCATCATTGATATCAGTGTTGATATTAATATTCTTTGACAAATTCATCAATCTTTTCACTAAATAGTCAGCACCAAATAATCCCAAGCCGTCAACATCTTTAACTAACGTACTCAATCTTCTTAAGGATTCATTATCTCCTCTATACTCCAAATTGAGCATAAGAGATGCAGTCACTGATAATTGGCGATCAATAAACTTAGATGTCCATGGCTTTTGCGCTACTAACATCTTGCCTACCAATAAAGTTAAGAAACAGTTTTCAAATTTAACTTCACTGCTAGATAATTGGATGTAGTCGTACAATAAATCCTTATCCACAGTTTCACCACTTAACTTCAGCAAAATTTGTTGCTTTTTACCTTCAGATAAGCAAATAGGTAAGCTCAATCCCAATCGACAAAGTAACCAGTTCTTCAAGATCACTAAATTGCTATTCTCATCATCTTTGGTGTCAATGTTAGAACGGTCAGCTTTCTTGGCAGATGTAAGGCTCTTGATGTATGGCATTATAACATTTGTTAGTGAAGCGAGAACAACAATAATCTTTAAAAAATGCCACAACTGTACAGTCATTGGCGAAGGATGTAAGACAGCCAGGGGTAACACCAGCGACATCATGGGGATTGCGCTCAAGCCCTTAAAGTCACCATTATCGCCACCAAATAATGATGTACCCATAATGGCAGCCATGGAACCCATCAAAAGCTTGTTACCCAAGCCCTTTTGTTGACCATAATGTTGCTGATGTTGTTGTTGTTGTGGAGGTACCATTTGGAAACCTTGTGGACCAATTTGTGGCGGAATTTCATAAGCTTCGGTACCAGCTGAGTAAGCAAAATTATTATCGTTAGATGAGCTGGAGTATGATTGTTGAATTGGGGAAGAATTGAACCCTTGCTCGTTAGCTTGAGAAGGAACATATCCAAATGTACCAGGTTGAGGTGGAGGCAACTGTTGTTGCATATTTGGAGGAACCGATTGAATATGACGATATCCATTAGGGTGTAAATTGGCTTCTTGGATTAATTTTTGCAACTGGATATTTTGATCTTTTAAAATCTTGTTTCTTCTTTCCAAATGCTTAATGTATTCGGTTGCCTTTGTCAAGACACTTGCTTTATTCAATTTAGAAGCTGGAGTTAAACCATCCAAGTCAGCCAAAGAAACGTCCTTTGAACCGGCAGCAACACGAAGAGAAGGAACCGCATCTCGTAAGGCTAATATCTTTGAATTGATATTGGTTCTATATTTCTTTTCTATCATATTATGGGAAGTCTTGTCTTTCTTTTGGGTCTTTGAGACTTTACCCTTAGCAACACCTTTAGAAGCTTTAGCAGCGGTAGTAGTAGACTCTTCCAACTTAACAGAGCCAATATCTTCTTCATCTTCGTCTGCAAGATGACCAGATTCAACCTTAATTAAACGAGTGGTACCATCCAAAGCTCCTCCTGGTGTGGTGGTATGAGAAGACACCTCGGAAGCAGGATTAGAACCAACCTGTTCCGCACCCATTGATTCGTTCCGGTAAGAGGTCTTCGTCATCAAAGTGTTGATGTTGACTGGGGATGTATAGTTCGAAGAAACAGATATGTTTGTTTCTGGCGTCAAGTTACTTGACTCATTGGAATATGAGTGACTCGACATCTGCGATGATTGCACATTCATATCGTTGAATAGAGAATCTCCATGAGAAGAATTCATTGAAGAAGCTGAGGATATTGAATTGTTGTGTGGCTGCATAGGGTGTTGCTGGTAAGATTGTTGTTGTTGTTGTTCAGCAATAACCCCAAACATATTATTTTGGTTCATTTCTTCGTTCCAAGAAACAGATTCATTCTTAATCATTGTGGGCATAAAGCCATACGTTCCGTCGTTTGATTCTTCAAACATCGATACTCCTCCGCTATTGGCAGAACCGTTGACATCATTTTCCAATGTTCCAATGGAAGATGGTGATACGTCACCTATAGCTCCGGAGATGGAGTCGAGAAACATATCCGCATCGTCAAAGGCAAAGTACTCCATGTTATTGGTGGTGTATTCTGTCATCACCACTATAATATTCACACTACTGATAGCAGTTGGTTCTATTTGTATCTACTGAGTAGCACGTTTAGAATGTTATATCGTCCGATGAGTTCACTATGGATGAAGAAGAGGGAAAAGAAGTTTGTTAAACAAAAGTCTTTCCTACCTTAGAAATTGCAGAAGACAATCACAGCGTGACACAAACGATAATCTCACTTAAAATGATACTACTGAAACTCAACACTAACAATGGAACCAGTACAAGAAGAAAAAGAAACCATTCACAATCTCCTAATAGTAATTGGGAGTCGCTACGGTGAACTTCGGCTTGGTGGTCAAAAACATTCCTTTTCATGATTTCTTTTCCGGTATATACCGTTCAAAAATCAGCTCATATGTTAGTTACACAAAACCGGCTCAATCCCCGAGTTCTAAGGTCGGTCCATTGGAGTTGAAAATCGACTCATATATTTTTTGTCTTTGGGTGCGTCGGAAGAATATAGTACTATGTGTCGCTATCTAGTACTATGATGACCATGTCGCAGGCAAATATTGTCATGTGCAATAGAAAGCCCATCAAGTGTTCGTATTATGTGGTGAAGCTGCTGCTAACAATAAGAACCCGATAATTGTTAGGTAAGCAGTTACCTAATCGCTGATTTTTCATATCATGCACAACACAAACTTAACAATGCATTCTTCCCGATCATCATCATGTCATATGTATTGGTATTATTAAGGTCGTACATACTTGCCGAGCTTCACATGGCACTGGAGCCAAATGCCAATATATTCATACTCGGTTAACTGTCAAGCAATTTGATACAACGCCTGTCTCTGTGCTAAGCATTGGTTTTGTCCTCAAGCCTCGCTTGTCCACAGAATATAACATGACCCCCGGAACCTCCTTAACCTGCCGCAACGGATTTCCTTACCTCATGGACTTTCTTAGCTCCATCGTTTCTCCGAAAGCCCCCACAATATTTGTCCCTTGCAGATTGTCGGTATGAATGGCTGCGAAAATGGTACGATGATACCAATTGCCCTTTACGCCTTAGTCTTGTATGTGGTGATCCGGGTCCTGTCCTTCCCTTAACTCCTTATTACTCCCTTAGTTGCTTGCAACCCCGCTTAGTATTCGTAATACCTGATTAGTGACATGGGTAAATGCTATACGATATTGCTTAATAATTCTAGTGGCTGTTGGCCGGTTATACCTAAGCCTTACCAATGCAAGAAAGATTGATTTGTGTCATCAGACTGGAAAGCTTATATAATCTCTGTTTGTGTTAAACTCCGCTACTTCGGCAATTCCCGCTTCGACTATTCCTGGGTTCTCCGAGTGAACTCACAGGACCTTTACAAACAGTCATGATCAAAATGACAACCTAAAACGCAACTTTGATCCATACACTTCTATATAGGAGGTAAATTGTTTCTACATATGGGACACAGTAATTTATACTTCATCCAATCCTCCAAACACTCCTGGTGGAATATATGGTGGCATGGAGTTATCATGTAGTCTCTCTTCTTCTTCCACATTCGTTTGAGTGCACTTTGCTTCTTTTTGTTGCCTTCAATCAGACCATCTTTATCGTTACGCAAGGGTATTTCGATTGGATTCATACACACAGCACAGTCTGTCTTGCAAACCAACCATCCATCATTATCTAATTCTTCGGTGGTGGTGGTGGTGGTGGTAGTAGTGCCTTCAGTGTTATTGGTCATGTTAGCAAAGATATCGCTTGCAAACCCATTTTCAATATCTCCAACAGACATAATAGGTTGGTAGTCAAATGCTTGAGGTAGCCATCTATCATTGACCCAAAACCGTGCACCCAACCGCTCTTGTAACATTATTAAAAATATTTGTACCAATACATACCCTGTCAATATTCCAGCAGTGACAGGACTATAATAATGGTTGTATGGGTTATTTTTATACAAGAACATGTACCAGATCGGTATCAAGCGAATAATGGACATCCCCCATATAAATTCCCATTGAAAGCAACAGTATCGTCTATTCTTAACAGTGGATCGTAAAAATTGAGGGAACCATAGTGAACTGAATATGAAAAGTGCAATAAACTCAAATGCATGTCTATATGACCGACGCCAATAAGATACCTGAATTATCATGAAAAAGAAAACAATAGTAAGTGAAACCAGTGATGCCATAAGCCCATTGTAATAATAATTCTCATCCGGACCAGTAAACACCACTTGTGCATCTGGCACACCCGTAGGAGCATTGGGCTCCGGTTGGGCTCCTGTTGGTGGTGAAGATGATATCGTTGCGGAAGCATCCGTTTCAATCTCAGTTACCTGAGATGGCTCATTTGTTGAGCTCGAAGTAAATCCACCTCTCATTATATCCCACCAAGATGATCCTCTTTCATTGGATTGTGCAGTTAACAACCTTACTATAAATATGAACTCAAAAACACAAATTATACCTCTAATAATTGCAATGGCCGTGGTTAACAAGTACAACTTGCTTGCAAGTGGACTGAAAAGAAGGAATCCCATAGTAAAAATTGAGTCATAAAGCCCAATGGTATACATGGTAGCAATACTAACACTACTCAAAGCACTTGGGGTATGAAGTCGTTTGATCTGTCTGAGGAAAAGTAATAACTGGATGAAGGAAAGTCCAAAGAACCAAGTAAGATTGATACGTGTTCGCTTATAGAATACTTCTATTCTATCACCTTTCAAGATACCTTTATCCGTAGTAGTATCTGAATTCGAAGCATGATAGGCGATCTTGATCCCACAATCAGGTGAATACATTAAATAGTCTGTAATCACCAACTGAGGAAGTTCTGAAGGAAGAGGAATACCTTGCGGATTCTCTAATTCTTCATCAATTGCCCGCAACTGGTTCTTGGTAAATTGGGTCTTACCAAACTTAAACCAATTTATAAATTCACAAGTGGTTTTAGCATTGGATAAATATGTGTGCATTGTATCAATTGACACTTCTTTATTAAAATCGGTCAGATTAATTAATTGTGCCAATAATACTTTTGAATCGTTATAGTAATCATAGTTATGAGCATCAAAAGCAAAATGAGGTAAGGCATTATAACCAAAAAACTTCCCACTGGTAGTAGTGGTTACCATACATCCTGAATCTTGGAAATATACCCCTTCTGTATCCAATTCGTGAGTTTCGGACTCAGTCGTATCTTTTATGTTGATATTTGCTTTGACCAAAACTGCGTCATCAATCCTTGTCAAGTGATTCTTTTGAACAAACTTTGAAACTCTATCGTCTTGAAAATTGTAGTCAGAATTCTTCAAATTCAAAGACATCTTCCATGTACCAGTGGTCAAGTTACCCATTAAAAGCAGTGGTGGCTGATAATATTCAGGAGGTGGATTATGATCAGGATCTTCTTCGTATCTTCTTTTGGAATCCTCATATTGTCCACGGTTATATTCATCGTCAAAATCCTGTAAATATTTTGGTAACTTCAATGGTAAAGGCTTGAACAGGGCTTGATCTTTTAGGTCTTTCTTGGTTCTGACGAATTCTCCATAGGCTGTTCCAGATATGTTTAGCAAGTAAGCAGCTGCCTCGTTATCATTAGACGTATCGCCTCCATCAGGAACCCAGAACTTGATGATCTCATCTCTTATATCATCTGGTAAAATGGAATACTTTTGATTCTCAACAAAGGGGTGATCCTCAGGGTCAAACTCAAATGTACTCACATTCAACCCCTTTAAATTATCTCCGTATGAAAGTTCAAATCCCGTAAGATTCCCATACCCCTTCCAATACTCATTCTCCATCAATGTTTCCCTGGCATCCTTCAACTGTTGCTCAAACTTGTGCAACGCATGTCGTTCATCTGGTTGAACTTGTTCTGCTCCCGATTGAAGATAGTAAAACGTGAACAAGAACAAAATAAAGAAAAACGTCTGTCGGTCCATGATGGTCGACCGTAATTCAGTTGGTCTATGTGATCTTGTTTAGGCAGCGGCGGCTTATATAAGTACGAACCAGTGGCGATAGTTTCCGACTGGTGAACTCCGTTTGTCTTTTGTGTCGCGCTTTGTGGAGTGAAATAAAAGTTCGCTTTTGAGTCGCTTCTCATGGTGTTCCCCATACAAAACTGCTGGTGTACCTCAAGAGCTGTAATAAGTGATGTAACTACCATGAACTAAACAGACCCATATATATTATAGCACTGATGGTAAAGAAGAACCTATTCTTATGTGTGTATCTTTTGTTGTGAAAAGTGACCAGTTTAGGACTCTCATGTCTAAGCATGTGAATAACCTTCACTGGTGGTGTTAACATACAGTAGTAGGAGTTAAGTAGTAAAGAGTTATAATTGTATGTTTACAAGCTTTATTACCTTGTTCAGTTATAATTATATTTTTAGCCAGTGTATATACTCAGGTACTACATTAGAAACTAAGTCAACGTTGTGGGATTACCAGATTTTTTGCACCCAAAATTAAGTATTTAAAAAGTATAAAAACGGTTGGATAGCAATTGCAAGCGTTTCTTACATTAAGACGACACATATGAATGTCAAGAGAACAAGTACCGTGGAGCCCGTTGAAACCCGCAACGCCCCATTAGTTTGTACAGTCGCCGTAACCAGCAGTGTTTCTTCATCTCTTCTGTAAAGAGACAATGTTGATGATGTGGATGATTCTTGTGCGCTTGAACTTGCTGGTTGGCTTGAAGATTCACTAGATGAAACTTCGGTTGCTGTTGATGAGCTGGGTGCTTCAGATGAACTTGAACTTTGAGCAACTGATGATGCACCACTGCTAGTTGGTTGTGATGAGGAAGCAGCCTCAGAGGATGAGGATGCTTCCACAACACTCGAACCAGATGCACTAGAATAGTCCGATGAGCTTGAAGGAGCCAGCAGAGATGGAGCTTCGGTCGCACTAGAATAGTCGCTAGTACCAGAAGATTGTGAACCACTGATGGAGCTTGCGTCTGATGATGTTTCAGCAGATGAAGTCAACTGCGAGCCTGAACTCTTGGCGGTTGATGATTTGCTTGTTCTGGTTGAAGTTGGTTCAGCCTTGGTGGAGTTTAAGTACTTTGTGGAGATGGAAGTAGAAAGAGATGTGGATAATGACGTTATCACGGTTGTCAATTCGCACGCCATGTCTTCAACAGAAGTCTCGGTGATAACCTTCCCACCTGAAGTTGAGGTGTAGGTGTGCTCTTGTTCATATGTGGTGGTGTAGTAGGAGGTGTGTGCGACAGTGTTTACGTATGTCTTCACGTTAGTTGCGTAACTAGTGAAATAAGTAGTAACGTCACCATCTGTCTCACAATACCATTCCCATTCATCGTTATTACCATTGTCATTAGAACCTGAGGAACCACCTGATCCTGAACCTGAAGAGTTCGATCCAGAGCCACCAGAACCTGAGCCACCAGAACCAGAACTACCAGAACCAGAACCACCGGAACCAGAACCACCGGAACCAGAACCACCGGAACCAGAGGAGCCAGAGCCTGGAGATCCATATCCAGAACCGGAGCCTGATGAGCCTGATCCAGACCCTGCCTCAGAACCATAAGGAACCCATTCACAAACGTTCTCCCAATCATTAGATCCTCCACTCGATCCACCGCTAGAGCCTCCACTTGAGCCTCCACTAGATCCTCCGCTAGATCCTCCGCTAGATCCTCCGCTAGATCCTCCGCTAGATCCTCCATTGTTGTCTTGAGTGTAGTCCCAATCATCACCTTCTTCCACACACAGCTCAGTCACATAAGAACCATGACTATAAGTCTTAGTTATAGTAACTGTTCTAACGATAGTCAATGTTTCAGTAATAGTTACTGTCTTCACAGAACCAGCTGGTGGGGTTGTAGTAATGGTTGCAATAATAGGAGTAATCTCACTAACAGCAGAAGTTATCACTGTCTCGTAAACGGAGGCATACTCGCTGGCAATGGTATTTCTAACAGCTGTGTAGATGACTTGTGGTGGTAATGTTGAAGTGTAATAAGAAGTGACCTTCTGGTTTCCCTTCAGTACCACTGTGGTGACAACGGTTTCCAAACCACTGACAACAGAAGAAATTAAAGTGTAAGGTCTACTTGCAGTAATGGTATCACTTGTATAAGTGTTCACATCAATGCTGGTTGTAGACGTACTCACAGTTGGCATTCCACTTTCAGTGTCAGTATTAGTGTCGCACAGTGTTGAGTATTCCCAAGAGTCAGAAGAATCAGTAGGCAATATGTCGGTTGACTCATAAGAGCTTACAGTTGTCCAACCGTTATCACTGGTAAAACTTTGGGTGTAAGTTCCAGTGGTAGTAACTGATTCTTCTGTGGATTCACAGCTGGTAGAGTATTCCCAATCGGAATCACTACTGGTGTCCACTGAAATCGCTCCATAAGATGAGGATAACTCACGATTTGTTGAGACAACATAAGATGACGATGACTCAGGATCTGTTGTAACAGCAGAGGTGGTTGATAATTCAGAACTTTCACAGCTAGTAGAGTATTCCCATTCAGAACCAGTCGACATAGAAACTGGATCTCCTCCAAGTGATGTAGTTAAATTGGTTGAAGGATCACTGAATATTGGAAGGGTATCTGAAGTAATTGAGCCAACAGACATACTGACACTGGTATAAATATCCGAACCAGAGACGCTTGTTGTGGGATCAACGGTATCAATTGGAGGGATGCTGGTAGTATCTGACTCACAAGAAGTCGAATATTCCCATTCATCGCTGCTATCAGTCGAAGAAGCGTTATCTCCTTCAAGTGATGTGCTTTCATTGATTGGGAGATCACTTATTATTGGGGTAGTATCTGAAGTAATTGTACCAATGGGTATGCTATCACTGACATAGATAACAGAGCCAGAAGTCAAGTAGCTTGTTGTGTCCTGGCCTAAGAAAGTGCTTGTTGAAGAGTCCATTGGAGGGATGCTGGTAGTATCTGACTCACAAGAAGTCGAGTATTCCCATTCATCGCTGCTATCAGTCGAAGAAGCGTTATCTCCTTCAAGTGATGTGCTTTCATTGATTGGGAGATCACTTATTATTGGGGTAGTATCTGAAGTAATTGTACCAATGGGTATGCTATCACTGACATAGATAACAGAGCCAGAAGTCAAGTAGCTTGTTGTGTCCTGGCCTAAGAAAGTGCTTGTTGAAGAGTCCATTGGAGGGATGCTGGTAGTATCTGACTCACAAGAAGTCGAGTATTCCCATTCATC